CAAAAAGACATTTTTTTTGTACTTATGCGATGATGCTTTTTTGATAGGTCGGCGCGCGGGATACAAAAACTGCTGGCTTTGCAGTACTACTGAATGCCAGACTACAAGTGTCACGGCCCCTCCTAGACATCAATAGCCACTGATCTAAGTGGAGACTACAATGATATCGGGATCGACGACAGCAGCATAGTAAACAGCAGCATCAGCAACAGCAGCATCGAAACCAGCAGCATCGAAACCAGCAGCATCGAAACCAGCAGCATCGACACCAGCAGCATCGACAACAGCAGCATCGACAACAGCGCCAGCATCGACAACAGCGCCAGCATCGACAACAGCAGCCGTCCTAGAAAACGTGTAAGTTCCCGCCCGTCAGCTGTAGTGCACGAGAAAGAACAGTGACTAATGTGTGATTCCTGGTTGAACAGGCACGAGTCAGCACGGAGGAGCGAAGCGAAGTTCCGATCCGCCCACCGAGTGCTCGAGTCCAACAGCGTGCCCAACCGCGTGGCCAACCGCGTGGCCAAACGCGTGGCCAGCGTGTTGTCAGGCAAGCCGTCCAATCCGGGTAAAAGCATCAGGAGGTGCAGGCGGGGGCGATCTGAGATTTTTGTATTTTCGTCCAAATGTAGCAACGCAAAAAAATAAAATAAAATATTAAAAATATTTTTATTAATATTTTAGACAAGAAAAAGTCATTTTCCACCAATCAAACGTCGCCAAACCATGTCGGACAAGCATGTCGAAATCCGGTCGAAATCCGGGGCAAAAGAGAGATTCCGCGGAATTCTAATTTTTCCGGTGCGGATTCCGGTCGGATTCCGGTAAAAAAATTTTCCGCTGTGCAAGGCCGTGTTCACTTTGAGTGCCTCAGCAATGGCCTGTGCTTCTGCGTCGCCAATTAGACCCAGACTGTCGGTCCGTTCCATTCAATCAGCACTTTGAATACCCTCTGCTACCCAATCCCATGCATCAGAAACTATGATATGCCTGACCTGAGATGAGTCAGCGTCGTGTTCATTTGGAGTACTTCAGCCATTGTCTGCGCTCCAGCGTTGCCAATCTTGTCCAAACTGTCAAATTGCTCCATCGATGAGCCTTTTGCTGACAATATTCCCACTGACAAGTGCCAGCAAAAGTGATGGAACTTCCCCGAGCGTTCGCAAGGACGTGTTCACTTTGAGTGACTCGGCAATTGCGTTCGCTCCAGCGTCGCCAATCTGATTCCTGCCCAAACTGTCCATCTCCTCCACGCTAAATGTCATTGCTGACATCACCATTTACAAATATCAGTTAATGTGAGATGCCTTACCCGAGCGAAGTCAGCATCTTGTTCACTTGGAGCATCTCAGCAATCGCCGTCGCTCCAGCATCGCCAAGCTTATTATTGTACAAACTGCTCAGTCAATAGTAAGCACTCTGGGCACCTCTGCTGGATCATCGACTCACATCAAAGTGAGATGACTTACCTGAGGCGAGTGACTGTTGTGTTGACTCTGAGCGTTTCAGCAATCGCCTGTGCTCCAGCATCGCCAACCTGATTCCCATTCAGACTGTACATCCCCTCCATCAATGAGCACTCTGAATTCACCCTGTTGAGTGAAAGTGACACCCCTTACTCGAGGTCGGTCATCGTCTTGTTCACTTTGAGTGCCGCAGAAAGTGCCTGGGCACCAGCATCGCCAATCTGATTCTTCCATAGCCTGTCCGTCCATCAGTGAGCACTCTAAATGTCCTCTGCTGACATCACCCACTCACACGCATCAATCGAAGCGAATTGCCTTACCCAAGGTCGGTCACTGTCGTGTTCACTCTGAGTGTCTCAGCAATCGCCCGCGCTCCAGCATCACCAATCTGATTCTTAGTCAGACTTGTCCGTCCCATTCACCACTGAGCACTCTGAATGCCTATGCTGAAACCACCCACTCACATGCACTAGTCAATGTGAGACGACTTACTTGATTTTAGTCAGCGTCGTGTTCACTTTGAGTGTCTCAGCAATCGCCCGCGCACCATCTTCGCCAATCTGATTGTCGTACAGACTGTGCATTCCGTCCTTCCGTGAGCACTCTAAATGTTCTCCGCTGACATCACCCACTCACATGTTCTTGTCAAAGTGAGACGACCTACTCGAGTACAGTTACCGTCATATTGACTTTGAGCGTCTCAGCAATCGCCCGCGCTCCAGCATCACCAATCTGATTCCAGCCCAGACTGTCCGTCCCCTCCAATAGTGAGCCACTCTTGATGTCCACTGCCGAAGCCACTCACGCTCCACACTCGAAGCGAGATGACTCACAAGAGTTTCTCCACGTTCGGGTTGCCTTTGAGTCCCTCAGCAATCGCTTGTGCGCCGGCATCGTCAATATGCTCGAACGGCTGGCTGTCCTCCATTTCATCAGTAAACATGTTGTCGTCCAATACTTCCGGCTTTTTCTTACAAGAACCGTTCATTCGCATTCTTGACTTTGTCGAACAACTCGCGCTGTCTCGCGCTCATACTCTGGTACGACAGCATTGTTGATTTTCGATCTATCGGAACAACGCGGTTCTTTCAGTCAGTCTTATTGGTTGTGCTTTCACAAATCATCTCTCAAACGCAGAGTGCAGACTCCAGGCGGTGTCAAACGCACGAAAAGTGCGGCAGCGACGCAAACAAAAGCGCCGCCACAACAACGAACAAAGACTAACATCAAGAAGACTGAGAAACACAACAACACAACAATGGCATAGACGAGGATGACAAGTACGGACGCCGACATGAAACATGAAAGAGAGGGAAATCAAAAACAAAAAAAAAACAAAACATTGCCCAAAACGAAGCTGCTCGGACCTTGGCGCACACACCGATACGAACTGCTCATTGTGGACAAGAAGCACGACCACTCCCGCTCGTGTCTGACCATCTTGTTCCACCTGGCCAGATGGACACTCTGAACGTTGCGGTGCCGAGCTCGCTTCGATCACACAACCATCCACCCGACTCATGTTGTTGCGCACTTCCGAAGCCTTGTTCTCAATCGCGCGAGGCAAGACACTCGAATTGTATTGGAGTGTTGCGTCGGACTCTCGAAACCATGATCCATCATCGCGATTTGGAAAAAGGGCGAAACCCAAAAAAACCCAAAAAAAAAAACAATTGGGTCATTTTGATAGCCTGTAGAGTGAACAGCCAAGTGCCCCGCGCCATGACACACCTCAATCCAATTCATAAATATGATTCTTTGTGTGCTCTCCTCCTTGGCTGGTGGATTACTATGCGACGTCCACTCGACTCAGCACCTTCGCTTTCGCACGAACTCGACGCCACTGCACGCTCTCACCAACTCACGAGAACGCGTCTCGGTTAAAATATTGATTGATGACATGAATTTAAAGCCATCGAGCTGTGTTGTCAACGAATAGCACGACGTTGGCGTGTTTTTGAGGACCAAAGCAGAAAATTAAAAACCAGCAACTGAAAATCGGACAAATGTCAGTGAGTCAATCGTGATCACGACTTTTCGACCACCTGTCTCAATAAATCGATACAAAGGCATATACATCATCACAATATGAAGGTTTTCATATCGTGATGCTGCTACACAGCGAGGGGAACGTATTTTTGATTTGTGTGCCGGGATCGATCGCTCGTGCTCGCTCCCATTCACTGACCTTGCCATCTAACCACAATAAAAACCTCTGAAATCATATTTTTAGTCTCTTTAATATCACTGCGCGGACATAAGACGAGTACCTTCTTGCATGTGGGCCTCGAAACACACCCTTTGTTTCGGGGGTTTTTTTTTTTTTTTTTGTGTTCGATGCGACTGCTCCGACACAAGGGCTGAATTCTGCAGTCATACACGTTGATGACTCAACCACCAATCGAGACCAAGCCAGTGCAACGAACAAGAACGAAGTTATCGTACACGCTGCATTTTGCGTTGTTTTTCACTTCACAAAATCCACATCAATGGAGAACTCACTTTGAAAGGTGTCGGCTCAGCGTTTTGCCTCTGTTTCGACCCAGAGTCGATTTCGATTCATCGCCGAAGGTAGTTGGTGGTTTGCTCATGGAAATTTATTGTGCATCGTAGCAATGGCACATTTCGTATCAATCAATCATCAGCACCTGGCCAATAGCCCTAAAGACGCAACCCGCGGGATTCAGAGCATCACGGCTTTACCCATTCGGCAGTTTTACAGTTACCAACACGAACAAGAAAACAAACAAACAAACAAACAAACAAACAAACAAAAAAAAACAACCCCGAAAACAAACACCCAGCGACGACTTCCAACTAAAAAATCAAACGAATAGTGAAAGATTAGCCGTAATCAGTACCAGTAAATCATCAACAGAGAACCGATAAAACTACTCAATAGGAGCTTGCATGAGCTTGCGCAGGTCGGGACACAGCCTGTCCTTGCAGACCGCGGTTGCGGCAAACATAATCTCTTGGCCGGCGATGGTGCAGCCGCTTGCGAGAAGCTCTTGCACACTCGAATGGAGCTTCAAGTGCTCACATGGCTCCAAGATACCGGTGTCGATGCATTGGTTACAAGCGGGTACCTCAACTGGTGTGATGGTGCCCTTTTGAAGAACCATCACAGTCGACGTGTCCTCCTGCTGCGCCGGCGGCACGGATCCAACTTGAGGGTAATGGTGGAACAGTTGCTTGGCCGATGGTACCCCCAGCTTTTTGTGAACAAGACCGGCTCCTGCCAAGCTGACTGCGAGTGCAGAAAATCCAGTCATTCGCAAGCATTTCTGTTCGAGCACTTTGCGCAAGTCGTCCAGCCACACGTTATAAAATGCGCAATCCTTATACACAGCGGCGAAGGCCGTACGATCGACGACTTCCACATGGTACAGGTGAAGGCCAAGGTCGCCCTCATTCGCGGTTGGTGAGTTGGGTTGTTCTTGCAGAGCGGCTTCGCGTTCGGTTGTTTTGCCGCTGATCAAGTCCAACCACGTCGTGTGACACAGTGGGATGAAGCAGCATACGGCCACAATGCGATTCGGCGCGCTCGAGCCAATAGCGGCAGTCGTGGCGGGACTTGAGCTCTCGTTCTCACATGTCTCCTCGTAGATCATGCCCAGCTCCGGATGGCGCGCGTACCACTTGGCGAGTACAGCTGGCGTCGCACCGATCTCGTCGGGCAGCTGTTGTGTCGCAGGTGCAGACATTGACGCGCAATCCGCGGTCCAGACCAAAGCCACATGTGTGTGAGCGAGCGAGAACCGCAACAAATGCCACTCAGCGCCGATGAGCTCCATCATTGCGTCAGCAGCGACGGCATGGCAGAGTCATGCGCGCAGTGTGACTTGGACAAAGCAAGGGTGTGTGTGCTTACAGGATAGAGCGCGCGATCGAGCTGCACGACCGTCTCGTAATCGCTGGGCCGTATGGGCCGCATTGTCACCGTCCGCGTCATCCCAGCACTACAAACACAAAAAAAGAGAGGAGTGGGATTGAATAGGGATTTACTTGCTGTAGTGTGGTCTTGCTCTACATTTCCATCCGCTGCTGCTGCTGCTGCTGCTGCGTGGAAAGTCAAATGTGCGCAATGCAATGGACTTTGACAAGCTGTGGCGTTTGCGTTGATTGATGCGGTTTTTACATTGTTCTCGATCTTCTTGTTCTTCTTCTTGTTCTTCTTCTTCATCATTGTTTTGGGTTGCTTATTCGAAGGTGATTCTTGTCGAGTGAGTGAGTGAGCGAGTGAGTGACGGTTGCTTGGTTTTTCCAATCTCAATGCAAATCTAATCGCAATGCAAATCCCAATGCAAAAATCCCAGTCTTTTTTTTTTTTTTTTTTTTTTCTTTTAACTCTCTCTGAATGTCGGATTCCGCTGCGCCGACGCCGACGCCTCGCCCGCGCCCGCCGCCGCCGTCCAACTACAAGCCGAGCGTCGTTGCCCCAGCGTCTGCCGAAGCAGCTGCACCGCCATCGCAGGCACTTGCGCAGTGAGTTCCTCTCTGTCTCTGTCTCGCTTGTTCGTTCGTCGTCATCATCGCTTTAGCTTCTCTCTCTCTCTCTTGCTCTCTCCCTCGTTCGCTCTCTCGTTCGCTCGCTTCCTTCCTTCCTTCCTTCCGTTTCGTCCTTCTTTCATCTCACACTTTGTTCCGTTTCTGAATCGCTGATCACAATACATCCAAACTCAAACAACTCAAATCACTTTTTCAATGAGATCTTTCGATTTTTTTTTTATTCTTCTTCCTGTTTTTTTTTTTTTTCTCCATTTTCCATTCAATGTTCGTTCCAATGAACACTTCAATCAAACACAAACACAAACACAAGCAAACACAAAGTCAAATCAACTGAAACTTGCTCAGCATCCAAAGTGAAAAGTTTGGTAGGAACTGAATTTTCACAGTGGTTCACTTTGCACTGTGGTACTGTGCATCATCATCATCGTCATCATCATCATCATCATCATAGTGAGGGTTGACTTGGAAGGTGACACATCTGCGACTGACTGACTGACTGACTGACTGACTGACGGACGGACGGACGGCGGAATCAAACCGACGCTGAGCGGAAAACGATTCTAATGCAAATCTCACTCATTGAATGCTGTCCTTGTTTTTGCACTTTATTGCTCCACCTCACTCATGGCTCAATCTCTCCTTTTCTTTTTAAAATGATATTCTTGGTCTGTTTGTTTCACAGTGACGATTCTGGTGGCCCACCCAAGCCGGTGCGCGCTCGACCACCGCCGCCTGCTGCACCCAACTCGGCTGCTGCTCTGGCCGCCGCCGCTGCTGCTGTTGTGCACGAACATCACGCGCATGACTCTGAAGATGCGCCTGCTGCGCCAGTGGTGCACAAGCCACCGCCATCGCGACCACCGCCCACTGTGAGTCCGCCTGCCGCCGCTGCCGCAGCCGCTGCACCAACGCCAGACGCACCCAAAGCTGCACGGCCGCATGCTCCAACACCGCCAAACAAGCTGTCGACAGGAGGACCTGCCGCTGCTGGCGAGCACTCCACGTCGCCACCGCCTGCTTACACGCCAACAGCAACGCCTGCTGCTGCTGCACCTGCAGCACGACCCTCACGGCCAACTCGCCCACAGTCCTTGTACTCGAGCACGCCCAGCTCGGCGTCCGAGAGTGCAAACAGTCTTCCGCCACCGTACGAGGCAGACTCTGGCGTTTCTGTTCCCGCCGTCAAGGCACCTGCTGCTGCCAAGCCTCGTCCGCCGCGTCCAGCCACCGTGGCGGCCAAGCCGGGTGCGCCCTCTCCGGTTGCCGCAGCAGCCGCGGCCGCTCCTGCGGCAGAGACGGTTGCCCCTTTCACAAACCCCGCTGTCGCACGCCCGCCACGGCCGTCCCCAGGGGCAATTGCCGCGGTTTCTGCCTCTCCTGCAGCAGCCATGGCGGCCGCCGCAGCACCACCCAGTGGCGGTGCAAAGCCACGTCCGGCACGCCCGCCGACTTCCACCAACGCCCCTCCTGGCCACCCACCACCGCCCGGCCACGCACACCCTCCAGGACACCCGCCTCCACCAAGCCACTCGCCTGTTGTCCATGGTCCGCCACGCTTGCCGGCGCGACCGGTTCGCGGCCACATTCTGTACCATTACATGTTTGAAGGCCCTCGCGCAGTTGCCCGCGAGGAGCACACCGGCGAGGGTCCTGAGGATTTGATCTTCTCGCGTGGCGATGTGATTGAGCTCAAGGAGGTCGTTGACGATTATTGGTACATGGGCGCCAGCAACGGGAATGTCGGCATGTTCCCCGTCGCCAAGGTCCGCATCATTGTGGATCTCCCAGATGGCTCGCAGAAAAAGCTGCAAGCAGCCGCCGCAGCCGAACTGAGCGGCGAGCCGACCTTTGTCGCTGTCGTGGCGCCTGGTGCTCACATTTTCGCGGCCTTCCCATTCACTGGCGACGCACCGACGGATTTGATCTTCAACGAAGGCGATGAAATTGAAATTGTGCGGCAAGTTGACGCCGACTGGGCCGAGGGCATTCATGTCAAGTCTGGACGCATTGGCACCTTCCCACTTAGCTTTCTCGATTTGCCCGGCGATCACGCATCGTCGTCAGCGTCGTCGTCGTCGGCGGCTGCACCAGCGGCAGCAAGCGCTGCCAAGTTGCCTACAGTGCCTTATGCCGTTGCAACGTTCGATTACGAAGGCGAGGCCGAGGAGGACCTGTTCTTCCGTTACGGCGATGTTATTCTGCTGACCAAGCGCATTGATGCCGATTGGCTGGTTGGCGAGCTGGAATCCGTGCCTGGTCTGGCCGGCCAGTTCCCTGCCAACTTTGTCGAGGTCAAGATTGACTTGCCAAGCGAGGCAGAGACCAAGCCTGCCGTGGCCAGCAAGCCTGCGGTTGCCAGTAAGCCTGCAGTTGCTGCCTCAACCAAGCCTGCTGTCGCCGCCTCAACCAAGCCTGCTGTCAGCGCCAAGCCCAAGGTCGAAACCAAGCCAGAGCCAGCAGCACCTGCGCCTGCACCGGCCCACGACCCGCTGAGCGACTCGTACGGCGAGGCCGTTGCTGCGTACGAGTTTGCAGGCGAAGCTGAGGGCGATTTGCCCGTCCACCAAGACGAACAAATTGCGATTGTGGAACGAGTGGATGCCGATTGGCTGCGTTGCAAGAACAGTGCTGGCGCTGTGGGCATCGTTCCGGCTTCATTCCTTCTGATTCTTCGTGAGCCCACGGCATAGTTTGCCAGTGGGGGTTGTTTTTGTTGCTCGCTGTCATTGGTCTTGTTGTCGCGTTTTTTTTTTCGTTCTGGGTTTCGTTGCTGTGAGTGAGTGAGTGAGTGTGTGTGTTTGTGGCTCGCAGTGCTTCTTTTGTGATTTTTTTTTTTTTGTTTTTCTCTCTCGTTCTTTTTGTTTTTGAAGTTGAATGAATGCGATCTCGCAGCTCCATCTACTGCAGACATGTTTTCATACGTGGTTTCTCTCCCCCCTTTGTTCCATTGACAAGCAGGATGCGATGGCTGCGTGAGCTGACGTGATCTGAGCTCCAAGTGCGTTCGATCTGTTGCTCTTCCGCCTTGCTTGCGTCCGATTTAAAAGAGCTCAGTCCTTTGGTGTTTTATGACTCTTCAATCCATTCTTGTTCTTTGTGCTGCATCGGCTGGCTTCCGAACACCCCTCCCCCTTTCCCCGTTGATCGCTACACAATACGAAACGCGAATTTCAATAGGACGTCCATACAAAAAAACAAAAATCAATTCTGAATCATGGCGCAGTCTTCCTCTTCTCGCTCGTACCGAATGCCGTCCGTTGCCGGTCAGACGCAGCCCGGCGGCCGGATTCCCGACTCTGCGCAGTTCATGGCTGCCCTGACGAGCCGCAAGCCGCGCCACCAGGTCGTCGGCAGGACGCAGGCGAGCGGCGGCGACCTCGTTCTGGACGAGCTTCAGCCGCTGCAGGCGCTGTTTCTGGGCTCGTGCGAGGGCATCAAGGTCACCGTGCCGGGCAAGGCTGCACAAATCACACTCGATCGCTGCAGTGATCTGACGCTCGAGTGCGCGCTCGTTGCAGGCGCCGTGGAGCTGATCAAGTGCTCGAACGTCACCATCAAGTCAACGTACCGCTGCTGCACCATTACAAGCGACATGTCCACAGACTGCTCCTTTGAGATTACGCATCACGTGTCGCAGGAGGACATCCAGTCGGAAGCGACGGCTCGCAAGCGGGTCGCGGATGTCAACGCGTACCTGCAGTCGCACCCGTTGCCCCCGCGCGACGCCTCTGCGCCTGCACCGGCACCTCAGGCTGCTCCAGCGTCCGGTGGCGCACGTCCGTCAGAGAGCGAGCTGTTTGTCAAGGAGGCCAGCCACCCCTGGGTGATCTTCTCGTCCCGGTCGAGCGGCCTGAAGGTTCGGTATTCAAGTGTGCCGCTCGCCGATTCCGGTGCAGAGCCCACCCAGCCTGCCGACTTTACCATTCCGCGCGATGCCGTGCACGAGCTCGGCGACGGTGCTCGCTTTGCCACGCGCATTGTCGCAGGCAAGCCCGTCACGCTGGAGTGCGTCAACAACTATGGCGATGTTTGAAGAGCACAGGTTTCGGCGCCGTTCCCCAGCAGTTTTCGGTGAATACGACGCTACAAAATGGGAGCTCCATGCGCTAGCGTTGTTTTTGCTTCTCGCCTCGCGCTGTGTGAGTCAGTGGTCAAGTTGTTCTCGTCGCTTTGTGAATTTGTATCAATAGATTGTTGGTTTTCGTTGCGCTCCACCAAGCTTCCTTCCTTTCTTTCTTCCTTTCCAAACCATCTGCTTTTCTCTTCCTCAACCACAGTCAAAGTTGCTTGCAATCAGTCGTTTGTTTCAACTTTTGTAGCAACCGTGTCTGGCCCAGCAGCTGCTCCCGTCGCTCCACCACCACCAGCAGTGTCCGCTGCGGCGCCTCCTCTTCTGCAGCACCAGCAGCAGCAGCAGCAGTCGCTGTCGTCGGTGGTTGCGACGAGCGAGCGCGCCGTGCAGCACTGGCTGAGTTGGACGACCGCCGCACGCTCACCACTCTCCTCACTCTCCCGCTCAGCCAGCCAGAGCGACCTCGACGCCCTCGCCGTCTTCCTCGCGCGGCTGCACGTCTGCCTGCTCGACTGGGTGAGGCTGTCTGTGACTCGTCATTTCGACCTTTCTAAAGCCAGTCTCGCTGTGAAACAATTGGTTTTTTTTTCCCGCCAAAATATCTCAACGTTGTTCTCGTTCTCAGAATCTTGTGTCTGAGTTTTGTTGACAATGGATTTTCATTGAACGGCCTGCCTTTTGTTAAATCTATGCATTGATGATGATTCAACACATGTTGGCTTTGGACAGAAATCACCGCAAATCGCGCTCCTGCGTTTGCCGTCGTTGGGAAAGCTGCTAGCAAGCCTCACCCAGAATGCACCTGCTGCCGTGCTCGTCTCGGAAACAACCTGCGAGCTTGCGATTCGGTGAGAGCCACTTGGAAATGTGCCAATGTGCGCCATCAACTATATTGCTCACCCTTTGGTTGGTTTTTTGCTTCAGATGTTTGGTCGCGTTCGCCTTGACGACTCCCGCGACTAGCGACTTTGAGCGAGAAGCTGCCGACTGGGCTGCAGCTCGTATTCGTGCAATGATTGCACCACCAGACTTTGACCATGCATCGGTACCAGATTGGCTGTTCTCATTCATCTGAGTCTCGTCGTTTTTCTCCATTCTTTTGTTTCACGCTTGCTCGCTCACACGACAATGTCAAACCTCGTACTCTACTTGTTCAGGGCGCTGCCATTGAATTGTTGGGGTTCTCGCTCGGGGAAGCAAATCGCATGATGCGCGACTTTGAGTTGGCGACACTCGATGGCCTGCTTCGCGAGTCCTACCAGAGGTACAATGCCCTGTTTGCTGTTTGATTGAACTCTGACCAGTTGTTGTCGCGGACGAGAGGTATCTGAGCCGCAAGTGGAACCCCCTGATGCATCTTTTGTTTTTTTCTCCTCGCGCCAGATTGCTTTCGTCCAGTTCCTGCAACGCTCCGGCACCTGCAATCGGCTTCGTCCCAAGCTCAGTGATACATGCATTTCATCGAAGCTGCACAGTGGTCGATCCGCTCATTCATGTGCCCGAAGCGCTCCCGCAGTTGGAGAACTGGGTGCTCGCATCTTGCGCGTTGCTCTCGGGCCACAGCAACATTCCAGTCTTGCCGGCCGCGGCATCGAGTTCTCTGGCGGATTCCGCTTCTGTGTTGGGCAGCTCTGCTGCTCGTACAACAATATCTGCAATGCAACCCGATCTGAGCGTCTTCCAAAAGCTGCTCTTGATCCGCGGCGCAGAAATGTCCTTGCATGCCACTCGAGCGCTCTGGCGCACCTTCCCAGTCACCTTTGACTTTAGCGTGCTGGCTGTTGCGTGCCGTATTGCCGGCGACGATGTTGCAAGTCAAGGACACGGCGGCACCGAGTCACACGCTTCATCGCTGCCTGGCCTTTCTTTGGCGCCATTGTCATCCATCAGTCGCGCCATCGCATGCGCAGGCCGCGTCTGCGTCGATGAGCCGCTTCTGCACGGTCGCTTTGGTCTGTTGGTCCGCAGGTGGTTGCGTACATGCTTCCCAGAAGCTCCGTCGGAGCAGCCACCCGACTCGAGCTTGCTTCTTCCTAGCCCCTCACTATTTGCTGCGCGCCGCTTTCTTGGGGCCTTTGGAAGCGCGCTGGTCAGCCGCCTGGAGAGGACCGAGCCTGGTCTCCACACACCTCGACTCTCTGACTTCTTTGCCGCCGAGATCCAGCCGTCGTTCATTGCCAAATTGGCCGCCCTCGATGTTCCGCCGATGCCACCACTGAATCTCGGCCGCTCAGCAACAGCAGCAACGTCTGGTCGAGATGGCCTTGCTTCTTCTGCTACAACGGCTCCCATGCTGAGCTCGTTTGCCGAAGTAGTGGCTGCGGCTCGTCAGCTCGATTTTGTGACCGACGCGCTTGCCATTTCTCTCGGAGCGTCTCCCCCGACGCAGCTCGCGGAATCTGGGCGCGACGCATGGCAAGTGCAGCTGGATCTGGACCATTGGGTGGCAGTTGCGCATTTCCCCAAAGTTCGCCGGCTGGCCATCTGCTTCTTGGCGAGCCATCTTGTGCATGTGCAAGCGGGAGATTTGTCTGCACCACTTGGAGCTGCGCAGGATGCCTTTGGTTCTTTTGCAAACCCAAGCATTCCAGCATGGACCAACCCAGCTGTCGCATCACAGTCACACACGCAACTGCAAGAGTCTCTGGCCAACGTGTGTCGTTTACTGCCTTGGATTGAGCATCCTCTGTCAACTGATCAGCAAGCACAGCTTGAAAGCGACATATTTGCACTGCTGCGGTAAGTGTGCTTGGTTTTGTTTTGTTGGGTTTCTTTCACCTCCTACTCTTCCGCCTTCACACGCTTCACGCAGCCGCGTTTTTGATCTAGTTATTGTTGTACTTTGTCCTTGTTGGCTCATCCTTTGCACATGCTGCTCGCTTTTTCTTTGTGGCAAAACAGAGAGGCTGTCGCTTGGCCAACGGCATCCAGTCCTTACATTGTGGCCACTCGGTGGAAGGCCTGGCTCGACGCCTTTGTGAACGCCCCATTGCTGCTAGAGATTGCATTTGCCATCATTCTGCAGCGCAATCGACCCGATTCGCTGGTAGCTACGCTTGTTGGCAGCATGCTCTCTGCCATCGCCGGAAATCTCGACGCCACAGCCACGCGGCTCGACTTTCGCTCGTCAGTGGCTGTCGACGCTTGTCTCGAGGCCGTGGAATTCAAGGCTGCTGCATTGCAGCGCTCTCTCGAGGCGACATTTGGTCAAGCGCTCGCACTCGCAACGAGCACTGCACTCGAATGGGTGGAGTCGTTGCGATCCGCATGCGCGGAGGCTACAACTCGGCTTTCGGCGTTTAGTTTATTGTCTGAACAGCAACAAATCGTCCAGCGCGTCGAAGCCATCCAGGCGACGCTTCACAGTCTTGTGGAACGGCTGCAACACACATGCTAAAGTCGCTGCATCAACGTCAAAAGTTGCGTACGCTAGCTTCTTGGCCCTATGCCATCATGTTCGACGCAATTTGTCCAGAGACGCTACTACCTTTGTTTTTTCCTCACGCGACCGCACTTTGAGGGTGCTGTCCTCCTTGGTCGTTTGATTTATTTATTTACTGTTTCTTGCCACCCAAGTTCAGCCCACGACGTTTTCACTTTCCGCAATTCGTCCAGCGCCCCCGCCCCCTCAAACAAGAAGAGTCTCCGCTCGGTGAGACAGTGCAAGTGCCAACATCTGGACTTTGTGCACAACAACAGCAACATCAACAATCCTCAAAGTAGGAAAAGGCGGGTCCAAATTAAGAATTTGACATTCCCACTTTTTGTCGTTTTTTTTTCCCTTCGCTTTTTCGTTTTTGCGTTTTGCACTCCCGGTGTTTTTTTCCCTTCACCTTTTCGCGCACTCTCCGAGTTGTGTCTTGTGTACATGTCGACGGTCATCAATATGGCTGATGCCGCGCCACCAGTAGCAGCTCCCAGCGCCGGATTTCCACCAGTGTACGCCGCGCACGCAGACGGCGCAATCCGAGCAGGGGTGGAGTCGCAGCGGCAACATGCACTTCCTTTCACGTCCGAGTTTCCGTTTGTGAGCGGCACCCTGTACGATGCGACGCGCCGCCATGTTTCCCAGGGCGTTCAAGGCAGCACGTACACACTGGGCGATTATCACGTAAAGTGCCCCCCCCCAACACGACCATCGTTTTGCAAGTGGAATCGATGATGGAAGGGGTTGCAGTTCGACCTGGGTTTGTTTTGAATGCTTGGATTTGTTTTTTTGAGTTTTCTTTTCGAGATCGCCGTTCAGGTTCGTCTCTTCGCAGAAAAAGTCAGAAAAAAAGTGGGGCATGTGCTGGATTTTGTTCGCGTGGTGAGAAGAGTTTTCTTCTTTTCTGCTGGGCTTCAGCAAGGAACAAAAAAAAAGTCTGAAAATAGGAAAAAGGGTGGCCGGTGTGATTTTTTGCGTTGGTTCTTGGCAACCATCGTAACAGTTTGTGGATTTTTGTCAGTGAGTTGTTTTTTTCCCCACCCTTGAGAAATGCATTTGCCCCGCCTCACGCACCCCCAACCGATGAAGGCCGATGCGGATGAAGGCGAATGGGGGAGGATGGCGATTGTACTCATTTTGCACTGGCCATCGTGTGCACAAAACAGATTGACATTAATCGGGCGCCTCTTGGCTCTGGTACTTCGGGAGAAGTGCGCCTTGGCGTGCATGTTTTCACTGGACGGCAGGTAATTATGATTTTTTTTATTTTACCACTCCGACTTGAGCTCGTGTTCGGGAAAGAAGAGCAGAGTGCTGGAAAGCGACATTCAATGTGTTCACCGGGTTTCTGCGCCATCGCGTTGATTCAGCAACTCGTTGTGAACAGCCGATCTGCCGTTCGGGTTTTGAAACAGCTCAGAATGCATGACGTGCGGGGCTGAACTTACGATGGGAATGATTGGAAAGGATGACAAACAAAAAGAATAGGAACTCACAAAAAAAAAACAAAAAAAACCACTGCGCACAAATCGATGTGCAAATCGAAACGACAGAGCAAGAACAGCCACGACGCCAGCAGCATTCGGCATCTGTGCGCACGGTTGGCAACGTTGGGGGGATTTCATCGAATATGGGTTGGTTGACCAGCAGGGCAGCGGAGGTCGTGGACGAGCGGGCTTTTCTGAAAAAAAAAAAAAAAACAAACAAAAAAACCCAACAAAAACAGGAAAATCAAACAAAGAACGCCCATCGCAGATTCTGCTCCTCCCATCAAAACTGCAGTCGCCCCCGTCCACCAAAGCCTGTATGCTTCATGAAGTTGTGTTCTGCACATCATCTAACCCGTTCAAATCTGGGACTCTCCGCTTGATACTGCCTCCACGTAGGTCGCGTTGAAGTTTATCGCAAAAACTGCCAAGCCAAAGCAGCTGCTTCGAATACGCAAAGAGGCCGAGTATCTCACCGTGCTCCACCACCCTAATATTGTTGAGCTGGTCGAGTGTCTCGAGACGGAAACACACACGGTTCTCGTCATGGAATTTGTGTCAGGCGGTAAGTCAGCGTTGAATGTTTATTCTGGGAGCAACTGCTCATCAAAAATCTCACGCGCGTTCTTTATGCAACCTCTCCTCCGTCCCTATCGGACACACCGTTGTTGCAAATTGCAAATTCACATGCTACAGGAGAGCTTTTCGGCCTCATCAAGGGGCACAAAAATCAAAAGCTGCGTGAGCGCGAGACTCGACCGTACTTTCGGCAGTTGCTGGCTGCAATCCATTGCTGCCACGCTCGCGGAATTGTTCATCGTGACCTCAAGCCCGAGAATATTCTGCTGGACTCGACCAAGTAAGACGCCTGGTATTTTTTTTGAATCGTTTGGTGGCGAATCGTTCTGACTCTCTTGCTTTTTTTTTTGTTCACGCGCGTGTGCAGGACTTGCATCAAGCTGATTGACTTTGGGTATGGGAACACGGTTCTCCCAGGTCGATTGCTCGAATCGCAGTGCGGATCGCCACATTATACGGCTCCGGAGATTATATCCGGCAAGCACTACAGCGGTCCCGAAACCGACATCTGGGCACTTGGAGTGATTCTCTTTGTCACCGTCACAGGTACGACCGCATTTGAGCCGGCGATTTTTCCAGTGCAAAACTATTGCAAATACGAAACACTCAGTCGGCCTTGTTGGATATTATAATTTTTTGGCGGCTTCAGGTCGTTTTCCCTTTGGTGGACGATCCACGCACGAAGTCTACAATACAATTTTGACTCGAGAGCCCGTCTATCCTCCGCATCTGTCGCGATGTAAGACACGCAACGAACGCATTTTCGCGCGCTTGCATCTCGCTGGCGATGATTCTCATCATCCGCAACCCCCCTTCCCTTTTTTGTGCCTCGGACAACAACAGCGTGTGTAGATCTCATCTCGAAAATTCTAGTCAAAGATTCGCGAGGTCGCATTTCTCTTGCCGAAATCTCGCGACATAAATGGATCAACAAGAACTACGACTTTTACGTCGACATGTCCACCGCAGATCCCATCAACGTGCGGATTGTTCGAGAGCACGACGACGAAACTGAGCCGGCCGCGCTTCCACTGGCGCCGCATTCAACCCCAGACATTATCCCACCAAGGCATGTCGGATCGGCTCCTGCACTGGCCATGCTCAATCACCATCCACTGCCGACCACCGCGGCGATGCCCAACCAGCACGGAGTGCGACAACCACTCCCGCAGCAACAGCAACAGCAACAGCAACAGCAACACCACCAGCAACAGCTGCAATACCAGCAACAGCAACAGCAATACCAGCAAGAACACCCCACCTTTCGAGGCGCCGCTGGCGTGCACATGGCTACTGGCATGAGCGTCGCGTCCCCTCCGAGTGTGGCCGCCGTGACTGGCTCTCCCGATACAGCGCCAATGCAAATCGATCAGCACCACGCTGCGCGACAACCGGCGTCGGCAGTTCCCATCCGATTAGGCCAAGTCCCCAAGTCTTCCTCAACCCCAGCACTTCCGGTCATGGCTGCCGCAGCCATGGAAGCAGGCCGTGCCCGCGTAGTTGGCCATGTGAGTCAGCCTGTGGTTTCCGAGATTCCTCCTTTCAGCCGAAGAAACGCAGTCGTGTACGGCGCGCAAACATTGACACCCGAGGAGCAGGTCAAGCGGCAAATGACGGCAATGCATATCGCGGCCCTTCAAGGCATGGATCCATCGGGGCAACGCACCGCCAACCCGCGCGAGGACAAGAATCAGCGCGCGCAGCCGCGACTGCGAATCCCTCAGCCAGAGCCGTTCAAACCGGGCACAGCCGCCCCGAATCCTCCACCCGTGCAGCCGGCTGTATTTCCTGTGAAACTCCCTGACGGCAGTCGCCCTCCAGTCTCTCCGCTGCACGAAAAAGCCTTGCGTCGGCGCCACGAAGAATCCGTCTCAAAGCGTTCGTCCGGACTTGCTCGCCGAAGCATGTCTGAGAGCTACGACAAGCTGATGCGCTCGGCTTCGACGTGCGATATGAGTGAGGCCATCAGCGGCACTGCACCCACCCCAGCCAATGCGAGCAATGAGGCTCGGACTCGCGGTTTGCGGGGACATGGCAGCTCGCCGACGTTTGGTGGCCATGTCGTGCCCACAGTCCCCACAGTCCCCACAGTCCCCAGTCCAGGTGTCCAGACGACGGCACGCGGAAGTACAGCAGCAAAGTTGATGGACCGCTACCAGCCAGTCGGCTCTGTTGAGCACACCCCTCCGGCTGCACCAGGGATTGCGCATCGCCGCATGAGCGGCGCCACCCCAATGACAGTGCATGCGCCTGGCAACGATGTGCCCGAGGAAGTTCATTTTGCGCGACCGCATATGACGTACGACAGCGCTGCACACGATGCAGCTGCACAAGCGCGGTTTTACGAGGCGGGCGCGGCTGTGCGCGAGGATTCCCACCTTCGCGAAGATGACCAGCACGAAGAAGCCGGCCACCACGCTGCTTCACACCAGCCCATGGTGAGCGACGACAGCGAGTACGCAGATGCCTTGGACGACGAGGACGACGATCCCGACGAAACCGACGTGCACGAGAATCTGTCTTCGGACGAAACCGAGTCGATGGTGATGGCCCTGAGTCGGTCGGCAACCAGCACATCCGGCAGCGCGTGCTCCAACCCCATTGTCGCAGCAGACAATGCGCACTTTCATCAAGGGCGACATCACCACTCGACTGTCGAACACCAGCACAACCATCGTCGCTCCTCCACCTCCAAACAACCACAGGCATCTGGCGAGGCGATGGCCATGAGCACTTCTCACGACCATCGGGATCTCGGTCATTCCCCAAGCTCGTCCAAGCCAGCCTCGGGCAAGCGCTTGGTTGCCCAAAAGCTGGGCAAAGTCAAGGAGCAAGTGAGGAAAATGTTCAAGTTGTTTGGCTGAGTGTTTGCATTTTCGCACACTTTTTGCATTTTCGCACACTTTTTGCGTGCGTGGCCGTGTCTCTCCCGCTGTTGCTTTGGTCGTTGTCCGCTTCACCCAACGTTTACACGAAATAAACGAACAACAACGGCAACCCCCTTGGCTTTCGCGATTTGTTTTGTAAGAGCCAAAAAAACAAAACAAAACAAAAAAAAAAAAAAAACCCTCACCAAATCACAAAACAAAGCAGAAGTGCTCATCTTCAAACCATTGACAGCTGGGTGCATTCCAAAAGCAATATACACACCCCACACACAAACATACACGCAAAATAAACACAACGACTGTTGTAGGGGTGATTGCGACAAGACATCCACAGAACAACAGTTGTGCCGGTTACACTGGCGTACGACCCGACGGTGACAGCAGCCGACTTGCATCAGGTGTTTTGCTGCCAATAATCTCCAAGACTTTGTTGATCTGCCCAAGGGACGGCTCGGTAGAATCATCGAGCGAGTCGCCATCGGGATTCGAGTTTTGACTAATGATGAGTGAGCCAAAAACAAACAAAAAAATCAGAGTCAGTTTCGACAGCGCAACCTTCCCACAACAATCAGCAAAAATTCGGCTTACTGTGCGGCTTTATCAACAACCAGGAATGGGGCAAGTTTGGCCTTGAGATCCTTGTATTTCGCTGCCAAGTCCTTTTGGTACTCGACTTGGTCGGGCTTGATGAGCTCAGCATTCATGTTAAGTGCTTGTCCGCAATACTTGATGAACTCGCTGCATGAGAAACGTGAGGAGCAGAAAAGGTTAGTCGGATGGGACATCACAACAACTGCCCAAGCAACCCTCTGTCAACAACGCACCGGAATTGCTGCTTGAGACGACGAACGTGCTTGGTGGGCATGTCCTTCACAAGACGACCGAGGAAAACATTGGCCATTTCCAGCGGGCCACTGTTGACCGTGACGGAAACAGAGCCTTGGAGCTGCAGCTGAAGCATCTTGAGATTCGGGGGTTTTGTCTGCACAGTGTTGGCCAGCTCCATTGTCTTGGACTGAATCTCTTCGATTGCCACCTCGATCGGCGTGAGCACCACCGTTTGACTGTATCAAGCACAGGAACACGGCGGGGGGGGGGGAGACGAAACAATGAGCAACGCAAGCGCGCTGACCAAAGCAACTACAACATGCTCATTCATCCAAAGCTAGTTCATTCATACCGGTCGACAATCAACAGTCGCTTCTTCAAGTACGGGAAGAAGGCCTCGGTTGTCAGGATGGTTTTGCGCTTTCGCTGATCCTCGATCGAGCCACGCGCTTTGCCGCTCTCGGTGAAAGGAGTGTCATAGATGAACCTACCAAAGATGATGGAGTGCAGAGTGAATATAAGGCCATACGCCACCACGTTTCTCGACGAATGACACTGACCTGTTGATGTTGTTGCTGCGCTCAAAGGACGTCACGCGTTCCTTCAACTCGTACTCGGTAAAGTAGGGCTCCACGTAGGTCAGCTGAATGTACGCCTTGAGAGGATCCAGCTTTGAAACATCGACATCGACCGAGTCGGTGATGAGCTCAAAGTTTCGCTCTCCAAAGCGTTCCTTGTACACGGTCTGCAGGCGCAAGCTGATTTCAGCCAAAGGAGTGATCTTGGGCTCCTTGTAAATATACTCTTTGCCGTTCTGCTCGCCAAACTTTTCGCCGTAGAATCCCACACGGTAGTACGAGCCGAGAATGCGCTTGCCAGACTGCATAACGCCAACAATCAGCTGGAAAATGTCTTGGAGTTTTCCGTGATGTTCAGCGAGCTATTCAATCCCGCCCCCCCCCAAAGAATTCGATAAGGCACAACAAACAAACCACAAAACAACAAACAAACAAGTGGAGTGAGCGATTGTTAAATCAACAAATCTTTTAACTGTCACGGCGCACTCTGAGGCCTTACCTTCTCGAATGAGCGGTTCTTCTCCAAGATGGGCAACAGGAGTTTGTACATTTCGTTCACAGTCTCGTAATACTCGGCCTTCTTGAGGAAGGAGATGGACTTTTCGAGCAACGCCACCAGGCCTGCCTCCGAGAAGGACTTGGACTCGCAAATGCCCTCCTCGTCGGCCGACTGAGCATCTTCCGAGACGGCTGTCTCCTCGGCAATGTTTGGCGACACGCCCTGGAAGGCCGCGCATCCCGCCGGCATGCCTTTCTTGTACTCGATCATGTGCATGTACTCCGACACAAGAGCGGCAGTGTGAATGTAGCACTGCGCGGCTTCAGCCCAATTCTTCTTCTCAAAGTGGAAGTTGGCCATGTTTTCCAGCCAGGTCACACGGAGATCGGGCGAGTTGGCGTAGCCTTTCGCCAGACGGTACTGCAAATCGATCAGCATGTCGCTGTCCTTCTCGTGCATCTTCATCTTGACCGTGTCGCGCAAAATCGTGTACAAGCGAGCAGAAAGGTCCTTGACCTGCTCGGCAAAGGTCGACGCAGTCATCTCTTTATCCTGGGCGGCATACTCGCCACAGGTAGCAAGGGCGCGTTGCAAGAAGACGTCGTTGATCTTGATGCCACTGCCAACAAGGCGCGAGAGAGCGATAGTGGCTTGCACCTACATCATGCGACAAAGTAGAGGTGAGAACAATCAAGCAACAACACACGCAGAAGAGGTGCTCTCGATCAAACAAACAAACAAACAAACAAAGCAATCCTCACCTTCACGCGCGAAAAGGTATTGCTGGTGAACTGATAGTTCTTCTTCATCATCAGATAGAGGAAGGCAGTCGCCTGGGTGCGCGTTGCTGCAAACTGGGAATTGCACAGCTTGAGCACCTCGCCAACGAGCTCTGCACAGAAATCAGTCACTCCTTGGAAGAAGAGCTCGGGGAACTTGAAGAGGAAGGAGCGCAAGGAAGCAAAGATGTGCAAGTACATGGCACGATCTTGATTCGTGCGCAGGAAGGCCATGAGCAACTTGAAGACCACCTCCGAGATCTCGCTCGAGTTGTCGTCGCCTCCAGAGCCGTCCAGCGAGCTCAACACAAAGTCCTCGGCAACATCGAGCACAGTGAGACAGACCTCGCATGACAAGTTGCCCTCGACACGAGCATCCTACCAAAAATAATCGAGCAAAAAACCAAAAACCATCCGTCAGCACATTCATCAAGCAAGACGAAAACCGCAACCCCCCAGCTGCAAATGCGCCATCAAACAAAAACAGCAAAAAAAAACCCGATCACGCACTCGTTCGACATCGCGGGCAAGCTTGTAATCGGAGGCAATCCGCTTGGACTGCATTGACTGCCCGAAACGACGCAGCGAGTTGTCGCGTTGGGGACCGGGGCTCAGTGTTGGGTTGTCGATCTGTGGGCGGCTTCGGACACTGCGTTGTTGCACCGAACGCGACGAAAGAGACGAGTAGGTCTCTTCGAGCATACGTTTGGCGTCCGAGGCACCAACGGTCGTCGGGGTGCTGCTCGCACGAAGCCCAAGACGACGCTTGCCAACGTACTCAAACACGCAAACAGACTTTTCAAGCACTTCAAAGAACGAGAGGATGCGATTCGGGAAGTCTTTGTTGCACTTCCACCAGAAGCGGACCAACTCAGGATTCGCATCGCGCAGGATGTGCAAGAAGCACACCAAGAGATCACGCGTCTCCTCAAAGTCGAGCACGTCGCTCGGGACTGCAGCCGACCCAGCCGCAACGCCAAACGTTCCGCCAGTGACCACCGACATGGTTGCATTGTTTGTTCCACGGATGGTACCGCCGTCCTTCAACTCCTTGGCTTGGGCCTCCGTCAAGGTGCGAACCGTCGCAGTGCCATCGGCGACACCTTCGCGATCCACAATGTTGTCGGACGTGGCTAGGCGCTTGACGTTCTCGAGAACGATATGAATGAGCGGGAAGTGCAAAGCCGCGATACGGGCACGGCACTCGGCATCGGCATACCGTTCGTCTGAGTCCAGCTTGGCCAACAGGTCTCGCACAGTGGTGATTGCGCGCTTTCGGAGCGTCTTTTCCGTGTGCTCGAGCATGAGGGACAACTCGTTGAGCAGAATGCCGCTCAGAATATGACGCTCGCGGTACTCTTCCGTGAGCATCAGCATGCGCTCGTTGTACGCCTTGGGCATGAGCGGCAAGTTGAGCGCAACATAATGCTCATAGTTGCACAGGATGCGGATAAACTCGAGCTTGAACTCGAGCAGCACCTCGGCATCGTTCGGAGCAGTCTCATTCAAGTGACGCTGCACAAGCGACAGGATGAAGCCACGGTCGTAGAAGGCAAGGGCATCGCGCAAAAAGTAGGCAACAGACTGGTTGAGGCGCTTGCCAATCGTGTGACCCGACTTGGAGCGCTTTTGAATCTCGAATGTGAGCAGCTCCAGCAATGCGCGAATGTTATTCGACAGAGCTGCGGGCAGTCGGTCTGCGCGTGGCTTGCTCAGCGCCTTTTGCGACGCAAGGAACTGCACCATGCTCTTGACGACAACGTCAAAGAAGAACCACGCATGCTCAAAGAAGAACCACGCATGCTTGAGCAGGTCCGTCATGCTGGGCTCGTTCTCCTTGATGAATGTAATCCAGAGGCGAATGATCTCGTCAAAGACGTACTGTGCGTGCGTCGGGGGTGGTGAGCAAACATTTTTTTTTTTTTTTTTTTTTTTGCAAAAAGCACAGCCGAGTAGAACCTTCTTCAACTCTCTCCCTCGAACAAGACATACCTTTTTGGTGTTGGTGGGATTCTCAAACATAAACTGCACAAACGAGTGCAGGGTGGGGTTGCGAGTGAGACCAACCGCGTCCTTGTGGCTCACATTGACAATATGCACCAGGGCGCGGAAAGTTTCTCTGCACGAAAAGCCAAGCCACACACAACAAAAAGGTTTCATCATTTTAGCACCATGAAACATCCTGGTCAAGCCCCATCCCATACCTGCCGCTCACGGCAAGCGCTTACCGGGAGAGATTTTCGGACGCGGTCGGCCGAACAAGAATGGAAAACAGCTGCGTGAGAAGAACAGAGGTGAACTGCACGACATCGGCATCGGTCGCCTTGAGGAGCTGCTTGACGCTTGTCAACACGGCCTCATCAGCGACAGCGGGCTGACGCGACAGGGCCAAGAAGCTATGGAGCTCGTTGGATTGGGTCGAAACGGTCGAGACGAGGCGCGTGGACAGCTTGAACAGGGTGCGCTTGCCATCGACCCACTTGATGTCGGGCGAATCGGCGAGGTAGTTTGGAGCAAGCGTCGCGGCAACGGGTATGATTGACTCGACACAGACGTTGATGCGGCCGTCGAGGCGCAGCAGGGGCAAGAACGCCTGGCCGACCAACGTGTCGACCGGCTCGACCGTGCCTGGCTTTTTCGGCGGCTGGCAGCTGACGTGGTAGAACGAGAACAGGAGGTGGTGGTGTTCGGTCAGCTTTGTTGGAAGGGAAACCTTGATTTCCTCATACCAATCAGGCGACTTGTTGTGGTAGGTGACGGCCGTGGTTGAGCTCGTCACCAGGGCAGGGCCGGGCGGCTTGCCATAGATGCACTTGAGCGGCGTCGCTGTCATCGAATCGGACGCATACAGCTCGACTTTGCAAGCAAGGTTGCGCGCCTTGACGGTGGCGCCTCGGTTGTTAAAGTTGAGTGACGACGGGTAGACGTAGAGGTGGTGCGTGTACGTGGCGTTGGCGACCAGTGCAGGATGCACGGGGAACTCTTCAACCTCTCGGATGAGCTCGGCGGCGTTCAGCTTGAACATTGGCGCGACGGCAATGAGCGACGTGGTCAGAACGGACGGCGGCAGGTCATCCACGGTGGCTGCGGTGAAGATGATGCTGCCAGGGATGGCCTTGAGCTTCTTTTGAACGGTTCCCTTGCGGAACTCGACCAGGTAGCGGAAGAGATCGTCCTCGGAGAGCTTGTCGCCTTCTTGGCGGAAGAGGAGGCGAATGGCCAGGTCCTCGGCAGCGTCCAGCTCGCCCTTGGAGTTGAACAGCGGCGTTGCCGACCACGCCCAGGGCATGCGGTAGGCGCCGAGGCGCTTGGCATCGTCCTGCACGCTTTGTTTGGCTTTCAGCGTGTTCTTGTCACTGATGGTAATGTAGGGCTCGCTGGTCTCGTTGATGTCGCCCTGCAGAATCTTTTCGATTCGGACGACAAGGTAAATGTCCTGGTGCGGCGCAGTCACCGAGAACAGGGCCTTGCGCGCCTCCGCCGTGGGTTCACGCGGACCGGCAAAGGCAGGGACGAGCGACTTGACCTCGTCCTTGCTCAGTTCAAAGTGGAAGGTTTCGGAAATCTTGCGGCGCTCCTGTGCATCGTACAGCGCAATGGAAACAAAGAACGGCTCAATATCCTCCAGCTTGAAGGAGAGCTCCTTGGGGGTGACGACGAAGCGCGTGCCAAAGCGCTCGTAGAAGGGCTCGGCCTCTGGGCGATCGCCGCTGTAACGCGAGCGCTCGAGTTGGGGATCCAGCTCTTGCTGGACGACAAACAGTCGGTTGCGGTCCAGCTGGCGAGCGCGCGTGTTTTGCTTGTCCGTTTCGCCGACCGTGTACTTGAGCAGCTCGGGCTGCGTGCCGTCTGACTCGAGCCGAGCAAACTCTGCGCGAATAATGTCAGCCGAGTTGTTGACCTTGCTGTTGCGATCACCTGGCCTGGGCGAGCTGTTGGAAACGGCGGGCGAGGAGGAGCGTCCTGCACGAAGGATGGCGTCCATGTCGTCCGTCAGCGAGAGCGTTGGCGTCGACGCGCCACTGTTGCCGGATGTCGCAGGTCCAGTGCTGCTGGGTGCCGATGAGATCTTGTCGCGCTCGTCCACCTCGAACGTGCGCTCGGCCAGCACCACACTACCCTCGTCCGCTCGCTCGGTGCGGCGCGAGTTGAAGGCGTTCTGGAAGTTGACAACATTCCAGTCTGACACGTACGAGTTGACGCACGCCACCAGCACCGGGTCGGCGGCCTTCTCGTCGTAGCCAGCAGGCACGGGCGAGTGCACGGTGCGGAACTCGCGCGGGCGTGTTTCGACGACAATGTCGTCGCTGGGAACGACCAGGATGGACTTGAGCTTGTCAGCGTCCACCTCCTTTTGTCGTTGCGCCAAAATCCCTTCAAAGTTCACCTCGACGAGGCTCGAGGAGGTGGTCGAGCTCGCTGCAAGCGGGTTTGTGCTGAACGCAGACGCGGTGGTGCTCGCCGCAACGGACGACGGCGTGGATCCGCTCGACATGATGGAACCCGATGTTGACGAGCGGTCATCGGATGCCGGCGCAGGGCTAGCGGCGGTCTGTCAAAGGGGTAAGATTTTTTTTTTTGGTCAGTGCTTTCAATGTCGACGGACGGCAGAATGTTACAAAACAAAAAACCAAGATGCATCGATTGCCAATCTCCCTCATTCCATCCCTCCCTCCTTTGCGTAAGCGTCAGCGGCTCCGCTGGGTGTCCAAAGACGATGGACGTACCTTTTGCATCATGACGGATTGGCGTTGCGATTCCGAGATGGAAGAGACCTCGCTCCGCACCTCGCCTGGCGTCATGTTCCTGCACACACACATGCACACACATCCATACATACATGGCCAGCACAAGTGAGAAAATGACAGCGATGCTAAACGGGGGCAGTTGCTCCGAATCCAAGACAACAAGAAAGTGTGGTTTTCTATTTTTTAGTGATATTCGCGTGTACTCGCACGATTTCCGGTCGTGTGCAGAGTTTTGCACTTCTCATCAACGCTTCCTTCAACATTCGATCTTGGTCAGAAAGCACAGGGGGGAGGGGACACGGATGTCTGTCGCCAAGAAGCGAGCAGCTCAAGGAAAGGAAAAAAAAAAAAAAAAGCAAGAATGTTCGAGTTTAGGCGAAGCCTTGTTGTTTTGCGGTCGAAGCATTGAAGGTCGGCTGCACTGGCTCGCGAGACCCGCGCGGCCAACTTGAATGCACACAATCGCGCTCAGTCCCACGGGAAGGATCCCTCCGACTGGCACACTGCCTGCGTCCGATCAGGCAGAAAAACAAGGGGGGGGGGAAAACCAGAAAATTTGACCTTTTTTTTTTTTTTTTTTTTTGGAGGGTTCGCTTTCTGATCAAAGGGTTGAGAGGGAATGGCAGGACGGCCTCCGCCCCGGTGGCAGAGACAAGAGCACCGTCAAGAAGCGAATCCACTTGGCAACGGATGCATCGGTGCGACAAAACGCGCCGCGGCACTCCGTTCGGAAAGAAGCAGAGGGCGCTTTGGGTGTATGAGTTGAAAAAAAAAAAGAAAAAAAAAAAAAGACCGCAAACACTCGACGTTGCATTCAAAAAAAAAAAAAAAAATAACAAAGCACGTAATGCCAATTCCATTGAACAAAAGAAAAAAAAAAGAAAAAAAAATAACAAGGAAAAGAAAAATCCATTCCTTCCAATTGACTTGCTCAACGGGGTGGAGAGGAAAGACGCATGGCAGTAAAAGTCGATGGATACAAATCACGCACTTGTTGATGCGCTTGGCGAAAGCGCGCACGTCCGACATGATGCAGGAGGGAGGAAAAGCCAAGCAAAGGAAAAAAAAAAAAAGAAAAAAAAATAAGAAAAAAGAAATGGAAAAAGAAACTGGACTGGAATCTGAATGGAAAGCGAGTTGAGCATTGTGTTTTGCTTGGGTTTGATTGAGTTGGTTGGTTGGGGTGTGCTTTACTTTACAATTGAGACCACTCATCGAGAGGGAGATGGCGTGTCGCAAGCGTTCGAGACAGAATTGGACTCGAGTTTGGCACGAAACTAGAAGCACTCACTTTGCACTCAACCCCAAATCAACAACCAACTGTAGGGTATGCAGAATCTATGTACCAAGCTGCTCGTGAAAGCGTTAAGCATGCACGAAAACACCAAAAGGCCACCCCGCTGCAACTCACAATGAAAAAACCCAAAAATAAAAAGCACATCAATACTTTGTGATTGTTTACAAAAAGAGTCAAAACCAAGCAAAGCATCGGAGCGGACAAGATAGAGGAGCATCTAATCTACCGTTTGCCCGCCTCATGACATGTGGAGAGGGACGGGGGACCAACAACAACAACACGCAAAAACGGTGCTGCTTAACGAAGGCGGCGAGCCTCGCGCTCAGACTCCATAAGGGTCAGGATGTCGTTCTCGCGAACGGGGCCCTTGACGTTGCGGATGATTGAGCGGCTGGGGTCGTTGAGGAACTCAACGCGGACCTGTAAAGTGAGAGCGACAAGAAGGAGCGAGGCCAGTAAGTAAAAGGGCAATTCGATACAAGCCAACAATCTAATCCATTCGCATCAAAGACGCCTCGAAGCATGTCAGAGTAGGTGGGAAGATGGAAAAAGGTGGACGAGGGACGCAGGGCACAGAGACGAGGTCACAAAGCCGTACACAAGCGCAAAGCAACAGAAAGGGGAGAAAACCAAACATCCAGCCAGATCTAGCCCGAAACTTCAGCTGCGAGCGTTGCGCACGCACAGCAGGGAGAAATACCAGAGCCAGCAAACCCAAAGCCACATGCATTGGAAGGAAAGCAAAAAATAAAAAATAAAATAAAATAAAATAATAAAAAAAAAAAGACCAAAAAAAAAGTTGTAAAGCCGTCCATCGAGCAAACCTGTTCCCGCGCTCTCAAAACCCAGCAAAACTGACACGCCCGACCACCGGAAAAAGATACCAGCGGGAGAGAGCCGATACGCTGGGCTCAGGGCTCAGACGACGACGAGAGCCAAAAACCAAGCGCAAAGAGCGACCACGTTTTTTTTTTTTTTTTTTTTTGCTCTTCAAAACCGTTCTCCATCTGCTGCAGCTCCTGTTCTCCCGGCGACAGCGCCGCCACACCAAAAACACGATGGGGAACTTGCCTGGGTGGCCTGACCCTGGGAGCCAGTGCGACCGAGCACCTTGGTGACGCGGGCGAGGACGATCTGTTGGGTGGCGCCAGCGGCGGCGACGGCCTCGGGGCCGGGGGCGGCGGCATCAGCGGTGGCCTTGGTTGCCTTGGACGACATTGTGTCTGGCAAGAGGCAGGGCGCAGCCAAGGTGAGTGATGGATGAAGAGGGGGGGGGTTTGGGCCAGCAGGGAAAGGTTTGGAACAAAAAAGCGAGGAAAAAAAAAAAAGAAAAAAAATCCAAGATCTTTTTTTTTTTTTTTTTTTTCGTTGCTGCTCGCTCTGCATTGCCGTTTGAAGGCGAGACCTGCCCTGCTCACAGACGACGCACTCTGGCGTGCTCTCCACGTAGGAGCAAACCGCCGGGCTGCAGCACAGACGCATTCAAAAGCAAAACGCCTGAAACGAAAACGAAAAAGAAAACGAAAAAGAAAAAAAAATCACTTCAATGCCTTTTGGCTTACAATAAAAAGAGGAGAGAAAGAACAAAAACCGCGTGGCTCGAATAAAAAAAAAAAAAAAAAAAAGCCAAAAAAAAAAAAAAAGGGCTTTTGCGTAGAAAAATTCAATGGCAATTGGGGATGACGTTCAATGGACTCGGCGAATCGAGCAAACGCGGGTACTTGCACTGCAAACAAGAAGAATGGCGCACACTTAAATACGGAATGGGCGAACATCAGTGGGGCTGGCTGGCGTTCGAGATGCCTGCGCAGCGTTTATCTTGTCGGCGTCTCTTTCTTCAGTGTTTTTGATGATTCATCCAAGGAACATCCTCAACAGCAAACCCTTTTGTAACCTTTCATCCTTGATAAATCTCAAGAGCACACTCTCTTTTCAGCTTCCTCTTTCGTTTTCGTTGCGGGTGGATTTTTGATTTTTCCAGCGAGACTGCATTGGTAGAGTTTTTCCAGCCTTGGCAACATCCACATTGCCCTGTTTGACCGTCCCCCTTCGTCGCTGTCCCGCCTCGACTGTGACCACCCACCCCCCGTTCTATTCACCTCTTCGTTGCGTGCCTTGCCCTTTCTTCGACCGCCTTCCTTCAACCGCGTCCTCGTCCGGCAGCCGCTTCCGTTGATTCATCCACCATTTTTTTATGTTTTTTTTTTTTTTCAATTTCGTTTTGTATGGGTTTTGCATTAGAGAACGACTTTTTTTTTTTTTTTTTTTTTTCGGTGGCTTTTTTTTTTTTTTTTTTCCAATTCAATGCTGAGATCTCGTTGCTGCGTGCGTTTGCGTCGCGGCAGCCACCTGCTCGCTTTGGCCTCCATTGCCTCACACTCGTCCCTCGGCGTCTCACGGGCCCCTCCTCGTCCGCCTTCCTTCCTTCTCCACTCGTCTCGGCACTCCATTTTGTGGCTCACCAAAAAACGATATTCTTTCCTTTGTTTTATTTTATATTTTATTTTTTTTTCTACTTTTCCTTCTTCCTTCTCCTTCACACAACAGGCTTGCCTCCACCACCACCGCCAGGAACAACCTCAAATCTCTTACAGCTCACATCCACACAGACCAAATGGCCGCCATTCCGCAAGGGTTTGGCGACTTTTCGTCGAGCGACAGCGACCTGAATGGAGGTTACAGCGACCTCAATTCATACTCGTCCCACTACGCCGGGACGCTTGGCGACGACTCGGACGCGAGCGGCGAGATGGAGGACTCGATGCCCACCATGGAGGAAATGTCCATCGACGACTCGCTCACGCCCGTCGAGCGGATGCTCAAGTACGCGCGCAGCGACCTGGTGCTGCACCGATTGTTTGTGGCCAAAGACATTGTCGACACGCTGCGCTCCAGCCTGCAGGACTCCAACATGGACAGCATTCTGCAAGTTGTCGGCGACCTGATGGCCGACCCCGAGCCGCTCATCCGCCAGGCGATTCTCCAGCAGGCCGCCCCGCTCGCCAAGGTCGCCTTTGCCCACCCGCAGCTGCCCAACCCTCGCGCTGCCGTTGTCGAGTTGCTCCGATTATCAAGCGCCTTGCTGCCCGACTCGATCGAGTCGGTTCGTCAGGTTGCGCAGACGGCCTTTTTGAGCATCCTCGAGCTCGGAGCCCTGCTGCCGTCCGACATTGAGACGCTCGTGTGCCCCGTCCTGCTGCGTTTGGCCACCGACGATCTCGAGGACGAAAACCGCATGAACGCCATCACGCTGATGAGCAAGAGCACGCCGTTTGTGAGCCGTTCTGTTGTGGAGCGGTACGAATTCGATTTTTTTGTTTGTTCCTTCCCCTCCCCCATCGTCTTTTGTGGATGTTTCTTTTGAAATATTTCTTTGCGCTGACTCACATCCTGTTAACTCTCTTCCTCTCTCCCCCTCTCTCTATTCCGCTTTGTGTCTTGACCAGCATCTTTTTGCCCCAAATTTGCATTCTGTCCGAGGACGCCATGTTCCGCGTCCGAAAATCCTGCGCTTGCGCCATCGGCCCGATCTCCTTGGCCATCGGCACCAAGCTCACTGTTGACCGCTTGTTGCCAAAGTACATCCGCATGTGCTCGGACAAGATTTGGGGTGTGCGGAAAGGCTGCGCCGAAAGCCTGCCGGATATCGCTCAAGTGGCAACGCCCGAGATTCGCGAGACTGCTCTGGTTGGCATCCTCGAGTCGTTTGCCACTGACGTGTCGCGCTGGGTGCGCAGCTCGGCCTTCCAGTTCTTGGGCCCGTTCATTGCCACCTTTGCCAACACTGCCGAATGCGTCGAGTATCCCGTCCCGCCGCCCGAACTCCGGGAACAGCATGGTCTCGACGCACCGTCGACTGATGAGTCCTCCGAGGCGGAAGTGAACGCGACCGCAATGACCCTCGGCGGAGTCACCATCGACGAGAGCGCTGACGACGCAGCTTCTTCATCGCGCACCACCGAGGACGAAACCCCCGCATCTCCCCCGCCAGTCGTTGCCAGTCCCACTGCCGCTTCCGTTTTCACCATCGCGTCTCCTGCAAAGCCCGTCTCCGAAATGAACAAGGTCGAGGACTTTAATGCGTTTAATTTCTGGCGGGCACCCATCCCTGCGTTCGAGATTGACGCTGCCTTGCTCTCTCCTGCCAAACCCTCTCCTGCCAAGTCTGCCGCAGCACCCGCACCCGCACCTGCAGCACCCGCCACCACAGCGCCCGCTACTGCCGCACCCATCGCCACCACCACGCCAGCTTCAACGGCCTCGCCCGCGCCAGCTGTTTCTGCGACACCCGTCCCCGCCAAAGAGGTATGCGCCGCTCGTTTCGACAATAGGGGGGCACGTGCTTTTTCCTCCCTAGAAGGCACCGACCCTGCTTTCATGTGCTCACACTGTTCTGACATGATTTTGTTTCTGCATTGTTAGGTGGAGCTGCCGTACAAGCTTCTAGAATTTTACATCCAAATGGCCGAGCCCAGCAGCACTCGAAGCATCGACAACGACATTGGCTTCCATTGCGCGTACAGCTTGCCCGCAGTGGTGCTTATTTTGGGTGCCTCCAAGTGGCGCCTCGTCCGCGACACCTTCTTGACGTTGTCGCGCGATTTGCAGTGGAAGGTCCGACGGTCTCTTGCGCATTCTCTGCACGAGCTGGCTGCCATCATTGGCCCCGAGCTGACCGAGACGGATTTGCGACCCGTTTTCGACGTCTTCCTGAAGGACCTCGACGAGGTGCGTGTCGGCGTCGTGAAGCACTTTGCCGACTTTTTGACCCACCTTGCGCCAGAAGCGCGCGCCCAGTACCTGAGCATGCTCGAAGAGCTCAAAAAGACGGAGAACACGCAAAACTGGCGCTTCCGTCGCCTGCTCGCCAAGCAGCTTGACAAGCTCTCGCAGCTCTTCTCTGCACACGAAGTCAAGAAGCACATCAGCCCTGTCACCCTGGCTCTGGCGGCGGACGACGTTGCCTCCGTCCGTGGTGTGGCCCACCGCTCGCTCGCCTTCATGGTCAACCGCCTCTTGCAAGAAGGCGCCACATCTAGCACCACTGGTTCGATTGCGGCCTTGGCGTCCGATCTTTCCAACCACGTTATCGAACAGTTTGCCTGCGGCCCAAGCTTTGTTAGCCGCATGAAGTGAGTGTTCGAGAGGCCGGGAGGGGAGGGTGGCGCGCGGAAGGTGGTGCAAGATGGATTTGTCTTGATTGCGTGGTGCTGATTTTTCTGCGTGTGCGTATGTGTGTTTTCGCATCTAGTTATGTGCAAATTTGCCAGCATTTTGTCGAAGTGGTTGCTCCCGAAGCCTTCACCACTCGCTTTTTGCCAAGTTTGCTCTCCCTTGCCAACGATCGCGTTGCGAACGTGCGCCTGTCGCTCGCGCGCCTGATCACCCAAACATTGCTTGTTCGAGGTGAGTTTGTTCGGAGCATTGCTCAGTCAAGGTTTTGCGGAATGCTCACTGTGTCTTTTTTTTTTTTTTTTAATTTTCTTTGTGTTTTTCTCGCCAGACTATTTTGTGGCACTATCCACTTCCGACGCAGTCTTCCAAAGCACGCTTCAGCAACTACGGACGGATCGGGACCGCGATGTTGCCTACTATGCCAACCTCGCGCCCGGCTCTGACTCGACCAATCCCCTTGTTCTGGAGATTCAGGCCGAAGAAGGTGAGTCGCTTTTCTGGCTGTTTGCTGTTCGTCGTGGATGGTTTTGACTCACTTGCTCTTTTTTTATGGGATTAGCTGATGATTTGCTAGATGGCGTGGCATAATCACAATTCGTCTTGTATTGTTGTCGCCCTGCATGCATCTTGGTTTGTTTTGATGTTCGTTGTTTTTATGTCATTCCCCCTCCCCTTTCTTGTTAGGCTTTATTTTGTTCCTGCCTCTTTCCTATCTACCCCTTCTTTTCATCTCATTTGCTGCTTTTTTTTTTTTTTTTAAAATCGGTTAATTCCCTCCCCTCTCTGCGCCCGGGCGCTTGCGATGTACATGAAAGCGTGTGCCTCGCAGATAACTCTTCCTGTTGGTACTGTATGGCTTGATCATGTTTTGATTTTCAGTACACTGTGTTCCAAATCCACCCGTTTGACAATGCTTTAGCTTGAATCACAGTGCAAACAAGCAGTTCACTTTCAATACACATAACTTGCATGGACAGGCAATCACTGCCACCCAAAACAACGACACGAAGATGACCATGTGCCCGACGAATCACCAAAAAACGTGATTGACACGCTCAGAACAGTGCGAAAACGAGCATGCTGGAGAGACAGAGAAGGACAAGACTCAAACCTGGAACCAGCGTTGTCACACCGTTGCCCTTCACTTTGCCATCGTTGACAACCTCGAGCTGTTGACTGGGGACTCCAGCGCCCGCGCTGTTGAGGCCGCGCACGTAATACGTGTACGTGCTGTAATTGTGCGCTGACTCGTCCACGTAGGACATGCCTGTGACTGTCCATGTGACGGTTGTGGTGGCGTTGAAGCGCGTCAGTTCGTAGCTTGTCGGGGGAGCAATGGCGCTGACAGAGGACAAGGAGTTGATCGGTGGCGTCCAGTACAGCTTGAGCGCCGTCATGTCGCTCTTGTCGATGGTCAGGTAGTTGCCAGACGCAACGAGATTCGTCAGGCCCTCAACCGTGTGCTGACGCAAGTACCGATCAATCGAGCAACGCATGCGGCTCATTTGCAGCTTTGAGAACTGCGTCATGCAGTAGAATTGGCTGTAGCCCATAATGTTGCGGTTTGGCGGGTTGACAAAGCTGGAGCCGTCGCACATGGCGTTTCCATAGCCGTAGTTGGTGCAGGATGTGGTGTAAAAGCTCAGCTGGTTGGAGATGGGGTTGGTGTCAGAGATGCTAGAAGCAAAAGGCAGACGAGTAGAAGAAGATGTGGAAAAAGTGAGCGACGCCCAATTCAGCGACTAATGAATCACCTGTGATCCAACCGTTTCATCAAGAAAACATACAAATCACCAGTATAGGCCTGACCAACCCGAGGAGAGCACGTCTGGCAGTCTCGGGTTGTGAAATCATCGTTGCCCGCGTTTTGGAAGGTGTGGAACAGTGTCAGGGTATGCCCAATCTGTGTTACAACAGACAGCAAGAAAGGCAGGAAAACGTTAGCCTTCGTGTCTGGCATTCTGAAAGGACGTTTGCCTTGAAAAAAAAAATCAACGGAGCACTGACCTCATGCGCCAAAGTGGTACCGTTTTGACCAGACATGCCGCCAGCAATACCGGCAGGATACAGAAAGTCGTATCGAATCAAAATAAAGCTGGGTGCATCCCAGTCAACAACGCTGGCAATTTGCTCGTGCGGTGGGTAACCAAGTCCCACGATATTCCCGGCCATTGGAATGACACACACATGAATGTAATTCGGGTCCGTGCCATCCCAAGCCGGAACATTCAGGTCATTCCTGCTCATTCATTCATCAAAAACAGATGCACAAGGATGATGGCGCAAAAGATTCAAGGGTGAACAGTGAGCTTCTACCAACTGCGTGCGACAAACCGGAGCAGTGCTCAAAAACGAGCAACATCTTACATCACGGAATAGTCAGGGTCGGCCGCATTGAAAGGGGTGTTGGTCCACTTGGTTTTCAGAGCGGTGCTGTGGATGGGCGCATACGAGAACGAGAAGCGGATTTTGGAATCTCCCGCAGGACTATGTTGATAGTACTCGGCGAGCTTTTCGAGAAGAACGGCGGATTGACTCGAGTCCATTTGCGGATTGGCACCGCTGGTGTCTGCAAAGTAGTGGAATTTGATCTTGATGGTCGCGGTTGGCCAATCCGAGTCCAAATCCGAGTAGAGGTTTGTAATCTCGCTGAGGAAGCACTCGTTGTTCACAAAGCCAAAGAAATCCGCTCCTTCCTCCTGCAGGCACGTCGGGACTGTGGGTGAAAACACGGGAGTGCGGTATTCCGGGTATGGCAGGGCTCGGCGGGACAAAAACCCGTCCTCTGAGCGCCTGTTGGCGTCTTGGAAGGCCTTTCCTCGGAAAAGTTCTTTGGCAAAACAAAAACAAGCACCAAAACCAGCGCAGAGTAAGTTTGAAACCTCAACGACAGGTTGAGAGATGGGTGAATGTTGGTATCAGCCTTTTGCCGGATGCCCCATTACTCGTATCTTCGTGGAACGATCTCTGATCATCACACTCAATGCACCACAATTGTAACTTTGGATCAATGTTACGATTTTACGAAACTGCGAACATGATTTGCGCACTTTGTTTTCTGGGAACTGTACTGTTGTTGCCTGCCCTCAACGGAGCAAGCAAGCAAGCAATTCGAATTCCAGGACACTGCAATAGTGATTATGAATTCGCTGACTCTTCATGTCCATCAGTGCCACAAAATCGTCCTCCTATTCACTGTTTCATGCACAAAGCTTGTGAAGTGGGACTTTGTTCGATCATCGCGGTTTTTTTTTTCCCCATTTTTTTTTTTTTCCCATGAGCGGTTTGGCATTGGACGAGGCTTTTTGGTGCGTTGTGCGCTTACTGGCTGCTTCGTCCAGGCCGCACGCATGCTGGTTGAGCATGGGGCCAGCTTGCTCGACGAAGGGCTCCTGCGCAACGGCATCCGCTGGGCCAGCGACGCGGCGGAGGAAGGCCGACTTGACCGCGGCCAACATTGGGTCACCGCTTCCCTCTGCTTTGGTAGCGACGCCCTTCGCGCGCTGCACTTGCTGAGGGAGCTGCAGTGCGATAACACTGTCCATCGGCGTCATGGCCACCAACAGCGCCAGCACTGCGACCGCCACAACCTTCGCACTTGGCTGCATGTCAAACGAATCAGAATCAGACTGAGCTGTACCAGAAAGTCTCAGAATGATGATGTACATTGTGTGAGAGAGTAACAGAAAAGTATTGCACTTAGCAAGCTGGAGCTGAAAGATTGATGAGGTGTGCTCGCTGAAAGGCTCTCAGTTTTTTGTTTTTTCAGGTAAAAAAAGATGTATTGAAAGGATGATTCTCCGCATCTCGGATCTATGCAAGAAGCAACTGGTACAACCTGTTCAGGAAAAATGAATTGAATGAGTTTGGGGGGGGGGGAAAGGCAGTGAAGAACGAGGAGAAAAGAACGTGCTGAGCCCTGATCATATCTTCAATTTGCCATCAAGGATCCAATGTAGCAAGGAGGCGTCCAAAAGACGGACGCTCATCGGCATCGTCATCAAGACACTCGAGCGCGAGGGTGACAATCTCGGTGATGCTCTGCTGCTCTGCCTCGGTTGGTTTGAGCGCCGAGTCCAGCATCTCAACGAATTTCTGCGTTTTTACAGCCTTTCGCGTATCAAGCTTCAGACGGCTGGTAGGCTTGAGGGCAGTTAACAGCTCCAGTAGAATCATGCCAAAAGCATAAACGTCCGTTTTGACCGTCATTCTGCCATCGATAAGGAACTCGGGGCACATGTAAACAGCAGTGCCTTGAACGGTCTGTGTACGAAGGTAGCTCTTCTCATCGAGGTGTTGGGCAGCGCGGACGAGACCAAAATCCGAAACTTTTGCGTTGAAATGCTCATCCAAAAGCACATTGTCCGTCTTGAGATCGAGATGGAACAGTGCATGGTCAGGGAAGGCTGTCTGGACGTAGTGCATGCCGCGGGCGACATCAGCGGCAATGCCATGGCGCTGAGACCAGGTCAGCGGAGGCGTGTTGCTCTTGCGATCCAAGCGATCACGAACCGATCCGTTTGGCATGAACTCGTACACCAGGCATCGCTCGTCGCCTTCCTCTGCATAAGACAGAATGGCAATAATGTTTGCGTGACGGAATTTCGACAAGGAGTCCAGTTCCGACTTGAATTCGACCGAGCCCTGCTTGGATTCGGCGGACAGCTTTTTTATGGCAACGCGAGGGCCAGGCAAACTAGCGCCATACACGCGACCAAATGCTCCTTCGCCGAGCAGAGAATCATCAGCAAAATTGTTCGTGGCGGAGACGAGAGTTGCGAGAGGCACTTGTGGGACGGGTCCGTCAAAGTTCGATGCGGATCCATCAGTAGGTTGATTGTGCTCAAGCACGTCGATCCGATCAAGGGCTGACTTCAGCTCAAGATCTTTGGCTGTAAGCTCCTGGTCCTTGGCAGCGAGATTTGAACGAAGTTGTTGCAGCTCCTGGTTTTTCGTGGCCAACTTGCCGCGCAGTTGCAGATTCTCAATTGCTGCGCTTGCTGCGGCACGAGCTGCAATTTGAAAGTTGGCAGGGGACGGAACACGCTGATTGTCAAGGCTATCACAGCCGCCACCCAATTCGCAAAGCAGATGAGTCGCTTGTTGTTCATACAAGAATCCAATAAACAAGCAGTCTTACCTAGAGTTACAAATGGTATTGCCCGTTTGCTTGAGTGCATTTATTCCAGTGTTGGTAAGGAAATTATTGTGCAAACTGTTCACGTCAGATACATCGTCATATTGGAGCCTGAGTCTAACGGCTGTCAGAGCATCGTGAAGCGATCAATATTTACTCAAGCCTTGTCAGCGTCTTGTTCACTTTGAGTGCCGCAGCGATCGCTTGCGCTCCCGCATCGCCAATCTGACTCTGGCGCAGACTGTCCATCCCCTTCATCAGTGAGTACAGTGAATACCCAGCTTCCATGCATCGTGAAGCGATCGATATTTACTCAAGCCTTGTCAGCGTCTTGTTCACTTTGAGTGCCTCAGCGATCGCTTGCGCTCCCGCATCGCCAATCTGATTCTTGCTCAGACTGTCCGTCCCCTCCACCAGTGAGCAAGCTGAATTCTCTCTCTGCGGGATCACCCAATCGCATGCAACAGTCAAAGTCCGATGCGTTACTGGAGCTCCTTTAGAGGCTTGTTCACTTTGAGTGCTTCAGCAATCGCTGTCGCTCCAGTATCGCCAATCTGATTCGCCCACAGACTGTCCATCCCCTCCATCGGTGAGCACTGAATGCCCTCGGCTGGATCACTCTCTCACGTGCATCAGTCAAAGTGAGATGCTTTACTAGACCCAGGTCAGCGTTGCGTTCACTTTGAGTGCTGCAGCAATCGCCTGTGCTCCAGCAGCGCCAATCTGATTGTTGTGCAGACTGTCCATCCCCTTCATCGGTGAGCCACTCTGAATGCTCTGCCGGTGTCCCTCACTTCAAAAAATCATTTAAAGTGAGATGCCTTACTTGAGCAGAGTCAGCGTCTTGTTCACTTTGAGTGCTTCAGCAATCGCCTGTGCTCCAGCAGCGCCAATCCGATTCTCAGCCAGACTGTCCACATCCCCCTCCATCAGTGAGTACAGTGAATACCCCACTCACATGCATGTTCAAGCGAGATGCCTTACTGGAGCCCAGTCAGCTTCGTGTTCACTTTGAGTGCCTCAGCAATCGCCTGCGTTTCAATATCGCTAATCTGCTTGTCATTCAGACTGTTCCCTCCATTCTCGTCAGCACACACACACACGCTGTCAACAACTGTGTTCCAATCAACTCGGGCTTTTATCTTACTGGAGCGTTCCACTCGCACTCTTGACCATGTCATACAACTCGCGCTGTCTCTGATTCATATTCTGATACGACAGCATGGTTGAACCAACTCAGCAACCAACAATAGACTGTCCCCCCCCTTTCTATTTCCAAATAAACTCAAATCCGCTCAGTTTCAAAGTGACCTGCTTTCGCATCGACTCTTTCTAGATTCGTGCTCGACATTCATGTTTCATCGTCGGTGAGCAAAAGCAGCGCGAAAACTGAAAATGCTGCTGCCAAGCGCTTGTTGATCTCATTGCATTGCCTCCAGTTTCTGAGTGCAGGAACCAAGTGCAAGTATTCTCAGTTGTGTTGCCTACTGTATTTGTAAATCTACTACTGTTATTCCAATTGTCTCAGAATCATTCCTTTTTTTTTTTCTTTCTTACTTTGCACAATGCTCGACTTGGCTTCGCTCAAAGTCGCCGACTTGCGACGTGAGTTGCAGGATCGCGGATTGCCAACGACTGGCTTGAAGAAGGACTTGCTCGACCGACTGACCGAGGTGAGGCGGGGGTGGGGGCGGTTAGAGGGTCATAAATGGTTGAGATCTCGACTGCAGACCATTGCAGTTGCATTGGTGATCCGTTTCTTGCTGCTTGCTTGCTGCACTTTGCGTTGTATGAGAGTTTGATTGACTGTTCCTGTGGTTAGCATCTGGCACAGCACCCAGAAGAGGCAGGCGCGGCCGCGTCCAAGACCGAGTCCGAATCGACCGAGTCCGAGTCGACCGAGTCCGCGACTGAGACACAGGGTACCAACGACGACCACGCCAAGTCCATCACTCATCAGGAGGCTGAAGAGCAGCCCAATGTCCAGTCAAAGTCAAGCAGTAGCGCAGCCGCCGAGGAGGCACCTGCACCAGTGCTAATGAACCAAGGTTTGGATTGCTGTCAATGCAGCTCCAGTGAACCGAGTCTCCCACCTTCCTTCCTCACTTGAAACCTTGTCACTTGTAGATGATGATGCTGCTGTCGTGCAAGCACCGATCTCTGCAGATCCGGTCCAGCCAGCTGCTGCTCCCGCTCCGGTATCGCTCAAGCGAGCTCGCGAGGAGGACGACGACGACGCAGGTACGATCTCGCCGTTCGAACTAGAACAATCTCTCATCGTGCACGATGACGCTCATCCTCCACTTTCTTTTGTGCAGAGGGCGGAGTCAAATCCAGCTCCAGTGGCCGCACGTTGCACATTGCCAACTTTTCCAGGCCGTTGACACTAAACCAAGTGAACGAACTGCTTGCACGAACCGGAAAGGTTGTGCCAGATACGTTCTGGATGGACTCGATCAAGTCTCAGTGCTACGCAACCGTAACTATCTCACTGGCTTGTTTTGTGTGTCCAACCTTCCTCGGTGCAATGCATTCACATCGCTTTTTTTGCTTGTGGTTTTCTAGTTTGAAACTGTCGAAGAGGCCAACGCTACCTTTGAGGCCTTGAACGGCATTAACTGGCCTGCTCACAACATGAAAAAGCTGGTTGTGCAACGTGTGGCCGATGATGCTCGCAAAACAATCGCTCTCACGCCGCCCGTCCAAGGGGCTGCTCCATTACGCGCGCCTGCAGAACCTGTGGCCCCGAAGACTACGGCAGAGGCCATCGCCAATCTCCCAAAGAACATTGCAAGTCGTCTGGGTCAGGCCTCGGATGCGCCTGTCCAGCCCACCGCACCTGCAAAGCAAACTGGTAAAGGAAGAGATCGCATTGTTTTTTTTTTTTGCATTTTCTTCATTTTTCTCTCCATCTCACGCTCGCATTCTCTAATGTACCTGTTCCTGCGTTGCTGCTACTAGGTTCCACCCTTTCCAAGCTCGATTCACTCTTTCGCAAGACCACGGCAGCTCCTCCGATTTACTGGCTGCCTGTTTCTGATGAGAAAGTGGCAGAAATTCGTGCCAAACGAGAGCAACAAGTTGCCTAGTTCGCCTTTTGAAAATTTGTGTTGTGTTTCCCCCTCCTAGTCGCTTTGAACAGTTTTAATACCAACAAACCATTTTTTTGACTTTTCAACAAACCAACCAAACAACCAACCAAACAACCAACCAAACACCCAACCAAACAAAAACAAAAGACAACCCCCGAAAAGCAATCGCTCGTATGTTGAATCAAGATGCACCAGACACATTTAGCGCGGAGGCGGTTGCATAGGCTTGGCTTGCGGAGGTCCACTCGGCATGTGTGGCATGGCGCCTGGCATGCCGTAGAACGGGTACATTTGCATCATTGCACGCTGTTGACTGGCATCCATCCCCATGGGAGGCATGTATCCAAATGCAGGGAAGCCAGATGGCATCATGGCCATTCCCGGAGGAAACCCGGCAACGTTTCCCACAGGCATCATCACGACATGGCCGGGCGGCGGTTGCATGTGTGCAGGCCGGTCCATGTGAGTTTGCTCTGTCGGTGATGCTGTCGTTCTTGGCATTTGCTGCGAGCGAGGTGCTTGGTGCACACCGCCATTTCGTACATCCGGTGAGAGGAATGGCGCAGGTTCCGACGAGGCCAAGCGCAGCGTCTTGGACGGCGGTGCAGCGGGACTGTCGTCGGCAATCTTGGCAAACCCACGTTTCTTGGAAGTCGAATCATCCCGCGAAACGAGCTGCGATTCAATCATCTCCACAGTGGCGCTCAGGAGATCCGCCTGTTCCGGAAGGAGACAGAGAATACCAAAAACCAAGACGCAAAAGCACAAACACACCGAAAAAACAAAATCATAATCAGCATTTCATATTCCTCAACAACATTGCCCCAAGAGACACTCCGCTCGCCGCGACACATACCGTGTTGTCAAAAGATCGCCGAGAGACACTCTGCACTGCAAGCCTCAAGCGTTGAAGCTGGTAGTCCACAGGGGTCAAGTTGTACTGGAAGCGAGCAAGCGAGTGGTTTTCACCGCCAAGCTCGTGCGTTTGCACGCCATCAAACAGGACAAGTCGCACGTTGCACGCGGTTCGGCTGCTTGGCATGGCAACAGAGATGCAAGAGCTCGAGACAAACCAGGTGGAGAGCTGAACAACCTGTTGCATCGAGCTGTTTGCCGCCGCCGCGAGCTTTTGCCGCACTTGCATCAGCTCGCTTTGGTCGTTGCTCGTGTCGATGCCGTGATCGACCGCACCAAACACGCCAAAGGCAGACATTTCGGGCGTAAAGCCCTCTCCAAGCAGCGCGAGCACGGTTCGAACGCTGGTCGGACCCTCGCCTGGAATGAGCGTCGAGCAGGTAACGTGCGCAGCATCTGTCCAAGCAATGAACGAACGAGAATCAAAAAAACAACTTGTCAAACGAGCAGACACAAAGCAAACCCACCGACCAACGCGCACAACTTACTCGAGGAAGCAGCGCCCGCAACAGTTCTGCTGTTGAAAGGTCCAAACGAAGACGGCGCAGATGATTGAGGCGACATTTCTCCAAGTCTACTCGCTCGTGCAAACAAGCTGACTGGGGTGGGTGGCACGTACTGCGGAACAACGTGGCTCGACGGAGGCCTGGGACTGCTGTGGACCGCGGCGAAATTGGAATGACCACCACTCGGACCACTCGGACGCAAGCCCTGGGCCGGAGCATGGCTTGCTCTTCTACCCGAGGATCGCTCAAAGCCGTCCTCGTCGTCAAACTCTGCACTCGACTCGTCGCTATCATCATCGTCGTCGTCGCCGTCGCGGTTGCGGCGGCCAGTCTTGCGACGCAGCGGTACGCGAGACACAGATCGGGATCCAACGGAGGATGGCTGGGGCGATGTCGGCGCGGGATAGGACGCGGAAGCCGATGGGACCAGCTCCTGCAAGTAAGTGGCTGCTTCGTCAGCTGGCATGCGTGTGAGCGCCTTGCACACGACCCGTCCGACAAAGTCATCGCGTGGCTTGTGCTTGGAGTTGTTGTGCACAAAAATACCCGGAGTCATGAACGCCACCTCTGACTTGCGCTCGGGGCTGCCGTCCGTCAGGCCGCCGCAACCCAGCGGGTGTGAGACGAGCGCAAGGCGGAAGCGCCGCGGGTTGCGCGGATTACCCGCAGCCTTGATGCAGTTCTGGTTGATGCGGAACGAGAGGCTGAGCGTGGTCGGTTCGCGAGCCACGTTGAACGCAAAACTGCTCGGAGGGTTGAGAATGGTTGGGTCTTGTGGCGTGTCTTGACGATTGCCGCATGCCTTGCCTTCCAAGCATCGCACGCACGTCATTTCGTGGGTGGTTAGCACGCGGCGGGCCGAGTCGAACTTGTCGGTGCCCTCGTACGGAACGAGGCACAACGTGCTTGACTCGACGACATACAGATAGAGGCTTGCCGTCGTGGCCTCAAAGCGCAGCGGGCCCCGACGATCGGGGTCTGGGTGGTCTGGGCTGGACGCACAAACGTGAATACTGAGGTCGTACTTGATGCCGTTTCTGAACACCTCCTCCCCAGTGTGCTGGACGAAGGCACGATCGTCCGCTTGGCGGCGCCTCTTGATCGTCTGCGCGTCAAACTGGTAGCATTGGATCACGTCGGCGCTGCTCTTGTCGGTCGACTCTTCGATCTGCTCTCGCGTAGCGCTCATGAACGCGGCACATTCTTGCACAAGCCGAGGAGCGATTGAGTTTTTGAGATACAAAACAAATAAAAAAGAAGCAAAAGACGGGGAAAATCACATACTGGCGTGCGTGACAAAGATGGGCAGCCCAGAAGCATCGCGGAGTTGGAATCGGAGGAACAGAAAGTTTGACTTGCGCGCTTCCGGTCCAGGATAGGCAGAAACCGAAATCAGACCGATTGCCCGCGAGGTGTTGAGCTCCGAAGGCTCCGTGATGTGTTCAATATCCTGGAATGTAGAATGATTGTCAGATGAACGTTGACATTTGGGGATCAACAACAGCAACAGCAATGAGACTTACCGGATGACGAATATCGCCCCTTGGGATTTCTTCCCTGTTGCCAAGTAACAAGACAAACGGAATTCACGATGTAAGCCAACGAAACCACCAGTATTTTGGCAAGTTTCATGTTAAAGGTTTTTACATTGGAATCTTGGACGAGTGCGGCCCGCGATCGGTATCATGGGTCTCAATGGTCTCGGCCTCGTCGTTTGGAGGCTCCGCAACCACTTGCGCATCAGCATCGTCAACCTCCGTCTCCTGCAGACTACTGCACCATATTTCGTCAGTTCTCGCGTGCTGTGGTACATTGTTCCATGAAACCCGAGTTTTCTCTTACCTGAGCTGTCCACTCGTATTCCTGAATTTGTCATGCATCTCTCGCTGTTTTGCAGTCATATTATTCTGATCTGTCAGCATTGAACGAGAGTTTGCTTCGAGTGCATCAGCTGCTTGTGCGTCCTCCAAGTGTTCCTCCTGCTCCTCGTGCTGGTGCTCGTCCTCTAACTCGTCATCCTCGGTGCTTCTGCCAAGACACGTCAATCACATACACACATACGCGCGCAAGACAGGTCTCGAACGGTGAGTCGCGTTCCGAGGGGAGCTGCGAAATTTCTTTGGTGCGGCTGGCCCCCAGCCAAATTCACTCCATCCACAAGTGACCGCGACGCGTGCGAAAACGAGTCAACTCGCACTCGGAAAGAGGCCTCGTCCACGCCAAGGTGAGCGAGTTGTCGGTGCGACTCCAAAAAACCCAGCAGCGTTCTCAACGTTGTGACAGTGATGAGCTCACTCAGCTCACGGAGGGGTCGATCATTTTTCTCACCGTCATCTCAACTTCTCAATAGGACATTGATGTCGCATTTGTGACAGTCTGAGAAATCTACTCGTCCCAGCGATCAGGGAGTTTCCAGAGACGACGAGGGAACTGCCAGTGTCGCAGAGTCGACATTCACTGTTTCGTCCCTCACTGAGACTTGTCACAAAAGGGTAAGCACACCCCCAGCATCGTCGACATGTTTGTCTGAGCAACGATGCCTTGGTGCTCTCTTGCGACTTTATCCACACAGAACGAAAAAAGGGGTTTACCGCTCAAAAAAGCTCGATTCAGCTCAAACTGGCGTTGACGTCGTCGACACCTGACAATCGTCGAAACTCCGACGCCGAGCATCGATCGATCGGAAAGACACACGCGAGAGAGAGAGAGACGGAACGGAAAAAAAAAGACAGGTTGTCACTTCATTCACTTCATCAAATTGACAGCTCCCTCGTTTACCCAGCAACAGCCTGTTGCAGCCAAGCCACCACAGACATGATGGTGATGCAATGCGAGGCTGAATCGCAGTGCCGCACGGCGGGAGTCTGACAAGCGGCGTCGGGACAAGCGGCGACGGCGACCCTGAGGGAATGAACATGGCGCTTTGATCGTGTGTGTTCAATGTCGTTGGCCCCACATCGCCGACTCCTCATCGACAGCCCGATTCCACCCCGCCTGCAGCCACGCATGCGACCTTTGTTGCGCGCCTGTGGTTCCTTTGGGCTCTGACACACCGTCACCTCTGAGACTCGAGTTTGTCTGCTGGGACTGGGCTTATTTTTTTTTTCTTTTTCCACTTTGTTTTTTGTTCTTTTTCGTTGAACAGCTTCGTCCGTTGAGAGGAGGGAATGGTGGGCGAGGAGGAGGAGGTGGGACACCCGCAACCCGCCTGCTTCAACTCACTCTAGGTTCGGCACGGGCACAGTTGCAAACCGCGGGCTCGCATCGTGGGCGTGGGGGTCGCGGGGCGGCGTCTCGTCCGCGTCAAGCGTGTCGCTCGAGTTCATTTGGGAAAAATACTTCTCGAGCTGTCAAAGATATAAAAGTGAGGTTTGAGCTTTTGACAGGTCCGTTCTCCCCGAGCTCGCAGCAGCAGCAGGACGCTAAAACCCCCGACGGTTCCGATGCATTCTCCGACTATACCGCAGCATAGTAAAATGAAATGAGATTTGCTCGCGAGGGAGCGAGGTTGGTCACAGGTGGGTGCACAAAAAAACGGATCCGATCGTTGTTGCTCTTCAACACAAAACCCCCCTTCTTTTGTCAAACCGAATATGCTTCTCCAACACACTCTTGTCAAATCGAGTATTATTCTATGATTAAAGTGGCAAGGGAGCCCATGGGGAACAGGAGGGACAGAGAGTTCCGCTTGCTTTGTCGTCGATGCACAAGAAATCAGGGTCACTATCAAAGCGTCAAGCTCAACAGATAGTTACACTGCCACAACCAATAGACCGGTCAGAACGGCATGGGATGAGGGCGATCCAACTCGGTCGCAAGCCAGCACAGCAATGGCCGGTGTGCTTTTCTCTGTCGCGAGCGCCCGCGTTAAGCCTGGCATTCAATGGACAGAACAAACCAAGACCAAACACCTTTTCGTTGAGTAATTGCACAGATCAAACAAAGCGCATCGTCGTTATTGAGACAAACGCCCACTGACTTTCAGAAATCTGGGGGCTTGTTTTCGGACCCAAGGAATGGAACACTCGCAAGCTGACAGCTTGTGCACAGGTCGGCGTCAAATCAGCGCGCTCGCGGAACAACGAGAGCCGAGCATGCGGCGCATTGCGAGAGACCGCGGTCCAGCACTTGGCAGTGAGTAGGGCGACATGCTCAACATCAACGGTTGTCTCGGCATCGTGCTCTGCACAGAGACAAACAAGTACAGAAAATGAGAGCAATTTCATGAAAAAAGAGAGAGACTTTCAATGAAGCAATGCCACTCCAAATCAAAGATCGCGAGCATGGTACCGATGGTCAAGACAACAAACAACCATCCAAGTGGCACGTTGCTGCAAATTTCCAATGACGCGGTCAAGTTTTCATGTTGGACTGACTGCTTGGATTCTGACGACAATTGTGCAAGCCAATACAACCAAGGCATAATGAGAAATGAGCAATTCACGCACGAAAGCGAGACGAAATGCTCTGTTGATCATACTTGTCCATCGAGTTGCAGCAATGACTGCCACCGTTTCCAGTTCAACACTCGCAGCTCGAGGTAATGCGGGGACTTGGGCTAGCAACGTCAACGGCGGCGTTGCCGTTTCGTCCGCCTGAAAGAGAGCTGTGAGCAAACATGTCAAGTTCCACCCTAAAACCATCCCAACAAACTTACCTGACAGTGCTGCCGAACAAAGGCTTGGAATAGTTGAGAGGCGAGAAGGCCATACTGAATGTCAAGCACGTAGCAGATCAAGAATGGCACACGCGCTAGGTCGCACGAGGTGGCGCTCAAGACTTGATGAAGATGACCCAGGGCCAGCCACGTCTGCTCAGCGTACTTGGCAAGTGGAGACTCGGACGAGCGCAACAGTGTCATGGTGCCAGGGACGAGCGGGATTTGGCCAGCAACAAAGTTGAGATTGCCAACCTATATTGTTGAAGATGTGAAGGTGAACTCACACCGAATTTCAAGACAAAAAACAGACAGTGCCAGCACGAGCATACCTGAACACTTTGACTATAGGGACCAATGTTGGCAGGAGCCCAGTGTGACATGCCTTGGACGTGCATTACGCGGCGAGATCGGACGAGCTTTGACGCAGCCTCGCAAAGCTCCCGACGTGCTTGTTTCCGCCGAGTCGGTGTTTCATCCTCACCATCAGAGTCTGCCTCTGAATCGGAAAGATCTGCAGGAACCGCAAATGTCGGGTTGGGTACGGACGCGACGCAATCGAGTTGCGCGTGAATTCCTGGTGGCAGCCGCACTTGGATGCAGATGCTATTGGAGAGCAGCAGAGTTAGAAACACCCATGCCAGAGCAATCAGCAATAGCACCAACCAAAAAAAAACATACCGAGAAGCAGGACTGACATCAAAGTATCGCCCATACACGGCGTTGACGCGACCAAAGTTGGCGAGGTCCGCGACATGCAAGTGCATCACCGACACATGAGCGAGAGATGTTCCAATGGACCGAAGACGATCTGGCAGAGAGGTAAGTGAGGCATCCGACGAGTGCAAAGGTAGAAAACATCGTCTCGAGCACGTACCAACGAGCTGTTCAAAGAGAGAAACAATCTGATCGTCAACGGACGATGCCACCGAGATGTCCGGGGTGATCAAGCCAACCCACACATGGCCGTGTGCCTGCTGAAGGTGAGACGGTGCATCTAAACACGATAGCAAAATCCAGAGTTAGCATCCCGACATGACAAACAGAAACACGAGATGCAGCAAAGTTACAATGCTCCGATTGGCTGGCATTAATCACGGGCTCCGAAGTCGAGGCTGCGAGCGGCGCGTCTTCACACAAAGTGAGGTGTTGCTGAAGAGTTTCATATGATTCGACCTACGGGAGCGTGAACGATGAGAAGAAGTTCTGTCGCATGTTCAATCTTGCTCGACCAGTTACCATTTGGAACGGATTGGAGGTGGAAATGACAGCACGAAGCCTCTCTGCATCCAGCGCCCAATCGCGCTGAGAAGGAATATTGTCCTTGGGCTCCAAATGCAGCTTCTTAATGCGCAGGTACGCCACAGGTGCAATCGGGTCGTGGCTGTGGACGACGATCTCCGTCTCATCTCTGTGATAGATTCATGCAACGTGAATGAAGCGCGGATCGTTGACGATGATCGTGGTGGGTTTTCAGCGACAGCATTCTGCTGCTGCCTTTTCTTCTTACACAACGATGCGGTGACGGAAGAGTGGGCAATCGACCGTGAACGACTCGTATTCGCCGCCTTCACCGCAAATATGAAGCCCGTACATTTCATTCTGACCACAGGACGGGATGCACATGAGTACTTGTTCAATTCTACAACTACGCCATTCGCATCAGAGCCTACCATGCGCTGCAAGTGACTATGGACTTGGCCGAGCGTTTTGCCGAGATGTTTCCTGGGCTCAAGACCTGCAACAATGTGTGCATGAGCGCTCGCTTTCGCACAAAGCCGACGAACGCTGCTGAACGCTCAACGCGATACAACGCATAAAAAAACCAAAACAAGGTGGCTACTCACCGACAGCCGCGACTTTGATCAAAATGGCCTCCAAGCCGGCATCAATCATCTCACGCATGAGGTCTGCCTGAGGTCTCCTCCACATGAATGCAAGTGACGTTAAACCAAGTCGCTTGCAGACATGCTCCACACGAAGTCGCTGATAATCCGACGCGATCGCACCAACCGAGACAGCCTCGACTTCGGGATGCAGTTCCTACATCGAATGAGATTGAAAGCCCCCCAAAATGCAAGGGAAATTGAATCGGCCATGGCTCAAAGTCAGCATTCATCCCAACCTAACAGCAGTAAATAATCCTTCCCACAGCACAAAGTCTGAGAAGTCTCGCTTTCAAAGGAGCCACACCTTGACTTGCTGGAGCAAGGCGAACAAGTCCTCGACCTCGTCCGGGCCGCCGCCGACGGTCGATGGAGCGCCCGCAGCAGCCGCAGTGACAGAAGGGTCGTAAGCGAGCTCTGTGTGGAGCGATGTGCCCAGAATGGCCCGTCGGACGAGCGGGAGTTCGAGCGCGCGTGCAATCGCATCGACTGCCTCGTGGCCCACCGTCTGGTACATGAAGCTATCGAGCTCGTCTGAACAGGGAAATGCCAAGACAATGCAAAGTCAAGCATGGAATATACTGAAAACAACAATCAATAAAGCAAAAGAGCTGGTCGAGAAGTCGGATATTGCAAATTTCCAATGGACAATGCTGTATACGAGTCGTTCACGCACCTGGAGCACTGGCGGCAGGCATGAGGTTGGCGAGGGCAACCAGTTCATGGCCCATCGCTACACAGTGCATCATGTTGAAGCAGCTGTCCTTCCCGCCACTCAGCAAACCGACCACTTTCATTTTTGGATGTTTGGTTTGGTTTCTGAGAACAACCCAAAAGAATGAAGTGTCAAAAATAAAGACTGGGGCTGGCTATACTTGGCAATTGCAGTAGCAAAAAATCAATACATGTACATTGGGATAGATTGCAGTACATTCAATGGGCCTTGCAATGGAATCAACCGTTCAACAGCTACCGCGGTCCGCTGCTGCTTGGAACCATTTCGTGGTAGACTTCGGCGATGTCGGCGCGAACTTGCTCGGAACGAGACACACGGTCGGTTCGCCGAGGTAGATACCACACACGCCAGCCAGCCTTTTCGAGGCAGTACTGCTTGAAAATGTCGCCGGGCTGGCGCGAGCGCACGGTGCGCAGAGTAAATGCTTGCGACATTTGCTGCACGGTCGGCGGCCGCGCCGTCCACTCATCGAGCGAGGAGAAGGCAAAGAACGTCGTTGGCGCTGGCGTTGTCCGAAGCAAAGTGGGTCGCTCCCAAACATGGGCCTGGGTATCGGATTGGATTTCCAGGGCGCACTGTCGCGAGGTCAACGCCATATCGACCATGAATGGGCCAACAGAGTATTCGCTGACAAACGGATACCGCAGCTGCTGGGCAGCACGCATGTAAGCCAGATGCAGGCTCGACGACTGGATTGTGCCCAACGAGCGGGCATTTGTGTACTGCGACCAACGCAGATTCGGGATGCACTCAGGATGGAGTTTCTGCAGCAAGTAGCTAACGGTGGCCAGACGCTGTTGAGCTGCCACGTCTTCCTTCAAGGACGAAGCAGCAGGAAGAGGCGAAAACCCAATCGCAGCCAAGTCGCGCACAACATCTCGAAAATCCGGGTCGTCAAACCAGCAGTTCCGCCCTACCGCCCAGAGCATATCTTGAGCGAGCCGTTGCGTGCTGGGCTTTAGTTTCGTCTGTCTTTGCCATGCCTGCATTGCCTTGATCAACTTGACAGCGACGTGCTTCATTTCCTTCTTGATCGTCTCGCGCGGGTTCAGATCGTGGCTGTGAGTATGATTGTTATTACGCGCAGCCGCATGAGCCCATTGAGTAGCATGCCTCATGAGCAGCGTTGCCTGAGCTGTTCCCTTGTTCGTTGAGGTGTCTATGGCATCGCATTGAGCATTGAGCGATGCCGCGCTCAGTCGCTGGAGTTCCACGAGCGGAGCGTTCAGCGTCCGCTCGCACGTCTCGAGGGCCAGCCGGCCATCCACCACCGCGCTGACCTGCTCTGGTCCAATGAGGCTCACTGCGCCTGCCAGCAGCCGGCACCCGAGCGCGCGCGTCTCGGCGCTGGGACTGGCGATCGCATGGCCAAGAAACGCAGGCGTCACTCGCTGCTGCCGGCTGTCCTGGCTGGCATCGTCATTGCTGGGAGTGGACGGCGTCGTTGTCGCCAGCATTCTCATCAGTGTCGTCGCAGACGGACGGACGGCGGGTAAGGCGGCAGCGGCGGCAGGCGAGAATGATGACAATCCGCCATTTCTCAGACAACGCAAGACTTGCATGAAGACTGCACCAACAATACAAATGGAGGTTGAATAAGAACTTGCAAATACGAAGCAGTGCAGAATCGGGCGGTGATTGTATTGCTGTACAAGTTCCCAAATGCATCAATCAAAACTGGCCGCCTCGACCTTTGCCTTGAGCAAACGATAGAGCGCCGGCTTGAGCTCCAGCAGCAAGAGAAACAAGCCCGTGTTGAAACTCGTTGTGGAGGGCGTCCTTTTCCGACATGCCCCATTGTTGCAGGGCGGACGCGCGATCGCGGCGCATGCACTCTTGCGGAAACGCACTGATCTGCTCGGCCAGTTGTTCGGCAGCCGTGCGAACGTCTTGCGATTTGGGTACCAGCTTTGTCACTACGAAGTGGGGGTATAAGCGTCAGTTCGTACGAACATACAGCAGAATACAAAAAAAAAAAAAAATCGGGCAACTCGCAAAAACCCAAGCTCCAAGCGTACCAAGTCCCATGCCGAGCGCTTCCTTGGCATCCACTGCACGTCCGGTAAGAATCATGTCCATTGCGCGACCGTGTCCGACAATTCGCGGCAGTCGGAATGTTCCACCGTCAATCAACGGCACGCCAAATCGGCGACAAAAGACGCCAAACACGGCATCCTCGTGCGCAACCCGCAGATCACACAACAGTGCGAGCTCCAGGCCACCCGCAACGACATGCCCAGTACACGCAGCGATGACTGGCTTGGACAATTCCGTCATGCGCGTCGGTCCCATCGGTCCATCGCCGGTTTCTTCCAGTCTGTTGTAGCGCTGCGGATTGCCTAAGAGAGTCCACGCCCAACATTTCACCACAACATCGTGCATAGTAGACGCCACGATTTACCGTTGCATACGGAAGTGAGACAGTGCAGATTAGCCCAAACTCAAGCCCCAATTTCCAGCCTTTCGACTCGCAGCCCTTTGTCATCACCGAATCAATTGCAGGCCATCAAACCTGATGCAAGGGCCTTGAGATCAGCTCCTGCACAGAACGTGCCGTTGGCGCCAAACAGGACCGCGACATGCATCGTTGGGTCTTGGTCGAACGCTCTGAATGCGTCTGCAAGCGCTTCGGCAGTGGGACGGTCGACTGCGTTCCGTGCGACCGGGCGACTCAGAATGATGGTGCAGATCTTGCCTCGCGTCTCCATGGACACGGACGGCGTGGCGTCGGGGTTGTACGCAAACACACGCGCCGTAGTCGGCTGCGAATTGCTCCCAATTGCTCCAAATTCGGTTGCTCCGGCTCCGATTCCTGTTCCGGCTCCAGTGCCCGTTCTCGCGCCAGACCCAGATCCAGGTCCAGATCCAGGTCCAGATCCGCCAGCAGCACCCGTCGATGCGAATCGGACGCTGCGCACGGAAGGACTCGCGCTCTTCTGAAATTTGAAATTTGACAACCAAAATCCAGATTGTTCAGATTGTTCCCAGCCACCAGCCATCCGACTTGCATTCACATTCAACACGACATGCACTCCGCTTCGTTTGATCCCTTACAGAGTGCGACGCCAAGTGTCGGAGCAAGACAGCCGCGCGATGCATGAATGAACGAATGACGATCTGCTTTCAAACAAACAGCAACAGTAAGACGACTGCAGTTGAACAATGGATCAAGTTCAATTGAAAACTCAGAGTCTCTGTTTCTGAGATTTCCAAGCTTCTCAGTCTTTTAGTTTCATCCTTCTCTCTCTCGTTCTCGCTTTCTTTCTCTCTTTCTTCCTCGTCGGCTTTGTTGGCTTCTCATATTTTTTTCCTTGTCTTCTCGTCTGCAATGTCCATCCAGCAGGGAGGACAAGCCGAGCAGCAGCAGCAGCAGCAGCAGATGAGGGAGGAGCGCTCGTCGTTTGGCCGCCTTCGCAACCTGCTGCTGGACGACGACGTTGACCAACCTCAGCAACCACCACTCGATGGTGATGCTCATGCTCGTTCTGCTGGTGATGGTGATGGTGATGATGGCGGTGAGGCAGTGGTGGTGGTCTTGGCGCACAATCCGCTGCTCGCCATTCAGCGTGTGCGCTGGTTTAGCGACGTCCGCTTTGCCCTCTCCCGCCGCCAAGACGCACATCGCTACATTGCTGTCGATCGCCTGACATTGGAGGACCCGCTCGTGCGCCTGGCGATCGACCAGGCAACCGACTGCGACGCCGCGTCCTCCTCGCTCACTTCTTCTTACCCTGCTTCCTCTGCTTCCTCCTCGTCGACTCCCGCTCCAGCTGCCACGACTTCAAATGTACTCGTCAGTCTGGTTGCCAACGCTATCGCAATGGTCGAATTATTGTTCAAGTGTTTGATTTGCGTTTTTTGACTTGTATTCTCAGAACGCTCAGATTTCTCGGCTTCGCAATGAAAACATGCGCCGCGCATCGAAAATCCTGTCAAACATGGCCTCACGTTTGTCCACAGTGCTCATCCGCTGCGTTGGTTGGACGCTCAGAAAGTGCCTCCGCGCCTTGTTCTCTGCCGTCTATGTCCGCGTGGATCAGAACGACCGGCTGCGCGAGGCTGCGCGCGCACATCCGAATGCGCCAATCCTCTTCTTGCCATCGCACAAGTCGCACATTGACTACCTGCTCGTGTCGTACCTCGCGTTCGACGCCGACATTTCCGTGCCACACATCGCTGCTGGCGACAACTTGAACATTTTCTTTTTCGGAGGGCTCGCACGTCGTGCAGGCGCCTTCTTTATTCGCCGAAAGCTCGAGTCGGTGATGCGAAGCGGTGCAAGACAGTCAAACACAAACGCGGATCGCGGCAGCACCGCCGACCTGCTCGACCAAGGTAGCCAGGATGGCACTGATCCGACTTGGGAAGTTGGACTGGATGAAAGTCCGATGGGCTCGGCATCACGGTCGCGCTCAGCATCGGGCCCGTTGCTGCCGTGGCTGTTGCCTTCCCCGGTCGGATCTGTGGTGTCCTTGACCGGCCAGTTGGAGGTCGCCGCTCCTTCTGGTGAGCAACAACAACAACCATCACAACAACATGCCAACAACACTCCTCCCCGACGACGCTCAGATTCCCGAGCGACTGCGGCAACGCGGGATACCGTGTACCGAGCTGTTCTCCGGTCCTATGTGCGGAACTTGCTCCGTATCGGTGGCCATCTCGAGTTCTTCCTCGAAGGAGGCCGATCGCGCTCTGGCAAGGTTGCCATGCCAAAATATGGCCTGCTGTCCCTCGTTGTGGACACCTTCCTCGACAATGAAGTCGATGATGTTCTGGTTGTTCCCATCAATGTCAGCTACGATCAGATTGTCGAAGGCGACTACGCTCGAGAGCTGATGGGTGCTCCCAAGCAGCCAGAATCCTTCTTTGGCACGCTGCGCGGTCTGGCGCGCACTGTGATGCGCTCCTACGGCAGTCTGTACGTGGATGTCGAAACACCATTCTTGCTGACCGACTTTTTGCGCGCAGCCACACGTCCCGAACAAGCACAACATTTGGCGCGCACTGCGTCCGTCGATTCGCTGCACGCAGGTCGTCCTCACGACCTGGTCTTGACCCCTGCTCCAGCCTCGGCTTTCCTCGGATCTTCTTCTTCTGCTTCTTCTTTTCCATCATCGAGCAATACTTCGATTGTTCCAGTCGCTTTGGCAGATTTGCGGACGACGGTGCTGCCTGCTCTCACCCGCTCGCGTCGTCGCGAAATTGTGGACGAGCTGGGACGTCGTGTCCTCCATTCAGTCTCCAACCTGGCCACGCTTACAAGCACTGCGATGGTGGCCTTGCTGTTTACAACACGTTTCCGCAAAGGAGCCTCGATGTCTGAACTCACCAACGGCTTCAACTGGCTTGTTGCCGAGGCCTCGGCGCGCGGCCGAGCTGTTGGATATATTCCTGGAGGCGATGCAGGTTTGTACACGCGACTTGGCATCGGTGCATGGCATTTTTTGATTTCCTGACCTGCGTAAATGCTTTCGATTTTGTTTGGCATGTTTGAGCAGAAGACGCAGTTGTCTACGCCTGCACTCTGCTTGGCGCAGATCTTGTCGATGTCAACGCCGAGGGATTGATTGTGCCCACGACCTCTGTTCCGAACGTGTGTTTGCCCATGCTTTATCCTTTGCGATTGCTTTTGTTTTGCGCCGGTTGTGGCTCACTGCTATTTGTCTCCTCAGATTTTCACCATGTGCTTCTACGCCAACCAAGCCGCATCCATGTTCCTCATTGATGCTGTTGTTGCTTCCGTCATTCATATGCATTTGAAGCGCGAGCTTGGTCTCCAGAACGAGCAGGAGGATGAACTTCCCGTGCTTTCGCAACGACGGCGGAGCGCCAGCGTCTCGGGCGCGGTTGCTGCTGTAAAGTCCAACCCAAGTACACCCAATCGCAAACGAGCCGCGTCGGTCTCGTCGCTCGAATACGGCTTTTCAATATCGCACGACGAGCTGATTGCTGGCGCGCAAGAGGTGTGCTCGATTCTGGCCCACGAGTACATTTTCCATCGCCCTCACGAGACTCCGTTGGTCGAGCTGCTCAACCACGCCATCGCCGGGCTTGTGAAGAACGACGTATTGACCCTGGAAGAGACACTGCGCCCTGACTCTCCGGCTCGCTACGAAGTGTCGTTGGACCCCGCGTCGATGGAATTGGTTCGCTTCTTGCGATTCACCATCAAGCCCGTAATTGACTCGTACTGGATGTCCGCATGTGCCTTGCTTCCGTTGCTGCAAGGGGAGCAGACCGAGTCCGCCTTTGTTCGCAACACTCAGCAGCTGGCGAACGAGTATCTCCAGGCGGGAGTTCTCGAGTGCCCAGAGACAGTAAGTCCCGACGAAGAGTTGATTGTCTGAGTAAAGCGAGGGACTGAAGAGGAGAGCGGTTCTTTGGCTTGATGACTGTAAACTTGATTTTTTGTCGCGTCCAGATTTCGCGCGAAGCCATCAAAAACGCCATTCAATTGCTCGAATCTTGGGGTGTTGTGACCGTCCAAGTCGCATCTGACGTTCGTGTAAGACTGTGCTCGAGCACGGGGGATGGGGTGTGACATTGCCTTTTTCTCATCATCTTGTGCTTCCGACTTGTAGACGCTTGTTCTGCGAGAACGCTACCAGTCGAGACCGGCACTTATCGCCATCGCCAAGTCCATTGCCCAATTTAGTTAATACTTTCCCAAAAGTCAAAACGATACACCAACACAAGAGTACATGTGACTTGTACTCGATTGAAAAACACAAGATGAGACTAAAACCTAAACCCCAGTCGTGCAAAGTCAATCCAGGAAAAGCATGGATTCGAGTTCAAAGCCACATCAACGATTTTCATTTCAACAAAAGAACGACTTGGGGAAAAGCCCAACCTTTTCCCCGAAATTCAGAAATTCAGAAATTCAGATAAAACAGAAGAACACGACCAACGGACGGATTTACGCAAGTTCGTCATAACTCGGTGGTGGCGGTTCGTCGTTGTCGCCAGCGCCGGGAGTGTTGGGTGAGGATGGTGCGGATTGTGGCATGCCAACGGCAACTGCATCGCGAGGCACGCTTGATCGTGTGACGGAAGCTTCTCGAGCAAGCGACGTGCTCGAGAACGACCCGTTCGTTGTGAGAGGAGCGGTTGTCATTTCGGGGAGGCGAGCAACACTCGCGCGGCCGCTGCCTGCGCCAGCTGAAGAGCCCGGTGGGGAGCCATGCTCATCCTCGCCGTCATGATTTTGCCCGTCGTCACGATCGTCATCATCATCACCATCATCGCCGTGCTCCGAGGGCGCATCATCGTCTGCGGCTTGCTGCTGACGAACAGATCGGCCATAGCAGCTGAGGACGCAAATCAGCAGACAGAAGAGGACAAGGATGCCGCCGAGGATCAAGTAGAATGTTGTGACAATCCAGAATGTGAACAGGAAGAGCGTTTTGTCGCAATTCGCATAGTCGTCGCCAGTATCGTAGCTGTAGACCCACACATTGCCGACGATAAACCAGCCGAGCTCAAACACCTCCGTGAGGGTCATCAGGCGGCCGAGAAGCGTGGGTTCCTCGGGAATCAGCTCGCCATTCTCGTCTCGCCGCTTCTTCTTGCAGCACAGCGAGTACAGGTTGGTGGCCAACCCGCACGTCCCGCCGACAATGAGGAAGATTCGGAAGTGATCCGTGTCGCAGGGTGCGTCCCACTTGACCGCGCCAATGACAATCATTGAAATTGGAATGCCAAGGAAGAGCGCGCCCATGACGGACACGCCGATCGTTCCAATCAGCAAGATGACGACGCGCAGGATAAAGTTGGCACCAATGCCCGATCGGTCTCGCTCGTCTCGAATCCGGCCAAACAGCGACTCGTACGTCGGTGGCGGGGCATCTGTAGAAAATCAGGTGAACGACATTACGACAGAGTAACTCAGTTAGCCAAAATGTTTTGACTTTTCTACGTCTCAGAAATGCAGCTTTCCCCCTCGTCAAGAATAGCAACTTCTTCGATGCGACGATGAGCACAAGAATTCCAAACCAAATCGTCCCTTCTTCTTTCTTTGAGATATTCCAATCTCCAATCTGCTCAGACTGGGACCCCGTCTCAGACTGATGACACGATTGTCGAACGCGATCCAATGCGAATGTGCGACTGATCGCAAAGCAAACAGGAACTCACTGCCAGTGACTGTCTCATAGGACGGGAGGGGTTCGTCAGGCACACCACCACTACCACCACCACCACTCGCGGCGGCAGCAGCAGAAGTGGCGCCACTGCGACGGCTGCCGGGAATCGAGAGTCGTGCAGCAGAAGCAGAGTTCGACGTCGCCCTCGACAGCGGCGGACCGCTCCGTCGGCCTGTTGCTGCTGATGCTGATGCTGATGCTGATGCTCCTGCATTGCCAGCCGCGGCGGCAGCGGTGGTGGTGGTGGTGGCGGCAGATGCAGCAGCAGCAGCGGAGGACGACGACTGCCGCTGGTACGACGCCGGCGGATTGGCAATGGCAAAGTTCGTAGCGTGTTCGTCTTGTTCCATCAGCGGCGACCGCTCAGTCATGATATCGCTTGCTTCAAGATGTAATAGTAAGGAACGAAGGAAGGAGCGAGAAAGAGAGAGAGAGAGAGGGAGAAGGACAAAAAGAAGGAGCGGATGCGGAACAAATCGAACGGAAACGCTAAGAAATGAAGATTGGGACAAAGTGAAGGAGCGGATGCGGAACAAATCGAACGGAAACGCTAAGAAATGAAGATTGGGACAAAGTTCGATTTGCATTGGGAAAAATAAACAAAAAGAGACATCGTACAGTATTATTGCAGTTGTAGCAGCAGTAGAAGCAACAAACAGCAAACAAGCAGCACAACAAACCTCCTTCTTTCTTCTAGTTGGTCTTCTTGTTGGCGATCGGGGGAACGGCAACCTTGGGCGCCTTGTGGATCGACCAGCCAGTCAGGCGGATGCTTGCATTGATGAGCCCGGGTGCCCAGCTGTGCACGTACATGGCGGCAGCAAGGCGCCAGTTGTAGCACGTCACCGGCTCGCCGGACAAGATGGCACGGACAACATAGCCTGCCGCGTCGGTCACAGTCAGCACGCCAAACAGCGCGGCAATCTTGGGGATGCGCTCGAGCGAGTTGTCGTTGGTGGAAAAGTAGTTGGAGGCAGTCTCCGCCAGAATGACTTCTTGCACATTGATGCCAGTGTTGTGGAGGTCTGCGCGCAAGGCCTCACAGAGCCCACGCAGCGCAAAGCGCGTGCAGGCATAGCCGGTCGAGCCACTCCATGGCGCGTAGCCTGCAGGCGACTGGATGTTGACGAACGTGCCAGCATTGCGCTCCAAGAACACTGGCAGGAACCCGCGAGTCACGAGCGCTGCGGCAAAGTACGGGGCTGTTTTGCAAGCACAGGCAAAACAGAACAGAACAGTGAGAGCGCTAGTTTGACACAGTCAGCAGCAATGTTTGCGAATTCTCAGAAGGCGTGCTGTTACCATCCATGCAGCCTTTCACTTCCTCGGCAGACATTTCATGCAGATAGCGCCAGCGACCAGCTCCAGCGCAGTTGACAATGGCTTCGGGAACGCCAATCGTCGTAATGCAAGTGTTCACGAGGCGATCGACGTCCGCAGGGTTGGAGCAATCGGCAGCAATCGTGTGCGCTACAACTTGCCCAGCACCGTGCTGCGCATTCATTTCGCTGGCAACCTTGCCAAGCAGCGTCGCGTTTCGTGCGACCAGAATAACGCGCGCACCGCGGGCGACCAAATCACGCGCCAGTGCTTCGCCAATACCGCTCGAGGCGCCTGCAACACAAAAATCAAACCAAATAACTGGTGAGTTTCGTACATTTAAATGCTCCATTCTGAGTTTTTTTTTGTTTCCGTCTCAAATCGTCATTATTCACCAATAACAATAATAATAACATGTCACACCACATGTCAAAACCACGTGTCGAAGCGTTCGTGCCTGTCAATTTCCCCAATTCAAAATCCCGCTCTCGCTCACTTTCAACTCACTTCAACTCACTTTCAACTCACTTCAACTCACAACAACCGACCCTCCCGTTCCATCCAAAACAAACCCAACAATCGAGGTTTCCAACGCAAACGCGCCTGAAACTGACTGAAACCGACTGAAAAGGTCGATCTATGCGAATTGGATTGTTGAGTTAGTTGGATTGACTTCCACCAAACTCACCAGTGATGAGGAAGAGCGAGCTACGGACGCGGATGCCGCGGGGACCAATGATGGAGCGCTTGAGGAAGCGGAGGACGTGCCAGGCGCCCAGGGACCAGAGGAGGATGCCTGGGATGGCGGCGGACGAGCACCACTCGATTGAGCCGTCGGCGACGCTGCGGGGAAGCCGAAGCCACTCGAGCACGGTCTGCATCAGCTCCATTGGGAAAAAAAAAAAAAAAAAGAAAAGTGAGTGAATGAGAAATGAGAGAGAAAAGTCATCTGAGATAAATCATAGTGATAAGAAATATAAGAAGGAAAATTCTGGATGCAGAAAGACTCGGACAACGAAGACAATACTGCAGGATGAACACTGTTTCAGCTTACAAAGTGGTTCTACGAGAGGCGACAAGAGTAACAACAGCAACAATAACAACAACAGTAACAGCAAACAGTCAAAGAGGAACACACAAAAACAAATCATTAGCGCTGCTCAGACATTCAACCCAAATTCAAAGATTCATGCAGCTTCCCCTCGCTCGAGGCGGCTGACAAGCTCTTCGTTGTCTCGGAGCCACTGGAGCGTGTCGCGGACAGTCTCGCGAATGTCGCGCGTTTTCCAGCCGAGGTCACGGCCTGCACGCGATTCGGCTCCAATCGATGCATACCAGAACAGAGTGCCCATTCGAGCGTAGGCAGGATCGATGCTGGGGTCGCGACGACCAGTGAAAAGCCGCACAAGACCATCAAGAACGACTGCTCCAGCAATCGCCATCCAACCAGGCACTGAAAGGCGTGGCGCATGCACTCCCGTCTCTGTTTGCAAGAGTTGGAAAAAGTCGCGCACGCTGCTGTTGTATCCATTCAGCAAGTATCTAAAAGGCCCAGGAGAACGCAGGTACAGACAAATGTAGTGAGATGCACAGCTGACTCCTGGGATGAGAAGCGCAAAGAGGGGGGTGGGGCGGCGCGCGCGGAACAAACAACTTACGTGTTGCCAACTGCTGCCGGGCTGGTCATGGCAGAAATAAAGGCGGTCGCGGCATCTCGCACATCAACAGCACTCAGTCCACCGCTGGGAGTGAATGGAATGTTCCGCTTGACAAAATCACGCACGGTGCGCACCGAGCTGAGCCGAGCGTCGCCGGGTCCGAGGACCAACGTGGGTCGCATCATGACCACTTCAACGTTTCGCTCGCGAGCCAACTGTTGCACTTGTTGCTCTACCATGCATCAAGCAGATCAGAGTGAATGAAAAAAAAAAAGGCTGGGAAGACCAGGAGGAGACGGCCGGAGCCCGAGGCCTTACCAACGGCAATCTTTTGCTGGTAGTAAGGCAGGTTGGCAACGGCATCTGTGCAGTAAGGAGAATCATCGTTGGCGACTTGCGTCGAGTCAAAGCTACACGCCACAACTCCCGAGGTCGAAGCAAGCACGACCCGGCAATTTCTGCTTCAAAAACATCCACAAAGTCAAAAAACAAGCCGCAACACGAGAATTCTCAGAGAATAAGACACAAAACCCGTACCCGAGGCGAGCAGCAGCATCAATGACAGCGACGGTGCCATCCACGTTGGTCTTGAACATGTCTGCAACGAGCGCGGGATTGTTTGAATGCGTGACGACGCCGGCAAGGTGGAAAATCCCGTCGAGCTGGATGTGCTCGGAGCTCGCCGGACTCACTTCAGATGTGCTTGCAGCAGCATTGTCGCTCGTCTGTGCTTGTGCCAGAGCTCCAGCGGCATTCTGAGCGGCGGGGCTGGGCTTCTGGACGGCCGCCAGAATGTCCGCAACCGAGGTCACTGAGCCCTTGTGGAAGGTGACTGTGCCCGACCCCGCAGAGCCCGACCCGGCTTCCGACGACGCGGGTCCTGCACTGCTGCCACGCGAGCGAGCCAGAACGTGCACTTGGTGTCCGGCTTGGACGAGCTGCGACCAAAACCCCGCGGCAACAATATTCGCATTGGGGATCAAGTCGAGTCAATCATGGAGGTGGTCTCACGAGCAAGCATTGGGACAATCACACTGAATCAACAAACCTGCTGCACGACGTGGGTGCCGAGGAAGCCAGTGCCGCCAGTGACGAGGTAGGTTGGCATTGAATGAATGAATGAATGAATGGGCGGCTCAGCAATTTAACTGGAGACTGAACTGCAGGCGACTCGAATGGTAGAAAATGAGACATTGAAGTGGTGAATCAATGCAAAAGGGGAAGGAAGGGGGAGGGGAGGTGGGATGGAGCTGAAGTACATGGACAAACGGAAACCAAAAGCGAAAGTTTTGACAATGTCGAATCTATTGCTTGAGACAAAAACACCACATCATTCTGCTTTCTACAACTCTTGAATCAAAGGCTTATTGGTGCGATGCTTCGCGGTGATCTGCGGGCTTGACTGTGGTAGCTCTGGTTGGACCCGCATTGTTTCTGCTGTTAGTTCGTTCTGCTGCTCGATAATACCGCACGACAGGTCCTGCACATGTCAAAGCACAAGGCAAAACAAAAGCACCGTCAGAATCTCTTCCACAAAGAGATCAGTCTCGTCGCTCCCTCAAGCAAGAAGCACGCAGATTTTACCATCTCAACATAAGCGCCTTCTTCGTCGACGGTTTCAATATCAACCGCCTTCTGGCCTTGGGTAGCAATGACCCGCTCCAGCTGCACGTTCGCAGCCTTCATCTGCGGCAAAAAGTTTGCTACTCGGTCCAGCACGGACGATACTATCAAACGTTGTGTTTGGCGGCAAACAACCACTTTGTGAGTTCAACTGAAAAAGCTTTCTGGCCCACCACCGCCTGCAACGTCCACCTACACGACGAGTTGTCTCCATTCTTGAAATTAGGAATCCGCCTTGGGAATGGGAATTCGGGCAACCCGGCACCAGCAGACGCCGATTCTTGGTCTGATTCGTCGTTCTCCTCGTTATCATCGTCATCGTCGTCGTCGTCGTCGTCCTCATATTCATTATCATCATCTTGATCTTGATCTTGATCTTGATCATCATCATCATCATCGTCGTCGACGTCCATTGCGCTCGATTCGCTCAGTAACAACGACAATCCTATTGACAATACAGTCAGTCAGGCTTTCCCCCCCCCCCTTGCATCGAGCACCACTGCAACAGCTTTTTGCACTGCCTCTCCATGTTTGGCAGGCTGTTTTCGCTTTACCAGGGCGCGCTGCAGTCTGGCTGGTGCGCGTGGGCTCGAGCAGCTCACTCGAGCGCGACACGCGGGACGCCGACGACGACGACGAGGGCGACCCCGACGAGGACGACCGTCCAACTGCTGCTGATGCTGCTGATGCTGCTGATGCTGCTGCTTGGGCAAACGGAGTCGCACCGGCTGCTGCTGCTGCTGCTGAGGAGGAGGAGGACGAAGACTTGGCTGGTTGTCGCTTCACCATCTTGGTTTGTCAGACAACAAAAAAGGACTGTCGTCTAGTATGGTACTGAATATAGGTATGTGAGTAGTCCATATTGCATTGTTGTTCTGTATGTTGAATCGCTGTGCAGATGCCAGTCTCACTTTGAAAATGAGGAATATTCGACTTTGTGATGGGAAGCTTCAATACCGTATGTTTGACGCTCTCCTTCAAAGAGCAATAATATATTGAGATATACATCTCAGTAACTGATCCAGGTGTGCATCAAAATCGAGTCGCCGTGGCTGCTCAGACAGCCAGTCCGTTTGCTCACATCCAGCGAGCCTTCCCCTCTTTAGCGCTGATTTCACTTCTTTTTTTATTTGAGTTTGAGGCTCGTCTTGTCAGTCTTTTTCTATTGTATTTGCGATTGTTTTGTGCGCGGCGTGTGTGTGTGTTGTGAATGGAGCAGCAGAGTGACTTGCATTCAACTGCATCCACTCAACCACACCCCGCCAACAACCTCAACAACGACAATACCAATCACAGTAACAACCTCAATAACAACAACCGCTCGAAGGACAGCGACGGAGCACCGACGCTCACGACAATGCGACCTCAGCCAGACGATCCGGATCGCACCGGCCTGACGATAGCCGGAGGGACGCCCGCTGCAGCCCAGCTGAGCAGCAGCGACACGGACACGGAGACTGCCGACATCAGCCACAGGCACAGCCACAGGCACAGCCACAGCAGCAGCAATCCGAGTCAGAGGAAGAAGAAGGAGGACGCGTTCACTGCGCACCGCTCCGACGCAACGCCCGCCAGTCTCAATGACAATGACAATCTCAATGACAATGACAATCTCAGTGACAATACCACGAACGCAGACTCGACGCAGAGCGACGGGACAGAGACCGACACGAGTCTCGGCGGGCTCGTCGGCGCAGTGGTCGCAGCCGCTGTCGGCGCTCCGTCGCAGATCATGTCCGCGGGGCCGCTCGACCCAGACTCGGACGTCATGAAGCTGAGCCACCACAATAGCAATAGCATGATGGATGACGGACCTCATCGGAGCGGGTCGCAGGCAGAGGTCAATGCACTGACGCACAAAGTAGGAGATTCAAGCCAAAGCCAAAGCCAAAGCCAAAGGACGGGCGACGTGCACTTGACACTCGCAGCAGCGGATGCTCCTACTTCCGAACCGGTGATTGTATCGACGAGGACGAGCAGCACGCCAATCAAGAATCTCATGTCATCGCAGGGGCTTGACGACGCCCAAGCAAATGACCACATCGACGACAACGACGTACGAGATGACAACTCCGACGAGGAGGTGGACGTAGACGGCGAGACGTCCGATTTGGAAGACGACCAAGAGTTCCAGGACGCACGCATACATGACGACAATGCAGAGCAACCTCAGGCAGGGCGCCGTCGAATGCGTCGCCGACATCGCAAGAAGAGCAACGCACATCAAGGCGCGCAGCATGATGCGCGAGGTGCCATCGACGGAATAGCCATGATCGCGTCCATGCTTGCCCCGTCCGCCGCGCACGCTTCCCTTGTGACTCACCCAAAGAGGCTGGATGTGCCTGCGAGCCCGCCCGCTGCAGCCACCGCAGAGCCGGAAATTGTCGTCACCTCGCCGAGCATCGACCAGCCCATCGCCCCTCAGATTGGCGCAGGAGACACGTCCGTGTTTGAAGTCGAGTCGCTGGGCGATGTTGTTGCGAGCAGTGCCGCGCATCCGGCAACAGCGGCCAATGTCGCTCTTTCACACGAGGCGTCCATCCAAGCCGCGTCGACGCCAACCGGCTTGCCACCGACTGCAGGCACGCCGCTCACACACGCACTCTCCGCCCCGCCCGATTTGCAAGCTGACGACTATGTTCTGATCGAAGAGAAGGAGCTCATGGAAGAGATGGCCAACGACCCTTCCAAGCCGTCCTTTGTTCTCGTCACGCAACTGGCCATCTCTGCATCAGCACCCGCCTCGACCACACAGGCGCATACACCTGACATCCACGACGATGACTGTCGCACCGAGCCGCCGCTGGATGCGGTGGTCGATGGCGAGAGGGTCATCACAATGCGCCTGCCTCCTGATTTAGTCAAGGAGCGCTTGAGACAGGTGGGCGTCGAGCTCGACAGCAACGGCAAAGTGAAACGAGACGAGCACGGCGATCTCGTCTTCTCGTCCAAGTCCACAGCGCAAGGAGACGTTGACCTGAATTTCATCTTTTCCACCCTCCGATCGCTCGGTTACCGCTTGGCGCGTGACGGCGATATTGTGCCTCTCGACAGCACGCCCAGCGCACGGACTCCTGGCGCACCCGTATCAACTCGTGAGGAGGTCATCTCTCGGTTGATTGAGGGAGCAGGCAAAGCCGAGCCAACTCATCCGCCTGCCTCGCGCAAGTCCAGCAAGCCATTGCACCATCGTCCGCGAAGTGAGGTCGACGAAGATGGCAAGCCCCGCGATGAGTGGATTATGCTGACGCCAGCGTCAGACGCGGCTCTGACTTCCGCTTCCTCGACTTTGGCGCCGAGTGCAACACCGGGTGCAACTGCAACAGCAGCAGCAGCAACACCAACAGCGGCAGCAGCAACACCAACAGCAGCAGCAACTACACCAGCGACATCCGCTGCTGCTGCAGAGACGCCCTCTCTCCAGGTTGCAGCAGCAGCAGCAGCAGCAGCAGCAGGCTCGAACGATGCAACACACTCTGCCGGACTCACAACGCCAGGAAGCAAAGGGGAGCTGCTGTTCCTACCCCCAGCAGCGACTGTGCGCGCCACGTCCCCTTTGCAGGATTCTGCTTCCACGATGCGAGGCAAAGGCCACAAGCGCCTGCCGTCCGGCTCCCACCAAGTTCCGCCACCAGCATTGGGGAGCATTGCCGAGGCGCTGGCCTCCGTCGTCTCAACCACGACAGCTGCCGCCGCACAACCAGACGCACCGGACGCGCTCACCTCAAAAGATGCCTTGGGTGCAGCTGCAGCGTCCAATGCTGTCGATGGTGGCGCATTCATCATGACGAGCACGGTCATACCCAAGCACGAGGTGCTCTGGTCTCTCCCACCCGACGAACTCGACCCCGCCGTGGACAGCGATGACGACGAAGAAGCCCAGATGGGTCGCGGAAGTGCTCGTGGTGCTGCATCTGGTTCCAAGCGCAAGGGCATCAGTGGTGGTGGCGTCATGCACAAGTTCTTTTCTCGCACCAGGTCGTTCATGCAGCCTGAAGGCCGATCATCGATTTCCGGCAGCGACGGGAGCGCGCCGACGAGTTCCAAGCGAGACCCACGAGGAGAACCCACCCGGCAGGACAGCACATCATCCAGTGGGAAAGATCGGACTCAGCTGTTCAAGGATGCGAAGCTGGCTGCAAGTGCGCATCAAGCTGCTGCGATTCGCCATGCGCACGATGAGGACGTGTCCAGTCTAGCCTCCAAGTCGGCCTCGGGTGTGGCGACCCCAACCCTTCCTCATGCCGGCGATGGCTCGGAGCGTTTCGTTGCGTTCGATCGCGAGCCTGGGGTGCGTTTTGCGGCCTCCACCTCTGCAGGCTCTGCATCGGATGCGAGCGCTGAGGCCACGACCCACGCCGATTCGCATGCTAGTAGTGCTGCTGCGCCCACTGCTGCTGCAACTACTGCCTCGATCTCTGCCGGCCCGTCTGCCGACCACAAAGGCTTCCGAAAGCGCCTCGCCAGTCGACTGGGTCTGGTCGTTTCAAGCGCTGACAATGAAACTGGCGCAGCTGGTACCGAGCCAGAATCCATCCCAATGGCGAAACGTGGCCATTCCGACTCTGTTGCCAGTGGCAGCTCCACACCCAAAATCGTGGCGAGCGGAGCGGCCGAAGCCTTCACAATGGCTCTTGCACAACTGGAGCGCCTCAAGCAAGAGCAGGCAGAGCGGGCGCCGGACCATTCGGCCGTTGGCGAAGTGGAAGACGAGACTCAGCTTTCGGCGGTGTGGTCTCCTGCCATGCAAGTGGCGATGCAGCAGCACGCCAAGAAGGCACCACCAACGCTTCTTCATCAAAAGCTCCATGCAACTTTGTCTGACATTCCCGAGTCTGGTGAGGGTGCCGCTCTACCCAGCACCCCATCTTCAAAGTCGGCTGCCATGGCACAGGCTTCTGTCGACGAGGATGCTGATTTTGCGCGTGACATGGAGGATTTGAAGCAGCGTTATGAAGCGGCGAAACGACTCCGCGAGTCCGATGCAACCACTCATCCTGACGCTGGCCACTTGGCGGCTGCCTCGGCACCAGCTGTCATTTCCAATCAACCCAACGCAGCTGCAGTCGCAGCCGCTGCCTCGGACGTCCCCGCCCCCGAGGCGCCTGCTGCTTCTGAAGAACGGCACCGAGCCCGCGAGATGTGGCGACGGGTTGCGGATGTCTTCCCTTCCCGCGCCAGCACGTCCGCTCTTCCTGTCGGCTCCCAACAACCGGAAGCGCCTGCAGCAGCACGCACCCGACGCGAGACCGAGCCTGTATCGACTGCAACCTCGACCGGCGAACGAACCCATCGGTTTGACTTTTGGCGCCGCAAGCGACCGCGGTCCGATTCGACAGGTAAAGCCATCTGTTGAAACGAGTGTTATTGGAATAATGTAGCAACTCACCAACAAACTGACCGACCCCTCTTCTCCTTCGTTGATGCTTCTCTTGCTCCAAACTTTCAAACTTTTTTTGTGTTGTCTTTTCTTCTTCCCCATCAACAGCCACTCCAGCGTTGCACCCAGATCAAACGTCAGGAGTGCCGTTTTTCGACTTGTACGCGCATTCGCCTTTCGCCATCAAGACTTGGATGACTGGCGTGCCGGTGCGAGCGCGTGTCATTGCCGTTATCAGCATCAGCGAACCGCTACGACCCACCTACCCTGTTTACACCATCGAGCTGCGACACGGTGCATTCACGTGGTACATTACCCGACGATACAAGCAGTTCTTCAAGCTCCACTTTCAGTTGACACGGGCACGCCTCGTCGGTTCTCTTCATGCACGATTGCCCTCCTTCCCGACCGGCTTTCAAGCGCTCCATCCGACGCTGCATGTGCCCATCAAGGATGTGCTGGAGGCCTATGTCAACTCGCTTGCCGCCAGCTTTGAGCTCCTCGATCACCCGTACGTGCGCTCATTCCTTGAGGTCAGTCCATTCTCGTTCGTCAAGGACTTGGGACCGAAGGGCGTCGAGGGCGCAGTTGCCAAGCGGCACGGTGGCGCCAAAGTCACTGCTGTTAGCGCACTCAGCACGTGCATCAACACTCCGTTCATGCGGTCGGTCACCTGCCGAAACAAGTCGGGAGGACGCAAGCATCGACGAGCCGCCATCTCCAAAACGGACGCGCAGGAGCGCAAGGAAGCGGCGAGCGCATCTGGACGACCCGACAACAAGCCAGCTACCACTGCCGATGCCACAACAGCGCTTGCGACCACCGCCAAAATTGAACACTTGTCACCTCAAGACAAGTCCTCGGCAGCGCAGCTGAGCCCCGCCACGGCTGCTCGCGAGCGGGAGGATGCGCGCGCCGACGCGCGCCAATTCTCCTCCAACAAGGAAGCCAAGTCGCAACAGGATCCGAGTGCGCAGGAAAACCAAGCAGATCGCCGCCGTCACCACGGTCGTGTTGATGATGAAGAAGAGTCCAGCGACTCGCACGAGACAGACTCTGGTGCTGGGACTTCTGCCGCCGCGTCCGCAACCAAAAAGCGGGCATCACAACCCTCAACTCCCTCCACTCCGCCAGCCGATAGCCCTGGCAAGGCTGCCGCCACGCCAACCAACGCTGGTGGCAAGCGTCGGCTCTCCATCGACTCTGCGAAAAAGGTGGCCAAAGCGCGCGCGTCATCGTCCCCTGGTGGTGGCATCACGTCTGTCTTTAGTCGATGGGCCGACGCATGGTTTGTGGTCAAGGACAGCTTTCTGATGTATACCACTCCCAACCAAGCACTCGTCAAGGGTGTCTTGTTGTTTGACAAGTCGTTCAAGCTGCGGACTGGCGAGAGCGAAACGGGCGTCAAGAACGGTGTTCTCGTCTCCAACAACTCGCGCACCCTGCTCATCCGCTGCAAAAACACGCGGCACATGCTGCAGGTCCAGCACGAATTGATCAAGCTGCTCGAGGCTTGCCCGTACGTCATTCCGCATCCAAACAATTCATTTGCCCCCGTCCGCGAAGCGTCGTTGGCCCAGTGGTACGTTGACGGCCAGAGCTACTTTGGAGCCGTTTGCGAAGCGCTTGCCAAGGCCACACAGCAAATCTTTATCACTGACTGGTGGCTCAGCCCCGAGCTGCATCTTCGCCGGCCGGCCGAGGCCTACCCCGACGCACGCCTCGACCGCGTTCTGCTTGAGCGAGCCAAGGCCGGCGTTCGCATCTACATTGTCATGTACAAGGAAGTGGAGGTCGCCCTGACCATCAACAGTCGCTACTCGAAAGACAAGCTGTATTCCATGCCTGGCTCTGAGAATATCATCGTGCTGCGCAGTCCCGACCATCCACCCGACGGAGTTTGGCTCTGGGCCCATCACGAGAAGGTAACCAGCCAACAAGGAAGACAAAGTGCAAAGAAGAAAGAAAGAATATACACTCACTCATGTGCACTATTTTTTGTCGTTTTTGTTCTTTTCTATCCAGATTGTGTGCATTGATCAGAAGGTCGCGTTCGTCGGCGGCCTCGATCTGTGCTATGGCCGGTTTGACAATTACAGACACACTCTGACAGACCTGCACAGCTCATCGACGGCAGAGGGCTTGATTGGGAAGCTGCGCTTGAAGATTGTCAGCGCCATGAATGTTGCCGCAAAAGACATTGCCGGGACGAGCGATCCGTACGTTGTCGTGTCGGTCCAAAACTCGCGATACCGCACCTCTGTCAAATCCAAGACGCTGAATCCCGTGTGGAATGAAACGTTCAAGTTTGACATTACGGACGAGCAAGCCGAAGTCTCCATGCTGCTGTATGATCGTGATCTCATCGGGAGCGACGATTTCCTCGGGCAGGCTGTGTGAGTTGCAACTCTCCTTTTTTGTGGTCTTGACCGTGTTCGGTTTCAGTTGACTAATGGTCTCACACTGCGTCAGACTGAGCTTGAACGACCTGCCCCGCAACAACCAGAAAGCGGTGCTGCAGCTCAAGCTGACCTCCTTGTCGGGTTCTCCGGATGCCGTGCCCGGTCACGTCATGATTGAGGTGAGTGATGAGGAATTCTGCTGGATGACTGGTTGATGGCCAGCATTGACCAATTTTTGCCCATTTATTTTCCGCAGATTACCTACATGTCCATGGAAACAACCGCTCCTCATCTCAAAAAGTATCCCACCTGGCCAGGCAAGGACTACAGCAACCCCATCATCAAGGACTTTTACGACCTGAGCAAGCCCTACGAAGATTTGATTGATCGTGAAAAGGTTCCGCGAATGCCATGGCATGACGTCGCCATGGCCATCTACGGCGATGGAGCACGGGATGTTGCACGCCACTTTATTCAACGGTAAGATTGATATGTCAACAACAACAGCAGCAACAGCAGCAAAACAACAAGAGCAACAGAAAAAAACCGTGCCCAAGTGCTCGTCTTGGTTCAACATCCGACCTCACCTCTCAATGCCTCTCGTCCAACCACAGATTCAATCACGTAAAATCTCTCAAGGCAAAGTTTGATGCCTACATCCCATACCTCGTCCCCAAGTCCCACATGATTGCCGAAGAAATCGAACGGGACCGGCAGAATCTGTCTCTGCTTCCGCCATATCACATTCCGCCGTTCATGTGTGAAACTCAGGTATGCGTGGCTCAGTCTCAATGATTCGAGCGCACGGCTGGAGCTCATCGTTTGATACATACTTCTTGAACAGGTGGTTCGATCGAGCGGCAGGTGGTCGAGCGGTATTCCGACGGAGCGATCGATCGAGGCGGCGTACCTGACCTTGATTCACCACGCGGAGCACTTTATTTACATTGAGGTTTGTAGCTTCCCTTTGGAATTGACCGTGAGGGCGGCTTCGAACTGACGCGTTTTGTTCTTTCCTTTTTTCTTTGTGTGTCTTTCTACAGAACCAATTCTTCATCTCGTCCCTGCCAGACGACAATGTCCACAACCGAATTGGCAATGCACTTGTGGCTCGCATCCTTCGAGCGCACGAACAAAAGCAAAAGTTCCGTGTTGTGGTTGTGCTGCCGCTGCTGCCCGCGTTCGAAGGCGAGATTGGCGGTGCCAATTCTGCCTCCTTGGCAACCGTCTTGCACTGGAACTACCGCACCATCTCGCGCGCCAATGGCAAGTCCATCTTCGAGCGCTTGCAAGCCGCCATCGGCGACGAGTGTCACAAGTACATCCAGTTCTTCTGCCTCCGCCAGCACGCCGAGATTTCCGGCGAGCTCGTGACGGAGCAAGTCTACATCCATTCCAAGCTCATGATTGTCGATGATCGTTACACAATCATGGGATCAGGTAGGAGGGTGCTATCTGGGTTTGAGAGAGAGGGCTTGGTTGTTCGTTTTTTTTTTTTTGCACGTGTGCTTCTCGCTTCCCGCCAGCTACAATTCTCACTGAATCCTCCCTCTGTAGCCAACATTAATGACCGCAGCATGCGAGGACACCGAGATTCCGAGATTGCTGTTGTCGTCCGCGATACCAAGATGGTTTCATCCACGATGAACGGCAAGCCGTTCCTTGCGGGCCAGTTCTCGCACGCCTTGCGCGAATCTCTGTGGCGGGAGATGACTGGCACCATCACTTCGTCTTCTGGCGTGAGCGTGTCGGATCCCATCTGCGATAGCTTCTACGAGGGGGTCTGGAAGAAGATTGCTGACGACAACACCCGCATCTACGAGGAAGTCTTCCGGTGTATGCCAACGGCCAGCATCCACTCTTGGAGCGACCTGACCAAGTGGAAGCAAACAATGAGCTATGCTCTATGCTTTGCCGACGGCGTGCGTGCGCGCGAAATGCTCAAGCAGGTTCGCGGTTTGTTGGTGAATTTCCCGCTCACCTTCATGCGCGACGAGTATCTCGGGCCGGCTGTTGGTCAACGCGAGTTCATGGTTCCCATCAAGACTTTTACTTGAGGCGGGTGTTTGTTTTCGCTCTGTCGTTGTTGATATCAGTTGTTTAGAAGTATTTATTTTCGTGTGTTGATCAACAAGAACTGCTCATGCGAGAAATGTTCATCCAGAAGTGGTGATGATAGGATCATGCTTGGTGAAGAGAAAAAATCGATTACAATTGCATTGAACAAGCGCAAACAAATTGCGACAACCATGAACGACAAAGGAACAAAACAAACAAAAACAAAAAGGCAAAAAGGGTATCAAATCCACAAGAGCCCAGGCAAAAGCTCAGACGGAAAGCAAAAGGCTAGTTGGCTTGATGCGGGTTGAAGGTGCGCATGAGGTCACGGCAGTACAGCACAAATCCATAGCGGGAAATGGTCCACGTGAGCTCAACCACCACAGGGTCGTCGATCGCATAGGCAGCGGCTTGGAACGTGGCAATGTCGGGCGCTTCTCCGCGCATGCCGTGCTTTCGGAAAATATCCAACCAAACGGGCAAGAACAAGCGCGCCAATCGGTCAACGTCGGAGCTGAGTGACCCTGTTTGAGCGTCGTGCTCCGCCATGGTTGCCACAATGTTGGAGTGCATGCGTGGACTAGCGAGCTCGGCATGGATATCGACGAGAATGGCGCGAATTTGCTCAGCCGTCAGTGGTGTACGGCGGGGAACAACGCAGGTGGTTGTGGAGCCGTCGGAGCTGGGCGCAATTGCGAGCTGGGTTGAAGGGCAGTATGTGAGCAGCTGCACCTGGCTCCACAGACGTCGAACAGTCGGGTTGAACCAATGAGCGTGACTAAACGTGTAAAACTGTTCGAAGGCTGGAGAATTGGAAGCAGAGCAAACGGCAAAGTGAGCACAAGGACAACAAGAAAACACAAAGAGCACCCCCAATCAAAATCGAACGCCAACCCTCCTCAATGCTTACCAGACTGAGAATCCGAAATACCAACATCGTGCGCCATCAGTGCTTGCTCGTGCCATGGCCCAGAAATGCGGCAAAGCCGCGAAAAGAGCTGCGAAATGTCGCCTGTGCTGCCGTGGACGAGATCAATCACTTCGCGGTTGATGGGCGACTGCATGACCTTGATGCTTGTTTCAAGAACAGAAATGAACACATTCTCGTCCGTGAGGCGCGAGGGCATGCGTTTCACAATGGTATTGGGTGATGGGGAAGGCAACAATGTCGCCATTGGCTGCCCGTTCAGCGAGCCCACCAAATCCTGGACGTCATCGGTGAGCTCCACGATGGAAGATGGGACGTGGTGGTTGCGGCTGGTGTGTTGCTCGACGGTGGGGGAGCGGCTCTGGTTGCCGAGGAGCTCAAGTTGCGATGCCTGCTCCGTCTGGCTGATTCTCAGGCTCTCCCGCGCAGAGTCAAGCGCGGCATTCATGTGCTTTAGCTTGCGAATGGCGTGATCCAAAATCTCGTCCTTGCTCAGCGGGCGACGCGCGTCTTGAATGGTCGCGAGCGGTACCACCATTCGCTTGAGCGTCTCGTACTTGTCGTTCAAGCGTTGGCGGCGGCGCTTTTCGCTGGCTGTGCGGCAATCGCGCACTGATAAGGGTTTGTCGGTCGCAGTGTTCTCCTCGTCCTCGTTGTCTCCACCAGGTGGTGTGGCGGGGTTCATGTCATAGAGCTCTTCTGGCGCGGAGAAAGTAGGGTTGTTATTGCTGGTAGGTGGAGAAGACAGCGGACGAGCTGCAGCAGCCGCAGCTGCAGCCGCAGCAGCAGTACCTTTTGTGGGCAACCCCTGCGACGCCAGCGGCTCGGATGTGGGTGGCGAAGGGAAGGCGCCCGAACTGCGTGCCGGCACCGGTTGGGCCTGAGGAAGAGCAAATGAGCCTTCAAGAAGTTTGTGCAGCTGGAGCGTCGCCTGATCGACCGAGGCGGCAGCAGTGTAATGGCTGGCGGACGAGGCGGCGGGCCTGGAAGACGAGAGGGTCGGGGTGGTTGAGTAACTGCTGCTCGTTGTCGATTCTGCATTCGAAGCGACAGGGGAGGCTCCAGCTGAAGGCGACCATCGTGGAGACTCTGCAGGTGACGGCTGACGCATGGCGGTTTGTTGTTGCTGGAGTTGCATTCGGTATGTGTGATCTTGCAGCAACAACGGGTGTGTTTCTTGCTGTTGCTGTTGCTGTTGCTGTTGTTGCTGGTACACGATGGTTTTGAGCACTGGGTGCAAGTCGTTCATCGCACCTTGTGACAGGGTGGACAGCCGTGGATTGCCAGCAAAACCCATTTCAGGCACGGCGTGCATGAGCATGGGGGAAAACCCAAATCCATTCAGCGACGACGATGACACGGATTCACTGCTCGCAGAGAACAGTGCGGATGATTTTGCGCTTGGGAATTGTTCTTGCAGTAGCAATGGCTGCTGCTCGCCTGTGTGTCCGGTGTGCATCATGCTTGGGTAGAGCAAGGGCGTCGCCGTCCCTTGGAAATCTCCGTGGCTGGCGGCAAGCATCGTGTCCGGATGGAAGGCGCCCGATCCAGCAGTCGACGCAGCGGCGGACATCATGAACGGTAGTCCTCCGATCGCACTAGCGGTGCTACCAATGCTATCTGTACTCTGATTCGAAGCAACGACGCCCGCCATTGCGGATGCCCCTTGATGCTGGGTTTGCGACATGTAGCTGTTCGTGTCAATTCCGCCACCAATATGGAACGACGTCGGCCACAAATCGCCGTGCTGCTGGCCCTGCTGCAGCATGCGTTGCGTTGTTGCGCCACTCATGCCAGCACTATTCAAGGTTGTCGTAGTGCTAGTGTTCGTGGTCGTCGTAGTCGTCGTAGGAGCAGCCGGTCCAAGCGTTCTCGGCGCTGCGGTTACTGCGGTTGCTGCGGTTGTCAGCGTTGCTGCGTGCTGCTGCTGCTGCTGCTGCTGCTGCTGCAGCTGGAGCTGCAACTGGAGCTGGATTTGCTGCTGCATTTGCTGAATCTGTTGCTGCATCTGCGCGTTATTGTACATGTGCGCAGCGAGGTTGCTCTGAGAAAGCTGCGGGGCATTGGCGGTTTCACCAGCGGGCGTCGCTCCGACTCCGCTCAGCAGCAGCAAGTCCTGCAGCACGTCCATCGGCAACGCTGTCTGCTGCTGTTGTAGTAGTAGTTGTTGTTGACTGTATTGTTGTTGCTGCTGCTGCTGCTGTTGGTACTGGGGCTGCTGCAGTGGTTGGTAGGGCGGCGGGGTTCCCAGCGCTTGCGGTTGCTGAGCATGTACCGTTTTGCGATGCATTGCTGTCGTAGCGACTCCCTCCATTGCGGAAATTGCACTCGTTGGTACCGGTGGTTTGCGGATGGAAGTCGCTGCTGGTAATGGTGAGGAGGGTGATTGTGATTGTGATGATGCTGATGACGGAGAAGGGGAAGAAGAAGAAGAAGAAGAAGGCGGATGATTCACTTAGAAAACGAGCATCCCATCAAAAGATCAGAAAACAGAACGATATGAGAAGTGAGTTCAGAAGGTATGATCAACATTCATTATTCAGGGTATTTTGAGGGGATGATCATGATGATGGGGGTTTTGGATGGGTGGGTGTGCGGGTGCTGGGTCGAGGCGAGTCGGGGCGAGTCAGCGCGGCTTTCCTTTCCCGCAGCTCGCTCGTCCCGCCTTTCAGAATAAAACCCCACTCATCCATCCACGTATTTGATGGCACTCAGCCCCGCCTCAAGCAAATCCACTAAACAACGCCGGGTCATAACATCCGAGCTGCGAATTTACAACCGGTGGTCCTCCGATTTGCGCTCTGCGACCTTCCAGCAGCACAGCCCCCCACACACACACACACGAAGCGACTTTCGAGAATCACAAGAATCGCTGGCAATCAACCACAATGCCAAAAGCAGAGCGTGCGAGTTTGCCTCCTTATCGCGTCAAGGCATTTTGTATGCTTTTTACGTTACGTCGGAGGCTGAAGCTTCGCTGTTGAGCCATCCATCAAAACCAGCCAGTCATCCATGTCGCTCATCTTTGCTATTGAGACGAGGCAGCAGCATTTGGGGCTGTGGCGAATCGACAAGAATCGCGCTGCCGGTGGAACATTCACGAATGCGAACCAATCGCAACAACATGAGGCTGGAAGTCCACAACCAAGCGGAAAAGGGGGGGGGGCGAAAAGGGGGTGGGGGTGCTCAGAGTGGGACACATGCAAGTCGCTCGTCTGCTGGTTGCTATTGCTGGGCGGTGGTGGTGGGGTTGGGCAAGCGAGAGTTCGCTGGACGGGTCAAAGCGCATGACGCTGCCTCTCCGATCCACTTCTGCTTTTTGTATCCCTCACTGATCCGCTTCGTTGTTCATCCGCGCTTCATTCTCGATGCTCTGTCACTACTGCCTGCTGAGGGTGTTGCATCACATCACTCGAGGCCAGCGCTCTGTTTCGTCGTCGTGACTCATCACACCTTTTTGTTTTTGACAGTTACCGATAAAAAGAAAAGTGATTCCCCCACTGATTCTCAATCACGTTGCTCCGTTGTCGGGATGCGCTCTATGCAATCCAATAATACTGCTTGGAATATTAGAGAAGAGGGGAAGCGGGGATGGGGCAGGCGGTGTGGCAGCCGCAGTCCATCGGTCATCGGGGTTGTTGCCGCTCGTTTGACATGTTCGCGTTTCTTTCGTCCATTCAGAATCCGCTTCACAACGCCCCGACCTCTCCAAAAGCAGCAATCGTGAATTTCACTCGCTCCAACATGAATGAACAAGCGAGCAAGCCGAGCAAGACCATACGCGCGCCCGCATTTCGCCCCAAGCAAAGAATGGCGACGTCTTCTCCACCGTTCGTTTCCCAGCCTTGCTCGCTTCTCACCCCGCTGCTCCCTCCGCTTCGGCCTCCACCCAAACACTCGGCCTCCACCCAAACACTTGTGATCTCGCCTGTTGGCTGACTCTGTGATTTGTTTGCAGCACGATTGGAATTCGCCGCGCGTTCGGGTCGGCACGAACCTCGGTCACGAAAAAACGAAAAAAATAAAAAAATACAAAATAAACGCAATCCGCCGCTCAGCATGTGTGTAGACGCGTGTTGAGACTGTTGCGCTTGTGGATTGTGTCGCTTGTCATTGTCGTATCGGAGAAGAGTGAGTGGCCAAAGACATCACAGCATTGCAAAGACAGAGCTTGCAACGACAGCCATGTGGCAGGACTCACGATTGGGAAAAACAGAAAAAAGAAAAAAGAAAAAAGAAAAAGAAAACAACAAAGAAACGTGTCGCGACGAGAGCGCAAAAAGAAGCGACGCCATGGCACCAAGCAGATGGCTCAGGGGGAGAAAAAGCGCACGGCAAGAGTCAATCAGTAAATGACAGAGATGGAGGAAGATGGAGGAGGATGACAGTGGTGAAGTGCAATGAAATGTACCTCCGAAAAAAAAAAAAAAAAAAAAAAAAGACTGACTGGTGATTGCTGAAACAAACAAAAACGCAATCCAGCAATCAGGATATTTTGCATTGCGCCCTCAATCAAGACGACCTTGTGTCAAATCACAGTTGTGCTGTCTCCGTCCTGGTACTCTTTGCTTGTCTCGCACTGGTGCGTTACGCACTCCCATCTGCGCAATCGTGGAAGACACGGCGAAAGTGATAAAGGCGACTTCCAAAAAATAAAAAAATACAAAACAAAAAGCAAGCTTGTCGCGATAGGCCAGACCCAAAAAGGAAAATTCGAACAATGTGTAGCAGCACTGCCATTAAAAAACAATAGAGTAAAAAAAAGTACTGAAGTGGACGCGACCGCAATGGCGATTGAAAGTGTGATTCATCTGGCGAGAGTGGACACAACAGTGCGGTACCACATGATGCTTGCCTTCTGCCCCGTTGCCCTTCATCTCGTTCTCTCCCATCGTCGACGATCGCAAAAGAATTAAGCAAGCAATCGACATCTTGACAACATGCAAGCTTTTCGCAGACTCAACGATCAAAGTTAGGAACAAAAAACCCGAAAAAAAAAAGAAAAGAAAAAAAAAAAAAAAAAAAAAAAAGTCAAACGTGTGGCAAAAAGTATTTTTTGTGTTTTTTTTTTTTTTTTTTTTTTAACCTGCTCCACATGCTGTGGCTTTGTCTTTGTCGGTGTCGCATTTTTGAATTGTTCCCAACAACCGCACTCTCACACTTTGATGCCGCAAAACCCCGACTCGCACTCAGCAGGGCTCAAATCAACAATATTTGACAAGAGGAGAGCACAAGCAAAACATCCGCTTGAACCAAAAAACAGATCACAGGACACGACCACACCGCCCCAACGATAGTGGAATGCCCGCAATGCCAACCACGGCCCGACAGTCGGATGTGGCATGTTTCGTTCTTTGAAGTGTTTGTTCCTTTGCTGGCCGTTTTGTTGGGGAGGTACGGCACAATAGTCGTGACACATGTTTGTTTTGTTGACGATGAGGCGCCGATCGAGATGGATGCTGTGGACAATCGGAAGAAAGGAGGAGAGACAGAGCAAAGGAGCAGTATGGCAGTAGAGGAGGGGGGGGGAAGTGTGGGTTTGGAATGGTGATAAAGGGGGTTGAATCATCATGCCCATTGATTGCTGGCATTTGCAATTCAACTTGTTTCGCATCACCCGATCACCGTTTTGGTTTGACAAAGTTCCGGATCACAACGCACAGCCACACGCGATGTCCAGATCACAAGCTTACTCGTGTCAATGAAAAAGAGAGTGAGAGATATCACAAAAACCAACTTTGGAAGATTTTTGTTTTTTTTTTTTAAAAAAGTTGTTTTGGACAGAAGGTACACTGACACACAGGCAAGAAACAAGAAGTAAAAAAACAAAAGCCAGACACACGCATGGAGAAAGAGAGAACCGGGCTCATTCTTCCCTTCAATCTCATGCGCAAGCAAGTGCTGACATTTGCAGACTCAGATGTGGGGGGGGGGACAGCGGAGAAACAACACAATGCTTGTTAATCGTCGTCGCTCAAGTCCAGATCGCTAATGTCGTCAATATCAATGTCCGAGTCGTCGTCGTCAACGGCCGAGGACTTCTTTGCAGGTGTCACGGGCGCCGCCGCGTACGATGGTGCGGCCTCCACAGACTTGGCTGGGACGGCGACCGGGGAGCTGCTGCTGGTCGATTTGGCGGCGGTCGAGTGCGGCGGTGGGGTGGCAGAGCGCGATCCTCCAACACTGGATGATGTGGAATGGTAGGACGAGGTGTTGCGAGCAGTGGATCGCGCAGGCGGTCGCTCGTCCTCAGAGTCATCCGACAAATCATCATCATCATCATCGTCGTCGTCATCATCATCATCATCGTCTCCGTTTCGAAGTTTCTGTGGAAGCGCGAGATTAACGAGCTGAGCATTTTGTGTTGTTGTTATAGTTTGTTTTTTAAATTCTGCTTTTGGATTTTCATGATCCTCGCTCTATTCCGCTTCTCGCTTTGCCTCCCCTTGTCGTCTCTTGGCTTTACACCACTCGTGTTCCCATTCCACAATTTGTCAAGTAATGGGGAGAGATTTGGTTTCAGGGTTCGCGTTTTCAAAAGAAACGCTTCAGCAACAAAATGTGCGTCTTTTGAATTTGCATTTCTTTTTAAAACTGCTCACCGTTTCGAGGGCATTGATCTTGATCTTGTTCTGATGAGCCTCTCGCTTGAAGCGATCCTGCTCTTGCATGGCAATCTCGAGCTCGGATTCCAAGGTGCGCTTCTTGCTGTTGAACTCGCTTTCCTTGATTTCCTGTTGTTGATTGTTTGTGTTTTTTTTTTTCAAAAAACAAACAAAGGAATCCACAACAAAAAAAACACAAAGAATCGCGTTACAAATAACAAACGAATCAGATCAACAACCAACAGCGTTCGCTCTCGACCCTCCGAACAACGAGCAACCACCGTCATAAAACAAAGCTTACCCATGCACTCAGCTCCTCCTTGAGCTCGGCAGCACGGCGAGTGGCCTTCTTGGTGGCCTCGAGCGCTGCATTGCGCTCGGTGCGCTCGCGCTGGAGATCTTGCTCGATGCGCTCGATTTGATCTTCGAGACGCTCCATCTTGGCCTCTGCCTTCTTGCGGGCCATCGCTTCAACGGATGCCTTCTCTTCGGCAGAGTGTGCGCGACGCTCGGCGCGATCCAACGCGCTCTTGCTGACAATCTCGCTGTCAGCTTCCTCGAGGCGTTGCTGAGCACGCTCCAGCTTTCTGGTAAGCTCAGTCTGTGGGACGAGTGCAGTATTTGTGAGGAAGTGAATGTGACGTGGCAAACAGACACGCCCCAGGAGCAAGATACAAACCAACAACCAAATTTCAAACAACAACCGAGCTGCCAAACCATACCGTCTTCTCTTCAAGCTCCTCGTTGGCAGACTTGAGGTTGCCAATTTCGTCGTGCAGTGAGTTGACTTGGCGAGAGATGCTGCGATACTTTTCGAGCATTTGATCAAACTCCTCCTCGTCCTCGTCCTGCTTTGTCTTGAGATCGGCGAGGTCGCGGTGGGCCGAGTTGTATCGATTTTCAATGTCGTCTCTGGCCTTCTTCAAACTGTCGACCTGGCTTTCAGCCTCCTGTCTCAACCAGAAATGATGATGACACGATGAGCAACGCCATTCATCACTGGCACTCGGCGGAAAAAAACAAAACAAACAAACAAACAAACAAAAAAAAAGCATGAACACGCCAGCTTCTTGGCCTTGACAAGGTTGGCAATCTGCTCTTCCATGTCTTCGATCTGAGCACGCAATGCCTTGACAGCACGCAATGCCTTGACAGTGCCGGTGGGTTCCGATGACTTGGCGTTGGACGACGATGCTGTTGCCTCTTTGCTTCTTCTTTGTCTTGGCAAGAGCAACAGCTCGCGCTGCGAAACAACAACATCAGACGAGAAAGCAGCGAACAATCAGCGCAACCCACTTTTTTACGAAACAAACCAAACAAAGCGAAACCAGTCGAATGCCTCACCCTTCAAAGCCAATTGCAGCTCATCAATTTTGCCTTCCAGATCGCGCTTGGAGCGCACGGCAATGCCACGCTCCTCGGACGCCTCTTCCATTTGCTGTTCGATGGCACGAATCTTCTTTTGCGTCGAAAACTGGAGCTCTTCCATCTCCTGATCCTTTGCTTCCAGATCTTGCTTGATCTTGGCCCTGTAGAGAAAAGCGCAATCAAGTCAAAAAAACTGTTCCCCAAACACACACACACACACACACACTCCCTTTCAAAAACAAACCCCCAATAACGCCCACTCACTTGAGCTGGTTGAAGGAAACCTCGATGCGCGTCTTGGCTTGCTCGGCAAGCTGGACCTTTTCCTCCAACTCGTCGAGCTCCTCGTTTTGCTCCTCAAGCTTGGCCTCGAGATCGCGCTTCTGGCGCTTAATATCGCTCATGGCACGGTCATCGGCAGAGCCAGCGGCGGAGGCATCCTCTTCCAGGCGGGTCTTCTCGCGCTGCAGCCGAACAATTTCGACTGCCTTGTTATCGAGCTGCTCGTTGAGCTCGCTGATTTCGTCTTGCAGCTTGTTGCGCTCCCGGATGGCCTGCTCCTTGAGCACGCGTTCGGTGGTGGCCTTCTCGACGTACTCTTGCAACTCCTCGTCGATTTGCTTGCGCATTTCATCGTCATCAGCGCCGGTCGTGCGCAAATCGTCGCGAGACGAGCTAAATTTCAAGTCCTCCATGTCCGATTGCAGCTTGTTGATCTTGCGCTTCTGGTCAGAGTTGGTCTGCTGCAGCGTGTCGACGTCGTTTCGCAACTCCTCCAATTCCATTTCTGCCGTCTTTTTGGCCATGCGCAGGCGCTCCATCTCGTTGACGTCTTCTTCGTTTCTGTTCGACAAAGGCAGTGACAAAAGTGAGAATTGTCGGCATCATTTTTTTCTCCTCACTTTCTTCCTCTCTCCACACTCCCCCCTTCGAGTTCCCCAACGCTCTTGTTTCTCTTTCTTTTCTTACCGTTGCTTCAACGCATTCAACTCTTGCGTAAGTTTGGTCAGCTTCAGAGTCTGGTCGCTCGAATCGCCCTTTCCGGGAGACTCTTCCAATTCGCTGCGAGCTTCCTCCAGGTCTTGCTCGAGCTTCTTCTTTTGACGGGTGAGCTTTTCGTTGGCAAGCTCGAGCGTTTGAATTTGGGCTTGCGTGTCCAACTTTTGTTGCTCGACCTGACGACTGTGGAGGAGCGCCTTCTCGTAAAAGCTGGTCATGTCCGCCACAGCGTCGCGCTCTTGTGTCAGGGCAACCATGAGTTCCTCGACGCGCCCTTCGAGGGCCTTTTCCTTGGAGCGGAAGTCCTGGCGCTCGGCTTCGAGCCGCTTGAGCTGCTCCTTCATCTGGCTGACCGCCGCCGAGTCGTCGTCATCGTCGCCTCGAGGCGCTTTCATTGAGCTGGTGACTTGCTGGAAGAGCTTCCACCAGGGCCAAGTGCGCAGCATCATGTGGATGCGCACGTTCTTTTGGATGACAATGGCCGAAAGACGCTGGCCGGCAAGCTCGGTGGCGAGTGTGCGACCGAGATACCCGCGGCACGCCGCCTGCAGCTTGACCGTTGCATCGACAAGGCGCTGCTGGCGCATGCGCTCGAGGACTTCAAAGGCGCCAACCCGCAGCAGGACGTTTGACTTGCCAGCCTGCACCGATCCGCTCGAGAAGCTGCCGTCAAGTGCCTTGACCAGAGCGCGTGCCGCACCATCGTGGTCTGGAGGCAATGTGACTTGCGATGCCAGCGCACGGTAGCGATGCACAAACTCTGACAGGGGCACCTGCAACGTGGGCAAGCGGCGTTGCAATCGGAGAATGTCAGTGACAAGCGACGGACGCAGCTGGAAGGCAAAGGCGGTGGCGTTCTGCGCGGCCGACGCGCCGGGGGCCAGGCACACGACGGTGTGCAAGTCTGCCAGGCTCAGCAACTGCAAGCATGCCTCCAACTCCTCGATAGCTTGGGCGACGGCCGTGCGGCTCGTGGCGCTGCGGCCAGACGGCGCAGTGCCGGCTTTCTTGGCCGCCAGAGCCACGGCTGGCGACAAGACCGAGGACGATGCATTCACGGCCGAGGCTTCGGCCTGCTGGTTGACAATCGTGACGAAAGGTCGCTTGGACTCGTTCAAGAGCTGGGAGCACGCCTTGGGCAGCGTCTTGCGGTTTTCCTCAATCAGGCCCTGGACGGGGTAGTCGACAGCTCGTGCATAGTGCATGACGGTGAAAGAGCTCGTCTTGGGCACGAGCCGACCGTGATGGTCGGGAACAGTGACAAACTTGCACGCGGCCTCGGCAGCGTCGCCCGAAGTGGCAGGTGCCTTGCCTTGGGCAACTTTGGCGCGCAGCGCCTCGAGGAAGCTGGCGTCGTTGCCAGAGGGATGCATCGTCTCCTCATCGAGAATGCGGACCAAGCCGTTGGCCGAGAAGAGCGCCGAATGGGCGGCAATGTAGCCCTCAGCACCGTCAAAGTCTTCGCCATCGTAGGTCAGTCCCTCAAGCGTAAAGGTGCGTCGCGGCTTTGCAAAGGTCTGGTCTTGGATGAAATGCTGCACGCGCTCGGAAGTGAGGTTGGCGAGAAGACGCGAAAGCGTGCTGATGCCGGGCTCGGTGTCGGCCGGAACGGCCATGGCGTTTTGGTCAAAGCCGGGCGTGTCGAGGAGGAAGAGCGTGAAGGTCGCCGCGAGCTTGCTCTGGAGGCGCTTGTTGATGCGCTGAACAATGACGGCAAAGAGGCGCGAATGCAGGGCGCGAGCCAGCGTGTCGATGGTGTTGTACACAATCTCGGCGGACTTGACGGGCACACCTTCGGCGTCACGCGTCAGGGACTTTGACAGATCGTTCGCGTTGACGCCCAGCAAGCCCGCTGCGCGCTGCAGCGCGCCGCTCGGATCGGCAATCGTCATGGCTGGGGACACGGTGAAGCAGCCGAGGTTGAGGATGGCCGAGAGCAGGTGCCAGATGGACTTGACCTCGTCGGCTTGGAACCCAAGCAGCTCGAGCGCCGTCGACAGGCTGGCAATGCTGGACGTGGCAATAGGCTTGGCAGCAGCGGTAGAGGGCGGCAGGTAGCGGGTGTGCTTGATGGTGTCGGGTGTGAGGAGCAGCTCCGTCTTGAGCGTCGCATCGTCCATGGTGGCCAGCTGGTGGAAGACATGGAAGGCGTGGGCCTTGGGGGCGGTGGTGGCGTCATCGCGAGGGAAGGAGCGGAGACGGTCGAGTCCAAAGCACTGGAACGTGGCACCCGAAACGCCCGCCGTCTTGTCAAAGGTGAGCGAAACGAGTGTCGAGGCGCGGGAAGAAATGTCATTGCCTCGAACATCACCGCCGAACGATTCAATCACAGAGTGCGCGCTCAGAAGGGCGCTCTCGAACGCGGTTGGCGTGGCGAAGGTCGAGCGACCGCCTCGGCCGAAACGAGCAAAGAAGGAGAGCAGGGCACGAAGCGTGTGCGTCTTGCCCGAGCCACGCTCGCCAGTAATGACAATGGACTGCGGTCGGTGGGTGAGAAGCATTTCGGCGTAGACGGCGGACGCCTGGCCGTACACGTGCGGGGGCAACTCTGCTCGCATGTGCGATCGGAAGACGCCGGCGACATTTGGCGCATAAATAGCGGGCTGGGGCTTGTTTGGTCGCGCAATGACGAGCGCTGCGCCAGCATTCGTGTGAATAATGTCGTCCTCGAATCTAGCATTGAGATGGAAGTGGTGTGTGTGTGTGTGTGTGGGGGGGGTGAGTTTATGGACATGAGCAAAAGTCGAACAAAAAGCTTTTTTTTTTTCGTACCGCTTTGACACCGTGTTGGCGGCACTGAAGGCATTGGTGAAGGGGTGGTCTGCGAGATCGTCGGCCTTGTCCCACTTGCGAGCATTGACCTTGTCGACGTCCGAGTCTGTGACTGAGACCTCCGAGCCAGCAGCCGAGCCCGTTGTGATGGCAACCTGTGAGTCGAAACAAGGATAATCGGGTTTAGTAAAAAGGTCAGACTTGCACCCTCCACCATCATGACACTGGAGCTCTTATTTGTTGATGTTTGGTGAGTGAGACATTGCGCGATCAATTGCGGTACATTGTAAAGTGAGGTTTCCGGCTTTTTTTTCAAACCGCACACACTTCCATGCTTCAAAACCTCAGTTCGATCCATCATCGTTTTTCATTTTTCACTTTCATTGCATTTTCAAAGCCAACCGTCTGTGAAATTGATCATCAAACAACCCAAACAAGCAAACCTTCAACAAACTCGAAAAAATCACGCAACGTTTTCAATGCAAAACTCAAAGAAACAGAAAACAAAATAAACAATTTTTTTTTTTTTTTTTTGCTTCTTTTCGATTTTTAAATAAAAACCGCTTTTTTTTTTTTTTTTTTTTTTTTTTGGTTTTTGTCAAAATCCTCGCAATTTTCGACCTGTTTTTCTGCTTTGTTTGACTCAAGTCTGCCTTTTTGATTGGGTGGCAGCAGAATGAAAGCAGTGATGAGATGAAATGAAGCGGCGGTTGGAGTTGGGAGTTGGGAGTGGAAGGGGGATGGAAACTGAGTCACGGAACGAAAAGCGACAGAGAAACAAAAAAAAAAAAAAAAAAAAACTGTTGACACGGATCGCTCTCTGTCTCGCTCTCTCTATCTTCAACTGAACTGTGTGCTGACTGTCACACCACCCAAGAGTAAAAGAGATCAAAGATCAGAGAGAGAGAGAGAGAGAGAGAGAGAGAGAGAGCGTCGGGTCGGTACCGTGAGCTGGGCGCCGGACTCTGCGCGGGAGACGACGCGGCCGGCCTCGAGCGAGCGGCGCAGGCCGTTGTCTGTGGACGCGAGCAGCCAGACGAGCTCGTCCTGGCCAGCCGCAGCGGGTGCAGGAGTGGTGGCGCCTGCATCGGCACTAGCAGCAGCGTCGCTCTTGGGGAGAAGCAGCTCGAGCGTGCTCTCGGCGCGCTGCAGCGACACGGACTGGGTCCGGCGAAGGGCAGACCGCGTCCGCACGCCGCTCGCAGATCCAGCAGGCACGCCGCCGACAGACGAAGCCGACGCGGATGATTGCAGCGACATTGTTGCAGCGAAGGAAGAGCGAGGAAGGAAGAATGAGAAGAAGAATGAAGAAATGAAGAATGACCAGGAATCTAAAATCTCAGAAATCCCAATACAGTAAAATTCAGAAGAGCAAAAAAGAAAATCATTCATAGACAAGGGTTGAATCGATTTGTTGTGGTGGACTTGTCTGTGGGAGATGGAGAAAGGCTCCAGAAAGCCTTTTCCGAGGTTACAATCACCCGAATCACTCCTGCTGAAGCACGCTCATGCCAGAATGCACGCGGAAGCTTCGAGTACTCGAAAATACAGTCAAGAATGCGTAACATGGTCAAAATGCACCAGACGAATCAGCGATTTTGGACGAAATTTTTCATTCAAATTTCATCATTGACCGACACCAAAAAGCACCAAGAAGGGCGCTACTGCATCTTGGAAATGTCCTCCAAAACAATAGCACGCAAATCCGCGTAGGCCTGGTCGAGATTGTCGTTGATAATGGTAAAGTCGTACGAGCCGGGGAGGGCGGCATACTCAAACTCGCCCTTGGCCGTGTCGAGGCGCTTGCGCAGGCTTTCCTCGGTCTCGGTGTTGCGATCACGCAGACGCTTCTCGAGCAGCTCGAATGTCGGGGGCTGCACGAACACAAAGCGTGCGTTGAGGTCGGTGTTCTTGACGCTCTTGACGCCCTGCATGTCAATGTCCAGCACGCAAATCTTGCCACGGCGAACAACGTCCTCCACAGCGCGCTTGCTCGTGCCGTACATGTTGCCCGAGAACTCGGCCGACTCGATAAACTCTCCCGCAGCGACGCCACGAATCAGGTCTTCGCGGGTGGTAAACCAGTACTCACGGCCGTGCTCTTCGCCGGGCCGCGGCTTGCGCGTGGTGTCTGTTTTTTTTTTCACAATTCAACAATTGTTGTCAGATGAGTTTGAGTTGCTTTGTGTGAATGCAGTTCAAAGCCCCTCCTCCTCTTACGCGAGATGCTAAAGCCGAATGCGTTGGGGAACTCTGCCATGAGCTTCTTGAGCAGCGTGCTCTTGCCGGCACCGGACGGACCAGCCAAGACAATCGGGCGCGGGCCAGCACTGACAGTTGTGGCAGACATGGTGACGAGGGTTCGAGTCTCTGCGGGGGCCAGTAGAAAGAGTATGGAGAGGCAGCATGGTGAGGTTCAGTAAGTCGGTCGGTCAGTCAGTCCCGCGATCCAATGCATTGACTAGAGTCTGCTCGTTGGATAAGAAAGCGCATGAATCGAACGAGTGCACAGTTCGTCGTGGAGAGAGTGAGAGTGAGTGATGCTTACGTTGAAGGACTGTTCGCAGCATACACAGGAGAACTGAGCCCCAAATGCCTCATCTCAATTGGACAATGTGATGTCAGTTTCATTGCCACATATCGAGCTGTATCACAAGTAGCAGCGAGAATCAAACTGAAAAAAACAATAGTCAGCTAAACAAGAAAAAAAAAAAAATCCAGTCCTTCATTTTTTTCTTGACACAATGGTATAGCGTTTTGTTTCAGCTAGAGCGACGATTTCCTTGATACTCTTTCTCTCTCGTTTTGCTTGACTTTTTTTTTTTTTTTTTTCCTGTGTTCTCCCCCGCTCCCGATCCCCCCCCCCGCCGCGGTCACTGCTCTTGATCCTCATCGCTTGCTCATTTGCATCACACCATGCGCTGCCCGTTGGGGTGCTGCTGCTGCTGCGGCTGCTGTCTGATCCCGTTTTTGCTTCCAATGCATCTCCACTCACTTTTCATCCACTGCTCCCCCCCCCCTTTTTGACTTTTTTGACAGGGTGGCGGCGCTCGCTTTGAATTCCCTCGCTACGTCTGGTCCCCGACCGGCGGCTGGTGGCCAGAGCCCAAGATGTGGAAGCGCAACACGCTCCTCGCAGGCGCATTCATTGTCGCCGCATGCATCCCCGTCTACAACCTGTCCAAGCGACTCGAGGCAAGTGTGCAAAATGCATTCATTGATCTTGTCTTGCCAATTGTTGGCACCAGGAGTCGGTGATCTGTTCATCCACGGCTGCTCTTTTTTCATTCAACATTCAACCTGTCGTGTCCCCGCGGGCAACCTTTTGGGCGGAATCTAACGTCTGAGTGTGTTGTTATGTATGTGCTTGTCTCTGATCTTGCATTGCTGCGGGGTGCGGGGTGCGCAGGTCCGACCAGAGAAGCTGCCCGTCATTCCTGCTCATCTCATGCCACCACCTGTACGTTGTTGTTGCTTTGTGTGTGATCTCGCCGTTTTGCGTGTAGTTCATGCAACTCACGTTGATTTCGCTGTACTGCATATGCTGGCATTGACAGGGCGCTGCTGATGGATCACACCACTAAAAAATACAAAATTGCTGCTTGTCCCCGAACGAGTTTCAACGTTGTTGGTTGTGTGTTTTGTTTTGTTTCTACTCAACAAAGCATATACATGTACTTTACGAGTGCATTTACGGTGATTTGGGTGGAGACAAGCGTGCCACAACAAAACAAAGCGACGGAACAAGTCGAAGCATCTGAGGGATTGCACAAAAACCAGTATCAACAAACAACAGACAAAAAAAAGCACAAAACAAATACAAATCAACGGAATCCATTCACGCTACCCGGAAGCACTGGCTGCTGCTGCGCTCCTGTAGTTCTTGTACAGTCCAATGAAGGAAGAAATCGAGCCAAAGAAACCAACAACGTAGGGCGGGAACTTTTCGGCCCAGAGATACCCCGATGGCAACCAATGGATGGCGTTCATAAAGTCGCAGCCTTCCTGCACAAAGCCGAGCACGAGGTTTTTGCGCCGATCCTTGATCGCCTTGTGCATTTTAACATATTCGGGCGAGCCAACGGCCGGTCCGGTTTTCCGCGCAGCCTCGCGCGCAAGCTTGCGCTCTTGCACGTACAGCTTGCGCAGCAGGTGGATGTAGGACACGAGCGAAAAGATCAATGCAAAGACCCAGAACACGTCCGAGCGGTCGTACCACTTGTTGACATCCACGGTCATGAGCTTGACCGAGCCGGCCCACGCAATGTGCTCGCACGGATAGTATAGCAAGTAGAGGACGTTTTGCATGACATTGCAGACTCGCACGAGCACATCCGGCTCCTGTCAAGGTAGAATGGTGAGTGAACGAGATTTTGAAGTTTTCGCCAACAAAACCAAAAAAAAAAAAATCAACAAAACCAAAACTGACCGACGATCCAGTGCCATAATCGATGGATTCAGTCACCATCGAGACGCCATCCAGCAGGCGTGTCATGACGCGCAGGTTGCTGATCGCCTCGCTCAGCGTCTGCAGCTTTTTGACTCCAGTTGTGTTTGCACCTTTTTTTTTTTTTTTGTTTTTCAGGTCTTTGTAAGTCCAAGCATACATTTTACTTCATCCATCAACAGTAATGCGCTGGTTACTTTTAAACCGGACGAGAAGACCTGAGATGAGCTTGGCCGAGTATCCAACGGTACGGAAGACCTGTTTTCCAATGCAATGTTGGGATGAGAATCAGCTCGTTGAGGCACTCTCATCGCGTATTCCCATTGTCACTGCTCTTGAATCTGATATAGCCCTGAGCGGAGAGTCGGAGAGTCAGAGAGTCGGAGAGTGGGGGGGGGCGCTTTCCGATCGCGGAACTGAGAAGCGGAAGAGGTTGGAGTCAAAAGCCGACCATGCTTGAGCCTTCCCCAATGGTCCCCACCAAAAAACTCAACCCCATCTCAGTGGACGCGTTCATCCGTAACTAAGAGCTGGGATTGAGCGGGCGGAAGCTGAGAGTGGAGGCTGCGAGCAAATCCCCTGCGGAACTGAACGCGTTTTCGTATGGAGCTTGGTGACCTTGTCCCGGCCGGCTTTGGTCTCGAGCAGCGTGCTCCAGATGTGCAGCTGCGCCATTGCAGGTTTGGACAACGACATGATGAAAAAAATTAATACGAATAATCAGTGCAAAAATTGCTTTTGAAGCAAGGCAATAAAAAAAAAAAAAAAAAGTGAATATGAAGACTGTGTTCGGATGTGACGAGGACTGCACGGCTGAGAAGTTGTCAGATTCAGCATCATTCACAAAACAAACGGCTGACAAAAAGCGTGTGCAGAATGAAAACCAAAAAAAGAGCCGCGAAACAAAAACACTGCGATTCACCAATTGCTAAAGTTGCCGTATTGCGCCCTGGGCTTTGCAGCGGGTGGTAGAGTAACCGCAGGACGCTTGGAGTCGCCCTCGAGAGCCTCGCTGGCTGGTCGCTTGGAGCCGGTGGTTGTCGCGGCTGCATTCTGCGCGAGATATCGGCCAACACCACCACTTCCGACAGGTTTGGATTCGGAGCGAGCTGCTGGTACAGACGCCCCCGATGCAGGTGTCGACAAACTGGACGACGCGGCAACCACTGGGGTGTCCTTTGCCTTGGGCGACGATGCTGCTGCAGCTGAAGAGGAAACCACGCTCCCGCCCAACTTTTCCGCCTGCTGGCGCAAAAACAAGGCCTTGAGCTTCTCATCGGCGTCCCGATATGGCTCAACAAATACCTCGACAGACACAATGGTAATGGGAGTAACAGGCTTGTCGTCCTTGTCGACCTCAATGCGTTCCATCGCCGCCAATGTTTCAATTCCACCCACAACCTTGCCAAAGACGGTGTGCTTGCGATCCAGGTGCTTGCACGGCCGATATGTGATGAAGAACTGCGAGCCATTTGTGCCCGGGCCGCTGTTGGCCATGGAGACAATCCCTCGCGCGTCGTGCAGCAGATTTGGCTTGAATTCGTCTGCGAACGGCTTGCCCCACGCCGAGGCTCCACCGGTACCTGTGGCTGTTGGATCGCCTCCTTGAATCATAAAGTGTTTGATGTTTCGGTGGAAGGTCGTGTTGTTGTAGTAGCCCTTCTTGGCCAGCCGAATAAAGTTCTCGACCGTTTTTGGAACGAGATCCGAGTGCAGCTGAGTAATGAACAAGCAAGCAAACAAACAAAAAAGACAAAGAAACAAAAAGATGAGCCCACCCACTCAACAACAATCACAACAACAAACCCCTCCAAAAGATGCCAAACCTCCAAGTTGAGCTTGCCCAGATTTGTCGTGATGGACACGTAGGACTTGGTCTTGACCTCGGCGTAGCGCAGCGTATCCCTGTCTACACGTTCACCACGCTGGGCTGTTGCAATCGTCATGGCTGTGGACGTGAGAGACGCTGCTGTCGAACCGGTCGAGCGGGTCGAAAACACTTCGGGCACAAAGTTGGCGTACTCGTCCTCCTCATCTGGGGCCTGTTCTAGCAGCGCCTTCAGCTTTGCGGCGTCCTTCTCTTGCTGTTTCTTCTTGTCGGCGTCCATTGTCTTGTACAGCTCGTCGAGCACGGACGACGTGGCCGAGTTGAGGCGAATGTGCGCGGCAGCCGGGTTGGCTTCGGGCGCTTCGTCGACCTTGAGCTTGTGCTTGAGGTAGTGGAACGAGTCGACGTCTCTCGTGGTGAGATCGGACGGGTCCTGGAGCGTAATCATATCTGCGCGCGTGAATGGCTCGTCTGTCAGCAAATCCTTCCAGTTGCGAGGCTTAATGTTGAGCTGCTCGACCGCGTCGTACGCGTAGACATTTCCCGTCGTGGCAATGGCAACGAGATGCGTAAACTCGTTGAATGGCTTGAAGGTGACTGGGCAATGGTACTTTCCTTGGGCGTCCTTGTGGAAGTTGAGCGTGATGAGCGACTTGGTGTCGAGCGGTGCGCCCGTCACTGGATTGCAGCCGTGCTGCTTGATGAATGGCACAATCTTGAGCAGATCAAACACCTGCCCTTCCCGCGTGGCGACGGGGTACTCGAATGGCTGCAGCGACAGTGCGCAAAAGTTGAACGGCAGGCGTCGCACGGACGACTTGACCTGGTCCTTCTTGCCGCCGCCCTGTGGTGGAAGCGAAGGGGTGTGGGGTGTGAACACGAAGAAGAAAGCAGTACAAGCGGAGAGAGAAGGACAGAGAAGGACAGAGCGCGATTGTGAGAATAACAACAACAACAACAACCAAGGAGGGGATTATTTTCTGAGAAACTCGTGGTTTTGATGGCAATGTTGAGAAATTCAGACCTCGTATTGCCACTCGAGGGTGGTGAGATGGAGCTTGTCTTTCTGATGATGTCCTCGTCCCATGTTCACAAGAAGCAGAAGCAGAAGACTGAGCAAAAGAAAGTGCAACTGCAACCCAAAGCCAGGCTCTCTGCCAAGCTGCAAGTTAATCAGAGACGTCTAGCAAAACAACTGAGGAACCAAATGCGAGGTGGCAAGGAGCTTGACATTTATTGCAGAAAGCTGGAGACACTGGATGGTGGAAGGGGTTGGAGCGCAGACAGCGAACCAGACAGTGGCCATGATTGACAAAAAAAGCACACCTCACAACACATCACACAGCTTTGAGCTCAAGCAAAAGTTTGGCGAGCATGGCCTTGCGCGCCGCTTCCTTCTCTTTGTTGGTTCATTTTGCTGCCACGGTGTCACGAATGGCTTTGGTCGCTCATGTCGACGCCTCGGCCAGCATTCCAAGCCGTTCCAACATCAACCTCTTCCCCTGCTCTATATCGTTATCTTGAATACGAGTGACGCGCGACAGATCGAGCAGGGCAGCGTGAAGAACTCCATTCACCCTGTAGAAGCCGACGTGACGCAAGTCCAAATCGTCGTGCCGATAGCCCGCCTCCGCCATGGCGGTAATGGCGGTGCGGATGGCGTCGAGTTCGGCTGGGTCCGTGCGCGGCTGATCATACGTCTTGAGGAAAGGCATGACAAGGCAGAGCCCCATTCTATTCAAGGTGTGAGTGAACGTGGCGGGTAGCCCTGGCCAGATCTTCCAACGTTCGCACTCGGCTTGAACATCTTCCGCCAACGTTCCTGGCAGAAAGATCTTCACGACGCAGACTTTGCCGCTCTCTTTGCCATTGGTGGCCAGCCACGCTGTGCCATCTCCGCCACCGCCGAGTCGGAACAGCAGCCAGAATTGTCCCGATTGCTTCGACACCATCGCGGAAAAATTGAGCACGGGGTGCGGAATGCTTTGCCACGAGCGATCAGCCTGTGAGATGTGCAGCGCTACTCTGCCACCGACGGCACGGCTGGGAAGGGCGCGACTCATCTTGTAGAGCACCGAGAGCAAATGCGGGAAAAGCCGCGGGTCGTCGTGGCGGAAAATGCTCGAAGCATATAGCTGTCGGGGCAGCTCTTGTCCATCAGGTAAATTGGCCGTGAAGGCGTTCGTCGAGGAGAAATCAGGAACTGGCGCCCCGGCCGCAAACCCGTCAAGATCCGGTCTGCCTGGAAGAGGCAGCGGGCCGTCTGACCCGGCCATTGCGATGCTCAGCGGATCATCGAGCCAGAAGATCCTCCAGAACCTGTAGTTGGTGAGGACGCCAAAAACGTGGTTGAGATTGAACGTCATGCGAAGCTCTTGCATGTCGTCGAAGAGCTGTCCGATGAAATGGGTGTCATTCATATCTTCCTTGGCGAGTCTGTAGTTTTCCTCAACAGAGTGGTTGGCAGCAGACGCACGGCTGGGGCACTTGACTTCGAAGGCGCCGCGACCCGGTCCGAGACGCGTTCCGAACACGGAGATGTACATCAGATCAGACTTTCGACCGTTCGCACTCGTTGTGTTTAAGAAAGCATTTTGTAAAAAGTAAATGCTCGTATCTTCCGCGGGGCCGATGAGGTGCTGAGGAATTGATCGGATCAGGGTCCTGAGAGTCTCCGCAACATACAGCTGAATGGTAGCTTCGCTGTTGTAGCCAATCCTACCCGCGAGTGAAGTGGTGCCAGCCGGTCGGTAGTTCTTGAAGAGGTGGGGATGGCAGTTGAAAGTGCCAGCAACAGCGGTGGCTGGTGGGTGGCGCGATGATGCACTTTTTGTTTTTGAGGAGGCTCGGAAACAGGAGACGAGAGGGGGCAGGCCTTTGTCAAGTTCCAATAGAAATACATGACGAGCTGTATGAAAGGTGAAAGTCAAAGTTGAGATTTTCGAAAGCAGAAAACAAAAAAAAAAAGAAAAAAAAAAAAAGAAAGAAAAACCCAAGTGACTGACCTATTTCTTCGGCAACCAGGGCTCTCTTCTCGGCTTCCAGGCGCGCTGTCTCGGCTTTCAGCTTCTCGGCTTCCTGGCGCTCCTGCTCGGCGGCTGCGGCTCTCGCCTCGGCTTTTTTCAGCTCCCGGAGGAGGGTTTTGAGTAGTGTGAAACCAACTGCATGCGGGACAGACTCGCAGGTGTCTGGCAGCTCCAGCTCATTAAGCACTGCTGCGGCGCTTGTCCGCTGTTCATCTGACAGCTGTGGCAGCTCGTTGCCTTTGATGGTACTTGCATCGGGCAGAGCCGCCAGGAGGCCAGACCGCTGGGTGGCCAGGTTGACGTTGGGCAAACGAGGCGAAAATGGCGCCAAACTTTTCGCCGAGACAAGGCCAAGACAAGCTGCCAAATCGTGCATCGGGTCGCTCGGAGCGGCGTCGGGGCCTTGGTCGACATGACTCGCATCTCGCGATGACATGGTTGCTCTGTCACTGCTCACAGAAATCGAGCCGGTGCCGCTAAGCAGGGAGAGGAAATCGAAGCAACACAATGCAACAAAAATGAACGCTGAGTTTCAAACGGTCTCATGGGATTTTGTGACCGTCGTAGTGCAGCTGGACGACCAGCCGTGGGCCGCATACACTTACATTGAAACACTCTGAAAGTGCTCAGTGAGATCGCGGACGGGGGATTCTGGGACAGCTCGGTCGTTGTTGTTTGACATTTGGGACTTGGAGTGTGGGTTTCGACACTGCTGGCAAATTGACTGACCCGCTCATGGGAACGAACATTTACTGGAGCACGGTATGAGATCGGTAAGAAGTTTGGGAGTGGGGAAACGTCAACACGAGCTGAAAAATCGACAACAACGAACGACTCCGACTGTCATGTCTGTCACAGCACCGACATGAACATTCTCAAGCTCCTGCTTTGAAGACCCAAGTGTTCGACTTGATGATGCCTGCACCGTATTGCCATTCAGCGGGGGCTGATCAATGTCGTCAGGCTGTTCTTGGACCAAGTCGACACTGCTCGCGGCGAGCAAGTGCTGAGCGCCGCCAAGCTTGCCAACATTCGCGGACACACGCTGTATTCTTCTGCATCGCACCAAGGCAGGCGAATCTTACTCTATTTTTTTTCGTCCATTCTAGATCTAGTCCTTGTGCGTTTCAACCTTTTTTTTTTTTTTTTTTTTTGATTTTTTGCTTTTCGCATTCTATTCTTCGCTCCATTTCAGCCTCGTACTTTCTCTCACTCCCTCTCTCACTCTCACTCTCTCTCTCTATCCATCTACCTCTTTGTCCATCTCGCTTGTCTCTTGCACTTGACTTCAATGCGTGGCCGGCCGTTGCACGCCGTCGCTGTGGTGCTTGCTGGTCTGCTCGTCACGCTGTACGTTCTGGACTACCCGCGACCACACGACCGCCGCAACCCGCACACCGGCGTCAGAACCACTGGCAGTAGTAGCAGTAGTAGCAGTGGTGGAATTGGAGATGGTATCAGCAGACGTGGTCGTGTGATGGGAGCAGGAGCAATAGGGCAGAGCAATCCCGGTGGAGCACGATTGCTCGCTGGGCTCGGCTTTGGTGCTCCCCGAAGAGACGCCGGTGCTGCTGCAGAGGGAGGATTGGGCCTCGGCCGAGCAGAAGACACACTGCACTTGGGGGCATCTGAGCTCGATCCCCGGACGCGCGCAGCAGCAGCAGCACAGGAAGGACCGCTCGCTGCCGTGCTTCGACAGCGCCACTCATCCAAAGATGGGAACAACAGCGCGATCCCGTGGGACTGCGGACAGCTGCTGCCCAACCAGCAAGTCATTGCTGTCGAGAATGGCGTCCCGTACATTGACACCATGGAGCCGTTCCAAGTGTCGCCGCAGCGAGCAATGGAGCTCGCCCAGGTCAAGCTGCTCAAGCAATCCTCATCTTCTTCCAACCAGCAGCAGCAGACGACCGCCGCCCAGCCGTTCATTTGCGTGCCTTCTGCAACGAGTCCATCCAGAATGGAGGCACCGATCGGCATCTTCAAAATCTACGTCTACAAGCGCATCCTGAACGCCATGCCGACACGCGATGAATGCCGCGATTCCCTGCAGATTATGTGGTATGAGGAAATCGAACTCCCGTACTGGATTCGCGATTCCATCCACCACACGGACAATCCGGAGGAGGCGCACTTCTTTTACATCCCCACCATGGTCAAGTGTCTGTTCAATTTAAATCGCGCGCGGTTTAACGAGACACGCCAGTTTCTCATCTCTGTGCGCCACCTGCACCGGTCGCCGTATTTCCACCGCAACAATGGCCACGACCACGCTCTGCTCAACCCAGGAGGCGGCTCCTACAATGTGACATCCTCGGTGCTGCACGGCTCGTATCTCTTTGGCCGAGGAGCCGGTCACTACTCGAACGTGACCAAGCTGCTCACCGAGGCCTATCGTCCCTACGCCTACTTTGCTGGGCGCGATATCATCGTACCGGGGTATCCCGACGATGCGTTTTTCAGCTACCAGGAGACGTACCAGGATGCATTGCGCGAGCGACGACGCCTCTTTCTGTACACGGGCGGCGTGCAGCTCAGCTACCAGCGCCGGCAGCTCGGTCGCTTGGCAGAGCTTCTCAAGATACCCAGCGCCAAAAGTAGCTTTTATGCACCACTCGTCCTCTTGCAAACACGCAAGGTGAGCTCCAACAAGTTCGAATACCAGCAGCTCGTCAAGGACTTTACGTTCTGTGCCGCTCCAAGAGGCACGTCGCCGTGGACGCAGCGCTTTTACGATGCTGCGATTGTCGGCTGCATCCCTGTTCTCTTTGATCGAAACTTTGTGCTGCCATTCCCCAACCAGATCGACTGGGACTCGATCGTGGTTCGATTCTCGGAGGATTTTTCGCACTCGTTCAGCTTCCTCGACCATCTCTATCAACTAAGTCAAGACGTGGAGGCCATCCGCGAGCGACGAAGAAAGCTTGCCGATGTAACATCCATCCTTTACTACGGCCTGGCTGTGAATGCCACTCAGCCAGCCGCCGTCACACCGGAAGCGTTTTCAGACCCCGATCCCGTCGTTCGGCGCGAGGCGTACAAGTACAGTCCCTACTCGATGATTGTTCGCGAGCTGTCCGACCGGTACTGCACTCTGCGGCATCAAGGGGTGTTGCCATGATTTACTTGTTATTTATACTTTTTGGGAGCATTTAGTGTGTGTTGAGAAGATTGGTTTTAGTTTGTATTGTTGTTGTTGTTGTTGTTGTTGCTTTCAATAGCTCTCAAGAAGGCTCATAAAAACCGAGCAGAATGCATGCTGAATGCAAGACATACACGAAAGTAAATACAACGGCTGACACTCAATTTTCACCATCGGACATGGCGGCGCTCTGGGATTCCGCTGGCGGAGTCCGCTTGCGGCGATAGAAGAGCACATATGCAGAGGATGACTGCGCGAAAGAGCGGGGAGGGATGTCCAAAAGCATTCGAGGAAGCGTGAGCGAGATGTAAACATAAAAGTGGTCCAGATCGGAAATAAAACGTCATTTTTTTTTTCTTACCAAAGCATCTCGGGCCTCAGCTGGGGAGACGGAACTGTCGTCGAAATTAAACCAGCGACCAGAAGGTTCGTTCAACGCATACGCGGGCCTCAGCTGGGGAGACGGAACTGTCGTCGAAATTAAACCAGCGACCAGAAGGTTCGTTCAACGCATACGCGGTGTCTGCGTGGTGAAAGCGGGTCAACAAGTCAATTTTTGCGCAAAATCCGAAAATCCCGTGCAATCGCATCGAACAAAACAGAGCGCAACGTACAGTGTCCACCACCAAGACCACCAAAATGGTTCTGCGCGTGATCAACAACAGCGTCAAAGAGCATGAGCACACACACACACAAAAAAAAACCCAGCAAAGAACAATCTATTGTCGACACCGAAACAACTTTCACGTACCGATACGGCATACAGGTCGTACAACAGCGGTTCTGTCACGTCAGAGCACATGTACTCGGCAAGATTGAAGTCGCTGTGGCCAAACAAAGCCCAAAAAAAAAACCGAGACAGAGTCAATGTCACCAACTCTCCAAAACGTCTGTGAATTGGGGCAAGCAGATGGAACAAAAAGAAAACGCAGTTACGCACGTGATGGGGAAGTCGACATGCGTCTCGAGCTTGCTGCGAGAGTATCGACTGAAGGAGAAGCGCTTCAGATGAACAACCAGCGTTTCCGGGGCGCGCCAAAGATCAAACTTCTTGTAGGCTTGCTGATGTTGCTTGCATTGGGAGCAGTACCAAGGGTCGTCCGCGCCCAGCTGCTCTTGCTTCAAAAACAGCTGCATGCAATCGCCCAGCGAGACCGATGTACCGGAAGTCTCACGGGTGGATTCATGATCGTCGCGCGCCTAGCAGCCGCCAAATAACCAAGCAGGAGTGGTCGAGTCAAACAACAAGCCATACCTCAGTGACATTTCAGACTCTCGATGCGCTACTTACAAGATAGAGGGTTTGGTCGAAACCAGCGTCTGCCAGTGCATCGGGGAGCCAGCGAATCCCAAAGAACCCGGTGGCCCAGCTCACTGGAGTAGCATCGTTTGGAACAATGTGGAGGCTTGCAGGGAATTCGGCGTGGTGATCCAGATAGATTAAACTGAATGGATACTCCTACAAACGTGACAACCAAAGGAATCAAAGGTCAAAGTCAGTCAGGCTGGCGACAAAACGAGACAGAAAAGAAGAAGAGGGATGCTCGTCGAGCTGGCGTTCTTGCACATACCGAGTCTTCCGTCGCCATTTCTGAACCCTCATCGTTGACGTCCTGTTTGTTGAAATATGGACTGTCGCACAGAAGCAACATGCACCACACGATCATGAGCAGTGTTTCCTTTGTCCTTCCCCCTAACACACAACAACAACAACAACAACAACAATAGGAATCAAGACAACATACCGCATGTGGGTCATCACAACCTCATAGACTTCCGCGCCGGAAACGTCTTCGCGGGGAAAAGAGCAGATAATGGGTCGTCCGACAAATCGACTGAGAAAACAAAAAAGGCACCACAAGCGCAGTGAGCGATGCAGAGCACGACTTGTCGTCTCTCTTCCATTCACCTTTCTTCTTCGACACATACCCGGACGCCGCAGTGTCAGTTTCAAAGTTCGACTGCAAAAAGCACACATTGATCAGGTGGTGGTGCCGCTCAATCGTGTCCACCTCGTACGCATACAGCTCATGACCATGACGCAGTTTAAAGTAGGCGGCGCAAGGCTCGGTGTTCTCCAGCCGGCTGTCAATTTTGCTTTGGTACGTCTCGACCAAGAGAATCGAATCGGCCCTCAGCTCGAGCAAGTCGGCGAGCGCCTGTCGGAGCACAAAGACCGTTGCGTCCTTTGGCACCCGGACCTTGACGCAAATCGGTCGCCTCTGTGGGTCACGAAGCACCACCGTGACGGAGATGGCATAGCGCTTTTCAGGCAGCGGCAACGAAAGGTACATGAAAGGGTCGAAAGTGATGGAAACACGGTCGCAAACGGGGCAAACCAAAGTGGACTTGAATTGGCCCTGGAAGAGATCTACAATGATGGAGTCGTTGCGCTGCTTGTGCATGTGCCACATTTCGTCGGCCACCTCGGCATCCGGTCGGCCGTTGGCATCCTTGGCTTCGATATACGGCTTTTTGGTCACACGATTGAGATCCTCGTGCAAGCCGTCCAGCAGGAAGGCCAACAGCTCCTGAGAATCGTGCTGTTGGTAGCCGTTGAACTGAGGTGCAAACATGGACAGTTTGTACTGCAGTTTGCGTGTGCAGGTGAGTGAGCAATGTAAGATGAGCAGGACGATCAATGCAGTGCAAAAAGTAGCGAGTGAGCACCCAAAAAAAAAAACCAATACGCGCTCATTACCTTGAACGAGAACGGGGAGACGGAACTCGATGGGTTGTCAGACCACAGCGCCTTCACAAGCTCGCCGTACTCTTGTGCCAGCTCACCCCGCATGCCCAGCGGGTTGGTCGTGTTGACATCTCGCAGGTAGCTGTCGTCGACAAAGTACCGTGTCAGCGCCATCGAGTTGGAGAGGCACTGCAAACCCGAGTTCATAAAGCACGTGTTGCCCAGGTTGCGAAGGCCCAAGGCACCGTGGACGGTGGCTCGAATCGAGCGGGTGGGATAGGACGAGCTGCCGAAGGAAGAAAGCGAGCTGCGCGTGCCGGCCATCGGGGCCGGTGCTGCAGGCAAGGGTCGAAGAGCAGCAGCTGCTTGCTGAGCGCGCTGAGTCACATCGGAAGGCCATTCGCCACTGGGGAGCTTCTGCTCAATCGTAATCTTGCATCCGTCAAACAGGTAGTTTGCAGCCAACGAGCTCTTCTCCATATTTTGGTCCAGGGGTTTCTGTGCATGGATGAAAGACGCGGTGAGCGGTGAGCAAAACAAACCAAACATACAAAAATAAACAAACACGATGGAATCAGTGAAAGAATTATACCTTCACGTCGTCAAAGTAAAGGCGAGTCCTGTCGTCTAGGGGCAGATCGAACTCGAGGCATGCCACCTTTTTCAGCGCGGCTTGACAAACAAACAAAAAACACAACAAACAAACCAAAAAAACAAACAAACAAACAAACAAACAAACAAACAAACAAAAAAAAAAAGACAACAGCAGATTGTCGTACAGACATGAGTCACACGCCACTTACAGATGAGATTGAAGGCAAAGCAGCAGTGCAGAACTTACAGAGCGTAGCTTGCTTGGAAATGGCCCGGGTGGCGGAAGTGGTGGGCTTTAGATCAGGGGTGTCTGCCGTAATGGGGCTCAAGATGATATTCAGGGGGTAGACCTCAACACGAAGATGGTCGCTCTCAGAAATGACCTGCAACGACAAGGCAAGACAAAACAAAAATGAATCACAACTGATCGCTCCAACAAGGCTACAACCAGACAGGCAGACAAAAGCAAGCGGGTACCTGACGCTCGATAGGATGGCCAATCGCACCATACCAACCCAGCAACAGATTCCAGGCGTTCAAGGGCAGCAGCTCATAGTCCGTCTGCATCAACAAGCTCGGCCGAAGCAATCCGTCTTCTAAACAAGGTTGCATTGAGCAAAGAGTGAGTGAACAGTTTGACTGAGCCACGATCAATGTTGCTTGTGGTGGTTGTTATTGTTATCGTTGTCTCCATGGTGCTACTTTGCCCGATACCGGTCCGGTATTCGAAAGTGCAGCCAAACATAAGCTGTAGATTGTGATGAATCCTCGGAAAACGAGCGAACGGCACAAAAAAGTCCAGCCAAAGTCCCAAAGCCACACGTCCCAGCACAACCAGGTACTTTTGGACCTGACGACATTCTAATGCGTGTGGTCTGCTGTAAGGCAACAAAAATCATCGCGAATGACGAGATCTCGACTGTTTCCGAGCAACTCAGAGGGAAAGAGTTATGCTTTTGCCGTGTCCCTTTTTGTTGTCCTTCGATCCCCTGATTTTCACCTCAAACTCTGAGCGTTGATGGGCTAATAAACTTTCTGCCGGAAGGAGAGGAGGAGTGCGCTTTACCAGTGAGGATGGAGCTGTTGTCGATGGGACCGACAATGCCGCGGAGCGCGAGCCCAGCGTCCTCCGTCCAGGTGAGCGCGGTGCGGACCAGGTTGCCGGCCTCGACAGCAGCAGCAGCAGCGTCTGCGTCTGCACCTGCGTCAGACACGGTGGCGGTGGCCGTCGTCGCATCGAGTGGCCTGACGCAGCGCTCCCACCTTGCAAACCAGCGCGCCGAGATCACCATCGCCGTCTCGTCCCTGACCATTGTCCAGTTGTCCCGCATGTCCAGGATGCGGTCGTGCTGCGCTGCGGGCGACGGCACAGGCTGATCCTGGCCGCTCAGTTGCGGGGTCGATGCTGTTGCAGCAGTAGTAGTGGAAGGCTCAGTGACGCTCATCGCATCATCGTCGCTCGCCATTTCTACTACTACGAGATGAAAGACTGGATTATCATTACTAGAATAACAACAGAGTGCAAACAGTAAAAATGAAACAAAAAAAAAGAAGGTGATTTATTTTGGTTCTCAGAAATTCTCAGTCGTTTTGTTGTTTTTGGAGCAAATGGTGCTCAGCGAGAAGCAAAAGGACGAGTTGTAAGCACAAGCGCAACGACGCTGCTTCTGTGTTTTGCAATTGATGGACTTTTGATTGATCCGAAACAGAGAGAAGGCACGAAGAGAGACACGAGAGAGAGAGAGGGGGAAGCGGGAGAAATGGAGGTGGGAAGTAAAACCAAGGCTGGCGTTACTCGCCGCTCACCAGGCAACATCAGGATTCCATACCCCGTCCCTCCATACTCTTTTTTTTTCTTTCCCTTTACTCTTGCTCTTCCGCTTGCTTTGATTCAAAAACGCAATCCACAGCAAAGAGTCAAACGATCAACCCATCCACGCGACAAGCGACAGTCAGCATCATCATCATCATCATCATCATGATCATCCATTGCCATAGAAGCAGCAGAGGGACAGAAAAAAAAAAAAAAAAAAAAAGATTTGCTAAAAATCCCTCGTTCGTTGCTTCGTTGAAACTGACATGGCGTTTGTCCTGTCCACCTTCGTTTTAGAAACCGCGCTGTGCTGGATCACCTTGTTGCGAGCGGCTATGCGGCGGCGGCGAGCGCGCTGCGGCAGGAGGCCTCGCTGCCGGCCGAAGAGCCCGAGAAGGACAAGTTTGCCGGCCTGCTCGAGAAGAAGTGGACGTCCGTGCTGCGGCTTCAGAAGAAGATCATGGAGCTCGAGGCCCGCGTTGCCGAAATCAAGGTCGAGGCGCGCGACACGGGCGCGGCGGGCGGCGCTGGTGGACTGGCTCGTCGCGGCGCTGCTGGTGCTGCAGAGTGGATTCCCCGGCCGCCTGAAAAGTACACGCTCACCAGCCATCGCGGACCCATCACGGCAGTCGCGTTCCACCCGACATTCTCGGTGTGCGTCTCGGCGTCGGAGGACGCGACCATCAAGGTCTGGGACTACGAGTCGGGCGAGTTTGAGCGCACCCTCAAAGGCCACACGAACGCCGTGCAAGACCTGGCGTTCGACCACACTGGCGCCTGGCTCGTGTCGTGCTCGGCAGACCTCACTGTCAAGATCTGGGATTTCAAGTCGTTCGAGTGCGTCAAAACGCTCCGCGGCCACGACCACAACGTCTCGTCCGTCTCCTTCCTCCCGTCCGGCGACACGATCGTTTCTGCGTCCCGCGACAAGACAATCAAGCTGTGGGAGGTGTCAACAGGGTGAGTGTGTTTGTTTTGTTGTGGAGTGTCAGTTGCGCTGGTCGTCCTTTTTTTCTGATTTGCCGCTTTTTTTTTTTTTGGTTTTTTTTTTGGTTTTTTTTTTTTTTTACAATTGTCTGCAGATATTGCGTCAAGACATTGCAAGGCCATGATGATTGGGTTCGCTGCGCTCGCTCGAATGCCCGGGGAACACTCATTGCATCGTGCTCAAACGACCAGGTAACGAAGCAAAGATGTTTGGCATGAGTGTCGAGGTTTCTCGCGTTCTCCCCGTAATAACCTCTATTTCTTTGCCGTTCGATCTCCAGACAATACGAGTATGGAATGCCGCCACGGGAGAATGCAAGGCAGAACTCCGCGATCATGATCACGTTATTGAATGCGTCATTTTTGCGCCCGAAAGCTCGCATCTCTATCTGGCCGAGGTTGCAAACGAGGTATGTCACCAGGTTTTGCAGTTTGTCAGAGTTTTACGAGTAGACACCCCCTTCCGGCCACTCACATGTTCTGTTGTCGCTTGTTGGGGGGGGGACAAAATTGCAGGCTGCCAAAGCTGCCGCAGGTGAAACTGGCAAATCCACCCCAGTCGCTGCGCTCGGTGCACCAGAATCGCTTGGCCCCTACCTGCTCTCCGGCTCGCGCGACAAGACGATCAAGCTATGGGATTTGGCAACCAACCAGTGTGTGTTGACGTTGGTAAGCGACTCGCCCTGAGTGGTTGAAATCGACTGTTGTCGGAGCATGTTGGGGGCAACGCTCACCAAAACAATCTCAATCACCTCTCCCGTCTCAGATTGGACACGACAACTGGGTCCGAGGACTCATGTTCCACCCCGGTGGCAAGATGGTCGTGTCCGTGTCCGACGATAAGACCTTGCGCATTTGGGACCTCAAAAATCGGCGGTGCGCCAAGACCCTCCAAGCCCACGGTCACTTTGTCTCCTCTCTTGCCTTCCACCCTTCGGCTCCGTACGTGCTGACTGGAAGTGTCGACCAAACCATCAAAGTCTGGGAGTGTCGATAAGTTTCAAGTTGTGAGTTTTTGTTGTTGTTCTTCTTGATGTCGGTGTCTCTCTCTTTTGAATTGTTCTTGTTTTGATACGTTGAATGGTGTGTTATTTTTTTCTACTTTGGTTGTGGAATTCGCTTGTTGGTGATGTTCTTTATTTTTGTTTTGTATCTCTTCGTCTCAGCAGTAAACTTGTTTCATTCCAATCAAGCATGCTTTCACAATTCCTGGCTCGCGTGCATGCGAGCAAAAAAGTCAACTGGCTACAATCCAACAACAACACTGAAAACGCCAAAAAGTCCCTGTCGTGCGTTTGTTAGGAGAACCTGGTTTGTTTGCAGATGTGGTCGAATTTGCTGGCGTGGTGCGGCGTATTGACCTGAGTCTTGCAGTTGGAGCCCCAGTAGCACTTTGGGCGATGGGGTCGGCCTGGGAGAACAAAACAGTGAGGCCGATGCGTCTCGAGAAATGGAAAAACAAAACCACCCAGCTCAACAAAAAAGCCAAACCCAAACACATTGGTGTCCAACTCACTGGGAAGATCGCTGTTCGGGATGGCCTCGCGATACTGATACGCAAGCTGCCCCAAGAAAGGCACGACGCATGTGCGGCAAAGGACAGTGTCGCCGGTAGGAATGGCGGGCTGGCCGCCAAACACGAGGGGTTGTGGATAAATGTCCTTGTTTGGAGCCTCTGCGATAAAGTCAGCACCGTCTCATTAGATCAGGCATTTTCCAGAACGACGAAAGCCGCAAAAAAAAAAAAAAAAAAAAAAACCGAAAACAACCCAGTTTTCCGTACCAAGTTTGAACTTTTTCGAATCAAGATTCGTAATACAGTCCTTGTACATGTCGTTGATGGTCAGGCTCTTGGACGTGAGGTAATCTCGCAAGAGGTCAGACTCGGTTGTGTTGCGGTTGACGACGGTGGCGAGTGCAGCCTGGTCGAACTGGAAGTTGCGCAGCTTGCTCAGACAGCCACCGTTGCAAGTGCAGCCCCAGTACATGTGGCAGTACTGCCTTTTGCAGATTTCGCAGCTCTGCGGCTTGTTCGGATCGGCCTGCGGGGCATGGGGATTGAAGTTGTTTGTCGCGAACAGGGGCATGAACTGATGGCAGCACGTGCAACGGCCATGTCCTCCACCAGGAGGACAGGTATAGCCAGGGACGGGATTTGGGGCGTTGGGGCACTGGCGGCAGATTCTGAGGAATGAATGGGAAAAAAAAAAGACAAGAAAAAAAAAAGAAAAAAAATTGAGCGCAATGACGATGGATGGTGCGTGCTGATTTTCGTGTTCAAAGTGTCCGGCAAAGAATTGTACTGACGTTTGAAATCCGAAAGGTTGGAAGGGAAAGTTGCTCGAACCATAGCCAGGACCAGCATTCGAACCATCATCCTCGTCCTCATCGTCATCGTAATCGTCCTCGTCCTCGTCGTCATCGTAGCGGCGACGCGGTGGTTTGAGCTGCAGTGTTGTTTTCAGGACACTGGTGGTCAATTTGCATGTGAAAATGAAATCTCAAACCACGACAGATGTTGCTTACCATGTCGCTGGTAATCTTGTTGCGAGCATTCATCTCGGCAATTTCGTCATCGGGGCGACGCTTCTCCGGATGCTCTGCAAGGAACGATTCGCAGAGATTCTTGATGCGGTGGTTGCGGCTGATGGAGGTGACCTTTGCACGGCAGGTCGGGCAGTCTGACTTTTTCTCCATCCAATCCGAGTAGCATGCGCCGCAAAAGTCGTGCAAGCACGGAACAACCGAGACGCAGTCGTGGAGGATTTCCTAGAGACACGGCAAGAGTTGCCAAACAAAGAAAAAAAAAAAAACACGTCAGCTCCAACGCTTCGCCAAACTGCCGGTGGAAGACGGATTCGCGTACCATGCAAATACCACACTGGAGATTTTGCTCCATGTCATCGGTGCGAGGCTTCTTGTTGGTCTTGGCTTCGGCGGCTTCGTCGTCCTGCGCACAAAAAAAAAAGAAAAAAAAAAAGGAATCAGACAACTTTGAATTGGACGCGACACAGACCACAGCACACACCACTCACCGCGTCTTCAGCACGTCGCTTGCTTGGGATGGCAGCAGCTTCCTCGTTCTCGTCGACTTGCGTCTGAGCAGCGGGAAGGGGCGGCGGGGCGAGCAAATCCTTAAAGTAATAGCCAAACTCTGACAGCCACAGGATTGCCATTTGTTGTTAAGCCATCGAGTTGCACAGCTTGCGATCACTTCTATGCTTTCTTACGGTTGTCCTCGACCGGGTCCTTGACAATGACAATCGAGTCGCCCGCGTTGAGCTTGGTTTCCTCGCCCTTGACGATGCGCGATCCATTGACCAGCACGCCATTCGTGCTGCATAATCAGCATGCACACACACACACACACAAGCAAACCGAGGTGATCAGACAAAGTCGACACACACACACACACACACACACACACACACACAAGCAAGCCGAGGTGATCAGTGACAAGTCGACATTCGATCATCGTTGAAGTGATTGAACTCGAAATTTTGAGCGGGAAAACGAAACAGTTTGGTTTCGAGCTGGATTTTTTGTTTGTTTTTTCAATGCTGGGACGTCGAACGCACTTGTCCGCCGCTTTGAGCGACAAGAGTGCACGAGCAACGGCCAGAGTAGCAAAAAGCAGGACGCCGCCGCAGCACACTCGCATGAACGAGACGCCTGGCGCCCCGGATAGGAATAAGCTCGGTCGTTACCTGGTGTCCACAATGAAGGCGCTCGAGTCCTTGAGCATCAGTGTGCAGTGCTTGCCAGAGAGCTTCTTGGTGTTGGTGATGATTGCGTCGCACTCTGCATCGCAGCAGTGGAAGCAGCAGCAGCAGTAGTGGAAGCAGCAATGAGGGGCTTTTGCAAGCAAGCAGAAGAGAGAGATTCAACATCAAACATCAAAAGGCAATGCAACGCACCGTCGCTGCGGCCAATGACGACGGTGGCCTTGGACAGAGTGATTGCGGATGTGTTGGCGTTGATGGGCTCGAGCTCGCCCCACGCGGCAGCGGCGGACGAGGAAGACGAGGAGGCGGCAGCGGGTGAATGATCAGCCATTGAAACAAAACCAAAAAAAAAAAAAAAAAAAAAAAAAAAAGTGATCTGAGCTGCTTGGACGTCTGAGAAAAAATAAAGTATGTGAAAATACGAGGGAATCTGCTTGGAGAAATGCGGCAGCTCTCGTAGCTCTGATTCGGTCAAGAACGAGCAAATGCTGCAGAAACTCGCTGATCCGACCTTCCGCGACACTCAGAGAGCGCAAAATTGTGGTAAAAGTAACAAAGAACACCAACGCAAAAAAAACTTCATTGAATAACGTCGGACATATCAAGCAGCTGGCCGCCAGACTCGGGGCTGTCGAGCAACCGATTCAATTCAAGCATTCGCTGGTGATTCCGCCCAAGCTGCGCCTCGAGCACGCGGATCAGAGGAATACAGAGGTTCTCGGCGATGCCAGTCATGGACTTTGTAAACACCGAGCCGTTGTGGATTGCATTCATGATCTCTTCGACCGTTTCGGGGGATCTGCGAGGAAGACGGTGGAAAATTGAATTTAGCACCATGCAACAACGCCGACTGTTGTTTCTCAGAAAGAAAAAAAAAACAAGTCAATCACAAGAACTCAACTGGTTGGCTGGAGAATACAAGTCTCGCTCTTCTTCAACCATGACGCTCGCTAGAAGCGACAAGGAGTCGGAAAAGCTCGCCGTGAGTCCGTTCGGCGAAACGACCTGCAATGGCACTTCTCGGGACACAAATTTCCCAGAACCAGTCGAACTGCAGAGGCGGGCGGGCGGGCGGGCGGGGATTGGGGTTAGGGTTGGCAAAGAAAGCTAAGCGTGGCACTTGAGCGGCAAGGCAGAAATCATTGTACCTACCTGAGATACGAAGGTTCGGGTACCGCTTGGAAGCAGATGACTTGCAAGCGATTTGCCTATCGTATTTGTCAACGGCATCACCAAAGTCCAGTAGCACAATGAGATAAGCGAAACAATGACGAAAAACGACAGAAAACAGCGAAAACAGCGAAGCGAATCACTCACCTTGTTGGGCTCGGTGTGAAAGCATGAAAAGATCAGACCAACAAAGTTCTTGTCCATTTGCTGATACGCAGCTTGAGTATTAACGTCTACGGCGAGCGGGGAACAGGATGAAATGGGTTTGTCATTTCCGTAGGTCAGTTGAACTCGGCAAGTGCATGCACTAGAGCAGACTGACGGTTTGAATACAGTGCATACCAACATGAGAGGGCCACACGGTGATATGGGGATGGGAGTGGTACCAACCCAAAACGCGCAAATCGCGATCGGCAATTCCTGAAAGCCTCTGTTGTGATGAGAGCAGATCAGACAGTCAATCCATGCACAAAATCACGTTGTTGCTCTTGGGTAGTGCATCTCAGTTGTCATCATGTTGACATTAATGTCTTCTCAGAAGGGGAAGCACGGGCGGCCAAAAACTCGGCCTCACAGCTAAACTAGCTTCACAAGGCATCGTAACAAACTGGGACCATTGCAAGCCGCCCAATATTTACGACTCGTCAAGCAAAACAGCAAGCTTACTTCAGCTTCTGTTGTAGCAGCAGCCAGCTCTTCTGGCGAAATCTCGACGCGGTCCTTCTGCCGGTCGGAGCGCTTGAACAGGCAAACAGAGTGGATGTGCGACTCGTCCTCGCCTGCCTCGGAGACCTAGTCCCCAGCAGCACAAATTTCGTAGCAATTGTATCAGCGACAACACTCTTGAACAAAGCAACAGCAGCAGCAGCAACACAACAGGACCAGCAGCAGCAGCAGCAGCAGTCATCAAGTCCCAACCAACCCAGCCAAAAAGCCAAAGCAACTCGAGAATCGCACTCACAGTCAGCTCGCCGATCAACAGACCCATGATCTCCTCGTGCTCTGAGGCCAGTGCATGTGTAAAGCAGGTGCGGAAGGCGTCCGCAGAGAGCACGCAGCGAGCCAATGTTGGAATCATGCTGAAAATGGAAGAGTGGTCTGAGCAGATGAGAGAGTGTGTGAAAAAAAACAAAATGAACTCTTAAAAATACAAGAATGAACGAAGAGTGACCGATTGCAAGATGTAGGGTTCGAATGGTTCACGATGGAACATGTTTTGAATGTAGAAACTTGTCGGTTGTCGCGTTCCCTCAGCGTTCTATTATTGCCGGCCGAGAGAACGAAAAGGAAGAGCAATATCGACAATGTTTGAGTCAATCCTGAGATGCAATACTGGTGGTTGCTTTGGTTGAAAGTTTCAATCCTGCGTCAAAGCCAGCCGCTCCGCCATGGAAGCAGGGTTGTCGTTTTCACTCGTTCAGTACTAGCTCTAGTCTTGATTTTTCTTTTGTGTCTTTGTGTGCATCCAACATAAAATGGACCAGTGCCAGTGTGTGTGCGATCAAGTGAAGCAACGGTTGATGCGCATGGTAAGCAAACGAAAACCCCGACATGATGACGATACTAAAACTCTCACTCTGCACCCTGGATTTGGTACCCTCGTCCCACTCACTAACTGTTTTGTTTGGCTCTCCCTTGCCTCACCCCGCCCCTCTGCCCCCCTGCCCCCTAACCAGATCCAGCAGCAAGCTCAAGACCAGTGCACCGACACCGAGTGCCTTCGCGGCGGTGAGTTCGACACACACCATTGCACACCGGTCATCAGCCTCCTTGCAGCACTTTACGCTGTGTGCTTCTCACTCATCTCTCTCACTCTATCTGCCTATCTGTCTCTATGCTGTCGGGTTTTGGGGACACAGTTGAGCATCCGGCGGGACTGGCGGGCGGCTTTGACCCAATGCTGATCGCTGCGCTCGTGTGGCTCGCAGTTGCTGCCGTCCTGTTTGCCATGCGGCCAGCGCGCTCGGCCACTGCGGCACATGCTGCTGCCAATGCTGCGGATGCTGCGCCGACCAAGCCAGGCCGGAGTGGCGACCGCGACGACCACCCCCGCCAGCCACCGCCGCCACCAGAGGTTGACTAACAACAAAAAAGTCAGTGTCATCTGGTCTTCTCAGACTTGGGGATTGTCAAGTCTGCTGGGCTTTTTTTCAGAACTTGGATTCTTGGATTTAGAAGGGTCGTCTCTAGCTTGGATCAAGTTGTTTTGAACCAAGTTCTCATCAAATCTCAAGAGTCTCTTCTTGTGCAGTTTGTTTTTTGATATATGCGAGTATCACGATCGCCGTACACTCATCCACGAGTGAGGGTGTGTATTTGTTGTTTCTTTTGCTTCGTTGTTGTTGTTGCTGTTGTTGTTGCTGGTTTGGCGTTATGTTGACAAAAGTTTGTTATGAAATTATTATTTTTCTTGCAGCCCCCCTTTTTTGAGAGTGTGGGCTGGGTTATTCTATCAAGCGTTGCATTAACACACACAATAGAGAGATAAAATTACACTAAACAACTCCCCAAAAACATGGATGGATACTCAAGCTTTAGATCATGAACGGTCGGACTCGCCAGCAGATTGCCTTCGATGTTGAACATGCTGCGCCGATACGACGTGTGAACTATCGCGGTGCTGCGGTGCGTGTGAATGCGGGTGGTGTCGGTGCCGCAAGCCACGGATGGTCAGGATGGCAGTCAGCAAGAACAGGATGCAAAACCACAGCGTCGTTTCGTGGTCGAATTGCTGCAAGAGGATGACAATCACAATGACGTTGAGCGGAGCGCGCAGAAAGCTCATGACACTCGACCTGGTTTCAGCCGCAAGGTACGAGCTCCGAAGCACTCCCATGGCAGGGAAAAAAATGCCCGTGCATGCCTCAAACACGACAAAGCCGCTGTAGACTGGCAAGGTGTGCATGCCAAAAACAACCGGTGCGGCAAAGCTGGCTGCTGCAACTCCAAACACGACCGGCAAAAACCGCTCTGGCGTCGACCGCGCCGAAACGGTTCTGAAAATCGCCGAGCCAATCATCAGCGCCACCATGAATGTGGCAAAGATGAGGCCGTGCGGCACGGGTGTGCTCTCGGGCGCGCTGTCTTGCGCCACAGCCGCATCCAGTACAGGCGTCCACATGACCACGAAGAGAAACATGGCGCCTTCATACAGCGATTGCGTGATTCCGAGGCGCAGCACCTGCGCGTTCGAGCTAACGGCCTTCCAGCCAAGCATCAGCGTGCTCGCAGGAGTGCCGGTGCAATCGCCATAGTTTTCAACCCACGTCGTTGTGACCAGCAGCATCATGGCACAAGCGGTCACGGCAGCAATATCGAACGGCGCGAGAATGCCAACAATCGAGACTGCAAAGTTGGCAATGAGCCCAGCGCAGATTGCGACCAACGAGTTTCCCCGCGTTCCGAGCGCAAACGTCGTCGACAAGAGTGCTTGATCGAATCCTCTCTACACATGCAAGCAGAACACAAGCGATGAACGCGGGTTGTTAGACCAAGCATTTAACATGGCCAAATTCTCAGTTGAAACCAAACTCTCAGCCAAACTCTCAGCCAAATTCTCAGCCAAAATGCTTCAGCCGCAAAGCAGCCAGATTATTTGACCCTCACCCGGTGGTGCTCGTGGACCATCCACGCTTCGAATGTCGTGTGCAGGAGGGACGACGAAATCCCGCCGAGGACGCGACCCAGCAGGAGGATTGGGAATTGGCGGGAGTGCATTGTGACGCACGTCGCGACAACCACGCAGCCATAGACGATCGCATTGCGCCTGCGCCCGAGGCGATCGCCAATGCCACCGATGAGAGTGCCAAAGACGAGCGACGAGGCGAATCCGGCAATGAAGAGCATGCTAATCTCGCTCGGCGCAAAGCCGCCGCTCTTGTACAGCGAGTACACGTACGGCCCTTGGAGCCAGTCGCAGCCCTGGGCAAGCAGGTACACGGCAATGTAGTTGCGTTGGAACGATCTGAATGCAGGAGACAATGAGCCTGATGCTGCATCGGACGCGATCGAGCTGCTGCTGCTGCTGCTGCTGCTGCTGCTGCTGGGCGAGGACGAGATGAGCGTCGCAGCCAATGCAACGGCACTGAGCAGAACGAGCCCAGCCACAAACATTGGAGGATGCGTTTGTTATAACAGAATGGACTGGCAGAGATGTCAAAGAATATTACAATACAGTACAATACGAGATATCAATGGTACGGTGCAAAATCGGGAACTGTTGAGGTGAACGGATCACTGAAGTAGCTGGAACATGCGGAAGAGCGCCTGAGACTGACGCTGAAGAGGCTCCTCGGTCTTGCTCACTTCTGGGAAGGATGCAAAGCGGAAGACGACGCTCGTCGCCACGGGGAGCAATGCTGTTGGTTGGATTTTCTGTGTCGACAGGCGCGTGCAATCCGTGAGCCTTCATCGAACAACAAGTCCCACTCACTCACAATAGCTCGATACAGATCCATCACAACACACACAAAAAAAACCAAAGGACAAACTCACCGAGACTGGAGATAGAAGCCGAAGCGGCTGCAAAACGAGTTGTAGCTCGTCGTGCAAGTACGTGAGATTGCTGAGAGAGGTTTGCACGGGTGGAAGATCGAGCAGTTGCCGTGTTTCGCAGACAAACGCCTCGAGTACAGCTCGACGTGCCTCCGTAAACGTGCTTGCAATGCCCGCTGCAAAGACTGGCTGCACGAGATCGGTCAAGCGCGCGCGCCAGGCCGGCAAGTTTGTTGCCCGGAAAGAGTCAATTTCTTGTGCAGTGCAGGCACTACCCGAGCTCGATGCAGCCGGCTTCGAAGCAGACGCGGCGGCTTGAATTCGCTGCCGAAGCGAAACCTGCGTCCATGACTTCTGGACCAAGCCGTCGATCTTCTCCAAAGTTGTCGCAATGATGCCAACATCAGAGAAGCATGCACTCGTGACCGTGTGCAAGGATTCGATGGGCAGGTCGGAGGATGTGGGATCGGCCAGACCCAGCGCCAAAATTCCCTGCAAAAGTGACATGTCCCGGATTGAATCTGGCGACAGAAACCGGTGATAGTCGGGCCAGTTCACAGCAAGAGCAAGGGCGGTGACTTGCGAGGACAGTGCCCCATCGGATGTGAGCGCTTCCGCGCGTTGGAATGCTTTCGACACGGCCGCGATAAAGGAGCTAGCAGCAAGCTCATGGTGGCCAGCATGTAACTGCATGAGAACGATGGCGAGTTCGACCGAGGTGTCCAAGCTCTGCAGTATCAAGCACACCACGAAACAGAAACAAGGAATCAAGTGAGTTGAAAGTGGCGCAACTTTGGCATCAGCGGATTGAAAAAAAACCACGAAAAAAAACCCAAAAAGATGCTCAACCTTATGAGTCGTATGCTCTGCTTGCAGAGACACCAACGCTGCCGCGACATGGGCATCCGCGCCCACATCGTGTTGCACAAGCAACTGCTCAAATTCCGTGGCCACCTGGCCCGTTGCCGAGGCGGGATGGATGTCCTTCCTCGCCAGGTTTGCCAGCAACGGATAGATTCGGTGCTGAACTGCACTGGATTTGAGGACTCGGACTGCATGTGATGTGTTTCCTGCGGCTTCGTGCAATTGGGCGAGCTTTTCAATGAAGGGCGTGGAATCGATCGCCGCAGTCGTGCAAATGTCGATCGCCGCGTCCAAGGCAGGGACGTCCCCGCGTCGGGCAAGTAGCTGGGCCGCATACCGATAGGCACCAAGAGCCAGATGACTGTCAAAACAGAGAGAGAGAGAGAAGCGGGCAGCATGATGAGGTGGCTGTCAGCGGGGCAACTTTTGCACAACCGCAGAAATTAACAGCGACGACTTACCATTTGGCTGCTTGTTCAAAGTTACCCTCGACTTCCAACAGAGTCGCCCAGGACAGATGGATCTTGCGAGAGACAGACTGTTGTTGCAGCGGATTTAGTCTCATCCTGGCCAATGCGAGCGCTTCGCGGAACATTTTGCCTCGACTGTAGCACTCGATAGCATCCAGTGGTTGGTCGACAGCGAGAAAGTGGAGAGCAGCCTGGACAGTCTCTCCCTGTTGCGCCAGCTTTTGAGCGTAAGCAATCGTAGCCTTTCTCCAGATATCCAGGCCCGCTGTCGAGCGAAACACCAACCAAGCCAGATGAGCCGACAAACAAAAATGAACACATCCAAAAAAAACTCAAAAATAAACGGTATCTTTAAGCGTACATACCAAGAGGGGACAGGGCAATCAAGCTCGCATCGAGTTGACCCGCGTCTTGCGCAATTTGAATGGCAGTTGCGTACTCGCCGCGCCATACATGCAATTGGACCAGTTGTTGAATGTGTTGCTCCTCGGTGTGACGGTGCTCTGTGTGAGAGGTTGAGCCAGAACAAGGCGAGATGTGAGGAGAATGCAGAGATGAAAACCAAACAGTGTTGGCAGGTCCTCAAACAATTTACCTTCGGCGTCTAAAAGGTCAAACATTTCGCGCTTGCCGAGGAACAATGCGTGTCGATGATCCACAGCAGTAGCAGCAGCAACGGCCGGGACGGGCTCGGCAGCCACTGCTGCAAGAGGCGGAAGGGACGTCTCGGACGGGTCAATCGCAGTTATTGGCAATGGTTGGTGAGTCGATGATGCTGATGCGAAAAGAGTGTGCGCAAGTTGAACAGCGTTGGCGCGAATCGAGGCAATGGTCTCGCCGTGTCCCCGATCAAGCTGCAAGACGGACGTCGGATGTTTTGTCTGCTTCTTTTTCGCCGGCTTGGGCTTGGAAGGCAGGGTGCCGTCTGACGAAGTCGGAGACGGGTCTGTTGGGATGGTCACACCTGAAGAGGTAGCTGCAGAAACGCCGTCCGTCAGAGTTTGAGCCGTGGTCGAAACGGAAGCCACCTGGGAGTCCCTTTGCTCCAAAAGCGATGCGACGGCCGCAGCATGTGCTTCAGCGGAGGGAGTGGCACGCGGAGACTTGACTGCTTCGTCGTGCCGTGGATCGGGGGCAGGATCCATTTGCTGCGGGACAACGGACGATGACACGGGCGTCTGAGATGATGTCCCCTTGCCCTTGCTATTGCTGCTTTTCGAGGTTGCACTCCCAGGCAATTCGGCAGTTGTGGAAGGCAGTGGCGCTGGTGCCCAGAGCTTTTCGCTCGCCGCCAGCTCGGCCTTGGAGGGAGGTGTGGTAAATCGGGTCTGCGCCGAAATCCTCCACACGCGAACGGTTTGATCATCCGCTCCGGATGCAATGCAGTCGGAATCACTGAATAGCCACTGAACAGAAAAGACTCGCCCAGCGTGGCCGCGGTAATTGGCCAATGGCGATCCTTGAGGGAGTTGCCATGTCTGAACCGAGCTGTCGTACGAGCACGACACGAGTTGCATTGGATTGTGAGGGTTCCACGACACTCCGGTAACTCGACGAGTATGCCCCACGAGGCTGCAGAACAGGGTGGGTAGCGCTGGAGCAGCTGCGCAGTTGTAGACGTGCAACGCGCCATCGTCCGCGCCAGCAGCCAAGAGGCGGCCTGGAACAATGCTGTCGTTGGCCGCCATCGGCACGCCATCGACAAAAGCATGGTTCCAAGCAAGCGCATTGATGCTTTTCTTGAGCTCATGGAGGACGCCCGCCGAAGCAAGTCCGCTGGTGGACGAGTGGTCAAACAACTCGACCGAGCCATCAGAGTATGCGACAGCAATGCTCGACGCGTTGGCGGAGACGGCAATATCGCACTGTCGCTTTGGCTTTGCGCCTGCGCCCGTCGAAGGCGGAGATATTCCAGAAGCAGCCACGACCGAAGTCCAGGTTTTTGCACTGCTGGAGGGATTGGCTGGGTCGTGGAGGTAGATTTTGCCATCACCGCCGCTGCTAAACAGCGTGACGGCAGAGAAGGGAGAAACGGGTGCAGCGTCGACTGGCTCCACAACCGGTGTCTCGGACGACGGCGCGGTGGTGCACGCCTGAGATCCTTCCTCGAGTGGTGATGATTCAAGCGGCGTGGACTTTGATTCGCCGGCCGACATCAGCTCGGAGACCTCGACATCTGAAGAAGCAGAACTTTGGCTGGCTTTGATCGTGGTTTTACCTTTGCGAGTTCGTCCTCCTCCCAACCCGCCTCCGGACTTGGCTGCTTGCTGTTGCTGCTGTTGCTGCTGCGTCAGCCACGCCACTCGATAAACCCCATCGGTATGGCTTGAAGAAAACAGCTGCACCTTGTTGGTGTGCACCGTCGCAATGCCGACGTGTCCGTCCTGAGTGCCGAAAGCCAGCGTGCCCGACTCAAACGGGTGCCACGAAACGCACGTCACTTTGGCTTGCAGCCCCTTCCAAAGCATGATCGTGTCGTAGGAGCCATTTGCAAACGGAAGCTGACGGGAGACGGGCAGATCGGACGACTGGCGCGCTGCTGGTGAGGCCGATGCATTTGCAGCCAAGGACGAGTACATGGACCAAACGCGGATTGTATTGTCGCCCACGGCAACCGCAATGCGCCGCGGGTCGTGGGCTGCCGCAGAAATGCCGTAGACATACCCACCCAGCGTGGGCAGCGTCCACTCCGAGCGGCCGTGTGACAAGCTCCACTGCACAATGGTGCGATCCATTCCGAACGACAAGACCTGGTCCCCAGGTCCCCCGGCAAAGCAGAGGTCGAACACGATGCGAGAGTGGCCTTGCCCAGCCATGCGTTTGGGCGGGGGAAGCGACGTTGTTTTTGAGGTTTCGCGCGCAAACGCCATCCTCACGTCCCACTGCAGGACATCTCCGCCAAACGAGCTGCAGACAACCGTGTGCGGATTCGAGGGCGACCATTTGGCAGCAAGCCACAAGCGGGCTGCGTCAGGATTGCCGCTGGACTTGCCTGCGAATTGGGGTTTGGGGAGACTCAGTGTTTGTAGCACTTTGCCCTCGGCGCCGTTCCAAATTCTGAGTGTTTTGTCTCGAGACGACGATAGCAGGGGGTGAATGGGTTGTGGCAGTGGAGGTTGTTGTGGTTGTGGCAGTGGAGGTTGTTGTTGCGGTTCGGAGCCGGCAGGATTCGCAGCTGCTCGCCAGTTGCCTTCAGTGGACGTCGAGGCAAAGGGGAATGGGCTCCAGGATAGACTGTGGACTTCGTCCTCGTGCGCGTGCAGTCGGCGCACGACGCAAAAGTCATCCGCTCCACCACCGGATTTGGTCCCTTTGCCCGACGACGACGAGCCGGAACTTCCAGCAGCATCAGTAAAGCATTTTGCCGAGTTCAGCTGTATCAAGAGTACCAGACCATTTCGATATCCCACGGCGAGGAGTCCTTGCTGGTAAGGCGCGCAAGCGATGCATACAATGGGAACGTTGGCTTGAGGAACAAGGCGTCGAGACTTTAGTCCGGGAGAGGGACTGGAGCCATTGCGATGCGCATGCTGCGCATTTATCAACGCCAGTGGTCGCAATGCCATGATTCCGCCGGTCTTGTCTGCAATCGCCAGCCAGTCGTCAGCGTCGCCGAATGGCAACGGAAGCGAGCCGGGGTTTGATGGTGGTTGGGCTGGCTGTTTTGACGGCCACCACCATCCAACGTCGACAATCTCTCCATGGCTTCCAGTATGATATGCACACTGCACTGACTGAGCAGATTGGCTCACAATGGCGCTTTGGTGGGTTGGTTCGCTGGATGATTCGAGAGACGATTGAGCAGCAGCAGCAGCAGCAGCAGCATCTCGAGGGCGCACCGCCGTCAGAGTGGCGGCATTCCACAGCACGAGTCGTCCGTCTTCGCCACCCGATGCGAGTATAGCATGCAGCGACGGCGCAGGACTGAACGCAACACATGTTACACGTCCCTGATGACCGCCAACAAGGTGGCCGAGCACGGTTGGCAGCATCTGCGATCCGCCAGCGCTCGGATGGCTCGCCTTGGAGCTTGAGTTTGAGCTTGAGCTTGAGTTTGAGCTTGAGTTTGAGCTTGAGTTTGAGTTTGAGCTTGAGTTTGAGCTTGAGTTTGAGCTTGGCACACGATGGTGCGGTTGGTCTTGATGATGATCGTCGCTGCTTGGCGGCGCCTGTGCGTCGATGTGAGCCACGGTCGCTGCTCCGTCTGCGGATTCCGCCTGACCCGATGCGCGATGCACTGCTGATCGCTTGTTGGCCACTGCAGCGGCGTCTTGGACCATGAGCACTGTGATGGCGGCCTTTGCTGCGAACGCGACCAGCGTAGCATTACCACTGCCATTGCTTGGACTCGTCGCTGTGATCTCGCCGGATGTCGATGGAATCGATGAAGGCAATCCTCCTGGGTGCAACTGTGCTAACGAGGACGACGGGTGGCTTCGGGTTGGCTGTGACGCGGTTGCAGGCGTCGCGTCAACGACTCTGCTGCAGTACCAGTTTGGCGACGCGGGCAGCAGCCACTCGGCCATAGCAATGTATGCGTATATATATCTATGTGTGTGTGTGTGTGTTTGGAGATGTTCTACAGCGTACTGATGAGTTTTGCAACCGACAAGTCAAAAGTCACTGGTGGGAAGAACTGGAAATCTCAGAGAAAGGGGGAGTGAGCTGTTTAACCGAGAGAAAGGGGGAGTGAGCTGTTTAACCGTTTTGTTTCCAAAGTCACACGATACGTCCATGAATGACGATGATGACGATGATGACGATGACGCTTGGATTGGCTTAATCTGGGGGCGTTTTTGGTTGCGAAGGGAGAGGTGAGAAAAAACAGAGCGACGTGCGAAAACATGAGATCCGAGATCAGGCGAGACGATGACGTTGGTGCATACGTCCCGAGCAAGAAAAAAATAACATGGACATTGCATTTTGAGACGAGAAGACTCTTCATCTTGGTAGACGAGTGGAATCAGTCCTTGTTGCATTGAGAAAATGGCAGAGCTGCCCATTGTGCTCGGATCGTCGTCCAAGTGGCGCCAGCGCGTCTTCCGAGAGCATGGCTACACATTCACCACCATGACTGCAGACATTGACGAGAAGGCGGTCAACGCTGGCGCTGGCGATCGGTGCGTGCGCGTTTTGGCGGGAACCGTTGGCGGCTTTTTTTGTGATCGTCGCTCGTGGCCCCCTTCCGATCGCCTGATCAACTTTACTGATCTGTCTATTGCTTGCAAACCTTGATGCATGGAAAACGAACAGGTCCAAGGCAGACCCTCGCGCACTCACGCTCGCGGTTGCTGGAGCCAAAGCTGCCGCCATTCTGCCGAAGCTCACAGTAAAGCCAACAAAAGCACCATCATCACACCTATGGGGAAGTGTGGTTGCATAATACTTGATGAACATGAGGGAGTTCTCACGAGCGTGCCTGGATCACGATGGGTACAGACACCATGCTTGCTGATTACGTCCGACCAAGTCGTCGCGTACCAAGGCACGATTCGCGAGAAGCCTGAAACAGCTGAGGTATGGCACCAAGCATGATGATTGTTGTACATGTGCAAAATGCCGCTTGCATGGGCGAGGCAACCTGACGAAAAAGTGCTCGTTCTTCAGGAGTGCCGCCGATTCCTCAAATGCTACGAAACCACTCCCGCTGTGACTTGTGCAGCAATTGTCGTCACAAACACGCTGACTGGACAAGTGTATCAGGTTTGTGTGTTGGTTGTGAAAAGCGCGCGGATGGTCTTGAACTCAACTCGCTTTCTCTCTCTCGTTGGAAATAGGACGTGAGTTTCGCAAGCCAACTCTTCCATCCCATCCCCGACGACGTAATCACCCGCACAATCGAGCGCGGAGACATCATGTCGTGCTGTGGCGGCTTCATGATTGACGATGGTAACAGTACTCGTTGTGCAAAGTTGACCGAGTGGCGTTTTTGGTTTTTGTCTTTGGCTCAATGCGGATTTCGTTTTGGTGCGTTGACGGTGCAGTCGAGCTCAAGCAGTATCTCAGCGTCCGTGAAGGGACTGAGGATTCCATCATGGGATTGCCAATGGATCTTGTACAGCGGCTGCTTGACGAAGCACGCCGTGGATAAAAGGCTGCCCATGTCTTTGTTTCAACTAAAATTTCAAAAGTCCCATACAAAATCTGACGCTGTGTCCCAATGTCCAGTTCCATGTTCTCACTTGACGGAAATTGGTGGAAATTGACGCCAGTTTCTGAGCTCAATGCAAACTCCAATGCAAATCCAGTCATTTTTTTTTTTTTTTTTCCATCGAGCGTCCATTGCAGCAAATCCTAGCAAGACCCTCCAGCCATGAATGCCGCCGTCCCGATGATGGACGAGCTCATCAAAGAGTATCTCCTCTTCCGCGGCTTCACTGGCACGCTGCGTGCGTTCGAAGCCGACCTTCGTATGGATCGAGACAAGGGCTTCCAGGTCAGAAGTTCCAGTTCCAGCGCCTCGCATCCCACTCCAGCTCAGGACCGCCTGCGTTTCCTCGACTTTACTTGATTTAGAGAAGGGCAGGCTTACGATGAACGAAGCGATGTCGTTCGTCCGTCGGTTGTAGCGAAGAGTGCAGCTCGATTCAAGTCAGTGTCCGGCTGACGATCAGCTGGTTTGGCACAGACTCCACTCCAGTCTCACGTCGGACACTGATGTGTGGCTGAGTGTGGTGCAGGTTGGAAGTCAATCACTGACACATCCGACATTATGAGGCAGAGCGAGGATGAAGTGGAGAGTTCGGTGTCAAATTCTCAGAAACCACCAAAAGTTGGTTGTCAAATTCTCAGAAAACATCAAACTGTCCCACCCGAATAGCCGAACACAAACTCCCCGTCGCTCACAGTCGCACTCTTTGTCATTTCGACAGGTCGACCGGATTATTGATCAGCTCTTTGCGTACATTGCCGCTTTCGATATCGTCGGCCTGCGGCAGTTCTGGGGACACCTCGACATGCGATTCTTTGCGCGCCTCGACCACTCGTTCTTTGCGTCAGTGCGCAAGCTCGAGATTTGTCTGCAGCGCTACTATGTGGTCCACGCCATTCAAAGCGGAAAACCAGACAAGGTGGTCGAGTTCTTTGACAAGTTTTCCGCAGAGCTGCTGACCCAGCCAGACTGGCGTGATTGGTTTGGTAAGCACAGTTTCATTTCATCGCGAACGAGCGCAAAAATGTTGCCATTGGGATCAAAAGCGTCTTGCTCACCTGCATTGTCCACTTGACCATCTTGGCAATGGTTTTTTGTATTGTTGTTGTTGTTGATGCCACAGCGATTCTGTTTGTGAAAAACCCCGAACTCACTCCGGTCTTTGAGGGCTTCTTCACGCGTCAATGGCTCGAAACCTTCACGCTGTCCCTGCACAATTTTCTCAGCACAATCTTCCAGTCGATGCCGATGCCAACCTTGCTGACGTTCAGTGCCGAGCGCATTCGTCGCAAGGCCCTCGAGAAGGAAGTGGAAACGCTGCGCTCCCACCTCCATGTGCGACGCGAGTTTGATTCCGTGCGTGCAAACGATCCCCGCCAGTCATCGCCCAAGGTGAGTTTCACGCGAGTTGTTGTTGTTTGTTGTTTTTTTTTTCCGCGACCCTTGCTCTGTTGTGTTCCCCTCACGTTTGGTTTCGGACCCCACCCTGTTATTCACAGCAGGGCCCCGCGCAAGCCGTGTCGGCAACTCCAGCACGCACAGCGCCATCGGCCAAGACCTCTGCGCAATCCCACGCTGCAGACGACCCGCACCGGAAGGACATTCTCGCTGCCATGTGGGACGACTCATCGTCCAGTATCGACTCCCTCACAACGCCCAAGCGTCAAAATGTCGGAATGGCCCCTCCCGCCGCGGTGGCATCAACCCCATCTTCGCAGCAGGCCCCCGCCTCAACTGCACCATCCTCGACAACCACCACAACGACGACTAACGCCACCACCTCGGACGAGACCGTGTACGAGCTTCAAGACTTCAAGCCGAGCCATGGCGGCGCCGATGACGCTGCTTCACTGATGCCGCCGTCCGAGGAGCCCACCGAGCCTGCACGGGCAGATGGTGAGGGACTGCTTGTGACGGCAGCCGATACCTACCGCGAGCACAAGGCGGCTGTTACGCATGTGCGATTTTCGTCTGAGGGCACGACGGTAGCAAGCGCCGACCGTGCTGGCGTCTTGAAGGTGTGGAGTGCGGCTGGAACGACGTTCACCACGCACGCCACACTCCCCTGCCCGGCAGACATTCTGTCCATGGAGTGGGAGAGCAAGAGCGATCGCCTCCTGCTTTTGGGCTTGGCGGACGGCACCATCAAGCTGTTCAACACGGACACGCGCAAAGCCATGTTTGATTTGACGGTTGATCCGCAGTATCCAAGGTAGGAGGAGTCTTTTTTAAGTTTGGTTTTGTTTTTGTCGATATTGTATTGGGGTTTTCTGTTGTTCTTGTTTGTCTAACACCTGCTTTCTGCAAATAGGATTGTGGAACTCGCATGCAGCCCGCTGGGAACCTCGTTCGTGTGCTCGGCCGCCTCGGCCGCGAAACCCTCTGAAGGGCAGTTGCTATTGTGGAATTTGAAGACAATGAAACTCGAGCGATCGCTTGTGCTTGAGCCCGCTCCCACGCGCATCAACTCGGCCAGGTACAACCATAACGGCTCGCTGCTCGTGACTGGCGCTGAGGACGGCTGCATCCGCGTGTTTGACATGTCAAGTCAGCAAGCCATCATGGTCTGGACGGCCCACGAAGGGGAGGTGTATAGCGTCCAGTTCAGCTTTGACGAGACGTCCGTGTTTAGTCTTGGCGCTGATGGCAAGGTACCGTGGATTGGTGAACGCAATGTTTGCTGCTTGTTGTTGCTGAAAAATGAATGTCTCACTTTTTTTCCCCGCCATTTGGTTCCTGCAGTTCCGCCAATGGAACTTGCACACAGAAGCCAAGATCACTGAAATCGCCGTGCCTGTTATGCCAGCCCAGAGCGAGTTCATGCCAGGCGCCGGACAGTTTGCAATGGATGGCGAGGGCGACTTTTTCACGCTGGCGTCCTCAGAGCAAGCGCCCGTGTACCGTGTCGGCGAGGCCAATCCTCTCAAGACGCTTACGGGCCACACGCGCACCATTGCGAGCGTTGCGTGGTGCTCATCTCTACTCACCTGCGCGACGGGCTCGGCGGATTCGACCGTTCGCATCTACCGTCTGTGTCGAACGTAGTCGATTGGATGTTGTTCATGTTGATCTTTTGGATGTCTGATTACACCACATTGTAGATAGTGCCGCTCGGTTGTGTAATTCTCATGTGTATTGCACAAACGCGGTGGGCAAAAGTGAGAAAAGTCCTCCAAGTGGAACTTTTTTTCAGCTCGACGATCCGAACCCAGTCATCACAACCATACCCCGATTGCAGAGTGATTTCGTGTCACTGGTACTGGAATGATTCCAGGTTACATTACGGGTAAGGTCGTAAACAGGGTCAAACTTCTCCGAATTTCACACAGAATCCAATGCATGTCCGTTTCCCTCCCCGCTCCCCTTCACTTTGACTCACCGGCCATGAAACACGAAAATGCTCGACACGGATCTGGAAAGAAAAAACAGTCAGTCGCTTTTGGATTGACTGGCAGTCTTTTGGTTGTTTAGCTGTGTTGAATTCGATCATCCAAAATGCTGCCGTATCAGAATATGAATCAGAGACAGCGCAAGCTGTATGATCAAGTCAAGGATGCGAGCGGAGAGCTCAAGTAAGATAAAAGCCCGAGTTGATTGGCAATTTTGTGGTAGCGCGTGGACTGACGAAATGGAGGGAACAGTCTGAGTATGGAACAGATGGGCGATGCTGAAGCGAAGGCGATTGCTGAGGCACTCAAAGTGAACAGGACGCTGACTACGTCATCTCACTCTTGTTGGTGCGCGGGAGTGGGTGATTCAGAAGAGTGCTCACTGGCGGATGGGATGGACAGTCTGTACCAGAATCAGATTGGCGATCCTGGAGCATACACGATTGCTGAGGCACTCAAAGTGAACAAGACGCTGACTGCGCTCTCGTCAGGCATCTGACTGATACATTTGAGTGGGTAATCCAACAAAGAGCATTCAGAGTGCTCACAGATGGAAGGGACCAACAGCCTAAGTGGGAATCAGATTGGCGATGCTGCCGCGCGCACGATCGCTGAGGCACTCAAAGTGAACACGACGCTGATCAAGCTCAAGTAAGGCATCTCACTTTGACTGATGCATTTGAGTGGGTGATCCAGAAGAGTGCTCATTGATTGAGCGATAAACAGTCTGTACCAGAATCAGATTGGCAACGCTGGAGCGACGGCGATTGCTGAAGCACTCAAAGTGAACAAGACGCTGACTACGCTCTCGTAAGGCATCTCACTTTGACTGATGATGGTGAGTGAAAGATTTAATCAGAGCCATTCTAACTGATGAGGGATGGACAGTCTGAGTGGGAATCAGATTGGCAATGTGGGAGCGCAGGTTATGGCTGAGGTACTCAAAGTGAACACGCTGACTGAGCTCAAGTAAGTCATCTCACTTTGACTGATGCATGGAAGCTGAAGCTGGGTTTTCACTGTACTCACTGATGGAGGGGATGGACAGTCTGCGCCAGAATCAGATTGGCAACGCTGGAGCGACGGCGATTGCTGAAGCACTCAAAGTGAACACAAGACTGACTGGGCTCGAGTAAGGCATCTCACTCTTGTTGGTGCATGTGAGTTGGTGATTCAGAAGAGTACTCATTGATTGAGGGGCTGAACAGTCTGTGGGAGAATCAGATTGGCGATGATGGAGCGCTGGCGATTGCTGAAGCATTCAAAGTGAACACGACGCTGACTACGCTCAGGTAAGGCATCTCACTTTGACTGATGCATTTGAGTGGGTGATCCAGAAGAGTGCTCATTGATTGCGGGGATGAACAGTTTGCACCAGAATCAGATTGGCGATGCTGGAGCGCAGGCGATCGCTGAGGCACTCAAAGTGAACAAGACGCTGAAGGAGCTCTTGTAAGGCATTTCATTTTGAGTGACGTGTGCGAGTGGGTGATTCATAAGAGCGGCTCACTGATAGAGGAGATGTGGACAGCTTGTGGAGGAATCAGATTGGCGATGCTGGAGCACAAGCGATTGCTGAGGCACTCAAAGTGAACAAGACATTGAAAACGCTTTTGTAAATATTGATCGCTACAAGATGCTCTGACAGCCGTTAAACTCATGCTCCAATCTGACGATGTGATTGACAACAACAACAGTTTGAACGAGAATTTCCTGACCAACACCGGAATCAATGCACTCAGGCAAACCGGCAATACCACTTGTAACTTTAAGTAAGACTGTTTGTTTATTGGATTCTTGCATGAACAACAAGCCACTCACCTGCTTTTGGCGAACTTGGGTTTCCGAACAGAGACCTTGACCAGCAGCGTGTTCCGTCGTCTGCCGAACTGGCGCAGATTGCAGCTCGTGCCGCTGCGAACGTGGCAGAGATTCAGCAACTGCGCGCCAAGTTGGCCACGGAAGATCAGGAGCTCGCAACCAACAAGCAGGAGCTCGCAACTAAAGATCAAGCACTCGCTGCCAGAGATCAGGAGCTCGCTGCCAAAGACCAGCAGCTTGCTATCAAAGACCAGGAGCTTGCTGCCAAAAATCAGGAACTTGCAACCAAGGATCGTGAACTGAAGTTAGCTCTTGATCGTATCGACGTACTGGAGCGCAACCAAGGCGCCGGTGGATCCGCCTCAAACTTTGACGGTCCCATCCCACAAGTGCCTCTCGCCACTCTCGCCTCCGCCACGAACAATTTCGCTGCGGATTCTCTGCTCGGCGAAGGAGCATTTGGTCGTGTGTACAGTGCCAGTTTGCCTGCTCCTCCCGTTGCCGTCGCCATCAAGAAGCTGTCCGCCGCATCGATCCAGCAGTATGCAGCGTTTCAGGCAGAGTTGAAATCTCTATCTAAATTCCGTCACCCCAACATCATTGTCATGCTGTCCTATGCCGAAGCTCAGGGTGAATATTGCTTGGTTTACGAGTTCATGCCGAATGGTTCTGTACGCGATCGTCTCAGCTGCAAGAACGACACTCCTCCGCTGACTTGGTCCCAGCGCCATCGCATCGCGGCTGATGTCGCCCGTGGCATGCACTACGTCCAGACAGCCTTTCCTGACCATGTTCTGTTCCACCTCGACCTCAAGACGGACAATGTTCTGCTGGACGCACACTTCAATGCAAAAGTGTCTGATTTTGGTCTCGTCCGTGCTGCCGAGCATCTTGATGACAAGAGCTACCTTCGCACAAAGGTTCCTCAAGGCACCGTTCCTTACATGTGTCCCGAGTTCTTAGAAGGCCGCATGACCATCAAGACGGACGTTTATGCATTTGGCATGATTTTGCTCGAGCTTGTGACCGCCGCCAAGCCTGGCAACCGCCTGAAACTCGATGCACGAAAGGCTGTGAAAACCCAAAACGTCATTGGCATGCTGGACTCGGCGCTCAAACCAACCGACGCAGAGCGCCAAAGCGTCAGCAGCATTGTCACTCTTGCACTCGAGTGTCTTGATGAAGATGCCGATGAACGGCCATCCTTTGGACGCCTCATTGCTACATTGGATCTTTGATGACATGCTGTATTGCCCGTTTCAAGATCCAACCAAGGCGAGTCTGTTTGCCTTTCGTTCAGGTGATGCATTCAAAGTTTGATGCGTCCTCCCAGTGTCTTGCTGTTGTTGTTGCTGTTGTTGTTGTTGAGTTGTTGTTGTTGTCGTACTAGTCGGTAGTCGCAGTTTTGTGCTTTGTGCGTTGCGCTCATTTTCGCGAATGCAAATCGTCCTAACAACCCAACAATTCTGCACGACAACGCACCACGACTGTAACATTGTGGCTCATCATAACTCGATTTCGATGTCATAATCCTGATGAGATCACTTCTCTTTTTTCCATATTCCCAAATGCTTGATCCAACTGCAGCGCCGTTTGAGCCTTCTTCTTCGTCTTCGTCGTCGGTCTCACTCGGTCGCCAGTCGCCCTCAGCCGCCAATCACAGTAGCACTTCTGCTACCTCAACGAGCACAACTGGCTCATCGTCATCCAGCTCCAGCGCTCAGCAGCAGCAGCGCCGCGGTCCAAGGCAACCCAGGCAGCCGCGTGCGAGCCAAGCGATCGCCAGCAGTGACGCTGCCGCCCCGTCCGATGCCGACGGCACTGGCACGAATGCACGCTCTGCAGGCACTAATACGCAGGCAGCAGCACGCCCGCAGCAGCAGCAGCGACCGCGCAAGACGACGACGACTGGCGCACCACAGCCGATGTCGTCATCAGGATTCGTGTCGCAACCAGACCAGAGCTCAGTCCCAGACGCGGCTGTCGGCAGTGACAATGCATCACAACAGGCATCATCACAAGCACCGGCGTCGAGTGCGGGTCGCGATCGCACCCGAGACCGAGACAGGCGGCGAGGATCACCCAAGCCCAATGCAAACGTCAATGCTCAAGCCAATGCGCCGTCAAGCACCACTACTGAGGATGGCTCAACATCCACTCCCGCCGATTCCGACATGGTGAATGCTGCTGCTGCCCCAACATCAAGACAGCAGCAGTCTCGTAATACCAACAGTCGCCAACGCAATCCGCGTCGAGACATCTCCGAAGTATCTGCCGAGCACCAACCACCGGTTACATCATCCGAATCGATCGCCGCTCCAACCCCGCAACGGGTCAAGGAACGTGGACAATCGCGCAAGACACTGGCATCACAGTCACCTGGCGCACAGGGCGACGCTCCAGCCTCAAGTAGTGGTCGGAACAGACGATCCAACACGAGCAGTCCCGCCGCGCAACAACCACACTCAACCAATAGCAACACCAACAACAACAACCTGCCTTCGACGGAAGACTCGACGACGGCGACGACGACGACCGAGTCACAAACTGCACCACGAATCAACACGCCTCGGAGTGCAGCTGGACGCCGCATCCCAAAAAACGTCACCGAACTGACCGCCGACCTCATTTCCCAGCTCCGCGACAACTCGTACGAATGCATGGTTTGCTGCGACCGCATCACACGCAAACAGCCCGTCTATAGCTGCAGCAACTGCTACGCAGTCTTTCACATTGCATGCCTCAAAAAGTGGGCATCGTCCGCTGCATCCACGTCCTCCTCGGGTGGCTCCAACGCCAACGCAGCCGGCTGGCGTTGCCCGGGCTGCCAGCACGTCTCTGAGCGCGACCAATTGACCTACACTTGCTTTTGCGCAAAAGTGCGAAATCCCGACTGGAATCCGCACCACACGCCTCACAGCTGTGGCGAAGTCTGCAGCAAGTCGCGCCGCGGGACTTCCTGTCCGCATCCTTGCCCTCTATTGTGCCATCCGGGTCCCTGCAGCCCGTGCACCGTCATGCTCACCAAAAAGTGCCACTGCGGCAAGTCGTCGCTCCGTGTGCGTTGCGGCGACCCCACCGCGTCGCTCGCCTGCGAACAAACGTGCGACCGCTTCCAGTCCTGCGGCCGTCACACTTGCCAACAGCGCTGCCATGATGGGCCTTGCCCTCCGTGCGACCACTCAGAGACGCAGCGTTGCTACTGCGGCGCCCACACGCGGATTGTTGCGTGCGGCACTGGCGAGCCTGACTTTGCGCAGCGCCTTCGCACGCCCTCCGAAGGGGCCCCGAGCGAGGCGAATGTGATTGACGGTCCGGCGTTCTATTCGTGTGCCAGTGTTTGCGGAAGCCTGCTTGACTGCAAGCAGCACGAGTGCCGGCGAACGTGCCACGCTGGGCCTTGTGCCGACTGCCCTTTGACTCCTGCACGCGTCACCACCTGCCCCTGCACCAAAACCCCGATCGACGTGCTACAGCAGAAGCAGTCGGGCGGCGCCACCGCCCGCCGCTCTTGCCTCGACCCTGTTCCCGTCTGCGGCAAAACGTGTGGCAAGCAGTTGCCGTGCGCGCGCTTTGACACGACAGGCAAGGGCAGCCACCGGTGTACCCTGCCGTGCCACGAAGGCCCTTGCTCCCCTTGCCCATCCTCTGTCCGGATGGTGTGTCGGTGCAAAATGTCTGATCGGACGGTTCCCTGCGCCGAGCTGGCTGCGTTCGGTCGTGAACAGCGCCACATTGCTCTTGCCTCTGGCGAGATCACTGCAGAACAGGCTGAGAGCATGGACGCAGAGGACGCGGATCACGAGCGCCTGGGCGAAACGCTCACGCAGCTCGCCTTCCGTTGCGACCGTGTCTGTCGTGCGCTGCGCCATTGCAAGCGCCACAACTGCGGCATTCGCTGCTGCACCACCGGCGAGCGCAAGAACGCGCCCGATGCCAGCGGCGTGCACATTTGCAAGCTGGTGTGTGGCAAAAAGCTGCAGTGCGGCTTGCACAAGTGTGAAGAAGTCTGCCATCCCGGCCACTGTGCCCCTTGCATGCAGTCCACCTTTGACGAGGTTGCCTGTGAGTGCGGCAAAACTGTTCTCTTCCCGCCAATCCGCTGCGGCACATCGTTGCCGCCGTGCCCGTACCCGTGCACCCGCGAACACGGCTGCTCGCATCCCGTGCTCCACACCTGCCATCGCGACGTCAAGTGTCCGCCCTGTGTGACGCTGACGCCCAAAATGTGCATGGGTGGCCACGAGCTTCGCAAGAGCGTCCCGTGCCACATCCAGGATGTGTCTTGCGGCCGAGCCTGCGAACGCACGCTGTCGTGCGGCCAGCACACGTGCCAACTGACCTGCCACAAGGACGCCTGTCAACAGTTTGACACCCCGCTGCAGCCCGACGAGCTCCGCGCATGCACCCGGCCCTGCGGGCGCCCTCGGCTCATGTGCGAGCACGCTTGCGCCACGCCCTGTCACCCGGGCCAGCCGTGCCCAGAAACCCCCTGCCGCGAGCTTGTCCGCATTACGTGCAAGTGCAACACGCGCCAGCAGATGGTCCCTTGCGGGCTTGGCGCTGGTGTGCCTGGCTCGATGGAGGCAACGCGCGGCATGTCCTTGGTCGACTTTGCGCTGGCCCAGCGGTCGCTCAAGCAGCCCGACCAACAGGCCATCCCGCTTCGCGTTCGCTCGCACGAGCAAGTGCTCGAGTGCGACGGCGAGTGTGCTTTGGTGGAGCGCAATCGTCGCCTGGCCGAAGCGCTCGGCATTGAGCATGCCAACCTCACCTCCGTGCCCATCTTGCCCGGTACCAACAGTAGTAGCCACGAGCTGGGCGCAGCGTTGTCGGGCGAGGCCGCCAACACCAACGGTCTGACCATGGACGCGGCGTCCTACTACCAAGCTGGCAGCGCCGCACCGCAACAGACGCGCCCTGCCGGTGTCAGCGGCGGTGCTGTGAGCTACTCTGCCTTCCTGTTTGATGCGGCGAAAAAGACTCCTGCGTTCATCACTTCGTTGGAGGAAACATTGCACCAGTTCATCATGCGCGACACGGCCACTCGGTCGCGCTCGCTGCAAGTGCTCAACGCCCACTTCCGCCGCGTGGTGCACGAGCTTTGCGAGCACTACCGTGTCAAGACGTTCTCGCTGGACGAGGAACCAAACCGAAATCCAGTTCTCACAAAGACGCCTCTCTCGCACGTCCCCGCCATTTTGCTCTCGGAAGCCGCGCGGGCGTACAACCCCGACACAATGGGACCAATCACTGGCGATGTGTGGATTCGCTTTGGAGGTGGTGCGGGAGCCGGAGCAGCTCCGCAAATTTCGCTTCGAACGGACAGCTTTGGCTCGTTCGCTGTGCGCGCACCCATGGCCACATTCCCAGTCCAACAACAGCAGCAACAACAAAGCCCCCCTGTGACTAGCACTGGATCGTCGGACGTTTGGAACAGCGGTGGTGGTTGGGACGACAGCCCTGCAGCGTCAACGCCTGTTGCCGCAACTTCCGCATCGAGCTCAGAGGCCCCAGCGTCCCCCGCTGTCACTGCTGCTCCTGCCGAATCCACTGACTCTGCTGCTGCCCCTGAAGACTGGATGGCCCGAACGGAATAAGTTGACTGTTGTTTTCCCTGTCCAAGTGGTTTTGGCTTTTTCTTCTTTTGTTTGTTTGAATCAAATCAATCAGTGAAAACTTCAAACATCCTCGCAAGTCGAGTCAAAGGGAAGGGGGTTGTATTGAGGAAAGACAGCTTGGTTCTAGAACACGTTATTTGTTTTTTGGTCGCGGAGAGCGAGCGCCCGCGCCACGCCATCCGGAGTGTCACTGTGCATCTTGGCAGCTGTTCCGCCTCATGGGGAGACGAAAAAGAGAAGACACACACAAGACAAGAAAAAAATAACGGAAATCAAAGGCCAGTTCCACCACACACGCTTCAAAGAAGAAAAAAAAAAGGTCAAAAACACAACAAGTGAAAAGGGACAAAAATACAACGACGCGCACGCGGAAAGAGATAAGAGACCGCATGGGGGAAAAGGAAACAATCACATCAAGCACATCATCATCAAGAACAACAACAACAACAACAACAACAACAACAACAACAATTTACCAAACATAACAACAAACAAAAAGCCAAACTTGCTTAAAAGTTCTCCTTGTTAAAGTTGAAAATGGTACCACCCGGTCGAGGATTGGTAAACTGTTTAGAAAGCCGCCCGAGCTCCTTGGCAACAACTTTGGGTCCGCAGTAAAAGACGCCAATGTTGGTCGAAGGATGGTCTTGGACGAGCTGTTCGTAAATGCGTCCCCATTGTGGTCGGCCAAAGTTGGTCTTGGCGCGCAGACCCGTGATGGCGTCGGCCTCCTCCTCGTCGTTGAGCATGACGTTGCGCACTTCGTTCGAGTTGAGCTCGCCCGTCAAGTAAATGCGGGCGTCGAGGAAATCGTACAGGTTTTGTTGCTCCATCTGCTGCTCGAGCGCCTCGAGCAGATCGGCAAACCACTCAAAGGCCTCCTTCTCGCGGCAGACCCAGATAAAGTACACCTTGCGCAGCTTGAGCTGGATGGAAGGGTTGAGCAGGCGGTACCAGATGGACTTGAGGATGGAGGCGAAGGGTGTCACGCCAATGCCCGTGCCGACGCACACGGCAACCTCGTACTTGAAGACATCCTCCGAGGCGGTGCCAAAGGGCCCGTCAAAGGCGACGCGCGGGAGCGTGGCGGAGGCCTGGATTTCACCAGCGTCGCCCTTGTTGCTCCAGTTGCAGCCGAGCGCTTCGGCAAACTTGGTCGTCCAGTCACCGGCAACGCGGATGTGCACAGACGCGAAATCTTCCTCGGGGGCAGAGGTCAGAGTGAAGGGATGCCACTCAAACCACGAGACGGCAGGGCAGTGGACGAAAATGTACTGGCCGGGCTTGGAGTGGAAACCGCGGCGCACAAGCTGGATCTCGACGACCTTGGAAGGGTGCTGCACGACCTTTTGAACAATCGTGTTTTGGGTGTACCGGTAGAATCGCAGGCCGCGCTCAATCAGGTAGACGCCGAACGGCCCGACGACAAACTTCCAAAAGTTGGGGGGCTGCGACTCGTACACGTCGTTGGCGGGATCGGTGGGGTCGATGACGACGCGCTTCTTGACCAGGCCGCCGAGACCGTGGATGCAGAGCAGGACGAAAAAGACAACAAACAGGTGGTGCGTGTACCAGAAAATCTCAAAGTACGAGCGGCGAATGATGGACATGGACGACGTGAACATGAGGAACATGACGAGGACGACAATGTGGCCAGTCGAACCGGCAATAGTGGCAAAGGCATAGTCTTCCGCAGACGTGCCAGGCTGACCGCCGCACTGCAACGAGCCGGTCTTCTCGAGGTTGAGAAAGTTGAAAAAGTGCGCGCCAGTGTGCACCACCGCTGCGAGGCAGATCGTCCAGGCAATGAGCTTGTGCATGGTAATGTTGTGGTCGAGCAGGCGGATGAACGACAGGCGAATCGAGCCGCGGACGAGCGACAGGAGGTTTCGGCAGACGGGCAGCAAGATGAGCGCGCAGTTCAAGTTCAGGATCATTGCTGCGCCACGAGCGACCGAGAGGCCAGCCTGTGGTGTTTCAAAGTCAAAAGAGGTTGACGAGGTTGGAGAGGGAATGGGAGGTGAGTCGAGAGAGCATTGGAACAGAACGACCAACAAAACTTTGACTTACACCCATAATGTCGTGCGGACACTTGTAGTCTTCATTGGTCTGATAGCTACTGTACGTACTAAAGAACTGTGTTTTGCAAAACAAGAATCAAGGACAAAAAGAACAGGTTGAGCGAACAAAACACAAGGTGCATTTTTCCGTATCGAAGCGGGGTTTTTATCGAGTCTTGCTTATACGGACGAGTTGACTAACTGGCATTTTGGCGGCATGTTTTTGTTGACTCGATTGTTTCTGTTTGCGGGTTTTCTATTTTTTTTTTTTTTTTTTTTTTTCAATGCTTCTCTTTCTTTCCCATTGGAACCGCAGCTGTTCTTTCCCCCCTTCCCGCGCGGGGTGGCCCGCCTCCGAAGCCACACGTCGCCCCGCACACACAAGCACACTACTCGAACACAATGCAGTCCTCGTGTTTCATGCCGAAGGGGGGTCACATCCACACGCACTCAAAGCCAAAACCGAATCAAAATAAAAAATGTAACGGTTGTTGTTGCCGTTCCACCACAACGAAACGCCCAGCTCAAGCTCAAGCTCAAGCTCAAGGTCAGCAAGAGAGAATGTCATCCCATCGCATGAAAAGCAAGCTGCGACGATTCCATTGGAACGGCGTCAGAAAAAAAAACCATCAAAAACTCAATGCAAACTCACACAAAGAATAGAAAAATAAAAAATAAAAAAATAAAAAAATAAAAAAATTGAAAGCCCGCTTTTTACTGTGGAACACGCTCTTCACTCACTCTCCGTCTCTGCGTCTCACTGTCTCACTGTGGTGGGTAGATGGGTTGCTGTGCGATGCATTACCAGGCCAATGTTGGCGCAGAGCCAGGTGACAAAGAACAAGAGCGCGGGGCCTTCGTTCCAGAGGAACTTGGTCCACTCTGCTTTGCCCTCAGGCAGACCAAACACCATTCTCACAACAGAAGAAGAAAAAAAAAAGGAGAACTGAGAAACACTGAAAATAATAAGCTGAGAAAAACATGTATGATTGAGTTTGTTGAATTGCTGCAAAGTCGAGAGGATTGAAATAAAAATCACAATGCAAACGAGACCCGTCCTTCTCTCTTCTCTCTGGATCGTCTACAAACTCGGAAGAATAGGAGGCAAACATGCACAATAGCAACCAGATCGAAAACCAAAGTAAAGTCGGAGATGCATGGGTTTGAATGGGAGCAAACCACGAAACAGCCGTTCGATTCCGCTCTCTCGCAAATTCTACAAAGTCACCACCAGAGACACTGGAACACTGACGATTGTCTTAAAATCTCAGAAAACACTGAATCATCGACCATTCAAAAGCACGGTGGGAGGCGGGGGGGGGGGAAAGACTACACTCCAAAGCTGCGTTCATTCTGAGCTTTTTGTGATCGCATCGCTACTCCAACAAAGCACACTCAAAGCAAAGCATCTTCACTTGTTTCAGTAATTCTTCTTCACCTCCACACAAAAGAATCCCAGTCTGCTTTTCGTGTTGATTCCGGGAAGAGGATGGCTTGCAGGGCGCAGGCGGTCGTTCAGGCGCTGCTGACCCCGTCCATCACTGCCTCAACTGCAGACAGTCCGGCGGCACCCTGGGACTGCCCGTCCTTCCCATTGATCCCAGTTGCTGTCCAGTATCTCTCGAGCACGTCGGCAGAAGCAGCGGCTGCACGCAAAGCGCTGTGCCAGGTGAGTGTCCAACATTGGTGTTTTTTTGGCGCCAATTCGCGCCAAAAGATGTTGGAAACGACCACCGCGCTCACTGCTCCCCCATCTGTATTGCCTTGTGCCCAGGCATGCAAGGTGGCAGATCTGCCAGAACGCCACGAAATTGCCGACTGCGTGCTCGACCTCGCAGATGCCCTCTGGCGGCCGCTGGTTGCTCTGCATAAGCCAGACGTGAAGCTTGCACAGCGATCATCATCGACTAGCTCCGCACAGGGACCCGCTACTCCAGCACAGCAGACAATACCATCACGAGATGCATTGACTGCAGTGTCAAGACCGAGTGCACCGGGCTCGACTGCTCACCAAGGTTTGGATTTGTTGCCTTCGCTCCTCATTCACGCGGATCGACTCACGTTCGCTGTGCGTTAACTTTTGTGGTGTGTGAATGCAGGAAAATCTGCGCTAGAGTTTGGATCCATTCCCTTGTCGGTAGGCTCACAGTTCTCAATACCACAGCCGTTGCAGCAGAGCGGGGGCTTGCTCCCACTCCCGTCAGCGTCGCCCGTGCGAAGTTCACCGTCCCGATCCAACACGGCCTCTTTGCAACCCGCCCCAGTTGCAGCAACACAGGCCATCAATCTTTCCAGCGTCACCGAGTTTCCACGCTTGTCAGCCGCTCCAAGCGCCAAACCCGCAGGTTCGGGAAACAAGGTAAGATGCTTTGATCCCCTGGGGCCTTTCTCTCAGAGCGCAAGAAAATAAATCGTGCTCGTCTCACGTGCTTGTCAATCCCTTGCTCATGTTCTTTGCTCCATCACCCCAGCAACCTCGCAAAATCACCCCAACGTTGGTCAAACCTGCTTCGTTGGGAGGCGGCGGAGCGTCGGCCATCCCGACCCCTGCCTTTTCAGCCGCTGCCTCCGAGCAGTCTACCGCTGTGGACGATGTGATGATGGGACTGGCAAGACCGCGTCGTGCCTCTGGCTCTGCAGCTTCCGTCTCCATTACTCCCGCGTCCGCCGTCTCAACAAACGCGCCTCGCCCTCCCACTTTGAGCGCTGCTGCTGCGACGCCAGCAGCACCAATGCGAATTCGCCGCATTGCTTTTGGACGCGTCCCTTTCCGAGAGTCCATCGCAGCGCTCGCCCGACTAGTCGCCTGCGTCGTCTCGGCCCGACTGGGCACCGCGAGCCAACCGACCGCTGTGGCGCTTCCACTCTTCATCCATCTGTTGACTCTACCCGTCTTTGTGTCAGAGCCCCTCCATACCCCTCGAGACGCAACCCAGTTCCTCTTTGATACCAACAATTTCCTGGCGACCGAGCAGCAGGCCGTACTCTTCGCCCTTGCTTGCCTCCACCACCTGGCTCGCTTCCTCCCGCAGCTGGTGGACGCTCAGTTTCTGGTGGAGCTTGCCGCCAACCCGTATCTGGATGATTTTGGCTCCAAACCATTGCTCGCCATCGATCAAGCCATCCGACCCCCGCCATCGCTCGTAGTCAGTCGAGACATGTCCCAACAACCTAACAACAACCAACTGCGCCATGCCTCGTCCTCCAGCATGCAGCTGCTCATCAAGCTGGGTCTGGCTCCTTCTGTGGAGAGTGAGCGCCTGGTTCGTTCGACGCATCGGCAGCTCTTTTTCAACCGCGAAAAGCTCGCCGACAAGGTGTTTCTTTTGCGAATCAAGTGGCAGGAGGCACTCGTTGCGCTGCGCCAACACTCGACAGAGACCCCTGGCGCAGTCCAAGTGTCGCCATTGCCCGACAGCAAATTTTGCGAACTGGTCTGGGAGATTATGATGCAGCTCGATCCGTTAAACTATCGGTGGCTTGCGCTCAAGCTAGTCGTCGATTTTCTGGACGCCCTGCCTTCGAATCCGCTGGTTTTCGCCAATGGCTCGGATCCGACAGCAGCCCGTCCGACAACCCCGCTGGGATCTGCTCCTTCCACGCCTGGCATCGGTGCCAGTCCCGCCGCACCGTTGCTGCGACACGGCTCGTCGCAATCCCTGACGCACGACGAGGCGTTGGCGGCAGCAGGAGCGCACGCGGCAGACCCCACTCGCAAGGCGCAGCGCTTCGAAAACTTGGAGCGGCGCTTTCAATCCGACCGAACCTACGCTCGGCCTTCTCTCCGACCCAAAGTCTCATCAACTGATATTGTAGCCGCCTGCTCTCCGGGCAAGCTGGGCGCACCGGCGCCTTCGTTTTTGCACTTTTACGCCACGTTTCTTGTCTTTGCGGACAGCTTCACCCTTGTTGCACTTGCGCGCGAACTTCTCTGTCCGTGCGTCAATGCCTTGTTGCAGCAATCCTCCCAGGCTCCCTCCACGCTTGAATTGGAGAGCGCTGTTGGCTGTGCGCAGCTCCTGGGATTTTTAGATGGTTTTTCGGCTCGGTTGCCGACTGTGCCCGGCCAAAGCTTGTCGCCCGCACCGTCTACTGCCCCCTTGGGCTCGCTCGATGTGGCTCTCTTGCTGATTGCGTCGCAGAATTCGTCCGAGCATGTGATCGTCGCGAGCGAGTACCTGTGTGCATTCCACGGACTCGGGTTGAAAGACGAAGACTCTAGCCGTGCAGCGCCTCCGCCCATCCCAGTTTTAGTGTTGCAGCAGCTGCACGAGCACTGTGCTCGGATGCAACACGCGTCTCAGCCCACGGGACCTCTCGAGCGAATGTCAGTCGCGTACGCCGAGCAGATTCTCTTCTTGGCGCGATTTACAGCAGACCAACCGTCCGACCCTGCTGGATTGCCAGTCGCAGTTGCGCCCAAGTCCGGCAGCCCGCATCTTTCCTTGTCTGGCACAAGCCCCACGTCCTCTCTGGAGCTAGCGTTGCAGTCGTTTCGTCGCGAAATGGACGCCATCGCGTGGGGTGCCGATGGCGACTCGCCGTCGCCTGCCAAAACACGCTCGGCAGCGACCGTTGCACAACAACATGGAACCCATCTACCCAGCTCTAGTCACACTGGTGGCTCGACGACGTCCTCTGCAAAGCGCACCGGCACGCGCCGCATCACACCGATCGTCGAGGCCACAGCGGTGAGTTTCCGTCCTGGAGCACCAACGCCGCTGGACGTCGCTGCGTCTGCTACGCCACCTGTACTGGAAGACGTCATTACTGCCGCAGTGCCCGATTCGGGCGCGTCATCTGGTACCGCGTCGCCTCGATTTGGTAGCACGTCCAACCTTTCTTCAAGTCGGGTGCGGACACTATCCAGCTCGGGTTCGTCGTCAGTTGCTCCACCGGCCATCGCTCCACAAGCCGCGCTCTCGACCGGCTGGCGACATGCCCCTTGGTTTGAAAAACTCAACGAGGAGCTCGAGCCGCTGTTGGCGTTTCTGCAAGTCCACGTCAGCCGGAATGCATCCTCCAGCAGCTTGCTCGCCGCCAAATCTGCCATCTTTGAACGTGAGCGCGCGCTCCTTGAATCGTGGCTGCACGATACCATGCCGCATCAGCCTTCTGGTGTTGTTTTGCGGCCCAACGCTGCTGCTGCTGCTGCGACGAACGAGGCGCAAGACGCCCCGGATCTCGATGAGTTGCTGGTCGATTCGGCCAACAACGCCAACGACCAACAGGTGGCACAGTTCCGCCAGGCATCGCAAGAGCGGGTGCGCGTGAGTCTGCTAGAGGCACGGCGTGACATTCTGCAGCGTGCCTCGCAGTCCGCGCGGGAATACATTGGTGAAGCGATCACGACAAGCGTGTCGCAACTCTGGCCCGTCACTGTGAACCGTGGTGTGCTGCCGATCGCCTGCGCTCATACCATCGCCAAAGCACATGCCACAGTCGTTGCGGAGATGACTGCAAACCTCGATGCGACGCTGGTCCGCGAGCTCGAGAGCGAGTACGAGCGACTCAAGCGAAGTGTGCGTTTGCAACGTGAGGCGCCTTCGGACCAGTCACCCCGCAGCATGATCCAATCCCGCGTTGGCTTGGAGGAGCTCTCGCGTTGCCTGCAGTCCCAGATTGCCTCACTGTCAAGCAGCACCGCCCAAACCTCCTCGACACTGTGCTGGCCGTGGAGTCAAGTCGCGGGAATTTGCCGCGCTGTTGTCCACCTGTTGGCTGAACGCGATGCAAAGCATGCGCTGGTACTCCGAGATCGCTGTGGCCTCGACCCGAGAGCGCAAGCCCTAGTTGGAGAGCTCATGCAGAATGTTGTTGGCTCGCTGCAACTTTGGTGTGAACACTTCCAACTCGAGTTTGCGGGGCGTCACCAGCGTAAGCGTGGCTCGAGTCCCAGTAATGCGGGGATAAGCGGCAGCAGCGGTCCGAGTGGCGGATTGGTCGTGCGTCGACTTTTTGCAGATTCTTCAAAGCCGGCGAAGGCTAGTCCCAGTCCGAGCACGGCGGCCTGGATGGGCGTTGTAGAGCTCGTGTCTGAGGACGCTTCGGACCAGAGTTTTGCTGCGACCGCGCTGGCTCGGCTGTTGGAAGCCCTCGGAATACTCGCGCTGCTCCTCGGGCAGCCGTTGACACCAACACTGCTGAGGCCAGTGATTCAAAGCATTGTCGGCGCTGCAGCTCGTGGTGCCATGAAGCCAATGCGCTGCTTGATTCATTTGGCGCTTCTGGTACTGTGTATTGACTCGCACGACGCTCGGATTTGGTCGGCGCCGCAGCTGGAGGCAGAGCTGCTCGCACTGCCGTGGTCTGCTCCCCGCGAACTAGCAGAGGTGGCTGCGATTGTGCTCTCGGCGTATCATTACAGCGGCTTGAAAACGCTGCTGCAATCGTCCGGCCGATACCATGCGCACCAGTGGTGTCATTTGGCCAACTCGGCGTTTGCCAAGTCGCCCTCGTCAAACCCTGAATTGGCCGCCCTAATGGCAACGCTGTTCTGACGGCATACACACCTTACTCATTTGTTCATTTTATAACTTGGCACCACGCCTTTGTACAAATTTTGAATCAATACTCTTTTGTATTTACTGCGACTTTTTCCAGCGACCAAGCCACTCAATATTTTCGCGTCCTTTATGAGCCTTGGTGACTGGACGAAGATGAATGCAGCGGAAGCCTAAGGGTGTCAGCAGATTGATGGTTCTATCAAACCCCGACACAGTGACAATGAGTAGGTGCAGCTGATTGAGCATCGCAACCGAATGATGCGGCGGAAAACGTACTGCTCGGGCGACATTGCGTAGGGTGGGCCGCCCTCGTGACCGTCAACGGGGAAAATGACAGTCACCAGCTCGCCACTGTCGTCCAACAATTTGTGCATTTGTGACGCCCACGCCGAGTGCAAGTTGGCCGGGAGGGCTCCGAGGAAGCTTGTCAAAAAACATTCCACAAAAGCGCAGTGAGCTTTGAGCGATGGCAAGCGCATTTTCTCAATTGCAAACGAATGAGTATGCTTACGTGTAGTCGTAAATCACGTTGAACGACTTTGCTGGGGCGTACGTGAAAAAGTCAGCAGACAGAAACTGAGCACTTTCCTTTGGAATGTTGCGTTCTTCGCGGGTCTGCTCGGCAAGATGACAGATGCATGTACAGCAGAATGAGCATTCGAGCAGTCACACAAGATTGTCAGCGGCTCCGTTTGGGAATGACAGGCATTCGTGCAACAGAAACCAAAAGCGCTTGCCTTTTCGCACTGTGCAATCACGGTTGGCGAGATATCAAGTCCAATGACAGTACGCTTGCCTGGCTCAGCGAGAGCAAACACATCGTTGCCCTGTTGATATTTGTGGGTTTTCGGGATGTAAGACCAACCATTGAGACACAATGGAAAAGAGTCAGTAAGAGATTGAAATCAGTCAAACGGTGTTCACACAACACACACACCACCTCAGCTCGCACTGACCGCGCAGTGCAATGAAGCGCACTCCTACAAACTCACATGACCGCATCCTGGGACGAGCGCTCGGCCGCCTGGCAGCTGGTTTTGCTCGATGAGCTCCAGGAGCGCTGGGGCGGACGTAGCTTGGACCCAAGGCGTGACCTTCTGCTTCCAGACCTGGTCCCAAGCGACGCCTGCTACTTGAAGACGTTTTCAAGTATGTCAAAGTTAAGCAGTGCAACGCAAAGTGAGAAGTTGTTCCGACGGCGTTCGAATCCAATCTTGTTCAAATCTTCCATCTGAACCAATTCTTCGCAAAATCACTCATGCACACTGGATCGCAATTGTCGCACCATTCGGCTCGCTGTTGACAATGCGGCGGAGCTCTTGCACGCCCTGAAGACGCTTTCCTGACGTTTGAGGCTCGGATGTACCAGTCGTTGAGCTCAACACGCGCCCGTTGTGAGCAAAGGAGGCAAAGCCTCGTCCGATGGTTCGAACTCCGACCTTCAACATGATTTGATGGGAGAAATGGAAGACTGGGGGCTTCGGGCATCTCAGACAATGTCAGAGTAAAAGCACGAGTATTCCGCGAGCACACGAGGCCCGTGCATGTGTTTGCTGGAACGGTAGCGAAAAATACAATGCGCGATTTCGACACCAAGGATCTGAATCACTCAAACACGCAAGGAACTAGTTTACTCGCGTAACAAGACAACTGGAATGATAATGACATGCATAGACTTTGATTAATCGTGATAACCATCAGCCTGGGAGGCCACAGTGTTTTGTGGCAGTTTGGGAAAAACGGCCAAACTCTGAATTCTGAATTCTGATAGGAAATGATGGCTCGTTGGAGCTATTGTCGGTACGGAGGTGTATGGTACTGGTGGGGAGCGGTATGATGAAGATGCATTTGTTGATGTGGATGATGAAGCTGGGGAGGGAATGACGCTTGCATCGGAGCCCCAAGCTGATTTGAGGGCTGTGGCATGGCGGGCATGCTTCCTGCTTGCATCCCGACCTGAAAGTTCACTTGAGGATGCAGCTGATGAGTAGTCGAATACTGGCCAGCCGAAGAGTACGGCACCTGCATCAGTACAGATGCCTGTGGGTGTTGCAGCAGAGGTTGAAGTGGTTGTTGCACCAAAATCGAGGCGCCTGTTGGGAGCGAGGATGGTTGCATCAGAGATGTCTGCGAGAGCTGCAACAACGATGTCGGGGGCACTTGGTGCTGGAGTGGAAGCTGAGGCTGGTACTCGTATGGCTTCAGCTGATACGGCTGAAGGTACTGCTGTTGGATTTGCTGGTGGACCAGATACGGTTGTTGCTGCTGTTGCGGCTGTTGCTGTTGCTGATATGGCTGCTGTTGCTGCTGTTGCAAATGTTGGTGCTGTTGGTGCTGCTGCTGCTGTTGTTGTTGTTGCTGCTGCTGCTGCTGTTGCTGTTGCTGCTGCTGCTGCTGCTGCTGTTGCTGTTGCTGTTGCACGGACTGAAGATGAGCCGCTGATACAACGTCTTGCTGTGCGCCTAAATGCTGCAATACTGGCGTGGACTGCTGGCCCATTGGGGTGGGGGCAGTGCCGCGGTCTGGAGACGTATACGACACAAAGCTAAGCAGCTGCGACGACATGGAAGTGGGCGTCGAGCTGGGTGTTTCAATCGAACCTTTGCGTCCTTCACTTTCGGCCGTCGACTCTGCGCGGTGTCGTTTTGCAACGCGGTCCTGCCCGCTTGGAGAGCTTGTGACCATCGTTCTTGTTGGCTGATCGATCCCCGGTGAAGAGGATGGATGAAGACGAAAACCGAGTCCAGGAGAAGCAGAGGGACTCGGCTCAGAGCCTTTGATCTGTTCACAGGGGGAGAGCTGAGCAAACGAGCGTTTCGAAGGCATGCATGCAGACGCTCCGGCTGCATCGAATGCTGCACGTTGAGGCAGTTGATCTCTAAATTGCACGGCAATCGCGACGGACGCGGAATGTGCATCCTTGGCGAGCGTTGGCGCAGACGGTGCTTTCGTGGACGTTTGGTACTCCTGTATCCAGGGGCTGTAGAATGTCCCCGGGATCCAATACGGACGCGCTAGGTTGGCACTGGTTTCCCCATGGAAATCGCCCGAGCGTAGCTGCAACTTGACCCCTTGGAAGGAAACTTTGACAGCCAGCGGAGACGACACGGCCAACCCACCTTGATTCTGGAACTCGCGCGCACCCACAGCAACGAAAGGCGCCGAGGTTGTCTCTGTCAGTAGCTCGAGCGAGCCACTCGTGCAGAGGAATAGCTGGAATAACAAGACGTAGGAGCCCTTCTCCCGGATCAGCAAGTCTGGAAAGACAAACAAATTGGCGGAAGGTTCATTGCCGTCTTGATCTGGCAAGTCTCGAAGATGGTGAAGCGAGGCCACAGACGATCCTGAGAGAGCGCAAAACCATCATCAACGTCAGCAAAGGTACAACAGTGTGCCACCAAGCACGCAAAGTGAGAAATGGTCGATCTCTGACCGGTCAAGTTCGCATGGTCGGGTTTGGTTCGCATCATGTTACGTTCGACCTTCATGTCCGGGGACCACAGGGTTGCCAAAAGTATCAGTCGAGAGTGCATCGCAGTCCTATAGAGCGGGGGGGGGAGAGTGGCGATTAAAGTGAGTCGTGAGTGAGATGCGAGCGCACGACAGCAAAAAAAAAAAAAAAAACACTTGGCTTGGAACCTACATGGACACTTGCGGGTGCCCGTTGCGCTTGTAGCAAAACAATTGAACGATGGGAGTCGGGTCGACGGTTCGTCGGTTGCCTAGAATAACAACAGCGGCAGCGGCAGCGACAGGTACAACCTGAGTGCAAAGTTCGGGCGCAAATGTGGGTTGTGCTTCTTGGACGTACCTCTGGCTCCATCGTGAGAAACGCCACCCATGCAAGCATGCTTGGGCTGCTGACGAATGTGCAAAGCGAACGTCATTCTACGCGGCATGGCATCGGGAAATCAGCCAACAAGGAAAACGCAAAAAAAAAAAAAAAAAAAAACGACCATACCCGTTCGACGCAGATTTCCTCGCTGGCGGGACAATACTCTGCACATCAGAAGGGTACGGGGAGACAAAGCAAACCCAGAAGAACAAGAGATGAGTGAGAGTGCGAGATCGGCATTCACAATCGACTGTCTGGAGTGCGGAACCGACCGGAAGGACGGCAGGCGGCAAACATTGAAAACCGGATCCAGGCGACGCTCCTCCAGCAGGGGACGATGGGCTGGGCTCTGCACTGCCGTTCGACACGGATCGTTGCAGAGACAACCCGCGGGCCTTGCTGTTGCTGCTGCTGCCATCAGCGTCGCTGACGACGATACGCAACCTGGGTGGCTGGTTTGAATTCTTGGTGTTTGAGTTGGCGTCTTCGCTCGCTTCGTCTTGCTCGGCGTCCTCGGCGTCCTCGTCTCGCTGCTCATCGCTGACAGCTTCAACATCGTCAACGTTGTCATCATCGTCTTCGTTGTCGTCGTTGTCGGCGTCGGCTGTGTCCTCGCCTCCATGCTGCTTGTCTGCGCGTGTGAGTTTCGCTGAAGGTGACTCATTGCCCGGAGTGCTGGCCGGCACAGCCATTCGCGACGCCGCCGCCCGAGTGACAGCGGCATCATCAGGAGTAGCATCGTTCCTAGCAGCAGTCGCGACGGTGGCTGTCGTGGCTGTTGCCGTCGCTGAGTCCGAGTGTGCATGCCAACGCAACCAGCCCGCGCCCGTTGTGCTGCTTTCCAGTTGCGCTTGCGTTGAATCGGCAGCTGCGGACATTGCTTCCACCAAGGCAGTCATTGCGCATGACTTGTGTTGAATTTCTGTGGGGCTGCGGGTCGCTGGTGGCTGTTGCATCACGAGTGTGGGCTGCGGCAACGACACACCTTGTTGGGGGAGATACAAAGTCGAAGCGAAATCGCGTTTCGACTTTCTTGTTTTGTTGTTGTTTGCGTCGTGATCTTTGGATCTCTCTGTTTCTGCGGCCGTCGATTCTGCCTGTGCAACAGTCGACTGCGCACGACCACACACACACAAAGGGTATAAATATAGCTGCGTTTGTATGGGTTGAAGAACGGGTTGTAAAAAACGTTTCCTTTTTTGAGTGAGCCAAAAACGCGAAAATTTTCGTTTGTTTTTTGTGCTTGTTTTGTTTTCGCTTGTTTTTCGGTTTTTTTTTTGGTTTTTTTTTTTTTTTTTGTTTTTTTTCCTGCCCTCCTTGCTTCTGGTCCTGCGGTTCTTGAACTGGTCGAGGTTGGTTGGCGGTTGTACTTCGCCGCCTTGGACACGAGCTGTCGCAGAATGCAGTTGCTTTCTGTTTTGCGGGTTTTTGTCGTGACAAACAGGGACCGAAAACAAAGAAACAAAAACAAGACCAAAAAAAAAACAGCAAACCAAAACAAGGCGAAAAAAGAGACTGGACTGGTATTTCGTCTCTCGCATTCAAACTGACAACAGAAAGAGCAACTCGGAGACGTGTGCTTTGTTGTGCATGCATGCGAGGTTGATGATGCAGCGGGAAAAGCGAATCGCGGTGGAACAGCCAGAGCTGTGCAATCGACGACAAAACTTGCAAAGTGCGTGTATGAAATGGACGAAGGTATTTCTTGGGTGTGACCACCAACGAAAGATCAAAGGGGGGGAAATCAAACACTGCAGGCAGGCAGGATAAAGAGGGGTAATGACCATACATGTACCGATTCAAGGAGGAAGAGAGGAGGAACGACGGAAGAAAGTGGAGCATCAACCAAAGCCGCGGTGTGCGCAACCCACACGGGTGCGAGAACACCAACATTCGCCGCGACACTCTATTGGGCAGTCTCTACGCTAGTAATTACTCATGAATTTTACAACATACACGTCCCTTCATCAAGCTCGTCCACTCCCGCGCCCTGCAGGACATTGTGCCGCGAGCCCCGCCTGCTGACTCTCCCACGTCGAAGATGTGGGGAAAGTGCATTGTCAGGTCAGAAGAGAAGACCACCATTTCACTTCTACCTCCGAAACCCGGTGAGCATGAGCAAACCGAGTCACCAAGCGGCGCCCGTATGACCAGGACGCTGACACCAAACTTGCAACCGCAAGAATAAGTTAAACACGTTGCCCTTGTCACTTACTCCTTGCCCCTGATCATGATCCTTCTCTTTGTGGTTTTTGAGCCTTAGAAGCTTTTCCACCCTCCAATAAACGTAATACAAAAAAAAAAACATACACGTCGCAACTGGGCAACGTGTGCCTCCCAAGACTCAACAATGCCTTGACGTGGCGGTGGGAGTGACCAGCATGGACAAATCGATGGAAGACTTGGTAGCATTGAAGTCCTGAAGCATGGGGTGCGTGTGGTTGTTTTGACGCGGACTTGTTAGTGCTTTCCATTTTCGCCAGATTTGAATCACGGATACAAAAAAAAAAGCGCTGTGATCGGACCGTTTTTGATTGGCGGTCGCTCTTGATGCGAGCGCGTTGGCTCGGAGTGGCGGTGCTGCCCAAAGGCGAGTACGCTGCTGCGTGGGCAACTGGCAAGTATGTTGCTGCGTGGGCAACTGGCATTGCTGCTGGTGGATTGAGCGGATGGGGCCATCGCACTGATTTGGCAGAAAGCGTGGTTTGTTTACTGTACTATCCGAATGCCGCACCCAAACCGCACAAGGGGGTGATTGCGCACTTTCTGCGCGATATTAAGGATTAGGTACTAGTGTACATCTACAAAGTCTTTTCGGACTTGCGTCTTTTCGATCGTGCCTGCAATGCTTTGTTGGATTTGTGTTGATATTTTATTGTTGTTGATGGGCTGGTGTTGTTTTGCGCACATTGGATTCCAGCCTCTCCAGCAGCAACCGCCCGCTATATCGTCAAGCGTGCAGATCACTACCGTTTTCAATGGTTGCCTGGGCGATCGTGAACTCGCCTCGAAAAATCGCATAGATCTACCACATTGCTCCCGCCACTCTCCATCTGTTGAATTACCGAGCCGTCTTGTGCCTTCCTCGTCGCTTTCTCACGTACACGCCGAGGGCAATAATCTCCTGCAGAGAATCACAAGAAGAACTGCGGAGCAAGCGAAGGAGAAGAAACAGGGACTCGACGTGCCGTCCAACCAAAAAACCCACCTTCCCACACACACACACACACACACAGCTTCAAGCTCATGCTCCACTGTCTGCGCATTCACACGTTCTCGTCGAGACACATGTGCACCGTCTGTCGTAGTGCTACGATGCAACTATGGCGAGCTCGCAGGGAAGAATGCTGTCAGAGAGTTCGGATACGCGACATTTGCATCGCCACGCCAACTTCAGCTTACATTTCTGTGATATGCTCGGAAACACACCGAGCGCTTGCTTGGTGGACGAGCTGCAGATGAATTGGAGCTGGTCGCGGTCGTCTCCAATCTCAAGCACGACATCCTGCATGGAGCTGATGAGAAAATCATTCCCAGCAATTTGGCCAACTTTTTCACAGAGACTGCTATTCCACGTCAGCAAGTTGTTCAACCTGAAGCTCCAGATAGCCAATGTTATGCTTGATGCTTGCTTCAACTTTGTCCATCAAGCGGGATACGTGAGCCATTGGTGGCATCAAAACTGAGCGCGGAAACTGCATGTTCGAGGTGCTCCAACGCCTCTGAAACGGCCCAGCGCGTCTCGGCTGTGCTTTTGAACAGTACCTGCCGCTTTATCCATGGCATTTCATCCCATGAATGGGCTGGTGGTCTGCTCATTCGGCGCGCGGCGAAATTGCGCCATCCATGGAGGTTTTGTGTGAATTTTTCCGTTGTCGTGCGATTTTTCATGGACGGTGAAACTGGCAAAGATGCATTGTTTTCCACCCGTTTTCTCCCAACATTGCTTGTTCGTCTTTTCCAAGTGAACAACACAATATCCATGCTATTGCTTTGCATGCATGCGGACGAAGCAGAGGAGAGTACGGAAGAGATGTATGATTTCGCGATCAGATTGGGAAATTCCCGCGGTTTTTTTTTTTTTTTTTTTTGCTTTTGCTGGTTGTGAGATAAAATCGAGCTCGAACGGTGGTTTGAACTGTTCAGTCTTTCTTCTTGACGATTAAATCTTTCGTGAAAACTCGAGAAGTGGTAAGCAGCCAGAGACATTGATCTCTCAAGCGCCAGAGTAACGAGCAGCTCCCATTTCGCGCTCCCTTCTCTACTGTCGGCTTTTGCTCCCCTCCCCCCTCCACCTTCCCGCTGTTTTCCAATATCTCCATTGTGTTGCTGATCATGAAATCCCTTCTCAAAAAGCGGACCATTTGAGGAGCGAATCAAATTCACGGATGATTCTCATCAAAAAGCAAAAAGCGGCGATTTTCATAATCCAGTCATTTTTTTCGTTCCTATTCTTATTCTTGATCCATTTTCTTAGAAATCAGAGAGAGAGAACTAAGATCTGAGTTTTCCTCTTCTTCTTTCTTTTCTTTCTTCCCTCCAATGTCACCGTTGACGAGTGAACCATTGCTGCAGTGTGCACCGCCATCGCCATCCACAGCAGCAGGAGCAGCAGGAGCATTGTCGTCGACTTCATCCAAAACTCCCGTCTTCCGCTGCTGCTCCGCCGTCGCCGCCCTTGTCGACCACCACCACCACCACAACCACCACCACAACAACATCATCAACACTATCGTCAACATCGACGGGAGCGTTGGCTTCGTCGCCGTTCGCGCTGTTCGCTGCTCCAAGCTCGTTGCCGTCATCATCTTCCGCTCCCATCTCCGCGGCCGCCATGCGTCTCGTCACTGTGTCCTCACCCTCGTCACCCTCCTCACCCTCCTCCTCCTCACCATCGTCATCATCGTCATCATCACCATCCACTGACCTTGTACACCCATCCTCACATCCACATCGCACTCCTAGTCCTCCACAGCCATTCTCCGGCTCAATACAAGCAACAGCAGCAGCAGCAGTCACGTCCTCATCTCCGCTCGCACCTGGCAACCCCACCAGCGCACACACCTCCACCACTAGCTCGTCTTCGGATACTACTACTCTCAATACTACTTTTACTCCTACGACGGATACCGCGACGACTGCAAGCAGCATGCCTCCCGCACTCGCCATCCCAGCGACAACTGCATTGCCGACGGCCACAGCGCCCGACCATGTGAAGGAGCACTCCGCGCACCAAGCACACGATAACCATGACCATGACCACCACTTGGTAGACTCGCTGCTCGCGTCCGCCAATGTCACCAAGCACAATTCGACTCCCAGCACCGCCAGCACGAATTCGTCCAGTCTACCCGAAAAGCTCGTTCGCGAGGTGCAGACACGCATCCCGACCGACTTTGGCTCGTTCCAGCTGGCACTGTACTCGAGCAACAAGGTGAGGGGGCCAAATCACATGAAATTGTCGCATTGCAAAAGTGTCGCTTTCGTTTTTGAAACAAAATGTTCACTCAATTCTAAACCTCGCAGGACAACAAGGAGCATTGTGCCATGATCTACGGCGACGTTTCAACAAGCCTGACAAACGCAAACGGCGAGCTCGAGCCCGTCCCTGTTCGTGTTCACTCTGAGTGCTTCACTGGCGAAGTCATGGGCTCTCGTCGCTGCGATTGCGCCGAACAGCTTCGCAAAGGTCTGCAGTATATCGCCAACCAGGGTCGTGGTGTTGTTGTCTTCTTGCGTCAGGAGGGCCGTGGCATTGGCCTGCGCAACAAGCTCCGGTAAATAGATGGGGTTTTTTTGCGCCAAAATGTCGTCGTTTTGGTTCCCTGCTATTGTTACTCACTCCTGACCATTGTGCATTCCCCCCCCTTTTCAGCGCATACAATCTCCAAGATCAGGGCTACGACACCGTGGACGCCAACCTGCTGCTTGGCCGTGGCGCAGACGAGCGCGACTTTACTGTCGCCGCGCTCATTCTGCAGGACTTGGGGATTAGCCACGTGCGCCTGCTGACCAACAACCCGGTCAAGATCGAAGCGCTTGTGTCGCACGGCATCACAGTCCACCAGCGCGTGGGGATGGCGCCAGAGTTTGTGTCGGGCGACAACCGCGATTACTTTGTCACGAAAAATCGTCGTCTCCGCCACCTCATTGACATTGTCGACCACAAGGGCGCGTCGACGTCTTCAGACACAACCACCAACACGGCAATGGCGACGCCAGAGGAGCAGGCCTCGCCCGTGAATGGTGGCTCGCCCGAGCGCCCGCTCTCGCCGCTGCAGGTCTCTGCAAGCTCCCCTGCCGTGGTAACAACAACAACGACGACGACAGCTGATGCCTCGACGGTCAGTGGCGGCAACCTTCACAATAGCACGAGCGAAAGCCATGGCACAAAGCATACCCAGGACTTTCTGGCTGGTGCCAAGCTCCAACGCATGCTGCGCGATCAAGCCGAACGACCATACGTGGTGCTGTCGTACGCCCAGAGTCTGGATGGGTGCATTGCTGCCGAAAAGGGCAAGCCTTTGGCGATCAGCGGAGAAGCATCACTGGTGATGACACACCGCTTGCGAGCTGAGCACGCTGGCATTTTGGTCGGCATCAACACTGTTTTGGCGGACAACCCGAGCTTGACCGTTCGCCTCGTGTCTGGCAACAACCCGCAACCCATCGTGCTGGACACGCATCTGCGATTCCCTCTGACGGCAAAGCTGCTGACGGCAACCCCGCTCAAGCCATGGATTATCACGTCGTTGACTGCCGACGCTTCGCGCGAGCAACGTCTCGTCGAGCTCGGTGCACGTGTGATTCGTGTTCCAATCGATCCGGCGACCAACTCTGTCTCCTTGGTCGAAGCGCTGCATGCTCTCTACCGCATTGGTCTGCCATCTGTGATGGTGGAAGGCGGTGCCTCTGTGATTCGCTCCTTTTTAAACCACCCTTCGCATCTCATCGACCGACTGGTCGTGACCATTGCGCCCGTCATCCTGGCTGGCACGCACTCTACCCTCGACGGCAAGCCGCAACAGCCCGTTGCGCTGCCTCAGCTGCGAAACGTCAAATACGAGCAATTTGGTCGAGATGTTGTGTTGTCTGCCGAGCCATACTGGGCAAGCTCGTGAGTCGGTTTTTTTTTTTCTTTCTCCTTTTCTTTGTCCTTGTCTTTCCCCCCCCCCTTTCTCTCTCAACTAATCACAACCCAACGATGGACATGAAAGCCACGCTACCGTCGCTGCTCTAAAGGGACAGTGCTCCCGAAACTGCTGATGGATAGCCAATCTTTTGTTGCCCTCGTCTTTTTCCTCCTTTTTTTGTTTCCCCCCCCCCTCGATACCTGGTAACCTTTTGTGTGTATGCTCCCTATTGTTAAGAATTATTCAACTATCCCCCTCCAATTTTCGACCAAATGGCTCACATCAGCAAAAAAATCTACTAGATCTACAGTAGTCACAGAATGGATTTGGATACAACCAGCCAAGCCACATACAACATGCACCAGCAGGGTTCCGCTCAACCAAACAGCTTGACGTGGCATTGGTGGCAGTAGGGCTTGCCGTTCTCATCCTTGAAGGTGCCCTTCTGGAGTTGCTTCATGCAGAACGAGCAGACAAAGTGCTCGGGGTGATACTTTTTGTTGAGCGCAGTGACGCAGCGGCCAGTGATGGGCTTTTGGCAGGACGAGCAGAGCGAGCCGCTTTGGGCGTGGTAGTGGGTCTCGCAGAAGGGCTTGCCTTCGTGCTCAAAGAAGCTGCCGCCGTTAAAGCCCTTCTTGCACTCTGCGCAGACAAAGCAGTTGGGGTGCCACTGGTAGCCGAGGGCAGAAATACAGTCAGCCATGATGGCCTTGTCGCAGCCGCCGCACTTGGGGGCAAACATGTTAAAGTAGTCCTCCTCGCAGTAGGCCTTGCCGTCGCGCTCCATGAAACCGCCACCCTCAAAGTTCTTGCCGCACTGTGAGCAGAAGAAGTGGTCGGGGTGCCACGTCTTGCCGAGCGCGTGGATGCAGCGATCGAGCACGGGGCCGTTGCAGTAGGCGCATCGCTGGGAGAAGAGCTCGTGGAAATCCTTCTCGCAGTAAGGGTTGCTCTCGTGCTCGAAAAAGTTTGTGGTGCCGAGCGGCTTGCGGCACTGGAAGCACACAAAGTGCTCGACGTGCCACGTACGGCCGAGCGCAGTGACGACCTGGCCAACAATCCCCTTGCCGCACGCAGCGCAATCACCCTTGCGGGCAGTGTCGACACCCATCGAGGTCATCTCGCTCTGGAGCGAGTTGAGAATAGAGTCGAGCTTGCCAGAGCCGCCAGCAGCAGGAGCGCCGCCGGCAGCGGGCATCATCGACGCGGGTCGGCTGGCGCCCTCCACCTTAAAGTCCTGGAGCGAGGCCATGACCGAGTCGAGGTCGGCGACGCCAGACTTTGGGCGGGTGGCGTCCGCAGCAGACGGGGTCGAGCGCACCACAGAGTTGCGCAGCGTGCCGGTCGACTGCAAGTCCGCAAGCAGCTCGTCGACCGAGGCGCGTTGCGGGGCGGGCGCGGAGGTGGATTCAATCTTCTTGATCTGGGGCTTGAAGCTCTGCAGGTCCGCGAGCAGGTCGTCCACCGACGAGCGCGAGTCCTTCTGTTGCAAGCCAGCAATCGCCGGGTTGACTGCAGCAGCTGGCTCGGCAGCGGCGGCAGCAGGAGCAGGAGCAGCAGCACCATCGACGGGCTTTCCACCCTGCAGGTCCTTCAGAAGCGCGTCTGCAGCAAACAAGCAAACAAACAAACAAAAACAAGTGAAAATCCAGACGTGAAAAGTTAGTCAAAAGTTTTTTTGTTTTCCAAATAATGTGAGACTTAGTTTTGCAGTTGTTTTCAACGATAATCCAAAAAAGCGAAAAACCAAAAAAAAAAAAAAAAAAAATCGAAAAAAAATCAATGAAAAATTCTTGTTTTTGGAAGGTTTTTTTTTCTTTTTTTTTTTTTTTTTTTGTTTCGAGACGAAGTGGAAAAGTTGAAAGCGAGCAAAAGTCAAGGCGAACGAACTGCGCCTGCACGCCGTGTGTGGGTGTGCGTATGGCACAAGCAAGCCAACTGAGGGGGGGTCATAGCCGCAGATGGAGCGACAGTCAAAACCGAACAATGTTCAAACGAACAATCAACAACCACAACGGAAAAAAAAAAAAAAAAAAAAAAAGACAAATCCAAAACAACCACGAACTGGGAAACGTGTGTCAAAGAGGGAGGGGTTGCGCACAGATGGGGGCCAAGCACAAGACGCAAAGCATGATAAAGGGGCGTCGCTGTGTGCAGAGTGGGACAGGCAGTGCCCACCAACCAAGCGCGCGCAGATCTCCCACAAAGTCGAAAAATCGTTATTTTTTCTATTTTTTTTTATTTTTTTATTTTTTGGCTTTCGGAAGGACGCCAAGCTTGATGCAGGAAAGACGAGTTCGAGCCATTCAACATCCCTCAGACCCAACGTCACGCCATCGCATTGACCAAGCAAGCAGCCGCGCGGAAAACGACTCGCCAGCCAAAGAGGGGGATAATAACTTGGCAACATTGCGCTGGCTTTTTTTTTTTTTTTTTTTTTTTTTTTTTTTTTTTTTTTGGCCTTCCTTACCAAGTTCGTCCATTTCACAAAATTTTGAAGACTGGAACTCAATGTTGAATCCAAAAAACACCGACGACGATGGCGCGTACAAGAAGTGAAAATATCACTGGTGGGAGTTGGAGTCTAGATGGAAGCAGACCAAAAAAAAAAGGTGGAATTGAATTTTGGCTCGTCAACGACAAAAAGAAAAAAAATCTCGGCCAAATTTCAAAGTGTCATTTTGCAAGCCCTGTCGTGGCGTTGTGACCAGCGGTTTCAGCACTCTGAGGGCATCAAAATGTCGCAAATATCAAATTTTAATAGTTGGAGCTTTGTGACCCCGGGAATACTCGTGTACAACCATGAATTGATGCTCCAAATGTTAGCCAGCCACTTTTGCGGAGATTGGCGCGGATCTGGGTACATCATCCCTATCAACAAGAAAGCAAATGCAAGTGGTTGTGATTTTGTGTCGTTGCTAGTCGCTTATCTGCCCTTCAACGCAAGTTGCTGGTTTACTATAGCCACAAGACTTTAAACCTGGATGTTTGCTTTTAGCCGATGGTGCTGCATCGACCTGCTTAATTAATAAGCTTATTTCACCGCCCCTTCACATTGTTCTACATTGTATCAAGTGCGCACTTGAATATTTTCAAGCTAAATGGCGAACAGAGTCGGCCACGACGACGACGACGAGGCAGGATCAAGAAGTCGCGCTGTTCCGAAACTTATTGGTTTCCTCCCCCCGTTGTATCTGAGAGAAGGTAGCTGAGAATATAATCGCATCTCTCCGATCTGAGTGTTTTAGACGGCTACATGACGGGCTGGCGATGGCATGCAGCTTTTCCCAGAATTCATCAGTGCAACCCACATTTTCCAGATTGCAGAAATTTGGCGCTCCCAGCACGCTCAACACATGCACAATCACTGCAGGTACTAGGACATGTGATGCCGCAACATTGCAGAATGAACTGGCAGACGGAATGTCCACAAACAGTGGCTATTCCGAAGATATCAACGGCGGATCAGAGCGCAGAGAGGCAAAAACTGTGCAATACTTTTTGGCTGCAGGTGGCAAATCTATCGATACATTTTGACAAGACATGTGCAAGTTCAGGAGTTCAGTAAAATTACAAGCGCTTCAAACCTCGTTGTGGACCTCAACGTCCGTGTACACAACGTCCGTGGTGGACCTCTCGCCAGCTTCAGCACGCCGCTGGACGTGCGGATTCTCGTAAGCGGGCTGCTCTGCAACCGGAGAACTGGAGCTTGAGCTCGAAGCTTCGTACGCGATCGAGTGCCTCGCTGCATTGCTGTTCGAGTTGCTGTAGAACGGGTGTCGCGGCACTGGCGGTGGACGAATGGCGTCGTACAAGTCTTCTCCGGGCTGCTGACCACTGCCAAGCCGATGGGTCTGAGCCAGAAATTCCGCCATTTTGACCGAAGCAAGAGGAGTGCCGCTGGGACCAGCCTTGTTGATATGCGTCGGAGGATTGTTTGCGTCTGCATACATGGCCGCTTCATTTCCATGATCAGAAAGCGGATTCGCCATCATGGCCATCGTGGACATGGGAAGGTCCACAGTTTCAGAGCGTGCACGCCGAGATGAAACAGCAGCTTCAGGCTTGCGGGCATTGAGGCGGCGGCGACGCACCACCACGACGACGAGCACAAGAATGAGGACAATCAAGAGCACACCAACAACAGTCGCCAGGGGAATAACGGCAGCCTTGTCGATCGAGCTAGCTGCCGCGACACTGCAAGTTGCGTTGGTGCCGCAGGCAGTGCAAACATCGGACACTCCCGAGTGCAGAGTCAAGTAGAAATCCGTCGCACAAGCGTAGCAGCGGGTGTTGCCAGCATTGTAGCAGGTCTGCTGCGAGGAGCAGTTTGCGACAACTGTGCACGCGGTGCAAACTCGGTTGGTCAGCGGAGTGCAGGCAACCGATTCAAACTGGCCCAGCTCGCATGTGGCGGCACACGGCGAGCAAACATCTGCACCGTCAACCGTCGTTCGATAATAGCCAGATGCGCACGCCGAGCACTGTGAATCTCCACTGGTCGTGCAAGTCACTTGTCCAACACAGTTTGCAACAGACGTGCAGGTAGTGCAGACGCGATCAGCTGCAGCATCGCACGCTGCACTTTGGAACTGATCGACAGCACAGCTGCCCGAACAAGGAGCACAGCGATCGGGTGTGGATCCGGTTCCAGCAATCAAGTAAAAGTTGCTGGCACACGCAGTGCATCGAGAGGTACTGCTGGACGAACACGAAAGCGTGCCTCCACAGTTGGCGATCGCTGGGCATGCCGTGCACACTCGGTTGCTTGCCGTCGTGCAAGGGGTTGTTTCAAAGGTTCCCGTCGTGCAGGCCGCCGTACAGTCCTGGCACGTGTCGCTCGAGGCACCCGCCACTTTGTAAAAGTTCGCGGCGCAAGTCGAGCAGCGCGAGTCCGTGCTCGATGTGCATGTTGTGCTCGAGGCGGCGCAAGAGGTGACGGCAGTACAGGAAGTGCAAGCGCGGTTGCTCGTGGGAGTGCACGCCTGGGACTGGAAAGTACCAGCAGAGCATGCGGACGTGCAAGAAGTGCAGGCAGTTGCAGACGACGAATCATGGTCCCATGTTTCAGTGCCGCAAGTGGTGCACGTCGTGCCGGCTGCGGGCGCATAGTTTCCAGGAGGGCAAGTAATCGCCGCGGTGGCAGAGTTGGAATCGTGATCAAACGAGCCCGCAGGAACGTTAAAGTTGGTGCAGGGTCCAGCCTTGGCTCCGGTTGAAGTGTCCGTGCCCGCGCCGCAGGCAAGACAGGCTGTCTCAAGCAACGAATCGTGATCCGTCATGCCAGCAGGGCACTGGAAATTAAACACAAACTGACCAGTGGTCAGTCTGTCGGAGTTTGCATTGGTTCGATCGCCCGCGTACCGGCACAAGTGCAAGTAGTAGAGTGTGCCGGAAGTGGCAGGGAATGAGATGGTTGATTGGCGGACGCAGCTGTCGTCGGCCAGCTGGTTGAGATTAGTGCCAAAATTATTGACGCAAGAGCCACTCGAAAGAAAAATGATTGTGTCGTCAGTAGTCAAGGAGCATGTGGTCGTGTAGATGGTTCCCGCGGTTGCTGGTGTGTACTGCCAGGTCAAACACTTGCCTCCACCACTGCCAGTGATGGCGGTGTTCTCCCACGGCGCGTTGTACTGGCCAATGGATCCGGTATATGAGCGTGCCGCACCACTAGACCCGGTGAACGCTGGTGCGCCAGAGCATGAAGCAGAAGCAGCTTGTGCGTGGGCCAAGTGAACGGCATAGAGCACAACCAGAAGGATTGCAGGTAGCAAAGTCATTGTTGTGGTCATTACTCGAGCACCTGAAAGTGCAATCCGACGAGGATCAAGAACAATGCCAACAAAAAAGGACAAAAGTGAGTTTCCTTGTTGGGGTTGACAATTTGTGACATTTGTGTTGAAAAGGTGGATGGAGGGTTGTTTTCCACACAGCTAAGGCGCACGCTCACATCATACGAGTAGTAGTCGATTGCTTTGTGAGAAAAGACACCATGGTCATACTTTTCAATGTGGTACGGACAACCGCACAAAATGGGGGGGGGGGAAATGGGGAACCGTGCGCATGTTTTGTTGCAAACAACTGATAACGAAATTATTGTATGATTGTAAATCATTGGCAACGAATCAAACCCAACAAAAATCCTCCCCCACAAACTGACATTTGTAAACTGACATTTTTACCAATCTAATAACGTCGTGACATGAGCTCTGTGCTGCTGCCTGGTCACCAGGTTTCTCGCTCCTTTTCTTCCTCGCTCTCTTCCTCGGCAAACCCTCAGTTTTATCAGACTCCCACATCTCCAACACGAGGGGGAGGGGGGATGCAATGGAGCTGTGCGGCTCGATTTGTTTAATCCATTGCGGCAATCCCACAAAGCCCCGCACAAACCCGTCGAGCCCATTGTTTTGGTATCGGCAACGACGCGCCGGCTTGTGTCGCTCTCGACGAAGGGCTGATTATAAACGCTCTCATCTGCGCTTCGTATTTGTGGAGACCCCGCCATCCGCACGACACCGAGTGTTGGCGCCATGAAGAAACAACACCGTCAGGGAAAACACCAACAAAACCGCAAAGCCACGCGACCACGATAACGATCAGTGCCGAATGGATGGATGCATTGCCACTCTGCTCAACATGTTGAATGAATCCCATGGCATATACGCCGCTCATGTCATGGTTGGGGGAAGGGAGATGTAATGGAAAAGCGGACGCAGGAGATCTCACTTACGAAAAAAGAAAAACCGAACGTAAAAAAAAAAAAAAAGTGGACTGGCCAATTTCTGAACCAGGAAGATGTCATTCTGCTTTTGAACGAAGCGAGAGCAGACGAGCTACGGCATGTGCAAGCAAGTGCTCTAAGCAGGCATCACTACCGTGCATTTCTTGTACGCCCTTATGCAATGGGTTGAAAGCGGCAGTGCTTGGAATCGAAAGTGGAAGTCGGCAGATGCCCAAACCTCAGTCTGCTCCGATTTCTGCTTCGACCTCAGACCACGAACTGAGTCATTACTGCAGCATGCATGAACATAAGTGTAAAGCAGCGCGTGTCGTACAACTTCTTCATACTGGCAGCAGCGGCGTTCGTTCTGGCAACTTCCGAAATCACGCTCGGGTGATGACTTTGAGGTTTATTTCCCAAGTAGAATCAGCACTTTCTCTTCTCTCGCATAGACCGGTTGTTTGATAGTTGGATTACACACTCCGTTTGAGTCGCCGATAGGACCTCTCTTTGCTGGGATTTGCTGGGGAGTTACCGTCAATTCATCGGTTCGAGAGCGCGAAAGGTGGATGACAACTGCGACCATTTGCGTGAACAACAACCATCCTGGAAATACAATGACAGAACCTGCGATGCCATGTTGTGAGACTCCGAATCCTGCGCGTTTGGGTGGGTTGACTGATCCAAATTCTCGAGTACGAAATCACATCTCAAATCATCCGTCACAACCAACCGGCTACCTTTGCCGACTGGGATGGACTCGACTCTGAGTCTTGAATATGTCATACAAGTGATGTTCGACACCTCGAGATGTGCATCTTTCACAGTTCGTTGATGCTGAATCACTTTTGGCGGGAAATTCGCGCGCGCTCAGTCTTTCTCTTTTGCTGGCGGCTAGTTTCTTCGCAATGGAGGAGACTCGCTCGGACAGCAGCAGCAGCAGCGAGGCTGAACTGAGCATACTGAAGCGACAACTGAAGCAGTGGGAGCACGACTTTCGCCAGAGCCACGGCGGGCAAAGCGCGACTCGACAGGACGCAGATGCCAATCCAGTGATCAGTCAGTAACGACGAGCGCCCCAACCAACCCCCATGCATGATGATCTGTACAATGCATCACGATGACTGACTGTGCTTTGTTGTGTGCACTTGCCGTCCAACAGAGGAAGCTTATGCTCGGTACGCGCAGCTGAAGCAGGCCGCATCGTCCTCCTCCACATCGAGCCAGCATGCACAACGCGCGTCGAGCAAGCGTCCGCGGGAAGACGAGGCCAAGGTGACAGAGTCGTCCCTGCCAGCAATGTACAATGTGTGGCTGAAGCCTGGTAACAGCAGCCAGCCCAGCACCACTGCGGCCAATGATCCTGCTGCGAATCCGACCGACGAGACCGATCGCATCAATGACGACGCATTCATCCGCCGAAGCGACTTTGCCATGATGTCAAAACGATCACGTATGTCTGGCGATTCGACCAAGCAAGCGACCGCCGTGTCATCCGAGGAGTATTTGCATCCTGCAGTGATTTTGCGACGCGCCAAATCTGCGACACAACGCGATCGTCCCGAATTGCCGATGCCAGCTGCACCTTCCATACCACTCAATCGCGCATTGCAGTGGCCAAAGTCAGCTACAGCATCCAGAGTTGCGGGAGGCGTTGCGCCAAGCACGCCACCACGACCAGCTTGCCCCGAGCCCAAAGAATCTCTCACCAACGATCTGCCAGCGCGACCTGAAGGCCACGATCTCCAAGAACAAGCACTGGATGATACGTCCGTTAGCGAGCTCGAGCGCAGGGTGGATGACAATCTGATGGACGAGGACAACGAGTACGCGAACCAACTTGACGACGACGACCAAAGTGACGACGACGATGATGACGACAGTGACCAGTTTGACGACGAGGTCGGCACCGAAGATGATGACCGATACTATGACAGCGAAGATTACTACGACTATGACGACGACACTGTGGCCTGCGATGATCAGCTGGAAGACGAGACCGACTCGGCCGAGCCGCTTGCCATCCGACCAGGGTTTGGCTTCATTCGATCAGTACAGCGACGACATGGCGCGATGAGTGGCTTTTCGTTGACTTTGGCGGCAGCCATGGACGTGGCAGAGTACGACGTCGGAGTTGATGGTGCTCGCGACGCTGCGTTGGAGCAAGCCTCGCGCGAGAAGCGCAAAGCCGAATTAGCCGCAGTTGTGCAGGCGATGGAGGACCAGCGTCGTCGCGCCGAAGCAGCCGAGCAGTCCATGGCTCCGAGGCAAGGTTTTGGCGGAAACGACAACGGCAACTATGTTCGGCTCAACCTCCGGAATCGCCACTTTCGCCGCGGCGCGCTCAACAAACCACGCAAGGGCGGAAAGTTTGGGCGATCGTCCGGGCGATACAATGCGCGAATGGCGAAAGGCGACGGCACGACGACCGTCCGTGCGCAAACTACTCTGGGCGATGGCAAGGACCGCGCGCCGTTTCACGAGCTCGACGTGGATGCCTTTGCTGTTTCTGCGTCATCTCGCATACCAGAAAGCAACAGTGAAGAGCGTTCCGACGCCGTCAATCCTGCAGGTGCAGACGAGGAGGCTCAGGTTCAGCTCGCAGGACTAACAGCGAAAGATTTCCTTTCCGACGATGAAATGCAGCTCGACAATGATGACGACACAAGTGCTGCTCAATCTACGAGTCACTCATCTGCTGTTCGTGCGAGCCACAACCACGAAAAACTCCCTCCATTCATGCACCAGCTGGAGCAACTCGCCCGCAATCCCGCCTTTGAGCCAGAACTCTATTTACGAGACCTGTTTGGATTTGACTCGTTTCGGCCTGGCCAGCGCGATACTGTTCTCCGTTTGCTGCAGCGGCAATCCACTCTGGTTGTGCTTTCGACTGGCGCCGGCAAGTCGCTTTGTTATCAGCTGCCAGCCTATCTGTTTGCCTACCCTCAGCGCACGGATCAGGCCTCTGCGATCTCCGAAAGGCGTCCGCTACCTGCACGGCGCCAGCGCGCCAGCGTGCAGGCGTGATTGACAGCGATAGCGAGAGTGAGAATGAGAGCGAGGCCCCTCATCCCGATCTCGACGCTCCAACCAAAGCGGTCGGCTGCCAGAGCATCGCGTGGTAGTGGCGCCCGAGGAGCATCTACGTCCAAGCACAAACAAGTCAAACAAGTGGCAGCCATCACCCTCGTTGTTTCACCCCTCGTATCCCTCATGGACGATCAGCTCCTTCGCTTGCCATCCAAGCTCGCTGGAGCCTGCTTCCACTCGGGCTTGAGTGGCCCTCAGAAGCAGCGTGTTATGCACGAGGTTCTCGCTGGCGAGGTTGCGGTGCTTTTTGTTGCGCCGGAAACGCTCGTCTCCGAGTCATTCTTGCGCCTGGCATTGTCGGCCTCCTTCCCACCGATTGCGTTTGCCTGTGTTGACGAAGCCCACTGTGTCTCGCAGTGGTCGCACAACTTTCGACCAGCCTACCTTCGGCTCAGCAGCGTCCTGCGGAATCGTCTTGGCGTTCCTGCCATTCTCGCCCTCACCGCCACTGCGACCACAAAGTGTATCCAATCGATACGCGAGCACTTGGGCATATCCCCAGAGGGCTTGGTTCATGGCTCGCCTGTGCCGCGCAATCTCGCGTTGGGTGTGACTCAGGAGCGCGATCGCGACCGCGCGCTCGTCCTCCTCCTGAAAGAGCGCGAGCCGTTTTGCCATTATGACTCGGTCATTGTCTATTGCACGCGCCAGGTCGACACTGATCGTGTGGCCTTGTCACTGCGCGTCCAAGGGGTGGATGCTGCGAGTTATCACGCTGGCATGCCTCCCCGGTCGCGCGCAGCCGTTCAGCGCAAGTTTATGAGCGGGCAGCTGCGAGTCATCGTTGCGACGATTGCCTTTGGCATGGGACTCGACAAGTCGGATGTACGCGGCGTCGTCCATTACAACATGCCCGGGTCGTTTGAGAATTACGTCCAGGAGATTGGTCGTGCGGGGCGGGATGGCCTGCCCGCATCCTGCCATGCGTTTGTCACTCGCGACGACTACCTCCATTTACGCCGCCATGCATATGCTGATACCTCCGAGTTTATCACGATCAAAAAGCTGCTGGCGATGGTTTTTGGAACGTTGGGCGCCGCCACTACCGCGTCTCAGGACAACGCTGAGAGCGAGGGGCAACCCAAACATCCACGCATCCGTGCCGTTTGTACCGAAAAGGTCGAGCAAGAACTGGATATTCGGGCCGAAGTGGTGGAAACCATTTTATTGCAAATTGCGGGCAAAGGACTGATTGAGCTCCTGCCCCAGTTCCAAGCCACCGCCGTGCTGCATCTGCAGCGAGCGCCTGCGACGTACTGTGGTCCATCCGCGTCGCTGCTTCGACGCGCGATCCTTGATGCAGCGGCAGCCTCGGCCAAGCAAACCTCGGACGTGGCCACTGGCGGGCGTTTCACCGTCGACCTACCCGCCATTGCAACCACCACCGGGTTGAGCGTGGGAGTGGTGCGCCGCGAGCTCTCGGACTTGCCTCAAACTCGCGGCGACCGAGTTGATTTCACCGACTGGTCATTCCTGATTGTCGTGCGCTCGTTGCCGTCACGGCTCGAGTTTGATGGCTTGATTGATGCCATCATGGCCCACATGACTGCCATGGAGACGCTGCAGCTCCGCAAGGTGCAGTCCATCTTTCGAATGCTCACAGACCTGACCAACACGACTGCTGGAACGGTGCGCGATCTTTACCCGGTCGCAGCTCGACTGTTGCAGTCGCACACCCAGAACGAGCAAGCGTACCGGGATTTTCTGCAAACGCAACAGAGCTTGTTGCATTCCCACGCGCCATCAGCCGTTCTTGAGGTGGATCAAGTCGAAGCGGAGCTGCCAGCGGCACCCTCCATTCCAAATCTAAGCGCGCGGATTCGGGAGCAGATTGACCAGTATTTTGCCGCCGACGCCGACGAGAACCAGGCTCAAAGCTCCAAAGCTGGTCAAGGAGACGACACCAGCGAAATTCCGTCTGAAGACGATGTGGAAACGCGTGCGTCGTCTGACGATTTGGAGCCCCCACTTGGTGGGGACGCCATCCAGGATGCGCGACACAACATTCGTTTGCTCATCTCCAACCATTCCCTGCGAAGCGCCCGTCTCATTGCCAAGGTGTTACAGGGCATTCAAACACCCTGTCTGCCCGCCAAAGACTGGTACGCTCATCCACTGTGGGCAAAGCACCTGGCCGCGCCGTTCTGGCAGCTGCGGCAACTGGCTCTCGAAGAGCTCATTTCGGCTGCTCGACATTGATTCATCCTGCTTTTCGAACGTTGGTTTTGGGCGTGCTGTTTGTCACACATCTCGTTCCGCGTTTTTCTAACATTGTTATTCAATTGCAAAACAAAAAAATCTCATCTTCAACCCAAAATTAAAAATCGAATTTTTGTCACAATCATCCGTTGTCGGCCAAATGTCATCGCGGTTGCTGTTGAAATAATTTAAACCATTCTAGCATATCTGTCGGAGGAGGCTGAGGTATTGCTGGCGGCTGCTGCTGTTGCTGCTGTTGCTGCTGCTGCTGAGCAAGTTCGGTCAATTTCCGCATGGCATCTGCCTGCGAAGGCGGAAGGACAAACTGCTGTTGAGCGGCAAACATGGCTGCTGCAGCCGCCACTGTTGATGCTCCTCCGGATGATGGCTGTAATTGCGGGTGCAGAAGAGGTTGGAGCGGCATCTGAAGCGGCTGCTCTGGCTGCTTCCACTGGAGTCGTGCAGCAGCAACGCGCTGTTGCAAGACACCCACCTCGTGCTGTAATTGCAACAGTTCGTCGTGCATGGAGAGGCAACGCGCGGATAGCGACCGAGTTGTTTCCTCCATGTCGATGAGCTTTTGCTTGCGTTTCACGTTGGTACGAAAGGTGGTGCTCGCAGCGCGTGCTCGGTTCTGTTGGGTCGCGTCGCTTGCTTGCTGTTCCAGGAGGGAGGCGGATTGCAGCAAAGCGTGCGGTCCACCGTCGTCGTCATTTTCGCCGCCGCTAAGGTTGTCTGCCGTCCCACTTGCCGGGTGCATCGGGTCGGCCATGTGAATGCTACTCGATGCCGTCGCCGCCACTATGGATGAAGTCTCGTTGAATGCTGGCGGCGGTTGAGCAACGAGCGTGCCAGTTGTTCGCATCGCCCCGAGAATCTGGTCGAATGGCTTGTTTTCAAAGTGATCCACTTGGGGCGCCAAAGACGAAGCATCCATGGCCATTGCTACGTTTGTGTCAACACCATGCCTTTGTAGTTGCATCTCCTGCAGCCCTGTCTGAGCATGGTTGGAGGTACTATTCGCATTCGCACTAGACTGAGAATTGGCGTCGTGCTGCTGGGCTTGGTCCAACAGCGCCTGCTGCTGCGCGCTCAGCGCCTCTCGGACTGTTGCAGGGACCTGTCCTGCTGCTGCCTTCATAGACACGGCGACGACGGTGGCCGATCGCGGCGGAACCGGCACGCGCGGGACGTTGCTCCACGGCGGGAGAATCGGCTTTGCTGGCGGCGCGTCTGCATCCTCTCCGACTCCAGCAGTACTTGCAGCAGCAGTAGTAGTAGAAGTAGGAGGAGGAGGACTGGACGTCGCAGCAGCAGCAGCTGGAGCGGTGGCACCTGCTGACGAAGCGCGCGGCTGCGGCTTGGCGTCGCTTGCTGTTGGACTGGTCGCTTCCTCAATGATCATACTTCCAGATGCGTTAGAAAACCGCCTGACTGATGGCGATGCAGACAGCAGCGCCGTGATGAGGCTGAGCTCGAGCTCGCGCTGCTCTGCCATTCCCGTCCCAGCAGCTCCAGCAGTTCCAGCAGTCCCAGTTGTCGCAGCAGTCCCTGCAGACTCTGACACTGCCATGGCTGATGATGATGACGATGACGATGCATGGGATGCCAGAGTGGCGGTGCTGGCATCCGTCGGAGTGGTTGACGTGGTTGAGGCCAGCTGAGCCACCGCGCTCGCCAATGGAGAGCTCATACGATGACGACGGCGGGGGTAAAGGAAAAAGAACTGAGACTGAGACTGAGAAGAGAAGCGCTGAGAGTGAATATGAAAATATGAAAGTATGAAAGTATGAAAGTATGAGGAGAATTAAAGAATGGAGGCGATGCAACTGAGATCAAAGGGGGAGGAAAGGAAGGGACGAGAGAAAGAGCGAGAGAGAGAGAGTGAGGGTGAGATTGGCGAGCTCAGAGAGAGGCAGAGACAAAACAAAGAGCTCAAGTGGCGCTCCACATTGAGACGATACATGCATCTGAGCAACAAAAGGGGGGGGGGATAAGGGGATGAGTGGCGGATGGTCGAGAAAACACAGGGTCTCAGAGATCAGAGTAAGGAAGCGGTAACTCGCACTGTCTCAGACTCTCTCAGACTTTGCTGTGTGTTGAAGGATGTCTGAACAAAGTCCATGATTCATCGTGACTCAGAATCAGAGTCTCAGTCAGCCAGCCTGCACTGTTGCTCAGTCCTTTTCCAATGATGCTGATGCTGACGCGTGGAGTGCAATCCATGCACCCACTTGCCGCCGCTGCTGCTCCTTCTGCGACGACGAGTGGGTTATTAACTCCCATTGCCATGATCGCCACTCGCGCTGCTCCAGCTGTCGCCGCTGCCCAGTCCAAGCGAACTGCGAGCAGAGTCAGCAGCGGACGTATGAAAGCAATCTCCGACAATCCTTCCAGCCTGACTGGAGGTCTGTTGCGACGCCACTTTAGCTCCACTGCGATCGCTCAGGCATCATCAACGTCATCATCGTCATCAGCATCGGCTCAGGGCGCGGTGCCCAGCGTGTGCGATGTGCTCATCCTCGGCGGCGGAGTTGTCGGATCGTCGACCGCGTACTTTACGTCGTCCAGGTTCCAACCGCGTGCGCCGGGCCAGCCGCCAGCTGCAATTGCGCAGAGCTCATCCGCAAGCAATCCGCGCGTCGTTGTGATTGAGCCAGACAGCTCGTACGCGTCGGGAGCCACGGCGAGGTCGGCCGGATCGATTCGGCTCCAATTCTCAACGCCAGAGAACGTTCTCATCTCGCAGTTTGGAGCCCACTTTCTCAAGAACTTGAACAGGTACGGCCGCAGCAGAGAGCGAATATCTCGAAGTGGATGAATACGTTGCATTTGGTTGAGTCACGCTTGGTGCTTCGAGTGTCACAACTCCGCCCGAGACCAGGACTCAGTCTTCTCCCGCTAACTCCGCCGTATCCATGACGGCTTTGAATCTGGTGTTGTTGACGAATTGCAAACAGCTATCTGAAAGTGGATGATGACATTGACTTCAAGTTGCATGAAAAGGTATCTGAATTGAAATTCCGGATTGCAAATCGTTGCACCCCCACACAGCAAGCAACTGACTCCATCTCTGTGTCTTGGGATCTTTGTTACTTGGAACTTTCTCTCAACTCTCGACGTTAGGGATATCTCTTCCTGGCCACCAAGGCATCGGCAGGCGTCCTGGCCAGCAACTCGGCCATCCAGAACAGCCTCGGCGCCAAGACTCTGCTGCTGACTCCGGAGGCCATCCGGGAGCGTTTCCCTTACATCCACACGGAAGATCTCGACTCTGGCGCTCTGGGACTGGAGAACGAAGGCTGGTTTGACCCCTATTTGCTCATGACCCTGTTCCGTCGCAAGGCCATTCAACAAGGCGTTCAATACGTGACTGGATATGCCATCGATTTCAAGAAGGACTCGACCGGCAGGCGCGTGGAGCGTGTGGTCGTCCGACTCGCAGACGGGTCTGTCACAGAGATTGGCGTTCGCTCGAATGTGGTCAACGCGTCGGGCATTGTTGGTGCAAGTCTCACCGCCAAGCTGGATCCATCGTTCGATCTTCCCGTTCGGCCGCGCAAGCGCTTTGTCTACGTGCTTTCGCTGAAGGAGCGGCTACCAGACAACTGCCCATTGGTAAAGGGGATGCGCGAGGCTTTTTTTTTTTGATTTTTTGTTTTTGGATTGGCGTGAATCGCAAACTAACCTGTCTTTCTCTTGGATAGGTGATTGACCCTTCAGGTGCATACTTTCGACCGGAAGGACAGCAGTACATTTGTGGTATGTCGCCTCCTGAGAACGAAGACCCGGACTGCACCGATCTGGAAGTGGACTACAGCATGTTTGAAAACACGGTTTGGCCCATCCTGGCATCGCGCGTACCTGCATTCGAGTATGCCAAGTGTGTGAATGCCTGGGCTGGCCACTACGACTACAACACGTTCGACCAGAACGTAATTCTCGGTCCCCATCCCAATGTCTCCAACTTTTTGCTTTGCAACGGCTTTTCCGGCCACGGTTTGCAACAATCTCCGCAATCGGGCGGGCGCTCAGCGAGCTCATTGTTGACACAAAGTTCTGTAAGGCTTTGAGCGGAGTGTGGAGAGCGGAAGGCGTGGATTTGTGCTTGTCAAGAGGTTGACTGTTTTTGGCGTGTGTTTGAACAACAGCTACGCTCGACTTGGCTCGACTGTCTGCTGATCGACTCTTCAACAACATGCCTGTTCTCGAAGTGAACGTTGTTTAGCATCGTTCGGCCACTTCAAGTCCATTGTTATGCATCAAGGTTTTTTTTTTTTTTTTTTGTGAAAGCGGTTGTTTGTTGTTTGTTTGTTTTTGTTTGACGATGCGAGAACTGGTGCAATGCGTTGGCAAATACTTGGCGATGACAACAGAACAAACTTTTATTTTTGATTCCCGTCCACACAGCAGCACAAATTTGAACGGTTCTGAAAAACCCCACGGACGGCGCACAGTGAGGTTTCCGCGAAAGTATGTCGTTAGACATATCCTACATAAACCGCCTCAAATAGAGCATCTCCACAATCGTTGAGTAGAAATCGAACTTGCCAACCCTCGCGCATTTGCCGGAGGATGGGAGTAGTCGCCGGCTCGATCGTCGCAAGAGTGAGGTTCGAGTTGACGAAAGTCGGGTGCACAGCACATTCGTATCGAACAGCACCTTGTTCATCTTGGACAGTCAAATCGAAAGCACAGTCGTCGATGTCGTCAAGCTCGCTGCTCCAGTCACGAAGCACTTGAATTGCTTTCACACGGATTGAATCTCTTTGAGGCACAGTGACTTTCAGGATATCGACATCAGAATCCCCTCGCTTGGTGCGCAGCACGCCTTGCCAGTAATGCGCTTCGTCCATGATCAGGCCGGCAATCTCGGTTGGTAGTGCAGGTAAACATGCGGGCTGATTCTCCAGCTCCAAGCCGCTGGTCAGCATGCGGAACACTTTTTGGATGTCTTTAGCAGTTGCCAGTCGTGGAAGTAAGGAGAATGCAAGAGGATTGACCTGATCGTAGTAGCGGCTGAGCAAGGAACATGCACAGTATAAGTATGGCCACTCCATTGGAACAGGGACATTGCCTGAGCATCACGGGTATGATTAGCAAGGACAGCTTACTCAATTTCAATTCTACAGGTGACTTTGCTTGTCTCATCGAGCGCTTGAAAACCAAGATTGCCAATGCAATTAGAACGTAGACTGTCGCGTAATGCATGAGCGGGAATGAACTTTGCAGACTGGCACAATGTCCGAGACCAGCAGAGCGCATAGAAGCTTACGAGAGCTGATTCAGCTTCGAGTTCACTTTGAGTGCTTCAGCCACTCCTTGCGCTCCAACATCGCCGATCTGATTCTCGTGGAGACTATGCATTCCCTTCTTCAGTGAGCACTCTGCACGCCCCTCGATGGAATCACCACTCTCATGCACCAGTCAAAGGGAGATGCTGTACCTAAGCTCAGTCAATGTCGAGTTCACTTTGAGTACCTCTGCAATTGCCTGCGCTCCAGCATCGCCAATCCGATTCCCAGCCAAACTGTCCATTCCCCTCCGTCAGTGAGCACTCTTCGTCCTCTGGATAGCTCACTCACATACACCAGTCAAAGTAAAATGACTTACTGGAGCCCAGTTAGCGTCTCGTTCGCTTTGAGTGATTTAGCGATTGCTTGAACTCCAGAATCGCCAATCTGATTGTTACTCAGACTGTCCACGTCCCCCTCCATCGGTGAGCACTCCGACTACCCTCTGCTGGATTGCTCACTCACATACACCAGTCAAAGTAAAATGACTTACTGGAGCCCAGTTAGCGTCTCGTTCGCTTTGAGTGATTTAGCGATTGCTTGAACTCCAGAATCGCCAATCTGATTGTTACTCAGACTGTCCACGTCCCCCCTCCATCGGTGAGCACGCCGACTAACCTCTGTTGAAATCACCCATTCGCATGCATCGGTTAAAGTGAAGTGGCTTACTCGAGCCAAGTCAGCCTCGTGTTCGCCTTGAGTGCCTTCGCAATGGCCTGCGCACCAGCGTCGCCAATCTGCGCGTCACTCAGACTGTCCATCATCCATTTTGTCAGGGTATTCGTGGCCACATTGTTCCGACACACTCGGGATTTTTCTTACTCGAGGATTCCATCCGCATCCCTCGCTTGGCCATACAGACTGCGCCGTCTCCTGTTCCTCATCCAACTGCAACATTGCAACCACGTCGCGCTCAGTCAGTTTGCTCGCATCGCTTCTCGTTCTCCATCATCATTCTCTTCGTCAAAGCACAAGCACAAGGTATCATCTCTCAATCACAGAGCGCAGAGCCCCAGCAATGGGTAGCAGAGTACCCCAAAACGCACTTGGCTTTGAACGCAAGAAGACTGATCGCCCTCAACCGAAAGTGGACAGCAAATGGCAAAGACGAGGATGACAAGTTCGGATGATGAGTATTCTTGTTTCATTTCCCATCCATTTCCTTGCTTCTCAGATATCGTTGATCCACTCTCTCTTTCTTCTTCTTGTTCTCCATTCCTTCAAAAATGGCTGAACCGAGCATTGTCCACATTCAGAACTTTATCGACGGCCAGTTTGTCGACTCGAGCGCATCGCCGCGCATCGACAGCTTCAATCCAGCGACTGGGCGTGTGCATCTGACCATGCCGAACAGCACTGAAGCGGACGTCAACGCGGCCGTCGCTGCTGCTTCCGCGGGTGAGGGACACAGAGTCACGGCCTCGAACAACCGGCATTGCATTGGGGAAGAAGTGGGGTGTGCAATCCCCAAGCACACTGTTTGCTGAAATAGCAAAGGCATTCGAACTTGAGTGTCGAGTGACCGTGAGAGTCGGGGTGGAGGAAGCGAGGTTGAGTGTGCCGGGGTTGGATACTGCTTTCATGACCGTCCGCAGTCGGATTGGAAGGAGATACGACCTGATCCTCCTTGGACTACTTTTATTCTCTGTTTACTCATTCGCATCGTGGAGATGGAGATGCGGTGCTGTTGGAGGTGCTCGTGCGGGAGATGAGTCTGACCAGTCAAGCTCCAACTTTGAAAGTCTCAGAACTGTCAAAAAACTGTGAATTGACTCGAACTACCATTGCTCTTAGTATTTCGTAAACTCATCTGAGGTTGCTGTTTTGTCTCATTATTATTATTTTTTTTATTGTTTCGCGGGCAACTCCAGGTGGGCAGCTACACCGAGACAAACCCGGTCAAACATCCTCTACGCGATCGCCAACGCCATCGAGGCCAGGCTGGACGAGTTTGCCGAGGCAGAGTCGCGCGATCAAGGCAAGCCGGTGTGGCTGGCAAAGTCCGTCGACATTCCGCGCGCCGTGCACAACTTTCGATTCTTTGCGGGCGTCGCGTTGCATCAGGTCGACCATTCGACCGTGAATGACACGCTGGGCGCCGTCAACTACACGACCCGATCGCCGGTTGGTGTGGCGGGTTTGATTTCGCCGTGGAACTTGCCACTGTACCTGCTGACCTGGAAGATTGCCCCGGCGCTGGTGTACGGCAACACGGTTGTCGCCAAGCCCAGCGAGATTACGTCGTTCACGGCCTACCTCCTGGCGAAAGTGCTGAACGACTGCGGCGTGCCGCCAGGCGTGTGCAACATTGTCTTTGGCTACGGTTACACGGCGGGTGCAGCTCTCGTTGCCCATCCCGACGTGCCAATGATTTCCTTCACTGGCGGCACGGTCACGGCTCGGGCCATCATTCAGGCCTCGGCGCCTCACTACAAGAAGCTGTCGCTCGAACTTGGTGGGAAAAACCCCGGCATTGTGTTTGACGACGCCGACATGTCCAAGTGCGTTGCGGGCATTGTTCGCTCGTCCTTTACCAACCAGGGCGAAATCTGCCTTTGCACGAGCCGCATCTACGTCCAAGAGTCCATCTTTGAGACTTTCCTGCAGCGCCTCGTGGAGGAAACTCGCAAAACCATCACTATCGGCAATCCGTCGCACCCCGGCACCACGATGGGACCGCTGGTGAGCCGTGAGCACTACAACAAGGTCATTTCGTATGTTGGGTTTGCAAAGGAGGACGGCGCACGCATCCTCTGCGGCGAGACGGTCGATCCCGCCATTCGCGACTCGCTGCCCGCAGAACTGCAGGATGGCTACTTTATGCGCCCAACCATTGTCGCCAACCTGCCGGAATCGTCGCGCTGCATCCAAGAGGAAATTTTCGGCCCCGTCATTGTCGTCAACTCGTTCAAGGACGAGGCCGATGTCATTGAGCGATCCAACGGTGTCAAGTACGGTCTGGCGGCTTCCATCTGGACTGAGAATGTTGGCCGCATGCACCGAGTTGCGCATGCCATTGATGTAAGAGTCTGTTATGTTGGTTTTTGATGGTTGTTGGCATTGCACAGCTCTGTCTGCTATTTTGGCAACATACTCGACACTCACGCCTGCTTTTTGTTTCACCCCGTACACAGGCTGGCACAGTGTGGGGCAACTGCTGGATGGTGCGTGACCTGAACATGCCGTTTGGCGGCATGAAGCAATCGGGCATCGGGCGAGAAGGCGGACAAGATTCGATCGAATTCTTTACCGAAGCCAAGACCATCTGTGTCAAAATGTGATTTGAAAGAACTTGTCGTGTTGTTGCAAATTATTGGGTGAAATTTCGAACGAGAGCTGTCTTTTTTTTTTTTTCTTCTTCTTTGGTTATTGATCAACAATTTTTCATGGGCGCACAACCCCTCTCCCCCGCTTATTGAGCATCCATGGGAGCAGCAGCAGTCGGCGCATCGTCGCTAGGAGCAGCTGTGGCCGCCGGTTTTTCATCCACTTGAGGAGCAAGGTGAGCTCGTGCATTGCGCAATCGGCCTTGCATTTTGGCATAGGCGCGCGCGTCGCGTTCCGAAACGGACGGTCGCACACGCTTGAACGCCTCGTCAAAGTGTCGGCGAGCAATCGCCACACGCTCCACATGCGTGGCAGCTGGAGCACTATCATCGCTTGGTGGCAGCGCAAGGGCGGTTGCCGAGTTGGCAGCAATGGCCGCGTCGGTCAAGCTGATGGCGTTCTCCACGTTGGTCATCGTCTCACGAAGTGCAGCCACAGCAGCCTCCCGGGCAAGCGCTGCCAAATCGGCACCGCTAAAGCCTTCACACCGAGCATCCAAGCCCAGCTGGGAAACGTCCACGTCCGGATGCATTGGCATCGAGCGCAGCGCGGTGCGCAGAATCTCACCGCGAGAATCAGCGGTGGGCAGCGGGACGTACATGAGCTTGTCGAGGCGACCTGGGCGCAACATGGCCGCATCAATCATGTCGGGACGGTTGGTGGCCGCAATCACAAACACCTTTCGGCGATCGTCGAGGCCATCCATCTCGGTCAAGAGCTGGTTGACCACACGCTCGCTGGCCCCAGACTCGCCGCCGCCGCCGCCGCCGCCGCCGCCACTCATACCATCAACACCACCACCACGGCGTGGGCACACCGAGTCCAGTTCGTCGAAAAACACAACGCAAGGCGCGGACGAGCGTGCGCGTTGGAAGACTTGCCGCACTGCACGCTCGCTCTCGCCCACGTACTTGTTGAGCAGCTCAGGACCCTTGATCGAGATGAATGAGGCGCCGCTCTCGTGAGCAATGGCCTTGGCCAGCAGCGTTTTGCCGCAACCGGGAGGACCGTACAACAGCACTCCTGCCGGGGATTTGAGACCGTATGCCGCAAAGAGGTGCGGTTGCCGGATTGGCTTTAGAATGGTCATTTCCAGTTCTTCACGAACGTCCTTCAACGAGCCAACATCCGACCAGGCAACGTCGGGGATGGTGGCAAAGCCTTCACGCTTGGAGGACGGCTGGACCTTGGTCAGAGCCTCCACGAAATCGGGGAAGCTGATGCTAAGATGGGCGAGCTGCTCTGGTGTCAAGGGGGTGCGTTGTTCGCGGAGACGGTCGCTGATGCGCGAGCGGGCGCGCGCGAGTTCCAACTTTCCATGCGTCTCGTGATCCCCAACCGATGCCGCTAATGAAATCAAATGAGGCGCGTTGGCAGAAGCCGCGGAGTTTGTAGTCATGGGCGTTGCCGGTGTGGCAGATGAAGCAGAGTCAGGGGCAGAGACGCTGTTTTCGGACGGCACTTCGACCACCATCGATTTTTCAGCTACAGGGGCGTCGCTAGAATCACCGTGCAGGACTGAAAAGATCCGATTCACTGCAATGACGGCGGCTTCCTTGGCCAGCGCAGCCAGATCGGCACCGACGTAGCCTGGGGTGCGACGTGCGAGTTCGGTAAAATCAAGATCGCCAGACACCTTCAACTTGGCGCACAGCACTTGCAAGATCCGAAGTCGCGCGGCGTCGTCAGGGATACCGATGGCAATCTCGCGATCAAAGCGACCTGCTCTTCGCAACGCAGGATCCAGCGAGTCGGGCCGGTTGCTGGCGCCAATCACAATGACCGGGCGATTGCCAGTTTTCTCCATGCAGACGTCGTCCATGCAGGTCAGCAGCTGAGCAACGATGCGCCGCTCCATTTCACGTTGAGCGGTCTCGCGTTTTGGTGTGATGGCATCAATTTCGTCAATAAATACAATGCACGGTGCCTGTGCGGCAGCCTCTGCAAACAGATCGCGAATCTTGGCCTCAGACTCGCCAGACATGCCCGAAACAATCTCGGGCGCAGAGACTTTGAGGAATGGGAGCTCTAGCTCGCCAGCGATGGCATTCGCGAGGAGTGTCTTGCCACAGCCGGGCGGTCCGTGCAAGAGAATGCCGCGCGGTGGTTCAACGCCGAGGTGCACGTAAATTTCAGGGTGTGTGAGAGGGTATTCGATGAGTTCACGCACATCTTGCAAGCAGCTCTCCAGGCCACCGAGGTCGGCATAGGTGACGCTGGGAGTGTCGACCATGCTCGAGCCGCGATCGCTGCTGGGTGCCATGCCTCGGCCAGCTCCGCCTGCTGGAGATGCAGAGTTGGCGCTACCACGGGCGCGGTTTCCAGCTGCGGTCATGGCGGCAACGCGCTGCGCAGGCAGCCGGCCACCACCACCACCAGCAGCAGGTGAAGACTGTTGCGGTTGCGAGCCCATGCGAATGCGCTTGTTTGCTTGCTGGGCGCCAGAAGGTGATGCCGTGTTTGCGTCGTCGGCCGGTCGTTTCATGGGAGCGACACGGGGCCCAGAGGCGAGATCGACCAACGACGACGAGACGGACGAAACGCGCGTGATGGCTGGAGACGGAGCTGCCGAGGTGGATGCCGAACTGGTGGTCTTGACGTATGTTTTCAGCAATGCGGCATTCATCGAGTTTGAGTCCTTGACAACAACCATGTCAGTGGCGGAGGCAGCAGCAGCATTGAACTCTTCTGTGGCGAGGTCTTCCTCGTCTTGTTCACTATCCGACGAGTGCGGTACTTCGCCACCACCATCACCATCGTTCGCATTGTCTCGCGCGCCTGGTTGTGCTCGTCGATTATTGCTTGCAGTGGCAGTGTCAGTGACGGACTCGTCCCAGTCCATGGCAATCTTGTCGTCTTCATCGTTGGCGTTGCTGGTGGCCATCTCTGCTGCGACGCCGTCCTCGCCGCCGCCGCCGCCGCCGCTCTCTTCCCCGCTATACTCGTCGCTGTTCTCTGATGTATCCGAGTCGTCCGAATCGTCGTCCCCGTCTTCCTCGCCGTCGCGAGCAGCTGCGCGCTGTCGTCGCACGTGCGCCTCTTCGATCGCGTCGATGCCCGACCGCCCGAGCTTGGACGCACTGCCAGATGCACCAGCAGTGCTTGCATTAGCACCAGCACCACCAGAAGCAGCAGCAGCGGCGGCGGCGGGACTGGCGGCGGCACTGCGCGAGGTCGGGACCATGTGGCGCAGGAGATCAGCGACGGCGAGTCGCATTGCGCCCTTGTTGCGGCGCGTGTATTCGCGGTACTTGCGGCAGAGAGTGTCCTGTGCACAATGTGGAGGTGAGGCGGAGTGAGTTGGGTTGGGGTGGGATTGCGTGAGAGGACACGATCGAAGAAGAGGATTGTGTTTGTATGGAGTTTGCATTGCAGTTGGTTTTTACCATGGCGAGATCGACTGTGACGACGCCGCCGTTGCCTGCATTGTGCACAGTGTTGACGAGCTCTTGGAGCCGGCCGACCAGCTGGCGATCCGTGTGGCGGATGACCTTGGCCCCGGATGGACTGCCGCGGCCCATGAGTTACAATATTGCAAAAGAAAAATAGACTGAGATGAGATCTGAGAATCGTCTTGAGTCTCAGAAATTACAGCAAAAAAGAAACAACCACGAAAAAGCACATCAGATCGAATGTAATGGATGGATGCACAAAAACACTGCTGCAAACTGTAATGGTTCTGTTCTTCAACTGCACAGACAGAAAAAAGAAACCGCTTCTTTGTTCGCAGTGTGTCCTTAAGCAAGTAGCATGTCATCTGCTGGGGCAGTCCGAGGCAGTGGCTGGACTCGAGCTCTGGCAAGAAGAAATGGCGCAAAGTCAGACCAAATTCCATCCATCTGGGCAAAAAAGGTGAGCGCTTACAATGACTGTGCAGTCTGATTCCGCAAATCGGAGGTCTTGTACACCCACTGAAACCCAGCACGAGTCAGAAAACACGGCAATGAAATACAAACATAACGCTGATTTTACCTTTGCTCGCTCCATCGCGGGCTGCCGAGCGGCTTCGCTTCTGCGCTTCTCGATATCAGCAGTCAACATGCTGGCTGACGCAGTGTGCTTGAGTTCCGTCGCCAGGTCGTTACGCCGAAGTGCACTCTCTACAAGCGCGTACATTCCAAAAAGAAAAGGAAGCTGGCAAAATCTGACAGGGTTGCAAATGTTCTGGGTCTCTCGTATGATTGCTACCTCTTTGAGCTTCTAGACACTCTTGTACAAGCAAGACGTTGCCGGCTAGTGTTGCGGCAGAGTTGACCGATGCCAATGTTCGGGACAGCTCGTCTCCTGGTTCCTGCATTTGGACGTCCACTTTGCCCAACAAAACTCGCACAGCAATGACGAGATGAGGCGGCGAGCCGGATTCATCAGCCAGAACAAGGCACTGGGTCAAGAGCTCTCTGTGCCATAGAAAAGCGCGGGTCAACTTTTCCCTTGTTTGAAGTTTCACACACAAACACCGCGCCACAAAAAAGAACTTACCGAGCTTCGTGGATTCGGGATTCTGAAAACGCAACGGCAGCCTTGACATAACATTGGACGGCTGCAAACACGTCTGGTTGTCGAGCGGTAGAATCAACTTCCAGCAAACTTTGCGGCAGCAGATAGGAATCCGCGTCAAGCTCGTCGAGCAGTGCCCGCAGCTCGGGATCGACAGCAGCTGCATGACCGCGAGAGAGCAGGAGAGCCACAATGTTTGCCTTGACAATCACGCCGAGTTCATAGCGACTCGACTGAGCCAGAGCCGCGCGGAGCTGCCCCTGCGCAGCGGTTGTGCGCCGGAGAAGCAGAGAATACAAGCCGAGAAGCGTGGCGAGAACGTCGCCAGTACATCGCAAGAGGCGCGGGCTGGACTCGCAAAGGGTTGTGATTTCGGAAATGTTGTTGCCAAGCTCGGCAGCGTTGAGGGTGGTGATTTGAACCGACACCAGCAGTTCCAAGTACAGGAATTCTAGTAGTTGCGCAGAGAGCGATCGGCGCGAACGAAGCGACGCGTGGGTGGCAGCGCTCTCGCTGAAGCCGAACGAGGAGACCTGCTTTGCAAGGCGGTCGACTTCAGCGTGATCCGAGCCTTGGACAGCACATGCTAATTGGATGATCGCAACAAGTGCTTGCAGTTGACTATCGGGCAAAAATCGAAACTGCAGCATCTGCCCGTGCTGCGTTGATTCCAGAGGCTTGTTTCTCAAGAGTTCTGACGAAAACGGCATCATACGAGTGGAAGCATGTGCAGAAGAGTCTGCGTCTTGCTGCTGCACTGCATAAGCAAGAGTTGATAATTCTGGCAGAAAGGCGGTCGCATTCTAACAACGACAACGACGAAAAAAAAAATGAGCGCAGAGATCGGAAATGCTGTCTGCATCTGTCACACCACGTACACGGTAGGAGCCCGATCGAAGATGCATGAGCACGGTTAAAGCTACCGCATAGAGCGGAAGGGAGGGATTTAGCTCGGCCAAAGAGCGCGAAGACTGCAAAAGTTGCTCGGACTGCGCGAGCAGGGCGGCCTCGGATTGGCAAAAGTCTCTGCAAGACCGATGAGTCGCGGCCAGGCGGAGTTGAAACTGGGCAAGGGCGAATAGAACCTGCAACCGCAAGAACTGAGTGTCACACAAGCTGTCACGCTTAGCAAAACGCTCACGCATCAACCAGAACTCACCTCTGCCTGCACCAATTCGTGCTGACGAGCGCGCTCCAGTCCCGTCTCAAGAAACTGCACTGCTTCGTCCACGGCGCCTTGCTCTGCTGCCAGCTCGGCTGATGCAAAAAGGAGGCAAAAGTTCCAGTCCAAAAACCTGCGCAAAAATCGCCGACAGGGAAAAATGTTTAGAAACAGGGGCGCTCTTCTCAATGCGTCCCAAAGGAGCATGGCGGTTACCCAAGAGACGCATCTAGCGCTGGTCGTAGGATATTGCGAGCCAATCGACCCGACGGGTCTGCCTGGCAGTACAGATCGGCCAGAACCAGCGTTGCGCGGAAACGAACTTCATCGACGCCCGACATCGACTGCGATGAGCAGTATTGGGACGAAATCAAGGACCGGGGTTGGTTAGTATGCTCGATGATGCAACTTTCCATTGAGTGAGTTTGCTTTCCACAGCCTTTGTGTGTGTGTGTGTGTGTGTACCGTGGATGTCAAAAGGACTCGCTCCAGGTGCATTCGCGCAGTTTCGAGCGTTTCATCATCGCCGTGCTGAGCGAGCAGACTTCCCAGCTCCAATCTGCGAAATTAAAGATCAAGTTATCATTATATCGATGCATTCATTTTCTGAGCAACTCGGGGACCTGTGTCACCCATTGAGCTGTGCGTTACCGGATCCGAACTTCCAGCCGCGGGCTCGGGTGCGCATCAACAGCCGCGGTCAGACACTTGATCGCAGCAGCAATGTTTCCAACCTGGGTGACGGCGTCGGGGCGGTCGATTCAGGGGCAGTGATGGGATTCAATGCAGATGAGTTTTGGCGCCAAAAAAAACAGTTGGCAGCTTCTCAGAGATTGTTCAGAAGCTGCTTGGATGCAACGATATCATTACAAAAACACTGATACAATTGAGAGTGTAAATACATACGGAGCGCGATTGCTCGGCGAGAGCGACGAGTGCTTGGCAAGCATTGTCAACGCTCAATGCCATTATGGCTGGAAATGACAATGAATGAAAGAATTAAAAACTAAGACTGGTTAAGACGATGCAAAAAAGGTGCTCAACATTCAGTGATTTATTAAAGCCAAAAACTGGAACAATGCCGGCCGTGTATGTCATTGGCGCGCGAGCTGCTCGGCTTTGAATTTGGACATTTTCTTTTCGCCCTGTTTGAGCCATAGCCCCAGAACAACAAAAGAGTGAGAGATTCTGCGATAGAGAAAACAGCAAGTATAGTCCAAACAAGCCCAAACCAGAGAAATCGTACCGTTGCCGTTTGTGGAGCAGGCGCTCGAGGCGATCGCTCGACAATTCCCCCGACAAGCGGAGCTGCGGCAGTGGGTCGCTCCACCAGCCGAGTAGAAACAGCTCCCGAGGATAGGCTTTGTGGCTGCGGAATACTGCGTTCAGTGATGGTTGCAGGGGTATTCAGATCTGCTCGTGGCGTGACCGTTTTGAGCGGGAAAAGCACTGGTTCGGAATCGGCGGCTTCGTCAAAGCTCTCGGGCTGCGAGGGCGGCACTGCAACGCCATTCTCAATCTCCATGATCAACGGTCGTCGTGCAGATGCAGAGCTGGCGGGGGTCAAGCGAATGTTTTCGGGTGTAATCTCGACCGACTGTGGAAAAAGGGGAATATCAAGAATCACAGGGTGAGATGTGGTCGTCTGGCTCGCCCAAGAAGCCACAATAACGCAAAAGCAACCAAGTCATCCCGAGCATCAATCCCAAACAAAGAAACAACCGACCTCGATGTCAGGATTGAAATGAACAGACTTTGCGGGGGAGGCAGAAGCGGCTGACGATCCAGCTGCAGAGGCAGACGTGGATGCTGTGGCTGACGCAGGTCCTGTCGTGGAAGACGATGATGATGATGATGATGATGAAGCCGACGCTGATGCCGCTGGCGAAGCAACGACAGGCGCCGACGATTCCTTCTTCTTCATGGCAGATTGCAGCGGCTGCTTGCCCTTGGAAGCGGATGCAGACGAAGCAGACGGCGCAGGCACATCCTTCGTGTTGACCATCGAGTTGATTTCATCGTTCGACACAAGATAGCCAGAGCCTTGGCGGGCGCGGGCAGCGTTGCGAGCAGCCTCGTCATCTTGGTCGTCTGCGTCAGTGTCTGGCACTGGCTCGACAATGTGCATGATCTCGCCGGACTCTGCGTCGTCCATCTCAGCCAGGTAGTCGTGCGTCAATTCAGTGCGTGTCTGCATGCTCTTGAGCTGGCGTTCGAGCGCAGCCAGTCGCTGGTCGACAAACTGCTCGCGGCGCAGGACAATCTCGGCTGCCTGCTTGGCCGACCGCTCGACAAACCAGTTATCGCCCAGCAAGACCATGATCTCGTTTGTATGCACCAATCGACCCGGCATGAATGCGAGCGACCCGAGTGGGATCTGATGGGAGACAGCAGCACATGTAGTATGAGATACAACCCTCTCCAGTCCCACTCCCAGCTCTCCTTCTGCGCAGAACGAGAGCATGTGCTGTAAAGTCGGTGCTTTACCATGGCTGGGTGCGAAGTCTTGTCTGTGAGCGACGTGAGCGTCTGTCGGAGTGCGCGGTAGTCTGCTTGGAAGTGCTCAAACTGGCGTTGCTCGTGTCGCAGTGCCTCAGTGGCCTTGAGAACAAGCAAATGGCAGACATTAAGGATGGCGGATGATTTTCCGACAAACAAGGCAGGGGTGAGGGTGAGGGGGTGGAGAAGTGAAGGCGAGAAGTTGGTTTTTCTGAGATTCTAGGCGAAAGGCGGGCTTTTGATCGTCACTCTCGCACGCGCACACATTTACCACACATCCACACATCTACACACACACGACGAAATTGCAACAACGCATGCAATACCTGCATGAATGATTGCTGTGCATAAGCGAGCTGTTCGCGTTGCATTTTTATGTTTTTCAATGGAAAGAGACTGAACTTTCTTTCGATGTTCCATTCAATTCTCGTGCCTCATTTTACCTCTGATGTTAGCAGTGAGTAGTAGTAGCTGTACATGTTCGTCGCACTCCATCTAATTCGCTTTCAGTCCCTTTGGCAACGTTCTTTTGAGCTTTCTTTCGGTGTTCCATTCAATTCTCGTTTTCCCCTCCCCTCCCTCCTCCCGCCCCTCCGCTCGCCCTCCGTCCTCACTCTGCTCCAAAATCGTACTTCAACTTCAAATCCCAACTCATCTTCATTGACTCATTTTCCCTCAATTTTTCAATCGCAACCAAAAAACAAAAAAAACTCATTCATTTTTTTATTCGCTTTTTTTTTTTCTTTCTGATTTTTTTTTTTTTCCGTATTATTCATTTTTTTTTTTTTTTTTTTTTTTTTTTTTTTTTTTTTTTTTTTCATCAATGGCTGCCGCAGCTGTTGACGGGCGTCTGAAATCGCTGCTGACGCTCGTCACCCCGCGCGACGACTGCCTCTCGACGGCGTCATCACTTACCAGCAATGACAGTAGCAACAATAGCAGCAGCAACAGCGGCAGCAGCAGCAGCAGTAGCGGCGGCATCAGTCCGCACGAGCGCTACAGCGATGCCAGCATTCAAGAAGCAGCCCCGCAGTCGCAGGCGTCGCTGCGCTCGAGCGTGTCTCGCTCGACGCCCTGTTCGACACCTTTCCTCGTGCTCTATCGCGAATGCTCAGCCACAACACTCGCAACGAGCCCTACGGCGCCGAGTTCCTCGCTGCGTGTATGTCGACCATTCAACCCTACCACTCAACCCTCAACCCTAACCCTAACCCTCTCATTCAAACCGCGCCGCGGCCAATGCAAACTCCAGCCAAAAGTCACAATGCGCCGAACTCAAACCTCAATGAAGACAGACGCAAAGAAGACATTATTTTTTTATTTTTTTTGAAAAAGGCCTTTTTTTTTTGAAGCTGCATTCTATCCACGACGACTGCAGTTCAGCGCACGCTGCTCAGCCATCGAAACACGCGCACGCATTGGGCACTTTGAATGCTCTGCCCTGGGCTGAGCGTCGTCGTCGCGTGCTTGCGCTTTTGGCTGCAAAACTCAAAAAAAAAAAAAAGAAATTTGAATTTCGGCCGTTTTTTTTTTTTTTTTTTTTTTTTGATTGTCGGCGGTTTGAGCCTGAGTGACTGACTGGCCAGCCAGCACCGACCTCGCTGTGTCGCAGCTTTCGTTCGTGGGGGAAGTGTCTTTTGTAGGGTGGTTGGCTTGCTCGACGACCCTCCTTCTCGTCGTCCAAGCGTTTGACCAGCCATTTAGCGATTTTTGGGTTTGAAAGCAGGTGTTGCACTTTTTTTTTTTTTTTTTTTTTTTTTGTGGTTCTGTGGAATCGCGCGCTTCGTTGGCACGCGCCGAGGGTGAATGCCAAGTGGAAGACCCGTCTCCTTCGACATTCTCCGTCGCAGCAGCAGCTGAAGACGCCGCAGAGACGAACGACGGAGACGGAGGCGTTATCTTTGAACTTGCCGCTGCTGCTTTTATTCGTATCTCTCTCTTTCCGTCTCGCTCGCTCGCTTGGTCGGTCGGTCGGTCTTTGCACATCGCGTCAACGAGGTGTCAAGGTCAACATTGGTCGATCCGGTGCTACGTGGAAGTGTCTGATGCTCCGTCCCGCGAACGACCTCTCTCTGTCCTTTATTTTAGGTTTTTTTCTTTTTTTTTTTCTGCAACAACTGTCCATCACACTTGGGGTGTGACTCTCTGCCCTTCGACGTTCAAACTCCCCCGAACCACCACTTGCGGGGGCTGGTGCTCAGTCACACCCAGCGGGGTTCCCAAGTTGGGGAGCGGTGCGATTGAAAGGGAGCAACTGTTGTGTTGATTCAAAAAGGAGGGTTGCTTTATATGGGAACCAAACCGATTTCGTGATTTTGCCTTATTTGCAGATATTAGCGCCATGTACACAACGGCGAATCGGCAATCAGTCGTTTGAATTGGGGTTGACATTGAGACAGGAGGAGGAGGAGGAGGAGATGGAGATGGCTTTGGCTTGTGACGACAAGACCGACTCCGTCTGATGACTCACGTCTCACTTACGTCTGACTCTCTCTCTCTCTCACAGACGAAAAGTTTGTCCAACGGACATCCGATCTCAGACTCTCCAAGAACGACTTTGAAACGGTCAAGGTCATTGGCAGAGGGTTCTTTGGCGAGGTAACTACAGGCTTTTGTTGGAATCGCTCTTTCAACCGTCACACTGTGATGGCACAAAACAAAACCGAAAAAAAGGGTCCCTGACACGATCGACCTCTCACTTGTTTTTTGATTGTTAGGTCCGCCTCGTCAAACGCAAGGGCTCCGAGGAGGTCTACGCCATGAAAATCTTAAACAAGAACGACATGATTCATCGACAGGAGGTAAAAGCGGCGTTGCTAACCACACACAAATCAAACCACTTCCACACCTACCAACACGGAACTCACCCACACTCCATACAAAACCTTCACAGACCGCAAAGTTCAAGCAAGAGCGCGATGTCATGATCGCCGCCTCGTCCAAGGGGACGAACGGACACCACCCGTGGCTGACATCGTTGTACTGCGCCTTCCAGGATGAAGAGCGCCTGTTTCTTGTGATGGACTATCACCCTGGCGGTGACTTGCTGTCGCTGCTGAGCAAGTACGACGGCTGCCTCCCCGAGGACGTGGCGCGCTTTTACATGGCGGAGATTGTGCTGGCGGTCGAGTCGTTGCACGAGCTCAACTTTGTCCATCGCGACTTGAAGCCCGACAACATTCTCATCGACGCCCAGGGCCACATTAAGATTGCCGATTTCGGCTCGTGCGCACGGCTAAACAGCAAACGCCTCGTCGAGTCGAACGTTGCGGTCGGCACGCCAGATTACATTTCTCCCGAGGTGCTCCAGTCGGTGGAGGCCGACATGAGCTCTGGCCCCGCAAACGCGCGCGCCAAAGAAAAGATCTCTGGCAAGTATGGCTGCGAGTGTGACTGGTGGTCTGTGGGTGTGATCATGTTCGAAGTCCTTGTCGGCGACACACCGTTCTACGCCGAATCGTTGGCCGAAACGTACGGCAAAATCATGGGACACAAGCGATCGTTGACGTTCGACTCGGAGGCCGCTTCTGGCGTGTCTGAGACGGCTCGCGATCTCATTCGCAAGCTCGTTTGCGACCGCTCGACGCGTCTGGGTCGCGACGGCGCCGCCGACATCAAGGCGCACCCGTTCTTTGCCGGCGTTGACTGGGAGCACTTCCAGCACGTGTCACCTCCTCCGTTTGTGCCCACGCTCGCCTCCAGCACGGACACGTCCAACTTTGAGATTGACGATGACGACACTGGCTCTGGCCACAGCGACGAAGCCGCCTCGCCCCCGCTGCCCAAAAATGTGCTCTTTGCCTCCATCCCATTCGTTGGATTCACCTGCATGCCAGCACTGTCCGCTTCCGCGTCCGCCGAGGTGGCAGCGTCGATTTTCGGTGCGACCGCCAATCTCGCCTCGTCCCTGTCACCACCCACGCCTGTGCGCGGCCGTGCCAACAGCGTGACCAACGGCGTCGATGGCACTGGCAGCCCTGTCAAGGACGTTTCCGAGGCTGTTGCCAACAAAATCCGTGAAGTCTCGCAGCAGAACGCTGCCCTCCGCGCCGAGCTCGACAAGATCAAGAACGACCGGTCCTTTGCAACGTTTGAGCTGGAGACCCTGCGCAAGACACTCGAGCGAACCAAGCAAGAGGCGGAAGAGAATGAGGCGCGGCTGGAAGAGGCCGCTGCCGTCGCTTCCTCCCAGCGCGATTCCTTGCGCCGACAGGTGGAAAACTTGCAGCTCGAGCTTGAAGAGAAGGCAGACAGCGAGCGCTCCTTGGCCGACGCCGAGACGCGGTTGCACTCTGAGACCAAGCAACGCGCCGAGCTGCAGCAGCAGGTTGAAGAGCTGCAGCTCGAGTCTGAGCGGTTGCGTCTCGAGGCCACTTCGCGCGCAGCCGCCGAGGCTGCCTTGCGGGCAGAGAAGGAGGCCTTTGATTCCAAGCTGCTCGACCTGTCCGAGCGCGCGAATGAGCTGCAAAGCCAACTCGATGCGTCCCAGGCCGACCTGAAGGCTTCGAACGCCTTGGTGGCTGAGCGCACTGCCGCAGTCGAGCACGCCAAGGCCAGCGCCGTCGAGGCAGAGGATGCGCGCAAGAAGGCCGAGCAGCTCGCCCTGCATCGCCAGGAAGCCCTGGCGGCGGCGGAAGCGCAAGCTCTCACATCCACCTCCGAGCTGGACAAGGCCAAGCAGCGCCAGACGTCTGCCGACGAGGAGCTTGCGCGCTTGCAGACCGAGCGCGACGACCTTCGTAAAAAGCTTGCCGAGTCCACGCAGTCCCTCACCGATCAGCTGGCAGCCGCACAACAGGAGGCTCGCGACGTGCAAGCCGAACTCGAGCAAGTCGAGCAGGAACTCGACGCGGAGCGCAAAAAGGAAAAGCAAAAGGACCGCGCGCGCCGTGGCCTGTCCACCATCTCCTCGGCTGACGCGCTGGTCGCCCAGCTGTCTGCCTGCCGCACTCAGCTGCAGGACGCCCGGGATGAGCACGACTTGACCATCCAGCAACTAGAGGCCGAGCAGCAGACCGTCCGCAAGCTGCGCGCAGAGTTGGAAGAGCTGCGGCTTGAAAACCAGCGGCTCGTCTCGCAGACGGAGCTCTTGCAGCAGCAGCTCACAGACACCAAGAGCTCTCGCGAGACGGCCACCTCGCAAATCACCGAGAGCGAAACGCGACTCCGAGCTCTGGAAAAGCAGGCGTCCGACGCGCAGGAGGAGCTCTCGCGCGTTTCCGCCGAGCGCGACCGTTTGGCCGAGCGTGCCGAGGCCCAGAGCCAGGCCGCCAAGGAGAGCCGCAACAGCCAGCGCTCGGCGCAAGACCAAGCGAGCGCCCTCCGCGTCGAGCTGTCGCAGGCCGAGGAGGAGCGCAAGCGCGCGCTGAGCGAGCTCGAAGCCGAGCGTAAGGCGCACAAGGAGCTGCGCGATCTCAAGGCGCAGCTGTCGCTCGAAGTGGAGCGCGTCTCCACCGACGCCCGCAAGGCGCAGTCCAAGCTCGACGCCGAAATTGCGCGCGCTGCTCGCAGCCCCAACCCGGCCGACCTTGTGTCCAAGATTGACAGCTTGACGCGCGAGATTGCCACTGCCGCCAAGGAGCAGACCAAGGCGCAGAGTGATCTCGAGCACCTCAAGGCGCGCTTGTCCGAGGACAAGGAAGCGTTCGAACGCGAAAAGGCCGACCTCACCCAGCAGCTTGTCGCCAAGCAGCGCCAGGTCAACCAGACCGAGGCGCGCCAAGACCGCCAAAACAAGGAAGACATGCGCCGCCTGCAGCAGCAAATCACCGAAATGAAGTCGCAGCTCGAGAAGGAGATTGTCATTCGCCACCAGCTCGAAGCGTCGCAAGCCAAGGTCCAGCGCGAGTTGGACGACACAACGTACAAGCTCAAGGAGACGCAGGCCAAGTGGTCGGACCTGCTTTCCATCCAGCGTCAGCAGATGGAGGACAACATGTTCTCGGGCTCGCGCACCTCGCGTGGGTCGTCCATCGATGCCTCCATTTCGCCGTCCGGATCGAACGTTTCCCAGCACCAAGCGGCCGCAGCGGCTGCCGCAGCTCGTCTCCACAATGGCGATTCGTCCTCCGATCGCTCTGGATCTTCGGTTGGCTCTGGATCTTCGGTTGGCGCGTACCGCACAAAGCGCACGGGCTCCCTCGATGCTACGAATACCGGCTCTTCAAGCCATCCGCCCACCATCACTGCCTCAGCAGCTGCGGCTGCTGGTGGTGGTGGTTTGAGCGACACGACGACGACTGCCTCGGGTGCGTCCAGCCCGGCGCCCAAGTCGTCCTCGCTCGATGTACCTTCGAGCTCGTCTGGCCGTTCGTCCTCGCGCAACCACAGCAACGCGCACACGTTTATGCTCACGGACGACACTCGCTATGTGCGCAATGCTCCCTCTGGCATGTCGCAGGGCACTTGCGCGCAATGCCAGCAGCCCGTGCTTGGCGGCGGCATTGTGGCGCTTGACAAAATCCACCATCCAAAATGCTTCCAGTGCGCCAAGTGCTCCAAGGTGCTCAACTCTGGCTTCTACGACAAGGACGGCAAGGCCTACTGCGAGAACGACTACCGCCTGCTCTTCTGCCCTCGATGCGCTTCGTGCAAGCAGTTTATCTCGGAAACGGCGATCGTCGCAATGGACAAGCGCTACCATCCAAAGTGCTTTGTCTGCACCCATTGCCGCAAACCCCTGCGCGACTTCCACATGCACGGCACCGACTTTTACTGCCAGGAGCATTACCGCTCCATCTGCACCACGTGCAACAAGGTTATTGCTGCAGACAAGCATGTTGAATTCTTGGGACGCCGGTACCACGAGCATTGCTTAAAGTGCGTCTCGTGCAGCATGGGCTTCTTTGGCGGGGCCACTGTGCACATTCTCGAAAACAAGCCGTACTGCGAGCGAGACTACCAACGCAAGCTCGCATCGCCCGCGCCCAGCCGCCGTGCCTCGGTCTACGCCCCCGACGAGGCTATCATGCACTCGCCGAACGATCACACGCACCACCATTCGCTCGGGTCTGGCACGCAGCGACCCACGGGCGGGTCTCAATCGCTGCGTCGCAATCAAACCGTGAACGATGCGGATCGGCGAAGCCAGCTCTTTTCCATTTCCGAGCCCGGCCAATCTCCCAACGTCGTTAGCAGCCCAGGCTCGGGCGCTAGCGTGCGTCGCACGAGTACCCTGACCGACGCTGACCGGGCGCGTCCAAATAGCGTGATGATGGGCTCGTCGTCGCCTGCACCTTCTTCCTCGGGCAGTGGCGGGTTGGTTTCTGGCGGATCGCCAGGCTCGGTGCGCAGCCAGCGTCCCTTCACAATGTACAATGGCTCGCCCACCCCCAACGGTAGCGGCACTCCTGGCTCTGGCAGCGCCAGCGTCAGCAGCCGGTCCGAGCGCTTTGGCGGTCTCGGCAGCCGGTCTGCATCTGGAGGCTCGTCGTCCTCACCTGGGTTCAACTCACCGTCCTCCACTACTGCCTCGGGCTCTCCAGGCGTGTCCGTCTGCGGTGGCTGTGGGCTCGAAGTGGGCGGCAACTGCATTTTGGCGTTTGACAAAAAGTGGCATCCATCCTGCTTCAAGTGCAGCACGTGCGCGCGGTCGATTGACGATTCCGAGTTTGTTTCGATTGGTGACCGCAACTACCACCAGACGTGCTTCCGCTGCAAAGGCTGCACCAAGTCGCTTGCAGGGCTTGCCTTCCGCATGCGCAACAACGAGCCCATGTGCACAAACTGCTCCAGCTCAACTGCCTCCACGCCACCAGTGTCGTCTTCTCATTAGTCAACAAACTCTAGGGTGTTTCAGGGTGTTTAATTAAAAAAATCCCAGAGTTTGGAGCCTCATCTATTCTTTGTTCTGCCTGCTCTCTTTCTCTGTGTGCGTGTCTTTTTTGGTTTTTTGTTTTGTTTCTTTGCCGTTATTATGCGCCACCTTTGCTTGTGATTAATTTGGCGTTTTTCTTTTGTTTGCTTTTGATACTATGTGTTGTTTTTTGATACTGGGGTGGCTTGTAATATTTTTTCTTCTCTCTTTATGCACATTACACTAGCTTCACATCAACAACTTTTTTTCACTACACCCTTCTCAGTATCTAGGCTCGGATTGTCAGTAAATGCAAATGAGAAAACGGAAAATAAAAAAGAGAGAGATCTGTGCATTGGCGTGCATTTTAGGCGTACGACTTGATCACCTTGCCAGCAATGACGAGTCGCTGGACTTCGCTGGTGCCTTCGTAAATCTCGGTGATGCGAGCATCGCGGTAGTGGCGCTCTGCAGGCATGTCCGAGACGTAGCCCATGCCGCCGAGGATTTGGATGGCCTGGTGAGCGTTGAAGGTGGCAGTCTCCGAAGCAGCGAGCTTGGCCATGGCGGCAAACTCGGTAAAGTCGAGGTGGCTGTCGGCCTTCTGTGCGGCAGCCCAGGTGAGCAGACGAGCGCTGTGCAGCTTGAGGTTCATGTCGGCAATCTTGAACTGGATGGCTTGCAGGTCGCAGATTGGCTTGCCAAACGCCTTGCGATCGCGGGCGTACTTGACTGCGCAGTCAAGCGACGCCTGGGCAATGCCGAGGCCCTGGCCAGCAATGCCGATGCGGCCGCCATCGAGCGTCATCATGGCAATCTTGAAGCCCTCGCCCTCCTTGCCGAGGAGCATGTTCTTGGGAATTCGGCAGTCCTCCATGATGAGCTGGGCGGTCGAGGAGCCGCGGATGCCAAGCTTGTCTTCCTTTCGGCCGAGGGAGAAGCCTGGATTGCCACAAGGGGGAGTGGGAAGGGAGGGACAAAAAAAAAAAAGAAAAAAAAAAAGGAAAGTTAGTTCATGTCGTCTTCGACGGAACAACGACGGTCGACGGTCGAGCAAGCATACCCGGAGCGTTGGTCGGAACAATGAAAGCACTGATGCCGCGGTGCTTGAGGCTGCGGTCGGTGGTGGCAAAGACGATCGCCGCGGACGCTTCGTACGCGTTGGTAATCCATGCCTTCGTGCCGTTGAGCACCCATTCATCGCCGACGAGCTTTGCCGTAGTGCTAGCGGCGCCGGCGTCGCTGTTGCAAGTGTCGGTCGTAGATCCAAAAAAACATTAGAATTGATCAGAAACTCAGACAAAAACCGACAAAAAATTGATCAAGACTCTCTTCTCCCCCCCCCCCCGCTCCCGCATCCCATCCCAAAGCCAAGCTTGATTCTAGCAAGACCTCTCAGGCCATCGTTCGTAGTTCGGCCATGAGCACAATGAGACTTGACTCGTTTGCTCCCCGTTTTTCACGTGTTTGAGGTGCGTTACCTGCCGTTGCCCGGCTCGCTGAGGCCAAAGCAGCCAATCTGCTCGCCCGAGGCGAACGGGGTGAGCCAGAGCTTCTTCTGCTCGTGGGTTGCAAACTTGCCAACGGGCGCGCAGTAGAGCGAGTTGTGGGCCGACATGATCACGCCGACGGAGGCGTCGCCGCGCGAGATTTCCTCCATGGCGATGGCATACGCGAGGTAATCGTTGCCAGAGCCGCCGTAGTCGGTCGACGTGGTGATGCCCATGAGCCCGAGCTTGGCCAGGTGCTCGACCTGCGCCTTCGGGAAGGAGTGGTCCTTGTCGTGCTTGGCCGCGTTCGGCGCGAGCTCCTTGTCGGCAAGATCGCGGCACATCTGGCGCAGCATCTGGTGGTCCTCGGACAGCGCGACCACCGCGCTCATCCCACGGCGTGAGACGGACGTCACAGCACTCGCAGCAGCAGCAGCAGCGGCGGCGGTGTTGGCGGCCGAGGGCAGGCGGATGAGCCTGGTCAGATTTTCGCAATGCAAACTCAGTGAGAAACTTTTCTCCAACTCTGATTTTCCCCCCAAAGTCAAAACTCACGATCGTAGCATTGTTTTTGACAAGTTGTTGAAATGTGCACAAAAAAAGCGACTGATATTCACATCTTTTAGCAAATCTCTTTTCAATGCATCTCAGTCTAGTTTTTCCATTGAGTTTTTGCATTATGGCTTCGACCTCTGCTGCATCTGCTTCTGCATCAGCGTCTGCATCGTCGCCGCTGCCGTCGGTGTCGGACAACCACAACTTCCCCGGCACTGAGGAGGCCGTTCTCGGCTTCTGGAAGTCGATCAACGCGTTCGAGACGTCGCTCAAGCTGTCGGAAGGGCGCAAACCGTACACGTTCTACGACGGCCCGCCGTTCGCCACGGGCAAGCCGCACTACGGCCACATCCTCGCAGGCACCATCAAGGCACGGGCGCTCACACTCACTTCACTCGCTCACTCAATCAGTTCACTCGCTTGCGTTGACCTGGCTGCTTCCGTTGCATCATTCTGACCTCAGAGAACCACAAACACACACGAGATCCGCTCTTTTTTTATTTTTTTATTTTTTATTTTTTATTTTTTATTTTATTTTTGTTTTTCTATGGGATTTGCATTGAGGCGATGATATCATCCTCGTCGTTCTCTCGTTCGGGTCCTCTTCCGTCCGACTTTTGGACTTTTTGGTGGTTGGCAAAAGTTGAACTTTTGATTGGAGAAAATGTCACAGTGGATGGAGACGCGAGTGCATTTTGCATGGGAACTGGAGGAACGCGTGTGTGAGAACTTGCCTCTCGTTCTCCAAAGGCACAGCGAGATGACATACATTTTGTCGAGGGGATGTACAATACAAGCATCAACGTTGCTCAAGCATCAACTTTCTTGGTGGTCGGGAGCACACTTTTGCTGTCTTCTCACTTTCATGAACTTCTTTGCTTCTGTCTCGCTTTCGATTGTTGTAGGACATCGTGACACGCTGGGCGCACCAAACTGGTCACTACGTCGAGCGCCGCTTCGGTTGGGATACGGTATGTTGTGGTGTTGGTTCTGCTGATGATGTTTTGGCTTGTTCTTGTTGACACTTTTTTTGGCCTCACCTCGCTTTTGACTGTTCAAACCTCTCTCGCTTCTTTTGTTCGCTCGCTCCAGCACGGCCTCCCCATCGAGTTCGAAATCGACAAGGCCTTCAACATCAACTCACCGCAGGACGTGGAAAAGATGGGCATTGCCAACTACAATGAAAAGTGCCGAAATATCGTCATGACGTTCGCCAAGGAGTGGGAGACGACCGTCAACCGCATGGGCCGATGGATTGACTTCCAGAACGACTACAAGACCATGTACCCGTCGTTCATGGAGTCGGTCTGGTGGGTCTTCTCGCAGCTGTTCGACAAGGACCTTGTCTACCGCGGCTACAAGGTCATGCCCTTCTCCACGGGCTGCGCAACGCCGCTGTCCAACTTTGAGGCTGGCCAGAACTACCGCGACGTCAGCGACCCGGCCATCATGATCACCTTCCCCCTCGTCGACCAACCCGAGGTGTCGCTGGTCGCGTGGACAACCACCCCCTGGACCCTTCCCAGCAACCTTGCGCTCTGCGTCAACCCCGAGCTCGAGTACGTCAAGGTCAAGGACACTGCCAGCGGCAAGATTTACATTCTCGCCACCGACCGTCTCGTGGCGCTCTACCCCAAGGGCAAGGAGAGTGGCGACGCACACGGCAAGGCGCCCACCAAGGCCGCCACCGGTGCTGCTGCCGGCAAGGCCAAGGGCAAGGAGAAGAAGCAGCAAAAGCGCGACGATGCCAAGACTGGCGCCAGCAGCAGCGATGCTGCTGACTCTGCCGCCGTCAAGGAAGAGACTCCCGCTGCTGCTGCTGCGGCAGAACCTGCTGCTGCTGCCGCAGAGACTGTTGCCGCCGCTCCCGCCGCCCCTTACGAAATCCTCGAACGCTTCAAGGGTGCCACGCTGAAGGGCCTGCGCTACACACCCTTGTTCCCTTACTTTGCATCGCGCCCCGGCGCCTTTGTCGTCACCACCGACCCTTACGTTACCAACGACTCTGGTACCGGCGTTGTCCACTCTGCGCCCGGCTTTGGCGAGGACGATTACCGCGTCTGCGTCGCCCATGGCATTGTCAACCGCGACGAGGCCGTGCCGTGCCCGATTGACGAGAAGGGCTGCTTCACGTCCGAGGTGACGGACTTTGTTGGCAAGTACGTCAAGGACGCCGACAAGGACGTCATCAAGCACATCAAGGACCTCGGCCGCCTGGTCAACGTTGCCTCGATCGTGCACAGCTACCCCTTCTGCTGGCGCTCCAACACGCCCCTCATCTACCGCGCCGTTGGCTCGTGGTTTGTGCGCGTCGAGTCGCTCATCCCTCGCCTGCTCGCCAACAACGCGCAGACGTACTGGGTTCCCGACGTCGTCAAGGAGAAGCGCTTTGCCAACTGGCTGGCGAACGCCCGCGACTGGTCCATCTCGCGCAACCGCTACTGGGGCACCCCGATCCCGCTCTGGGTCTCGGACGACGGCAAGGAGGTTGTTCGCATTTCGTCCATCCAGGAGCTGCACGAGCTCTCTGGCGTTCTCGTGACGGACTTGCACCGCGAGTTCCTCGACGACATCACCATCCCCTCCAAGCAAGGCAAGGGCGTGCTCAGGCGCACCAAGGAGGTCTTTGACTGCTGGTTTGAGAGCGGCAGCATGCCGTACGCGCAAGTCCACTACCCCTTCGAGCGCAAGGACACCTTCCAGCAGTCCTTCCCCGCCGACTTTATCGCCGAGGGTCTTGACCAGACTCGCGGCTGGTTCTATACGCTGCTCGTCATCTCGACCGCTCTGTTCGACAAGCCCCCGTTCAAGAACCTCATTGTGAACGGTCTCGTCCTTGCGGCGGACGGCCAGAAAATGTCCAAGAGCAAGAAGAACTACCCCGACCCTTCGTTGGTCATTGACAACTATGGCGCCGACGCTCTTCGCCTGTACCTGATCAACTCGCCCGTCGTGCGCGCCGAGGAGGTCAAGTTCAAGGAGGCTGGTGTCAAGGACGTCATCAAGGATGTGCTCCTCCCCTGGTACAATGCCTTCCGCTTCTGCCTGCAGAACGTGGACCGCCTGAAGAAGGAGGACGGCATCGACTTTACCTTTGATCTGAAGGCGGAAAACCCCACCACCAACTTGATGGACAAGTGGATTCTTGCCTACACGCAGTCCCTCATCACGTTTGTCAAGCAAGAGATGGCCGCCTACCGCCTGTACACGGTCGTGCCGCGCCTCCTGGCATACATTGACAACCTCACCAACTGGTATGTCCGCTTCAACCGTCGCCGTGTCAAGGGCGAGGCTGGATTGGAGGAATGCAAGAACTCGCTCGGCGCGCTCTTTGAGGTCCTGTTCACCACCGTGACGCTCATGGCCCCGTTCACCCCGTTCATTGCCGAGTACATGTACCAAAACCTGCTGCCGCTGCTCACCAACCTCGACCCCAACGAGGACCGTCGCTCGGTTCATTTCACCATGATTCCCGAGCCCAAGACGGGCTATGCCAACGCCGACATTGAGCGTGTTGTTGCTCGCATGCAGTCCGTTATCGAGATGGTTCGCGTGGTTCGTGATCGTCGCAACCTTCCAGTCAAGGTGAGAAGGAGCCCCAAAAGACAAAAATGTGAAGGGGGTTTTTTTTTTTCGAGTTTGGAAGATGCTGACTGCTGTCAATTTTGAACACTTTTTTTTCTTGTCTTTTTGCAGTACCCGCTGAGCGAGATGACCCTTGTGCACAGCGACAAGCAGGTGCTCGATGACGTTCGCCTGGTTGAGTCGTACTTGCTGGAGGAGTTGAACGTCAAGACGCTCGTCACGTCCTCCGACATTGCCAAGTACGGCGTCAAGTTGAACGCTGCCATCAACATGGAGCTTGGTGCCAAGCTGCGCGGCGACCTGCCTGTTGTCCAGAAGGCGATTGCAGGTACAGCATTGCTGTTTGTGAATTTCGTTTTTTTTTTTTTTTTCGCTCTTCGTGGTGATTGGTGACTCAATTTATTTGTCCTTGTTCCGATTTTTTAGCGCTGTCGGCTGACGACATTGAAAAGTTCAAGAAGGAGGGCACCATCACTGTTGCCGGCTTTGCTCTTTCTGGCACCGATTTGAAGGTAGGGCTGCTTCGTCGGGAAGTTTGCTTACGGTGCTGCCAACTCAACCCCCTCCCTCTTCCTCTGCTGCCCATGTCAGATTTCTTATTCGTGCACTGCACCCGCCGACCACGAGGCAAATACCAACGGCGACATTCTCGTCCTCGTCAACGTCGTGTCGGACTCTGGCATGAAGGAGGAGGGCCTCGCTCGTGAGATTATCAACCGTGTCCAGCGTCTGCGCAAGAAGGGCAAGCTCATTGCCACGGACAACGTCGACGTCTACTACCAAGTCACCAAGGAGGATGCCGAGACGCTGTTGACCCAAGTTGTTGTCAGCCAAGCGGATTTCCTGGCCACCAACCTCAAGCTTGTCCTCAAGCCACACACTGCCCTTCCCGCTGGTGTTGCCATGCTTGTTGAAGAGGAGAGCGAAATCAAGTCTGCCAGCCTCAAGCTGTGGATTTCCAGCCCTCACGCGTGATTGCAGCTGTCTGTGAAACGCGGAATTGCAATTTGAGGAATCTGGGGCGGGGCGTGAATTATTTGGCCTTTTGCACCTGCTTTTGCTTTGGCGCACAACTGTGTGTTCGCATTACTACCAAATATTACTGTACGACGATTTGAAAGATCCATGAAACAAACAAACAAACAAAAAAACGTGTTGCTGTACAAATTAGTCGTCGACAAAGGCGAGCAAAGGAACGGTTTGCATGGACACTGCTACTTGGACTGGAAGTGCCCGCACCTCGAGTCGTCGCGCGCCCAGAAGCAAACCCACGTTGAGCAGAGCCAACGCGCATACCGCCAAAGTAAAGTACCAGCAGAGGGACAGTGCATAGTCTCCGTCTCCATTGTTGGTGAATTTGTTGTGGTATTGAACCGCCACACTGAAAGCAATGATGGTCGCGATCGCTGTGCACAATGAATTGCAAGTCAGTGAAACCCAAAGGAGAAACGAAAACACGAATCGTTAGAATGCTCGCGCTCCACCTGCAATGACCTGGGGAGCCAAACCCCAGTGAGGCTTGCATCGCGCAGAACCCAGACCGATTGCCAGCAATAGACTGAAAGCCGCCGCGAACGAAGCGATAATCATGCACGCGCGCATAATTTGGAGGAAATTGAGCGATTCCGTGTCCACAAACGTCTCGTTCACTGCGCAACGCGAGCGATGGGTGATGTTGGATATTTTGGTCCAACGAACATGGTTTTTTTTCCCAGCATAGGATGTGTAGGTAAGTGGGATGGAACAACAATCACCAGAATCATGCTGGGAAAAAAACAACTCACAAGCTCCGCAGTAATTCGTCGACGTGTAGCACACCGTCCAGATGCCCATGTTAATGTCGTCCGACACTTGGAACCAATGCGGAGTGATGGTTGCAATCAGAACGAGCGACAGCTCAATCGCCGACAATGCGCTGGCCGCTGCGCCGCAAATCTGGCGACAGCGGCGAAGTCTCGGAGCAATGCCCGATGCGCTCCCACCGCCGCCGCCGCCACCAGCCGGGCTGCTAAAGTCAACGACGCCACTGGGCTTTGCGTCATACCCGCCGCCGCTGTAGTCGGCCGGCAGCGCAGACGGCGGTCTTGGGATGGGTCGTTTCGGAGCTGTGGTTTGCGGCCAGCGCATTCGAGGCGGCATCTCGCTCTCGTCCAGTGCCTCTGCATCATCGTCCATCTGCAAGCGCGAGCACAAGTCGCGGGACGTGTGTTTTGAAATTTCAGTCAACAAAGATGATCGAGGCGAAAAGTGCAAAAAAAGTCAAAAAGTTAAAATTTGTGTGTTTGTTTTCTCACCAAAAGCAAATTGTTGGTTGACATGTTCAAATGTGGAAAACTGAGTTTTTGTCAACCGTCCAAAAAATGGAGGACTGTCAACGAAACTGTACACAATGGCGGAAATACAAATAAAGAAACAAAAGACCTCAACTGTTGACAAAAACAACAAAAAGAGCGTTGATTCAAGCGAACACTTTGTACATTTCACAAGAAGGAACATTGAATCAAAACAACTACGAGTGCTGCTGCTGCTCCTGCTGCTACTGCTGCTGGTACTGTTGGTGGAGGCCAGAATCGCGACGCAACGAAGAGGCTCGGCGGAGCGCTTTGTAGGTCTCGGAGACGCGATGCCGGTGGCGGTAGAGATTGTCTTGCAAGGCGTGAACAACTCGGAGTTGGGTTTGCACACGCTTGGTGCTTCGGAACCACAGCTTGCGCCACTGACTGCCCTCCGCGTCTTTCGTGGGAGGCTTGCGGCCGATGCTCAGTCGCTTGGGCAGGATGCCGACAGGAATCCAGCTGATCAGCGCTCCCACGGGCAAAACAAAGAGCGCCAGCACGATGCAAAAGCCCCACTGCATGCCCGTCAGAGGCGTGACAGAGAAGGCGCGGCCGCCAAACTCGACAATAATGACCTGCATGGCCAGCTCGCCGGCGAGAATCACGAGGAAGAGCCAGTTGTTGAAGCAGTGCTTGAACGGGTTGTGCTCGTTGTGAATGTGGCGGGCGTTGATCTGGTTGAGAATCTGCGACAGCACAAAGACATTAAAGACGATCGTAAAGTGCTGCGTGGGTGGGGCGTGGTCGTCACTGTTGTCTCGGCCGTTGGGAATGTCGAGAATCTTGTCGCCGACAAAAATGAGCGTAAACATGACGCCCAGCTGGTACAGCGAATGGAACAGAATGTTGCGAAGCATGATGCGGCTGATCAGCGCCTTGTTTCTGCCGTACGGCTGGCGTTTCAAGAGGTCTTCGGACGGCGGCTCGGTGGCCAGGGCGAGCGAGGCGAGCGAGTCCATCAGCAGGTTGACCCAGAGCAGCTGGATGGCCGTCAAGGCACTCTTTTCAATGATGATGGCAGACAGGGTGGCAGTGATGATGGCGACCAAGTTCACCGTGAGCTGGAACTGGATGAACTTGGCAATCGAGTCGTACACGTTGCGGCCCCACATGACGGCCTTGACAATGCTGTTAAAGTTGTCGTCCATCAGAATAATATCGGACGCGTCCTTGGCCACGGTCGTTCCAGAAATTCCCATGGCAAAGCCCACGTCGGCACGTTTGAGAGCGGGCGAATCGTTCGTGCCGTCGCCCGTCACAGCCACCACCTCGGGATTGGTGTTGAGTCGACTACCGAGCAGGCCAGAGACAAGCGTGTACTTGTCCTGCGGAGACGAGCGAGCCATGACTCGCAAGTGAGGCCAAATTCGATCAAACTCGGCTTGGATGATGTTGCCGCTTGCGTCAAGCACTCGGCGGCGGAACTCGGGGCCTTCGATGCACACCGGTGGGCCATTGTCCGGCTGGTGGGACGCGCTTTCAAACGTGTTGTACTGGCCGAATGTGCCTGCGTGCTGGTGGAGGTGTCCTTGGGCCCGGCGAAGGAGTCGGGACTGAGGTGAGGCTCGAGCCGAGTTGTTATCGTCGTCGTCGTCGTCGTCGTCGTCGGCTGCGTCATACTCGCTAATATCACCAGTGGCCGAGCTGTCATCAGGGTGAAGCTGATTCCGAGTGTGCTCGTTGATTGGAACAGCAACCGAGCCATCGGCATGAGTAGAGCCCGGCGCAGGTGGGAGAATGCCACACTTGCGCGCAATCGACACCGCCGTTGTCAAGTTATCGCCAGTAACCATGCGGACAGTAATTCCAGCACGCTGGCACTTGGCAATGGCTGCCGGCACCTCCGGACGGACGGGATCTTCAATACCGACGATGGCCACCAGCGACAACTGCGCCTCGAGGTCGTCGGCTTCCACCTCTTCCCACTCGTCCTCGCGATCAAAGTGACGCATGGCGATCGCCAGGGTTCGCAGACCCTCTTTGGCGTAGGTGGTGATGACTTCATTGACGAGCCGCTGCTTGATGCCGGCCGTCAGGGGCTACAAGTCGCCGTGCTTGTCCACGTACGTGTCGCAAAGCTCGAGCAACATTTCGGATGCACCCTTGCAGTACAGAGTAAAGCCATCCTTGCTGTCGCTGTGCGGTTGGCCAGCGCAGATTGCGCTCATGCGCTTGCGAGCGGACGAGAATGTCAGCACACGCCGCGGGTGGTGCGCTTCGCGAATATCGCGGTAGTTGAAACCCATGCGGTGGGAGAAGGAGAGAAGAGCACACTCGGTCTTGTTGCCAATATGCTGCTCCTCGAGATGTGCGCCAGAGTCGCTGCTGGACGGATGGGTCGGGATGGGAACTTCCGTGTTGCTGTAGCTGCGGAAATGGGACAGCAAGGACGGCGCTGCAGCGTGTAGGTTGTTGTTCCGGGCAGGGTTTTCCGAGGCATCGAGTCGACCAAACTTGACGTCCGCGGTCGAGTTGACGGCGACAGCAGTCGAGAAGAGTCTGGCGAGCACATTCCCGGCCGCGTGCTGACTCGTGCTCGCCGCAGCTGCTGGTGAAGAAGAAGAGGCACCCGGGTCACGCGAAGCGGACGCGCCAAATTCGTTGTCGGCGGCCCATGACCGCATCACGGTCATCTTGTTGGTCGTCAAGGTACCAGTCTTGTCGGAACAGATGGTTGTCGCCGAGCCCATGGTCTCGCAAGCATCCAGATGTCGAACGAGATTGTTGTCCTTGAGCATTTTGCGCACACTGAATGCAAGCGCGAGCGTGACGGCGAGAGGCAGTCCCTGGAAACGAGAATAGTGCAGCAAAACACAACCCACAAAAAACAATTGATCAATTCCAAATGATCTGGTTTTGCGGCCCACCACTTTACAACAACCGCAAACCCCCGCCATACCTCAGGAACAGCCACGACTAGAATAGTAATGCCAACAATGAAAAAGTCCAGGTAGCGTGAAATGTAGTCGTTGGACCAGGAGCGCTTGTCAATGGCGAACGTCTCGATGGTAAACCGCAGCGTCAGCACCAGCCATACCACGATGGCCATGACGATGCCCAGCTTGCCGATTTGGACTGCAAGGCGTTCCAACTTTGCCTGGAGAACAGACCTTTGCGAATCTTCGTGCGCCTTCTTGGCCTCTTGTTTTGCCTTTTTCATCTTGCGCTTGTTGCGCCAGCGAGCCCACCATGATTGGTGAACAGCCTCCGCCTGCTGCGGCTGCTGGCGGCGCTCCTGGAATGGCGTCGGCTCGTCGTCGTCCTCGTCGGAGGAATCAGAGTCGGACGATTCGTCAGAAGGTTGGTCTTCGGCACGAACGGCCGTGTACCGCTGGGGCTGGTTGCTCGCCTGGGTGGCGTGGGTCCGGGCTTTGCCTTTCGAGCCATGCACCAGCGCTGTGATAATGCCTGCCTGGGAATTGGCACCCACGGCAATCACCAGCATGCGACCGAGACCCTCCATGACCTTGGTGCCAGACAGCAGGAAGGGGTGGTCGCCCTCAGACTTGCGGATGAGATCGGACTCGCCCGTAAGAGCGCTCTCGTCAATCTTCATGTCGCTCGCGTCAAAGAGAATGCCATCGGCCGGCAGAATGTCGCCGACTTCCAGGCGGACAACGTCGCCAACCACGAGTTGCTTGATGGACACGGTCGTCTTTTCGCCATTGCGGATGACCTTGATCTGGACATCCTCGTTCACCGAGTTGAGTTTACGGAATTGGCGTTCCTTCTGGTAGTCGTTGCCGGCGGTGACAAGGACGACAATCAGCACGGCGAGCAGAATGGATGCACCCTCGATCCAGTCAATCGACGGGTCGGATTCGATCGTTGCGCCCAGCACCAGCGACACTGTGCCGGAAATCAGCAAGACAATCAATGTCAAATCATGCAGGGCCTCCCAGACGAGCGCCAGAAACGACTTGGGTGGCTTTGGCTCGACAAAGTTCTTGCCAAAATCGCGGCGGCGGCGTTCCAATTCCTCGTCATCGCCAGCCAGGCCCGATTCGAGCGACGGGACTCCGAGGCTCGAGGCAATGCCCTGGACACCTCCGTAGCTCGAGCGCAGCATTTCCGGGGCGTCTGGCTCGCCGTGCGCTTGCATGATTTCGGCCAAGGTTGAGACGTTGACAGGCGCAGATGCGGCTCGCCCAGGGGCCACAGGAGGAGCGCCAGGTCTAGGTGTTGCTGCTGTTGCTGCTGTTGCATTCGTGGCTGAGGTTGTACTGTGCTGTGGTAGATTTGCGCGGACGGCGGCGTCAATGTACGCGCGTGTACTGTTTGCCGGCGTCGCAGTGGTCGATCCAAGAATGCTGTCGCTCAGTGACGTCGAATTCTGCGCCTGCAGCAACGGGTTGTTGGCCTGTGCTTCTGCGACAGCCACCTCGAAATGTTGGCGCTGAGCAGACATGCCTGGCTGGTAGGACCCGGCGCCCACCAGCTGCTGCTGCTGCTGCTGCTGCTGCAATGTTGGACCCTGCGACGGCGTTGAAGTTTCGGAAAAGGATGAACGCGAATGCCGACCACCGCCGCGTCGCAGTTTACGACCTCCCGCCATGTTGAGTTCTTTTTTATTGGTTTCTTTGACGAATCAGTAGCACAAAGTGGATGGCAAAAGGGGGAGGGGAAAACGGAAGGGGGGCGAGAGAGAGAGGGAGAGAGAGAATGGAGAAAAACGGAAAGGAACGAAGGAGCTCAGAAATATTCCAAGGAGAACAGAAACAAAAAAAGAGAGTGCGGTGATGAAAAATTCATGGGGTTTGAATCCTACTTTAATCTGCGGTTCATTCCGTTCACTCGTCAAAAGATTGGTTAAAAAGTGCGTTTCAATTGGGATTGCAGCTCGAGGTTCTGAGGAACCCAACACAAGACACTAAAGCAACCCTGGTTTTTGCTATTCACAACTTGAGCTTTTGCTTGACTTCGTCCTTCTCTTCCTTGAAGGAAAAGTTGGCAATAATGACCGAGTCGAACTTGTCCTTGTCCGAAATGTGGGGATACGACACCACAGCAGCCTCCACCTTGGCGCCAGAGTAAGCTTGTGTGTTGATGAATGCCTTGACCTGCTCGAGCGTAATGTAGAGCGAGAGCGAGAGAAAGAAGGTGGAGGAGGACGAAAACGAAAATTTGAGCAAAAGTGAATGATTGCTTCAACAACGCAGCAACGTGCCATGGGAGTGGAATCAAACCGAATGATCGATCGTATTGCGATCTCAATGTCAACGTGTATCGAATGGGAACGCGGAAGCACGCCGATCAATGTGCATTCAGCAACAGCTCGAGGAAAATTGCCAAAAACGCGGGCTGTCCTCAGCAGTGTCCGCGCAACCTCGCTGAATCTCAATCACTAGCTGTTTTTTTTTTCGTCTTTGCTGAACCCTGTTCGATCCGCACACATCGGAGGCTCATCACGTCCAAAATGATTGTTTGGACGAAGATTGCAAATCCTGAACGGCGCTTTTCTGTTGTCGTTGGACGACACGCCGTAACGACGCCTCTCAAGTGATTTCACTCCAACTCAGCAAAGGAGGCCGGGTTGTAGCCGAGTGGTAGTGGTGGTGGTAGCGCTGCAGGGACCTGGACAAATCTGACCTGAGCGCACGTAACGGACGTCTCCTCGACGGCCTGGCGCAGCAGTCGCAGACGGTCGCGATCCTGCCTCAAGTTGGTCATCTGGTCAATCAGATGCTTGAAATCGAGTTCCTTGAGCTCTCCCTGTTTGAAGTTGCACCGAGCGGATTCGTTAGCAGGGCAATATCGAAATTCACAGCTTTGGCATTGTTTGGTTTTGGCTGGCTGACCTTGGACGTCATCGAGTTGCGAGTACAAAAACAACTAGAATACAAGAATGAGCTTATCAGATGCTGTCTCAATCAATTTTGGAGCGCACGTCGCTTCATGTGAGTGCTCAAACCGCTGATCAGCAGCAGCGGTTTCCGTGCATTTTCGACCTCGGTCCCCTCGCTCTTGTCATGTTTGTGTCCCATACGAAAAAAATCCCCTCCGTTTCAAGCTTTATTTTGGATGGATGGGTTGTTGAGGCTGCGCTGGGATGTCCGATTGTATGAAGACGACCAGTTTTGGCTGGATTTGCATTGCACTCTTTTTTTTTTTTTTTTTTTTTCTGACTTTCGCGTAAGTTTTTTTTTTTTTTTTTTTTTTGTATGGTTGGACTGTGCGATCGGTGCTTCGACGTTGGCCACTTTGCTGCCGTCATTATCCAACTCAAACTGCACTCTTGGAGATTCTGACGACCTGGAGATGGGGACTGGCGGTCTGGGAAGCGGGGGAAGCCGAGGTGACAAAAAGTGAAAAAAACCAAAAAAAAAAAAAAAAAAAAAAGACAGGCAACGACGAGCAAGTTCTGCGCAGTGGACGCTGCAGTCCGGCCTGCCCCCCATTGACGCATGTGCCAAGCGGATGCATGCTGGAGATCCATTTGGTCTGGCTGGCCCGGCAATCCGCTGCACACACAAAGCCAGACGACCGCTCTGCGTGTTGGTCAACAGTTTCAAAAACAAAGAATGCCTTTATTATTATTTTTTATTTTATTTTTTTTATTTTGTTGACTGCTCAATGGCTGGTTCACACTTCTGCCTGTGCAGCCTGTGCGTCGATGGCTTTGTCGATGTATACGCACTACCTTGCATCAGAGCAGCACGCAGCGCACATTTCCACCTTCCTTTCGTTGTCGCTCTCGTCGTTTTCTCTCGCCTTTTTTTTTTTTTTTTTTTTTTTTTTGCTTTTTGGTGGTTTTTTTTTTTCAATGGGATTTCAAACAATGCCCTTTTTTTTTTTTTTTTTTTTTTTTTTTTTTGATGATTGTTGTTGTTTATTAGTCTGAGCAACGTTGACGACGTTCTCATTTGCCATAAAGTCCAAAAATAAGATTCGCATCACAAAAGCGACCGATACGAAATCCAAGCAACCTTCACTTTACACACTTGCACGCGCGCGCTCTCAGTTGTTTTTGAGGTCGTTTTGAAGGTCGCTCTTCTTGCACTCACCCAATCTTTAATCCTATTGATGACTCACTTGTTGGCTCGTTGGTTGCTTGTTGGATCAGATTTCGCCTGGAGTACCTGACCCGTTTGTCTTTTGCCGATTTCACACCCCGCTTGCCTGCCACCCCTTCTCTCTCTCGCTCTGGTTCTGGTTCTTCTGGTCTGCGTTTGTTCAAATGTCTGGCATGGGACATGGGTCTGCCCAGTCGCAACCGGGAGGCCAGTCGTCGGCTTTCAATCCAACCATTGGCTCAGGAGGTCCCTCTCGCTCCACCAGCACCAATGGCCTGTCGTCCCTCATGAATCAGTCCAGCGGCGCATTCCAGTACAACGATGTTGCGTCGTCGTTCGCTCCCATCCTGTCCTTGTCGCAGTCCGAAGACCTCGATTGGGCCGCTCAGCAGCAGGCATATTTGCAAGGCGGCCGCAAAGGACGGTCCATCTCCATGCGCAACCCCATCACGTCCTCAGCTGCCAGTTTGGGCCTCACATCTGCCACCTCGAACGGCGCGTTGCCACCATCCTATCTCTCGTACGGCGGTGGACTCGGGCAAGGCTTTGCGCCCTCAAACAGCCAGCTCAATCTCAGCAACAGCAATCTGACCAATTTGAATGGGACTGCCAGTAGTGCTCTCGTCACTGGCACTGGCTACTCGTCGATTTCGCCCTTTGCCTCGCAATTCGGTGCGCCTCCGCATCTTCAATTCGGCCCACAGCATGGATTAAGTCCGCATGGCCATCTCCCCGGTACTCTCGAGCCGCCTCCGACGCCAACTTACTTGACGGCGAGCAGTGGCGGCAGCAGCTCCCACAGCTCCTCCAACTCTCTGAATGTAATGGGGTCGTATCAGCCACCGCTTTCGCCTCCGTCCGCCGCCATGGCGCAGGCCCAACAACAACAATTGCAACAACAGCAACAACAGCAGCAACAACTCCAGCAACAACAACAGCAACAGTATGCACAAATGCTACAGCAACATCAGCAGCAACAGCAGCAGCAGCAGCAACTGGCGCCGTTGCACCTTTCCACCACATCTGCTGCTCAGTTCCAACAGCAGCAGCAACAACAACAGCAGCAGCAGCAGCAACCCCAACCACAGCACTCGGGCGCCACGCCACTCATCTCCATGTCGCCCGCCAGCCATTCGGCGTCGCCGTTTGGCTACTACAACAGTGGCAGCAACAGCGTCGGGCCCTACGCATCATCAGCCTCCAGCCCGATGGTCACTGCAGCGTCTGTCGCCGCGCTCGCTGCGACTGGCGGCTCCTCCAACAGCAGCAACAGCAGCAGCAGCAACAATGCCAATTCTGCCGAAGCAAGCGATTTTGTCCTGGATTCACACAAAATCCACCCCTGCGTCAATGGCCACGAGTGTCGCAAGGTCTACTGGGCGTGCTCGGGCTATCACGGCGAACGCGACCGTCGCCGAGACTGGAACAAGTTCCATTACCTGACCGATCTGTGCCCTCGCGTCGAGCGCGAAGGCACTTGTCCAGACCGTGATGCATGCAAGTACTGTCACAACATGTATGAGCAGTTGTACCACCCGCATCTGTACAAGTTCCGCTTTTGCAAGGAATACCCAGTGCCTGGATACTGCGCTCGCCGCAACTTTTGCGCATTCGCCCACTCGGACGACGAGGTCCGCACAAAGTTACTCAAGGAAGATAACTTTGCGGATCGCCGAGATTTTTTCATGTATGCCTACAAGACCTCGCTATGCCCGCTGGTTCGCAAGCACGAGTGGTCTGCCTGTCACTATGCCCACACTCCCAACGACCGCCGTCGTGACCCCCGGGAGAAGCAGTATTCGCCTGAATTGTGCACGCAATGGGAGGCGAAGGGCGTGTGCGAGCGTGGCGACGAGTGCCCCTTTGCGCACGGCCTCAAGGAGCAACTTTACCACACGCTGCGTTACAAGACAGAGCTGTGCTCAGAGTATGTCGCGCGCAAAGGTGACTCTTCATGCCCTCGTGGCCATTTGTGCGCGTACTATCACGAGCCCTCGGAACGGCGCCAGCCTTCCAATCCTCGCTCGCTCCCGGCGTTGCTTGCACCGACATCTGGCGCCACGGCCGCTGCAGCCATCCCACCCACCACTGTCACGTCGATTGTCCCGAATCACCACCATCACCACTTTGCCGGCAGCCAACCAGTTGCTGGCGCTCCAGGTGCTGTTTCGATTGTAGGCCCTGGCAGCACGAGTCCCTACCCGCAGGCGCAGCAACAGCAGCAGCAACAGCAACAACTATCATCCTTGCAACTCCAGCCACAGCAACAACAACAACAACAACAACAACAACAACAACAACAACAACAACAACAACAACAACAACAACAACAACAACAACAACAACAACAGTTGCAGCAGCCGAATCAGCAGCTCATCCCACAGCTTTTACAAGCTGCTGCTGCTGCTGCTGCTTCCGGCAACTTGCAGCCTGGCTTGCTTCCGGCGCCAGACGCGGATGCCACGCTGGACGGCCGTCGCGTGGATCGGAAGGAGCGCAAGCGTGACAAGAAGACGAAAAAGCGACTGCCTGAAGATGAGGCTGGTTTGGGCGGCATGTATTCCTCCATGCACGCCATGTCTGGGAAGCAGGCACCGCTGCCAAACCAGTACTCCGTCGGTCCCGCTGGCGACGAGTTGTCCCAATTGGGCGAGTACGATGCCAGCGGTGTCGTGGAAGGCCTGCTTGACGACAACGACGACGAAGAAACCGACTATTTCGACGACTCGTTCAGCCGCTCGCGCTCGAGCTCGGAAAGGGGCCTGCCTGGCGTGCCGGCGACAGTTGTGGACGCGTTTGGCGCGTCCGCCAGCCATATGGATCGCCGACGCTCGCTCGACCCAAACTTTTTCTCGTCGCTCGTTGTTGGCGCGCCTGTAGCATCGCAGTCCCTTTTCTCCACCGCAACCTCGTCCGCCCGATTGCCCACTCCAACCCATGCCCATCAGCAGCCGCTGGCCCCGCAGAGCTTTGTTGGCGGCCGCCATCAGCGACTCCCTTCCCAGCCCGAGGAGCAGCCGTCTTCCCTCGGCTTTGGCGAAGTGCCGTCGTCGCTTGATCTGCGTGTTGGCGAGCTGGCGACAATGTCGCTTCTTGTCCAGTCGGAAATGGACCGTCTCCAGGCTGTTCGCGACCTTGCACTCACGACCAACTGCAGCGCTTTGGTCGTGTGCTGCCGAGACGCGCGCCAAGTGAACGTTCTGCAGTCGGCCGTGATGGACGCGTTTGCTGTCGCTGGTAGCCGACGTGCCGCCGTCTTTCACGCGCACGAGCTCAACACGCCAACGGATTGCAAAGAGCAAATGGACGCCTTCCAACGCGCTGTCGACGCCATTTCGACTGGTGCCTCTTCGACCATGGCTGTCTTTGTGACCAGCGTCAACTTTCCCCGCACCCTGGCGACCATTCCGTTGCTCTTGGTCAGTTTCGAGCATCCGTTTGGCATGGAGCACTTGTTTGGCCCGCCCGGCCTCCTTCCGCGTACAGACGGCGGTCGGCATGCTGTTCTTGTCCACGTGTTGGTGTCTGACATTGCCACGGAGCTGGTTCTCGGCGATGGCCGCGCAAACGGCAACGGAACGGTCGAGTTTGACGCTCTGCCCACGGCTTTGGCCTCGCTGTTCCCATCGTTCGACACGACGTCGTCGTCGTCGTCGTCGTCTGGCTCTAGCGTCTCCGGCGCTGCTGGAACAATCGCAACAGTTCCGCTCCTCGGTGTTTCGACCGTTCGCGAGCAGGTCCGACGCTTGAGTTCGCGGGTGGCGGAACCCGGTACGCACGCGACCGTCGTGCTCCGCTCGACCCGAGCTGCTCACAACGCCCCGCCGCTCCAGCAGCTGTCCTCTGCTCAGCTGCACCTGCGCAGCAAACTTGCTCTGCTCGACCCGTTGGACGTGACGCTCGACTTGAAGCGTGTTGCTGTGGCATCGCTCGGTGCTGGCGGCTTGCTGGGTGTCGACTTTGGCGCCACGCTTGCCAACCAGTCGGATGTGAATGGTGCATGTGTTTTGGCTGGCTGGCTTGACACACAACCTCAGTTGGCCGAGTCTGGCGCCGGCGATTCGGCACCTTCATGGCAACCCTGCTCGGTTCTCGTCCGTTCGCACCTCTCTCCCGCTCAAGCAGGCCAACAGCTGCGTCTGCTGCATGCGTTGCGACGGGCCGACCGCCAGTTCAGTCTGCAGGCCGCTGCCGCCGTGCGTATTCAGTACGAGTCTCGCCTCACCCCGCGCGAGTCGGATCCGCAGCAAGGCGCCGTTCTTGCGGTCGGTCCTTCGTCGTGGGCCACCCTGGCAGATGTCCTTTGCGGCAACGCCGACGCGCTGATTTGGCCCAATGCTGCGGCGCTCGTGACGGCGACGGTCGCGGCAGTCTCGAACGCGGGCTTGCAGGCACTGCAGAATGACGCGCTCGCCCTCAAGCCTGCCGTGGCGTGCGCGCTTTGTCGCTCTCCCTTCCGTCAGCTGGACGGCAACTCGCGACCTGCGCGACTGGCCGACTTAACCCGTGGCTGCACACACGTCTTCCACCTGGACTGTCTGGCGCGTGCGACCGAGGCCGACCCCGCGTTCCAATGCTTTTGCGAGCGTCTGTGGCAACCGAGCGTCCAGCCTGTCGTGGATGCACTGATCCTCTCTACTCATGCTGGCTCTGGCGCCGCTGCCGCTTCCGTGCCCGGGGGAAGCGTGGACTTTGCCGCCACGGCTCTCGGCGTTTCGTTCGCCAAGGACATTGTTCGCCGGCTCTTGCATCTGGTCGATTCGCTCAACGCTGAATCTCACGCCTCGTTGCTTGGACAGCTGCCAGCATCCCGTGTGCTGTTCACCGCAGCTGGAAGCGCCGATTCTGCCGTTCTCGGCCGGCCGTGGTTTGACCTGACGAGCGCCACGTTTAGTGATGACTTTTCAGCCGAAGGACGTATCATGGCCGAGGCCAGCGACGTTTCGGCTGCTGGGTGGATTGCGGCAGCCGTCTTGGCTCGCGATGCCTCCTTGGCCAACAGCACAGGCCAGCATCCGACGTTGATGGCGCAGAAGCGTGTCAAAGCTGGACACCTCGCCCAAGCGCTGCTTCGTTCTCGAGAGCTTGCGGCAGTTGATTTCCTCGAGCAGCTTTTGCCCAGCGTCGCAGTGTGCTCTGTCGCGCAAGCGCAGGCCCATCCGTTCCTGTGGACTGCCTCAACCACGCTTGCCTTTTTGGACGCGCTGGCGACGTTCGCCATGGTGCATACTGCAGCCCTGCAGCGCGAGATTGGACGATACAACACGCACCACCATCTGCACCACCACCACGCGCTGAACGCCTCTCACCACCCCCGCGTGCGGGCAATGGGTGCTTCCCCTGCAGCATTCATGCTCGAGTCTCTCCAACTCTCGGTGTCGAGCAGCAGTCCCTCCGGAGATTGGCGCGATTTGATCGACCGCTCGCTGCTCAGATGGCTCGAAGCCACTGGAGGCGCTGGCAGCCCAAACGGCTCTGGTGCCCACCACGAAGGACACGGTTTCCCGGATTCGTCCATTCTCGATTTGCTCGTTTCCATCCGACTCATTCGTCGCGATTTGGTGGACGTTGTGGCGCTTCTGGAAAGCCCGACTCCCTCGCGAAACGGCGCAACCACCGCAAAGCACGGCGGCGCAGGTGCTGCAAGTAGCACTGGCAATGCTCCTGGAGAGCTGCAGCCGGTGCCGACCGATGCCTGGCTGTGCCAACAAATCCAGGCCTGGTTCCCGCGGCTCGTCATGGACGGCTGCAAGCTGGTCCTCCGAAACGCTGACGCCGTTGTTCACTTCCACTCGCTGCCCGAGCTGGCGCACGTTTCCCGCTTCTTTGAGCGTGGCTGCTGGACGACCGCGGCCATTGGCGAGACGTTTGCCGCGTCGTCAGCGTTTGACAGCTCTGCGTTGCACCGTAGCACTTCGCGAGGCTCGGTGCGTTCTGCCTTGGACGCGTTTTCGCCCACTGCCGCTGGATCAGCAGTTGGCGCAGCGATTGGCGTGCCCAGCCCTGCCCCAATCGGCGGTATGTCCTATGCCAGCTCTGTGATTGGAGGAACTCGGCAAAAGTAGAGTGGACGCGCTCCCCTTTTTGGTTTCCAGCATTCTATCCTTGTTCTTTTCTTTCCCCCTCCCCCTCCCCCATCTTTATCACTGTCTTTTTCATCATCTTCCGCTCATTCGTTTTGATTCAGAATTGTTTGATTGCTATTGCAAGACTTGTCTTGTTCTTTTTGTGTGTGAGTGTGCTTTTCCGACTTTTCGGTTTGCTTTCCACTGATTCGTTCACCCTTAACCTTTTACATTGCACCCCGGGCGGTGTGCTTTCATCTTTCATGTCATCTCTTGGATTATCCCATTTTGTTTGTTTTTGTTGTGTGGTGTTTGTTTTTTGGTTGATGCAAAATGTGTTATTTTTGATCAGTTTTTCATCGCGAATAAAATCAAGTATCGATTCTACAAACAAAAGGCAACAAGTCAACAACGAGCGCACACACACACACACACACATCAAGCACACCAACACTCTGTTGCTTGCGTGCTCAGCTGCTGAGTGAATAATGCTCCAACCGACGTTTCGGTGTTTCTCAGCAGCCGCCTCGCAATGCCAAGACGAGGTGCAGCACTGATCCACCAGCAATCTTGTACTCTGCCGCCGTCTTGTCGTCGTTCATCTGCTTGCCTCCAAAGATCAGACGCTGCTGTGCTGGCGGGATGCCTTCCTTCTCCTCGACGCGCTCCTTGATGCGATCGACGCGGTCGGTCGGCTCAATGTCAATCTCGATTTCCTTGCCCGTGAGGGTCTGTTATTGTTTTCGAAAATCAAGTGTATGAAAGGTTAGTGTTTGAGTTTGATGGTGAGTTGATGGTGAGTGATGGAGTGTGTGCTGCGAGCACAGCGACAATGCTGGAAAAGAAGGTCGGGTGACGGCGAAGCACCGACCGACCAAACGGGCTAATCCAGTTGATGTCTTGTGCATGGATGTCATTGTGGTTGCACAGGGGACAGGGTAGCAGGAGCAGCAGCAGCAGCAGTGGGGCGTCTGAGTGGTCCTCGTCAGCCAACAAAGAGCCAAAGCTTCGCCAGCTGCCACTGTCCCACCTTCCACCTTCCGATTCAACTGCCGATCGTGATGGCCACGCCGCAACGACGACCAGACCATTGGCAAGTTCAAACGAGCGACGACCAGTTTTGCTTTGGCGGGAAAAAGAAAAGAAAAAGCTGTCTCAGTGATAAAAAAAAAAGTTGCATTGGCAAGACGCAGCAAAAAGGAAGGGAGTTCTCGCTTGTCAGGGCGAAGAAGAGAAGGGCGAGGATGGTAGTTGAAGAGTGGAGGCGGTTGGAGGGAGAGGAAGGGAGAGGAAGGGAGAGAGAGGAGAAAGAACAATGAAAAAACTCAATGGAAATGCATTGGGGAAACAAAAGCGTAATGCAAACTCAATGAAAACGGACTTTGACTTTGATCAGCATTTTGTGGCAAGAAAATGGGAAGAGTGAACCCCGGCCAAAGTAAGTAGCGCTGCGATTGGTTATTGGATCAGAAGGGCTTTGCTGGCTCTTGCTAAAGAATCCTGTAGTATGGCAGATCTGGTTGTGGGGTTTTTGTTGGAGGCGAAAGAACGAGGGGAAAGAGCTCAAAGTTCGAAAAAGCTTGAGGCAGTAGATCGAGATCCATGACGGCAGTGCATCGCGTTTGAGAACAAGCATTCAAGAGCAGTGCAAAGAGGATTTGAGACGGACTTTGGTGAGGGTTGGGGGCAAGGCGAAGGAGGGCGGTGGCAACGAGAAAATCTCCAAACTTGTGTGTGATCTTCATGGGTGAATTCGCGTTGACGGCGATTGGTTGCATGTGTGCTGCGTTCGATCTAATTCACACATGTCCTTGACTCAAGGCTTGAAAACCACAAGATTCACTAGAATCGCAGTTTGTGCCACCTGTGAATTGTTGTTGTTGTTTTGTTGCGAGGCAAGTTCTCGCACTCGGATCGAATTTGTTAGGTGTTTGCAGCTCGCATACTTTATCTGCTTTTCCCTCGACAAAAGCTGTTGCTGCTGCTCCTGCTGCTCCTGCTGCTGCTGCTCTTTCGTCACAGATCTGGTGAGAGACTCAAGCCCCACAAAACACTCGTTGCTGGATGCTGCGGGTTGGCTCCTGTGTCACACCGTCCGGTTGAGGAAAAAAAACAACCTCAAAAAATGTGCAAATAAACACAACAAAACTCCTTAAATTGTTAAGGTCGATTCCTCAGTCCCTATTTCCAACAGCATCGTCATCATCATCATCATCATCATCACCATCATCCCAAACACAGCAACAACCATGTCTGGAACTGCAGCAACAGCAAGTGGATGCCCAGTGGCCCACCACGGCATGCGCTCCAACGGCGCCGTCTGCCCGGTGACGGGAATTTCGAGCGGCTCGGCTGACGATTCGCCGCGCAGCCGTAGCCGCTCGGGCTCCATTTCATCCACCAGCTCGGGTCAGTCGCAGGGCTCGCAACTGTCGTCGTCGGCGTCGGTGCTGTCGGCGCAGTCTGCGCTGAGCTCGCGCTCGGCCTCGAGCGGAATGAGCGGCGAATTCGGCGAAAGCTTCTCGACTCAGATGGTCGACCTCCTCCGCCACGAAACGCGCGACGTGATCAAGAGCACCTGGGCGCTTGCCATCCAGAAGCAAGACGAGGCCGATGTGACGCCCGTCGCCACGTTCGTGAATGTCTTTTTCGGCAAGCTGTTTGAGCTGTGCCCCGAAACGCGTCTCGTGTTTGGCCAAGATCTGTCGCTCCAGGGCAAGTCGCTCAGCTCCGTCCTCACCGGCATGCTCGAGTTTGTCGTTCACCCCAAGAAGCTCACAACTCAGGTAGGTGACGGCACTTTTTCTTCGCACTCTTCTGCATCCACTGAGAGGCTGAAATAGAGGGGGGAAGGGAAGGTGGGAAGAGTCAAGGGAGGTGTTTGTTTCTGTTTTATTCTTCTTTGTTATTTTTTCTGTTTTATTCTTCCTCCGCTTTGTGTGCGTATCCCTGTGCATGCGGCTTCTGTCGTTTCAGCATCTCGCTGGAGAACGAGAGATTGTGCGAGTGAGAGAGCCCTGTCTGGCTGTTGTAATCTACTTTTGGACCGTGGGAAAATCTGCAAAGTGTCGCGTGCAAATCCAAAACATCCAAACTCGTTAGCAAAACACTCGCCAGAATTGGAAAGGGATGAAGGGTGAGGTGTCACTCCGCCCCTTTTCCCCCAATTTATCCAAAAAAGAAAGCCCAACGCGCTCTTCAATCTTCAGAAGAGGATATGAGGAAGGCTTCCTCCGCTTGATACATTGCACTTGGCAAGAGCTCGATGGAAACGAGGAGGGAGAGCGAGAGAGAGAGAGAGAGAGAGAGAGAGAGAGAGAGAGAGAGAGAGAGAGAGAGAGAGAGAGAGAGCGAACATGCACTTAGAGCGAAACAAAACAAAACAAGCTAATAAACCACCTTCCTCGCACTTCGATTTCTCTCCGCGACTGTTGATGCTGCTTGTTTTATTATTGCGGAATGTTGTTTTTGGAATGTTTGTCAGTCGCACGGAAACAACCGCAACCCGCAATTCAAAAACCCCAAAAACACAAAAACAAAGTATTCGCTTTCGTCCCTTTTTTTGGATGATCTCGCGCATCAAAAAAATCACCATGATCATTCTTTTAAAAACACCCATCGTCACTCAAAATGCACCCAAATCATCGTCATCTTGCAGTGAATCTCTTCATTCCGCGATACGCTGTTTTAACTCACCGTCTAAAACCCACACGCAAAACAAAAAAACTGCCTAAAAACACAAACTCGCTCGCAGGTCAAATCCCTCGCCGTCAAGCACGTTGGGCTCGGCATCACCCCAGACATGTTTGACGCGTTTGGCGCAGCGCTGGTGTACACTATCAAGACACGCATTGGCAAGGTCTGGTCGCCTCAGACCGAGCGTGTGTGGGTGGACGCGTATGGAGGCGTGAACAACATTATCACTCAGCAAATGAGCCGCGTTACGCTCAACTCGCAAGACATTCCGCCGTGGATGATTCAGCGATACCAAGAACACCATGCCGTGCTGCATGCCTCCTGGGTCAAGGCCACCGAGGGTGACAATGGCGATGCCGTTCTGACCGGCTTCCTGGTGCGCTTGCAATCCAACAACCCGCAAGCCACGCTGATCTATGAGCGTGCCGATCCCCGCATGCGCAAGGTCATCATCTGGACGGCTGTGAGCAAGATCTTGGACTGCATGCAAAACCCGCGCTCGCTCCGCAAGGAACTCAAGCCGCTCGGACAGTCTCATGCCAAGATGGGCGTCACTGGTCCGATGCTCGACTCGTTCGGCGTTGCTCTCCGCGCCGTATTGAAGGACGTCCTCAAGGCTCGGTACACGACAGAGACGGATATGGTTTGGCGACGCTGCTACCGCCTCTTCTCTGTCCAATTCCTCGCCAGCATCGAGGCCGAATCCAAGGGAAAGGGCGTTGGCAAGTCCTGCGGGATGCAATGAGCGTGCTTCCAAGTTGGTGTGCGCACATGTTACATGCAGATAGTTTTTTGCGCGTGTTTGTAAATGGTTTTTTTTCTATTGTGAAGGTTTGTCGATTTACGTTTTTACGACTATTTGTCTCTGATTGTGCTGATGATGCTTCTCCTCTGCTCACTGGTTTGTGATTGCTTTCCGTTTCTTGACTTGCGATTGAACGATGTACACAAAAATACAAGGATGTTTATGGTTGACAGAGGCGAATGATGACTGATGCGACTGATGCGATTGATGATCAAATTGGATGGGTACCCAGTTGAAATCGCCTGACCCTGACTATAACGAAAATCGTACACGCCGCTTAAAGCTGACACAGCTAGGAGGCGAGCTGAGCCTGTCGTGGAGGCTGGGCTGGTTTGACAGGTTGCGCGTCAGCGGTGACCTTGGCTGCAGCCGCGTCGACCTCACTTGCAACGTTGGCGGCACTCGCTTGTGAGTTCAAGGCCGTTGATGCAGCAGGTACTGGAGGATCTTGGGCAGCAGTAGTCGCAGGCTCGACGCTGAGGGCAGCGAGTTCGCGCTCCAATTCGTCCATGTCAATGTTGTCGTGGTTTCCGCCTATGTTTCCACCTTTCAAAAAAATGAGTATTCTCGACTCCCTTCGACTTCAACGACATGACCCCAATCTGCATACCTGATTGGAGCGCAGAATCGATTTCCGCCTGCTCGTCCAACACATCCTGCAAATCCATCATAGTTGCGTCAATCTTGTCCACATCGAGGCCAAAAGCCTTTCGGACGTCACGAATGACATCCACGGAAGCGACATACGAGCGCATGATCTGAACAGCAAAGCGTAAAAAAACAAGAAATCATGAGCTGCACGACCGGCATCTTGGTTGTTCCGCACTGAAAGGAGAAGAACATACCTCGCGCTGAACTTCCAAATTCTGAATCTCTAGTAGAATCTTTTCAATGTTATGAAGGGCGCTGTGCTGCTGCTCAAGCTTGACTTCAAGCTCGCGCTTCAGCTTGACGCATCGCAGTGCTTCGTTCCGCTTTGTGGTCGCAAGCGCGAGCGCCTTAGATTTGAACCTGGAATCAAACAATCGTCAGCAAGTGTCCAGCGTCAAGAATACAGCATGAAAATCGCATACTCATCAATTCGTGATTGAAGGTCTTGAATGTGTTTCACTAGGAGAGACTGGGCGTATTTAATCGACCCAATTTTGACATCCGTGTCTTCGAACGACCCGATCTGTGTCGATATCTTGATAACCTACCATACAACCATCATCAGAACGCCCAACGAGAATGAGCTCGGTCGACAAAACGGGTCTCGCGCTCGAGCAAAAACAACAAAACGCCGCTCGCACCTTTTCGTTGCTTCCAGGCAGCTGTCGAATGCTAGCGTTTCCCATACGCTCGAGCTGACGCAAGACGAGACGCGCGTCGTCTGGAGACGCCAAGCCGCTTAGTTGGGCGCATTCTTTCAGAAATTCTGATTCCAGGAGCACGTTGTCGGTGATGGCATGCAGCGCATTTTCTTGATGCCGCAGCAGCATTTTCTCTGCCAAGGACTGCAATGGATTTGACGACAAAAGGACGCTCAGTTTTGGCCTTTGGGTGTCACGTCACGCCGCGCTTTGACAACGTCAAGAAACGTACTTTCAGCGGGTTTAGCAGCACGTATTCCTCCTGTGTCTTGGGCCCCAGCCACCGATCGCGCAACGGCGATAGTACTGGCGATGCTGTCAAAATTCTTGCCGCTGCAAACTGAGCTACGCGGGCAAAGATGGACGAGGATTCACTGAACGACTTGCGCGTCATGATCAAGCCCTGCTTCTCCATGTGTTCCTACCGTGAAAACAACAGACGGTCGCGTTAGTCAATACAATCTTGATCATACTATTTGTTGTTACCGGCATCAACTAATAAGCTGTGTGTGTGTGTGTGCTCTCAGCCAATCTCAGCAGCAACGCCTTACAAGCACTTGTCCGAGGCACTGTGGCGCGCTGCCGCTGCCGCTGCCCTGCTGTGTGAACTGGTCTGCGAGGGTGCGTTCGCGCACTCTGAGGCTGGCCTGCCTGGAGCCCGCGACGGCCGGGTCTGCGCTCGCCTCGATCAGCGCCGTCCAGAAGGCCATGCGCGCGTCCCACTCGCCGGGGTCGTCCTCGCGCGTCGGTCGAAACCCAGCACGCATGCGGCTCGTAAACTGGTGGTCGAGCCAGCGCGGGTCTGCGCGCTCCCAATGCGAGGCACTCGTGGCTGGGTGCTGCTTGTCAAACAGGTCCATTTGTTTCTGAGGGATTTTGATGACTGAGATGAGAACGCCTGCCCCAATACAATAGCGATCAAGCATTCACTACAGTAATCTATTGTACTATAGTACAGCATGAATGTGAGCGCGCAGTCTTCAAAATGCATTGGAAGGCGAATCCCAATCTGATGCTGCGGCAACGACCAGTCGTCCATCGAATGACCGCCAACCATTGTCATCATCATCATCATGATCATCGTCAGAGTCGCTCTGCACTGTTTGTGACAGTCTGCGTCATCATCATTGCGACGACCATTGCGCTGGCGACCGCTGCTCAATCTCACGCTCAACCAGAATCGCCATCCAACGCTCAGCCCAACACCCAGGCGCAGTCCATCTTTGAAAAGGACGACGCAGACAACAGGTACAACCAGAAGCCAGGCTGGTTTGTGCCGAACGAGAGCGCGACGCGGTTCCATCCTGCAGCGTCCGACGATGACTGGCGCTCAATGCTGGCCTCGGTCAGGCTGCCCACGACGCTGGAGCTCGCAGGGACAGTGTTCCCGGTGCCTGCGTGGTACGACGATCTGTCGCCGCAAAAGCAAGGCCGCCCGGCAGACCCGAGCGAAGAGGTCGACGATGAGCAAGTGGCCAATGCAAGCGCCAGCAATCAAGCGACCGACTCCATCCACCCGTCAAAGTCGACGCTACAGAGTGCCAGTGATCAAGCTACAAGACGTGCATCATCCGTCGTGGAAACGACAAAAGAGCTGCCGCGAGCTCGGTTTCATCGCTTTCGTAAACTTCGCTTTGCGCCCGACAGCACGATTGTCAAGCTGCTTGGACCGCATGCCGAGGCCATCTACAACGAGCGGAGGGAAAAGACAGCCTTCTTTGTGCGGCACACAAACCCAGAGTGCGAGTTGTGCGAGATATCGCAGCCGAGCGACGTGCTGCACATGATTTCAACCCACTCGCTCGTCTACAACAAGGACCTTCGGTTTGTGATCAAGAGCAAGAATCAGTTTTATGCAGACACGTATGCCACCGCCGCTGAGGCTCTTGCAGCATTCCTGTCGGGCTCCACAATCGTTGTCAACGCGCTGCACTACTTGGATTCGCGTCTGCACGGCTTTTGCGAGCAGCTCGAGGAGAGTCTCAGTACTTTTGCCAGCGTCAACATGTACCTGTCCCCGGCCTCTGCCCAAGGGTTCAAGGCCCATCATGATCTGATGGATTCAGTCATTTTGCAAACAGCGGGATCCAAGGTGACTAGCGACGGGTCTTTCAAAAACAAAACAAAAACAAAAAAAAAGTGAAGGCTCAGGCTCACTTTTTGCTCTTCTTTGCTGGGGCCTATCGCGTAGGTTTGGCGAGTTTGCAACCCGGATTTCCAGCTTCCGAGCGATGTGAACTCGGGCAACTTTCTTCTTTCCGAACTTCGATACATGAACTGCACGGACATTTTGCTGACTCCCGGTGATGGTATAGCGTCGTAGTGTTGTGTTTGCTGTTCTTTTTTGTCTGCTTTGTTGGAGTTTTTGGAGAAAAGAGAGAGAGAGGCCAAATTTCGTGCTGAGCTGCAGATTGCTCATCATCTTTTGGGCAGTGCTCTATTTGCCGCGCGGAACCATCCACTCTCCGTATACAATCGGAAACATGTCGATGCATTTGACGTTTGGCTTATCCGCTGCCTTCCCGTGGCAAGCGGTCATGGATGACTTTATTAAAGTAAGTGGCATTTGGTTTAGGGGTTTGTTCTAGTTTGTTCGACTTGTCATCGTGACCTCATGCTGGCCCACCCTCGCCTCTTTGAAACGCAGAGCTTTGCCCACATCCCAACCGCCCTCATATCACCCAAAGTATCCATTACCCTGCCAGAGCTGCCGTCTCGTGAAGAAATTGCCCGCCATGTGCGCCGCCCGGAAATTGTTGTCGGCAAAGACTCGCTCTTCCCGGCAGAGCTGGATGAAGAGTACCAGCGCATGAGGGATAACCCGGCGCCTCCAGTCATGGAAATTAGCATGGAACGACTGCTGGTGGCTGCGTGGCAGCAGCTGATTCAAGAGCCCCAGGAGACGCTTTCGCGAAGTGCCATGCCGAGTTGGTTGCTCCACCACGAGCCCAACATGTGGCCGAGCGCAGCAAACCGCATTGCGATGCTTGAGCACTGGATGTACATTCTCGAGATGCTGGTCACTCGCGTCGAAACGCACTTTCTTCACATCAAGTACGTCTTCTTTTACCAAGCGCCGCGCAACGTCGGATTTGCGCATGCGGGCAGGTATGCCAAACCCCGCGCTTCGCAGGCCCAAATCTTTGAGACCATGGCCTATGGCGTTTGGGACTGTTCCGCGCAACAAATCATGGCCAACCGAACGCTGACGGACGACGAGCGAGCAGAGCGCGATCGGCTCACACAAGCCCTTCGCGCGTTTGTGCGAAACTACCCGCCCGCGTTGTTCTATGACGCGTTTGACAGCGCGCTGGACGGCATGCGTGAGAAAATCTCTGCGGGCTTGCTGGAGCAACGCGAAGATGTCGTGTCGAATGCACTCATCAAACGCATTTCGACGGGCACTGTGCTCAAGCGCACCCATCTGTTGGCTGGGATGGTACCAGTGCACCCACTTGCACCCGTCACCTCTGACGGTGAATTTGTGCGCACTGTCGCAAAGGAAGTTTCGGTGACGTGCAACCGCCAGATCAGCACCATTCCAAACACTCGTGTCGGCGCTTACGTGTGGGCTCTGTACATTGGACGATCGTTCTCGGTCGACGAACTTGCTCACGCAATGATTGTCACCTGGAATTTGCGCGATTTTGCGGTCAAGCACAAGGCAGCAGACCCAACCCCGCACCCGGAGCGGTGGTACTCTGAGCAAGTGCTGGCGTTGGTGGAGGCGGCGCCCAAGTCCCCTCTGACGCGCGAGCAAAGGAGCGCTGCCATTCAACTGGCTCGCAATATGGTGGCCCAGCAGGTGCTCGGCATTGAGGCGCTCAACTCGCCGCCAGTCTCCAAACAGCAAGTGGCTGAGCCTTCCGATTTTGATCAGGAACTGGTGCAGTTTATCAACACGTATTGAGCTGGCATGGTTGGTTATTTTAGTGGCCGGCTGAGGAACATTTGATTGAAATACAAGGTTGTACAAAGAAAAAAAGCACCACCGATTGTTGTTAGATTTGTCCAACATCAAGCGAATTGAATGTCACATCTTTGTATTGGTGGCTCGAACGTAACGTTGCCAGCCTGGTCGTTTGTTACCAAGCGAGCACTTTTCTTTTTTTTTTTCTTTTTTTTTCTGCTTTTTTTTTCTTTTTTTTTCTTTGTGCGAGAGTTGATGGATTGCGCTGTTCCACAAGTATCGGCAACCACACATTGCTGTTGCAAAAACAGAGTTACTTCATTTCTTGTTGATTGATGCAGTTGAAACTGAGCATGTGTACCGAAAAGACGGTCATCATTCAGCAAAAAGCACAACAGTTCCAGTTTGCACCATTTCATCCAACATTAACTACGCCTCGACTACGGCGGAGGTTGCTCAGTGGCCGATTGCTTTTGCTGCTGCTGTTGTTGTTGGCGTCGCGCCATATAAGCTGCCAGAGCTGCAGAAGGTTGGAACGAGGCTGCTGCAGAAGAGGCGGCGGGAGCTGGACCAGAGCTGGCGGCAGCGGGTTGCACTGAAGTCGTAGACCGGTTGTTGTTGTTGGTGGCGGTCAACGTTGTCAACGACGGCACAGATGGCGCTGTGGCTCCCGAGACGGAAGAAGTTGATGTCAAGCTGGAATTCGTAGAAGTTGCACGGATTGGTTCGTTCAAGCGAGATTGAAGTGAGACTGGCGCACCGGATGCAAAAGTATCCGCCGCGGGTGTGGTTGTGCTGCTGCTGCTGGCAGACACAGGACTCAGAGGCGCGAGCGCTGAGCTCTCAGGACGTTCCGATGAAGTCGCGCGCTGCGAAATACCAGGAGTGCCTGCACTTTGCTGTGTCGGTCGGAATGTCGCGTTGAAAGAGCCGCTCGTGGTGACCGTTGCTACAGTAGGAAGTGGCGTGCTGGCGCCCGAGATGGAAGACAGGGGTGAAACGGAGGAGGTAGAAGAAGCAGATACCGGACGGGAGCTGATCGGCAACGTGCGAGCGCCATCTAACAGCGAGAAAGCTGGCAATGTAGGCTTCGCTGCCGTAGAGATCGAATGTGTCAAGGACGCAGACGGACTGACATGAACTGGGGATGAGGTCGCAGGTATGGCGGCGGCAGTAGTTGGACCGCTGGTGCGAGTGGATGCAACAGCGGGTGTCGGAGCAACAATTCCCCCTGCTACTCCTGCTCCTGGCTTTGACGAAATAAGATTTGATACGACGGTTGTCTTGACTGGCACAGATGACGACCCAGAAATGGGGACACGGGCCTGAGTCGCAGTCGCTCCAATTCCCGGAATCTGGGTAGCGGGAATTTGAGGTGGTGTCGCTCGCTGTTGTTGCTGTTGTTGTTGCTGTTGTTGTTGATGTTGCTGTTGCTGTTGCTGTTGCTGTTGCTGTTGCTGTTGCTGTTGCTGTTGCTGTTGCTGTTGCTGCAGGGGTGCGGCCGGCGCCGCCTTGGATGCCTCGGTGCTGGAAGCTTGCCGCAGGGTCAGCATCATCTCGCTGTAAAACCCGTTGTAGTCCAGCAACGTGACAAGATCTGCAGTCAACATCCCATCCACAGCAAGCTCATCCATCAGCCCCAGAACCTGCGATGTGAATGTGCTTTCGAATCGCTGCAGGCTCTCCAAAAATCCCGCTTGTTGAGTCGCGAGATTTGCATGCTGCGACGCACTCTGTATCAGAGCAACGAAATGAAACAAAATGAGCAACAACAACAGCATCCGTCTTTTCTCAATCATCCTTTTTCCTCTTGTACCAAATACTGCGCGCGCCGAGAATGAGTAAGTTTGGCGAGCGCCACAGACCGGTTGCTTGAAGCAGCAGGAGCAGCGGCTGGGCGACCAGTTGCGGCTGCGGTAGAGATTTCAACGTGCAGACTGTTGCCAAACCTCACGACAAAGCCAGCAAAGATTCCTGCAATGGACAAAATTTTGCTCAGGATCTAGACAAAGAGCCAAAAAAAGAAAGAGAAACAGATTTGGTGTGAGCGACGCTTTGGCAATTGTGTGCAGCATGCGTGGATCCAACAACAAAAACGAGAACAAAAACCCACCTTCAGCAGCGTGGCATTTGTCAGCAAACAATCCAACAGACAGCCGTCGAGGAAGGCCGTGTGGGCAGTAATCACATCATCGACACTTCGCGCCTGATAGCCACCAACCACCAGCAAAAAAAATGTTCACTTGTGAGCGATTGTATCATCGACACGCAGAGCAACAAACCAACGTGTCTCACCGTGTCCATCTCCGTCTCCAGCTGTTGCCAGCGAGGCCGAATCACATCAACCACCATGTAGTGCTGATAGGGATTGATAAATGCCAGCATGCGCTGGAGCAGTGCCAGCGCAAAGGTAAATCCGCTGTTGGGCGTTGCTGCAATCTATCATTCACGAGATGAGTCGACAGGTGCTCACGCCAAATGCCTTGAAGTCATCCAAGACGTACCTGTTTGATATTTTTCAGAGCAGACCACGCCGAGAAGAGCGAGCGCTCAATCGTTTTGCAGTTGAACAGGTGGCGGAAAAGGACTTGATACTTTGTCAACGAGGTCCGACTCAACACCAGCGAGACTGGGAATTTGACGTCGGCATCAAATGCAAAGGCTTCAAATCCTGTGGCGCCAAAAAAAAACCAACAATGAGAAGAATGACAAAATCATACGCGCATAGAACACGAAAGGCTTGCCAACAAACCTTTCAGTTGCTGCTGGCTATTGTTGGCGCCCGACAAGTTGGACGTCCGATTGACTTGGCCAGTGCTGATGTCAATAATTTGGAAGAGCTAGGTGATGCCCCAAGGTGAGGGAAAAGGAAAAACGAGGAGTGAGTCACACGCAAAGTCACTGCAAATGCGTCAAAACAAATCCGAAATGCGACACATACCTGGGTAATCACATGAATCGGCTGAAGAACGCAATGAACTTGGTCAAGAAGCATGGCAGAGTGCTTGGAAGATCCAGCGCGAGCAAGTTGCGCAGCTTGTTCGTCCACACCAACGTCATTGCCGCTCTCTGCGTCAACATTATCGTCAGACTCGGTCACCCACAGTCCCGGAATGGCCCGCACGGCAATTTCAAACAAGGCATCGAGCCGAGACACGGAAACCTCGCTCGAGTTTTTGGCGAGTTCTTCCGCAGCACTGTCGGTGAACATGACAAACAGCTCGCCGCGTTGCAGAAGAAAGACATCACGAATCGCTCGCAAGCGCTGCCGCAGGCACCGCTTGTTCATGAGCAAATCCAAAAGCGCAAGACTGGCATGCTCCAACGAGACGTCAATGGCGTTCGTGTAGTCGCGCTCGGACACTGAAAATACGATTGGGCGAGACGCAGCCTCTGGAAGCGCCGGTCCTTTGCCGCCACACTCGCGCAGCACATTCAAATACTTGCCGGCGTCTAGCACGCGCCGGGCGACCGACTTTAAAAACACTGGCACATCTGCCTCGGAAAGCGTGTAGCGCGTTTCCCAGTACCGGTCATTGAACGTTGTGGTAAGCCCTTCTTTGACGACCGAGGGATCCTCGCGCACAAGAAACTCGTGCAAAGGATCGTCAATCTTGCCCTTCCAGATCCAGGCCGACAGACTGTCGAGGTAGGGCTGCGACGCCGCCGTTGCCAAAAAGAGGCACAATTCCTGGCCTTTTGAGTCACTGCAATGCACCCCCCCCCCCAATCATCATCATCATCATCATCATCATCAGCTCATCTTCAATCAAATTCAACCACAGCAACAACAACAGCAACAACAACATTCCACACGCACCCAATCATGCACAATGCGCGGTTGTGCAGCAAGGACAAGACGGCAGCACCTCGGATTTGCTGCACGTCAATGTCGGTACACAGCACTGCAGTGATTTCCATCGAACGCAGGCACGGCTGGACGAGAAACCACAGCTTTTGGAGCGAGAGATCCCCTTGCATGGCGAGGTGTTCGAGCTGCGCGACCAGCATGAGATGCTCCTGTGCCACAAAGCAAGCAAGCAAGCAAAACCGAATCAACAACCACACAGAGCATGCAGAGTAATGCGTTGACGTGAGTTTGTCCACAACGCCAGTCAACTGAGACCTTTCGCAGTTGTCGGCGGAACTCACTTTGAGTACACGTCGGAGTGCAGCACACAGCGCGTGCAAAACTCGGCCATCCTGCATGTTCATTGAATGCTCGGCAACAAACGTGCTGACGCGTTGGTAGTTGGCACAGAGCGGCAGAACGCGATCCGCGAGTTGTCGCAATGAAAAGTCCATTGCGGTGTGAACATGGTACCGCTTGGCGTCCACTGCGCCGGCGTCCACCACCGTGATAAACCGTCCATCGAGTCCCTATCAAAGTTGCATTACAAGTGAGCGTCTCCACGGCAAAGCAAGGCAAAGCAAGCCAAAGACCAAAGTGGATGGTTTTTTGGCGGGAAAACTCGACAAATCGAGCGACTCTTCCCGCCCAATGCTTTGAGACAATCGACCTCAACTCGAGCCTATCAACGCATGAGTGCTCTCGCTCACCATCATGACGTCGAGCAGGTCGTCGACGAGGGCCATCTCGCGCTGGGCGGGGGTCGCGAGGAGCCGCTCGACTGGCCCAGCGTCAGGATCATCGTGGCCACGACGATCACCCCGGGCAGCTCTGCGCGCTGCTGCTGCTGCTGTTGCTGCTGCTTGATGTTGCCCGTTCACTCCAGTGAGCGAGTGCTCGACTTGGTGGTACTGGTCGGTGATGCGATCGCGAAAGTCGTCCGCGGACTCGTTCGGGCGCCGCAGCTGCCCAGTGACGCCAACACCGGCGCCGACCATCAGCGCGCCGTGCTCGCCAGTGAGCCAGGAGGGCAGCGACAGCATCCAGCTGGAACGGGGATTCAACGGGAAACAAACAAACAAAAAAAATAGACTGAAAGCCGGTTCAATTTCGTAGTGAAGACCCGTATGCGAATTGTTTGCGTTTGAATGAAAACCACTCAGTTACTCACCCTGCTCACTCTTTGTTTTTTGGGTTTCAAAGCCTAACCTTTGTTTTTTCGTCTTTTTTTTTTTTTCTAAAACATGGCGGATACGCTTCATATTCAGGAAGGGTTTATCTGCCCGGCCTGCATGACACGGTTTGACGCTGCAGACCGCCTCCGATTGCACTACCGGCAGGAGCACTCTGCTGGTGAGCACGACCGCCACCACAGCAGTAACAATCATAATGCGGGTCAGAATAATCAGAACGGTGAAGCCGGATTTGGCGGGAATGGCGGATTTGGCGGGAATGCGAGCGGATCCCTCCGCAGCACACTCGTCCTGCCAGACCAGCCTGCCACTCCACCCGTCAACGGAGGAGCAGGCATCCAGCTGAACACAGATAGTAGCAATGGTGGTGGTGGTGGTGATCCGCCAGCGCTGAGCCACGTCGAGATTCAGGGCTACAATCCAACCGGCAGCCCCGACGCGCTCCTCGCATACGTCCTCGCTGCGATCGCAGACGGGCTGAGCTGCGGGCAGCGGACGCCACTCATCCTTGCACAGTCTCCGTCTGCGCGCCAGGGCGATCCCGTCGCTGCTGCTGTCTCTGCTGCCGCTGCTGCTGCTGCTGGCGGCGTCGGTCTCAGTCGCGCAGGAGCGGCACAACCTCAGCCAAAGGCGCTGCACAAGCTGCTCGCACACATCCCGCCGAGCATTCTACCAGCGGGCATTCATATGCCACACATCCATGTGACGCCATTCCTACCAAGCACTGCGACGACGGCGGCGGGTGCGGCGGGTACAGCGTCGTCGTTGTCGGCTTCGACACCATCAATAGGTAGCGGTGCCAACACAGACAATACGCCCGCTTCCTCTTCCGACCAAGTTCGACAGGAGGTATGTGTCATTTATATCAATGGTTGTGGTTTTTTCAAAACTTTGGTTGTCGTGCTGGGTTGGTTGGGATAAAGGAAGTTACTGCTTGACTCATGTTTCTGTTTTGTTTCCTCAACCACTCTCTCAGACGCTGCGATACTGTATGCATGCTCATCTACGAGAGGTGTTTGGCTTGACCGAGAAGACTTTTGCTCGAGCTTTGGTGAGGAGCTTGTTTTGTTTTGTTCCCAAAATGCTGCGCGAGTTGACTCATTCATCCCCTCGCCTTGCTTGACTTACTACGACTGCTGCTGCTGCTGACGGGGGTCGGATTCAGGAAACACTGGTGCTGGAACGCAAATTGGAAGTCACCGTCCACGGAGCCAAAAACCTGCTCCCAAAAGATCGCGACACTTGCAATCCGTTTGCAACGGTGCAAGTCGGTGCCGACGTTCAGCAAACCGCGTCTGTGCCGCACTCGTGCAATCCGACGTTTACAAACTCGACGTTCACGTTCGAGATTTGTCAGATGGGTCGACGTGCCATCGTCTCGGCCGAGACACTTGCTGAAGCGTCTGCGGGCTCGAGCCTGTCGGGTGCGTCACCGTTGCCAGAGGTACTCGTCCAGCTCTGGACGCGAACCCCCAGAGAGATCAAGTTTCTCGGACAAACGACGCTTGCCACGGATCGAGACTTGATTGGCGACGGTTGCTTTGTCGAACGAACTGCGACGCTCGAAAAACGAACCGCTCGATCCCACGTCTCTGGCACCGTCCATGTGTCTGCCGAGTTTCTCGTTACTCCGCGCACGGACAGCTGGAGCGAGCTCTTGGCTGCTGGAGGTGTGAGCAGTGGTGCGAAAACAACCGCCGCTCCAGCCTCCTCGGCCGCTGCTCCCACGCGTGCCATCCGAATGAGCCAGTCGTCCAAATCCTGCGTGCGGCGATTCACGAGCAAAGCCATGCTGAGCATGTACGCTCAATTTCTGGACGCCGTGGTGCGCTACGAAGTGACGCAAAAGTCGGCCTTCAACGCCAACGCGTCCACGTCCACGCTGGCCACGTGCATGACAGAGCCCAGCGTTTTTGCGCTCGGTGGTGCTTTGGAGGTGTACAGTCGCTTTTGGCGCGGATCGGCGTTGGTCGCTCTCGATTACGCGTCCGCTCCGGCCACGTCGAAAGGCGCGCTCGATGCTCATGGTTTTCCGCGCTACCTCGTCTCCTGTTTGCTCTTGGAGCGCTTTTGCAATGTGCATGGCATCTCCCCGCTCGATGCCCAGGCAGTGCTGCTGGATCGCGTGGCTCGTCACTTTGCCGCCACCAGCGCAGTCGACTTTGGCTTTTTGCGCTTGGGCTTGGCCAACCTGTTTATTCATCTGGATGGCATGACTGATCAGCAGCAGGTACTGCGGGGTGCTTCCTCCACACCCAATTTGTCGTCGGTCGTGCCGCTTGATCTTCCAGACGTCGTTGTCGACCCGGACAGACCGTCTGCTTCCTCTCCCACCCATCTCGCGCCTGACGCTGGCGCGAGTGCAAAGAAGGGCACTCCTTCGTCTAGCAGCAAGGGTCTCTTGTCTGCGTTCAAGTTTAGCAAGTCTACCAGCCACATGCACGATGTTGGACTGGATGACCCAGACACCTCGTCATTGGAACCGCTTCCATCGCCTGGAGCAAAAAACACTTCTCATGTTGAGGAAGCGGCCTCCTCTCCTCGGAGCTTGTCGCTTGCGCCGTCGGCGCTTGGACTCTCGCCATCGTCCAGCCGCTCCAGCTCTGTCGCAAACAATCCCCATCTGCCCCTGGCAATCCGCCACGATTCTGGCGCCTTCATGCAGCCGTTTGAGCTTTCGTCGTCTGGACGCGTTTGGCTGCATTCTGCATTGAGCTTACTTGGGCAGCTGCTGGAAAATTGCCTCAACCACTACACCCTCATGTTCCCGGATGCCGCTGCCATGCATGCTTTGCGCGATGCGCTCGAAGCGTTTGTCACTTCGAACCAGCTCTTGCTCCGGCTTGGAAAGCTGCCAGCGCAGGATGGGTTTTCGCCCATTCTTGCTCTCGGCTCGTGCGTGATGAAATGCAAGCAACACGCTTGGAACCTCTGGCAAATGAACGTGTCAATCAACGCTCCTCCGCGCTCGCCCACCACCCCGAGTTCCCCAGGCGAGCCGCTGCATCCCCCAACACCCACAGCTCGGTATGACATGCTTTCTCGCGCTGCTGCACTTGGAGAGCTTGTCTACAACGAGCTGGACGCTGACGACAAGCTGTACGCGCCTCTCTTCGCCGAGTACAAGGTGCCGCTGCAGCGAATCGCATCGGCCTTGCTCTGTGAGCTCCATGCCGAAACTGTGCACGAGCTTGCAGCGGCCGCCCCGTCTCTTCCTGACGACATCAGCCAAGCGTCCTTGCTCTACACCACCATCCAACGGCTGCAGGACTACGTGCGTCGGCACGAAGAGGCTGTTGGTGGCTGGCGGGCATTCTATCCCGCCTGGTTCAAGTGGCTCGATCCACCCGTCAAGCTGTGGCTGCGACAGGCGCGTGCCAAGATCTCAGAGTGGGTCACGGCCGCCTTGTTGCACGATCGGCTGCTGCCCATCACGAACGATCAGGTTTTGTATTCGTCCTCGGTCGTGGATATTTTCTCGTGCTTGAATGAGACCATTTCGGCGCTCTTGTCCCTCGAGTGGCCCGACAATTTGCTGCAGCACACCATTTTGCCCGAGATGGGCACGACTGTGCTCGAAGAAACCCGAAAACTGGCCGTTTGGCTCTGTCAGCCGTTTGCAGCGTCGACCAAAGGGCCAGCCGGTGGCAAGTCCGCTGCTGGTCTGCCGATGGTGGGTGACACCCCGACTCCAGGAAGCGTCTTGCAGCTCGAGCATTTGTGTGTGGCGCTCAACGACATTGCGCAATCGTTTCAAGAGATGCATGGCATCGCAACGTTGCTTGGTGTGCATATTGACGCATCGTTCTTTCAGCGTGCCAAGGTTCCGCCGGAATCGCGCAGAGGAAGAATGTTTACCACGATTCGCTCCAAGCGGTCTGCCAATGCTTTTCTCGACGGATTGCGAGCCAAAGCAGCCGGAAATGCCTCTACTACGGATGGCAGCGTGATTTCCGAAAATCCATCGACCAACAACAGCGTTGAACCGAGCGACGACGCTCGCACCTCGAGTGCGAATCGAGGTGGTGCCAGCTCAAACACCACGCAAGATCGAACTGCCCTTCTCGAGGAGTCTGCCAGCTCGCTGTCGCATCTGCATCTCGAAAATGTGATGCGGCGCACGTTGGAAGCGCTGAATGACGCTCTGGATGTGCTGTGCGCCATCATTGCTTCAACCGTCACTCCAACATTGAGCGCCTTTGTCAATTACCTGTGTGGCCGAGGCAAGAAGCCCGTGTTCACCGCCGCCATTGAAGACTTGCGTCGCGGTGGCGTCGCTGCGGCTGCAGCCGCCGTTGCGGCTTCACAAGCGCAGCTCCAGGCTGCTGCGAAAATCAACCAGGCCGGTGGCAACGCGAAAGGAGCGAGTAGTGCGAACAGCACGGCAGTCGAAAAGAAACTGGTCGCGTCCTTTGGATCGCTGATCAAATCGCTCGGTCCGACAAGTCCCTCTGCAGCAAAACTCACCGCAGCTGTGGCCTCGCGGCGCGATCTTCTTCGCAAGGTGCTGCGACTTCGCCTTCTCCCTGCCGGGACTGGCGATAGCGATCAGCCGCGCCCAACCGCCCTCTCTGGTCGCATGCACCCGAACGCCCTGTTTGTTTGGAACAAGCGGAATGGGCCACGCTGGCGCGAGCGCAGGCGTGCGCAAATTGCCGCCAGTCACCAAGGCGTGCTCGATGAGCTGATTGACTGGTTGGACACGGAGCTGGAGCTGCTGTCCTCGCATCTGTATCGCGATGTGCTGCTGCACTTTGTGCGCGATACGTGGTATGCAGTGTTGAACGCCACAGAAGAAGCAATGGTCACCACAGCCGCCAGTGCCGTGCGCGATCGGATGGACTGCACCCAGTTGGCCGCCCTGAGCGCAGCGCTCGCCACCTTGCATGACTTTTTCTTTGCCGAAGGCGACGGACTGTCGCTGTCCTCCCTGGATAAGGAAGAGTACCACGCGCTTCAGAATGCCTTCTTGCTCTCGCAGCAGCCAACAGCCGATTTGCTCGACGTCTACTACGAGCTGCGCAGCCAGACATCATCTCTGGTCCCTCTTGTGATGATTTGCGAGCCAGAGTCGCTCCTTCCTTCTCCGCGAATCTCGGCGCACGCGCGTCGTGTTGCCCCTGCTGAGCTCTCGAACGGGCATCACAAGAATGCAGCGTTGTTGTCGGCCGCCATGGTCACGGAGGACGACCATGACGACCCTTTCGGCCATCCCACCGTCACGGACGACGATGATGCCGCTGAGGATGGTCATCCCGCTGCCGTCCCTGCTGCTGCCACAGCCGTTGTGGTGTCTCGCCTTGACAGCCAGAGCGTCGACCACGCGCACGACACAACCAGTATTGCCACGATTGCCTCCATCGAACTGTCCTTTTTGGACTGGCAAGACTTGCCCCCAGAAGAGCTGTCGGCCTTGCTGCTTCAGCCCGTGGCCTCGGCGCCTCGTGACGATGGGAAGCCTGTGTTGCTCTCGTCCGTCGTCGCCGATGCCCCGCCTGAACCGGTGACTGGAACTGGCTTGCGTATGAGGTCGGAATCGGTGCTCAACTTTCGTCCAATCATCGAAACAGCACTGCAACTGGGTCAGTGCGTGGTGCGGTACTCGACCTTTGTCGAAGCCAAGTCGCGCACTCTGTCCGTCGTCGTTCATTCCGTCGAAGGTTTGGGTGGCGGCGGCGCGTCGCTCGGATGTGCTGCGGCTGCCGCACCCGAGTCTGTCCGACCTTCCTCTCCAAGGCCCAGCTCACCAAGACCCATCTCTCCCAGGCCCTCGTCGCCCGTTCCCCAATCCGAGCACACCACTGCCGCTTCTGGCGCCTCATCGACGCAACAACAACAACAGCAGCAGCAAATTCGTGGCACCATTGACGCAGTCGTGACGGTGGAACTCATTCTAAACCATACTCCGCTGGCGCCAAGGCACAAAACGACCGTCAAATCGAAGGTCTCGGCGACCAGCTACGAGGAACTGTTTACCTTTACGCTTCCGCCCGGTGCGCTGCTTCTTGGCGAGCTGGCCGACAACGCCGTCAAGCCAATGTTGCGACTGAGTATCTGGAACCACCACACATTCACGGCGAACGAACTCTTGGGAGAGTGCATGGTGAGTCTCACGCAGCCCATGCTCGTTCCAGCGCGCTCGCTCGAGCATGCTGACGGCGTGTTTATGCATGAGGTCGACCAATGCCGAATGATCCTCAAGGTCTTGTCGCTCCGAGCCAACGACAAGGAGGCAGATGAGTTTATCAAACCACGCGTCCGAATGCTCGCTTCCGTTGCCGACGCGGCCGTTGGAGCAGAGACACCTGCTGCCGTCCGTGAAAAGCTCGCCGCCTCTGCAGCTGCTGCTGCCGCCAAGGTCGCCCCAATGGTCGATATCGCGGCCGCGCGCAAGCGTCAAGCCCGCCGCTTTAAGCAAAGCCAGCGGCACTTTCACACAGTGCTTCGCAATCGCTTTGCCTTGTCTGACGTGGCTACCAGCGGTGGCTTCCCGTCGTCCGAGAGTGTCAAGTAGAGACGGTGCAAATCGTTCCATTGACTTTTTTGTCATTTTGTTTTCTTTCAGATATTAGTGATTGTCGTACAATGCTTCTGGTTTGTGTCAGGTTTTGTAATTTCGAAAATAATAAATACATGTACCACAACAGAACGATAATGCTCAAAGTTGGCAACCTCATCGCCTCAAATCTGGCACAGAAATACTGCTCAAACTTTGCAAAACTCGGCGCTCCATTTCGACCACCTTGGCTAACGGTCGGGATCAACGTGATGCTGCTGGAGTAAGCGTGTCACCAAGCCGATTTCGCCCAGCGACGTCGCCCACATCAAGACTGAATGGTCGTTGACAGGATCACGAGCAGCGGGATTGGCGCCCGTATCGAGCTGACGATGGGCCTCTTTAAAGTCTCGTCGTTGAATGGCTGCAAGAAGTGACGTCCCGTAGAATCGATCGAGCAGACATTCGTGCTCCTCTGGAGACGAGCCGACCACCAAAGCAAGGAAATCGCGCAGCGAGCAGTGGTAGAATTGCGCCATCTCACGAACCTGACGAATCCGGTCGTCCAACAAGCTGGTGGGGTCGGAATAGCCAGCCTCGTTCTCGCACAAATCAAGTTCGACCGCAACCTTGGCACGTTGATTGATGACCTGCTCACGGCGACTGTGGCCGACCACGCTTGAGCTGGGCTGCATGTAAGCGATTCCTTCGGCGTGCTGGACGAAATTGAAGGGCTTGCGGCGCGAGGACTCGGTTTGTGCATCGGAGGGTTTGGTGTGTGGTGCCAATCCTTCGTTGGACGCGGCAGCGCGACCTTTCCTCGCCAACGCGCGGGGCTTCTCGTCGTTGCCGAAAAAGGGTGCTTGTTGATTTTCGGCCGTATCAGGTGTCCTTCCAGATGCCCTAGGCGGCTCCGGTGCTGCAGCAGACGCACCTGCAGAAGCAGCGCCTCGTTTGACCTTGTCATCAACTTCCCCCTCTGCATCCTCGCCATCTTCCTCGCCAGGAGCCGCGCTGGCGAGTGCCTGGCTTTGTGCCATTCTCAGGCGGGCGAGCAGGTGCGAGCTCTTGCGCGCCTCGGGATCGAACGCAAAGAGATTTTCAGCTCCAAACAAATCGCCATGCTCGCTTCGAGAGCCGCCCATTATGCCCGTGAACATGCGCCGCTCGTGTGCTCGCTCAAGCGCCATGTTGCCCAGGTGCTGCTTGTACACTTGCCGGCCGTAGATTTGCTCTTCGATGGAGGCTTGACTCATCAGCCGATTCACTGCGACATCGCGCAGCTGGCCAATCCGGAAGGCGCGATCCTGAGCCTGCATGTCGCTGGCCGGGTTCCAGCTCGGATCGAAAACAATAACGACATTCGCAGCCGTCAGATTGAGACCCACCCCTCCAGCGCGGGTCGAGATGAGAAAGAGAAACTTGGATTTGTCCTGCTGAAACTTGTCGACGAGCACTTGCCGTTGCATGGCCGACGTTGCACCGTCCAGCAGCAGGTAGTTGTATCGTGGCATGACAATCTTCTCGATAATCCGCAGCATGCGGGTTGACGAACAAAAGATCAGCACCTTGTCTCCGTTCGCCTCGTAATATTGCAGTAGCGTTAACAGAATTTTAAGTTTGCCGCTAGTGTCGGCCGTTTCCGTCACCGCCAGCGGACTGTTACTCAGAAACGTTTTGAGCAAACGTGGGTCGCCGGAAAAAGCAATCTGGCAGCAAACCACCGCTCGCCAAACGTTAAAACGCTTGAGCGCTCGCTTTTCCAGCGCGTCGTCAGGGAAATGCTCGTCGTGCAATGGATTTAACTGGAAGGCCTCAATCATTTTCAAATGCATACGAGCTGTGAGCGCTTCAAGCAGCTGCCGCTCGGGCGCGGGGATGTTCAACGCATCAAGATACGCGCCGACTTCCGATACGAGCCACGGCGCTTGATCTTTCATGTCACGTTCAATTGCTGCTGCAGTTTCGTTCGCGGAATACGGTGTTAGCTTGGAAGCAATCGCGGTTGGGATGTGCTCGTCGTCGTTGAGCTTTTGAAAAAGCTCCTTCTCCTCATCTTCGAACGGATCATTGTTGTTGTTGGTGGTATCCTCCTCGTCGCCATTGTCAAGCTCGCCTCCGTCATGATCAGCGGCGGCGGCGGCGGCGTCATCGTCCTCGTTCTCGTCGAGGCGCTTTGCCCGTTTGGACGAGCTGGTAGACGCGGCAGCTTTCCGCCCTCTGGTTGGTCCAGGTTGGGCTGCTGCTGCTGCAGTGTGATGCCGCCGACTGCTGATGGGTGCCTCTCGCTCGAGACAAACGTCAGGAATGAGGAGCGCGGGATGATTGGAGAGCTTTTGCAGCATGGTTGTGCACCAAAAGATGGTCCCGCGTCGCACACGATGGTCAGCATCGTCGACCCAGCAGCACTGGGCACGAGGCTTTCCGGGCACTTTGTTGCATGGACAGGGAAGGCTGCTTTCGTGCAGATTTGCCAGCTCGGGACTAGCGAGCAAACGCGAGTAGGCCTGCTCTTGCAAGTCAGTCAGGTGACAAAAGACAATTTGCTCGGTCTTGCTTGGAAGCTGATGCGCGATCAGTTGCTTGGTGCGGCGGAGAAAGAATGTTTTCGCTTCGGCGTTCAGGTTGTCCACCGCGCGGCGACCGGTGGCAAGCTCGAGCATGGTGGCGTCGTGTCGGTGGCCAACCTTGATTGGACGGTCGTAGAGACGGCGGAATTGGTCCAGGCTGCCGAACGATCCCTTGTTGATAAAGTCCAGCAGCGCCCAATACTCGTCGAGGCGGTTTTGCACGGCGGTGCCGGTGAGGCCAAATCGTGGTCGGACTTTGAGGCGATTGAGCGCCATGGAGAGGGCTGCGTCGGGGTTTTTGAGCTTCTGGACCTCGTCAAAGATGGCACAGCGCCACGGCACAGCATCCATTTCCTCGCCCAGGTTTTGGCAAATGTTGTAGGTCGTAATCACCACGTCCACGGCCCGCGCCCGCGCATCCGCAATCGCCGTCTCGCGCGTGGTGCCGCCATAGCACACAGCTGTCTTGCAGTAACTCCACGCTTCAAACTCGGCCTTCCAGTTGAAAAGCACGGCTTTGGGACAAATGATCAGGACGGGGCCTTTCTTGCTCTCGTCCAGCAGCTCGTTGAAACACGGCTCCTCTGTCGTTGGATTGTAAGGCACGTACTCTGGCGGCATGTGTGATGACGAAGTCGGGTCGGGCTCCGAGTCGTGCGGCGCAGGCGGCGCCAGGTCGGCCGGGATTGAGTTTTTGAGTTTGGCGTGCAGGCTGCGAAACGCGTCGATTCGCTTTAAGCCCGTCATGCCCAGGAGCGCAGAAACAAACCCAATGACCTGGATTGTCTTGCCGAGTCCCATGTCGTCCCCGAGAATGGCGCCTTGGCCTCGACGGTAGCGCTCAAATAGAAACTGAATGCCGTCGCGCTGATACGGGCGGAGGTAGCCGTTGATGGTGGCTGGGATTTGGATGGTGGATCCATCCGTTCGAGTGAGTAGCACAAACGGCCGCTGCTTTCGAGCAGCAGAGGAAGAAGCTGTGGTGCCTTGAGGGAAAAACGGGCGCTGTTCGCCAAAATCGTGCTCGTCCGGCGAGCTTTCGTCCATGGGCGGAGGTGTATGGATGTGACCCGTATCTGGTGCAGCGTTGAACTGTCGAGATGGCGCAACAACAGCCTTGGCTTTACTACGTGAGCTCGAGAGAGCAGCAGCGGGTTGGAGAGCGGCTGCTTCGGGTTCTGGTTCTGCAGAGTGCTCGGCGCTATCAGATGCAAGGGCGTCCGAAATGCCCCGCTTTGAGCGAGTGGACGGCGGCTTTGTCGCACTGGCAGGTGTATTGGAGGGAGGAGGAAGAAGAAGATCTTGAGCGCCTGCGGAAAGCGTTGGAGTCGATGTCGCTTGCATTGCGGTATTTTGGTACAGTTTGGCCATTGCAGTCCGAGTGGCACGTTCGCGATCAAGAACATGCGCATCGAGAGGAGCAAAAAAGAGCTTTGAGCGAGGAACGACAGACCGCCGTTGTTCTTCCGAATTCGAATTCGTGGACGCAGAAGGCGGTGAGCCATCTTCTTCGGTACCGTGTTTGAGCCGAGTCGACCGTTGAGATGATGCTTGCGATGAGACCTGACTACTATCAGCAGTCTCGGATGCGTCTCGTTGTCGCAATTGGCCACCCGTTCTGGTGTCCGATTCCAGCTCTGGAACAAAATTACAAACAAAGTGTCAACAACAGAATGCCCGAATCTCTCAAAGCAAGAGGAACGAACGTACCCGCGCGACGCTTTTGGGACTGACGACTCTGAGTGGTCTGTGGAGGCGCTTGTGTAGCTTTTCTTGTTGATGACAACCTTGCTGCTTGTCTGAGTTTCTTCGTTTGGGTGGTCTGAGAATCTTGGTCCACCTCCTCTTCCTCTTCCTCGTCCTCCTCGCCATCGCCATCGCCTGTCTCAAAATCATTGTCTTTGTGACAATCGTTGATATCGTCATCCTGATCGTCGTCTGAGACAACAGCGCGGCGCCGTCGGAGTGGTTGAGCTTGACTGAGATTGCGGGAAGTTGCGACTCGAGCGCTCTTGCGCGTGGAGGTCGCTGGCAACGCCGACGCAGCAGAACGAGTATTGCGTACTCTTGCACGAGTCGTCTCTGCAGGCTCGGCGGCAGTCTGGTCCTTGGTCGTGGATGGGTCATCACCCTCTGCGACGAGCTGCGACGCCGATGCGAATGGCTGCAGGTCGGTCAGCGCCACCTTGGCAGGCTTCTCGTCTTCGAATCCGGCATACACGACGTATGCGTGAGTCTTGCTGGAAGCGAGGCGCGCAATCACAGCGGGATAGTGCAGGCCATCCCCGGCGAACAGGGCGAGACAAGCATCGCCACTGCTCCAGCATTGCGGCATGTTTGCGCCAACGCCAAACAAAAAAAAATGGGGGACTGCATGCTTTAGTTTGAGTTTACCGGCTCAACCTGTCCGAGACGTGGACGGAGTGCCGCAGTATCCCATTCCGTGGTGGCTTGCCAGTCCGTTCTTGAACTTTTTGATTTTTGAATCGAGCTTCATACGGCACACAAATCATGAAGTAACACTTACATGTTGCACAAACAGTGAAGAGACCACAAAACAATGCGAACAACACACAACCAAATTAAGACGATGGCTCAGCAAGTGCACTGAGAAAATGCCGGCACTCATTCTGTTCAACGCCGTAACCATCAACTTTGTCCAAAGCCTCTAACTGGACATGCTGGCGCTGGAAGACGACGCTGCGGAACGAGCCGTATCAGGCAATGCAAAGTACCAGCCGAGGTGCTTGACCGGTGGTACATCCCCCTTTGTGAGAGTGTGGGTCACTTGCTTTGTTTCGCCTCTCTCCGTCAGGGTGAACGAGACCTCTTTGGAGTCACCGATTTGGTCAAACAAGAACTGGCGCAGGTCCCCTGCTGTTTTGAACTGCTGCAGGCTGTCTCGCTGGTGAGCTAGGTGTCGAGTCTGCACGAGAAGGTGCGCCAGTGCATTGCACACTTCTTGTGTTCGTGTGCCCCACGAATAGAAGGAACTCGCAATGTGCGATGCAGGGCTGTGATGCGGGTCGAACGAATAGGCGCCTGTTGTTGCAGCAAACAGTCAGCGCATGCTCCACTCATCAATCGGCTGAGAACTAATACGTACTTTGCATAGCGGTCTGAAATCCTTGTGCGAATTTGTTCAGCGCGCTACGCTCCAGCGCCCACGAATTCTCTGCAGGTTTAGCAGTTGCCAAACGAGCTGTTGACATGACCCCCACAAGAACAAGCGTGTCGTCTTTGTATTGTGTCTGCACGTAGTGCTGATCGAGGTGCTGGCGGGCAGAATTTTCGTATTTGCGAAGCTCAGCGGGGCCTGTCGACTGGAGGTGCATGTGCAGCTTCATCTGCAGACCAATGACGACACGTTTCTTCGTCGCCTGATAGTCGGCAGCCATCAGCAAAAGAAAGTGAGAACTCAGAGTGACGACCACTCAACCAACAACAACGCGACCAATATCTAGCTCCAAACTTACGTGACCAGCAAGCTTGGCGAGCATGTAAGCGTCGATTCCTGGCTCGTTCTCTGGGGCAAGTTGCATGAACACTTTCGTGCCCCATTTTTTGGGTTTCAGCTTGAGTGACAGGTTTTTGCAGTCATCACTGAACTTGACCCCAGGCAGTAACTTGCTGAGAGGGACAAGAACGGCACTCGAAGAAGGTTTAGATGCCGACAACACGTGATGGGCAAGATACGCAGTCACCCGCAAGTTGAAGAGGTGGACAACGAGTCGCTCCCACAGATCGGGCTTGGACAGTGGGTTTGCCAGATCCTTGGAGATGCACTTAAGACTTTCTTTCAGAGTGTCTGCGAGCCGCAGGATGACATCGAGACTGTGTTTGACAGGCTCGAGGTCGAAATCGATCGGGACTGCGAGATGTTCAAACCCAAATGAGTGCCTCGTTTCCAGTCATTCAGATGCACTCATTCACAAACGAGCAGATCAGCTCCTCAAAAAGCCAGAACTTACTCAACTTGACCTCTTTGTACAAGTTGAACTGCAGGGACAGCTTTGGAGCATTCTGGTCAAAGATCTGGTCCAGCGTCACGTCATCCTGATCTGGCGTCATGTCATCCTGGTCCAGCGCCACGTCATCCTGGTCTAGCGTCACGTCGTCCGGGTCTGAAAGCGTTGCGATTGAGGGCGTTGCAGCTGAAGCGAGACGTGATCAAAACCACTTCGTGAGCGTAGTGACAGCAAGCAACTCGCCGAAATCATGCCTGAAAACATACCGACAAATGCCGCGCCGCGGCTGACCCAAGCAGCTACTTTCCTGTCAAGTTGCGATACCATCACAGTATCAAACGCGCAAAAGTGCACCAACTCGATCAAAGAAACAGCGCTAATTTCGGGCGTTGCGATGGCAGATTCCGTCCGCCCACTCATCGCTGCTTCAATGTGACCCGGCAAGCCACCAGCAATACGAAGTTGACCCACCAAGCTCGCATTGAGTCGCCAGGCAACTGACTTCTTTGATATGCTGGCAACTACATCAGCAAACTCGGCGGTGTGGGGGCCATCGAACGGTTCCATTGGAACTGGATTGATCTCTAAGTTGCTTGAATTCTCGGGGACGATATGCTCGACCAGACCGGGCGTGAGGTGTTCTGGAAGAGTTCCGGCGTAGAGTACAAAGAGCCGTGAAGCCGGATCGACGGTGGCATTCTTGAGTGACCAAAGTGAATGCTTCAGCAGCCAACGCTGAGATTTCAACTTCTCCAAGTAGCGTTGTCTGGCCAGATGTGCCTGTACGACCGAGGCTTCAGAAGCGGACAGTACTTGTGGGACCGGATTCGCCTCGGAGACCAGCTTCTCTTGTGCGCCAACCTTGTCCTTCACGTCCGCCTTCCTCGCAGCGTTCGCCCGTTTCACAGCGGCTGGCTCTTTCACAGCGGCCACCGCTTCCATCTCCTCAGCGGACAGAGCAAGCAATCTGTTGATTTCGTCGACCGCAATCGCAACGTACGGTAACTGATCCCCAGGTTTCGGCGCACGACCGTGCCGACGCTTAAACTCGAACTGCTGGATAAACTCCAGAGTAGCATCCACCCGGAAGCTCCCGGTCTGGGCAAAGTTCACTTCAAAGAAGGTCGGAGGGATGTCGAAGTACGCTTGCAGAAGGCGAGTCGCAAGAGCGTGTTCAGGGTCGGCGTGGAAGACGATGGTCCAGTCTTTGGTAATGTCGAAACTGGTTGCGTTGCTGAAGGTGACAAACAAGGAAATAAACTCGAGTCCTCGGCTGTTGAATACTGCAGGAGCGATGCGGCTCACAAACTCTTCGCAGAGCCTTGTTTTTCCTGCACCAGGCAACGTCGACGCCAGAAGTGATGGAAAATCCAGTCGGTTGTAGTGATTCGATGAACGCGCCAAGCGTTCGTTCATGTGCGCTTTAATCGCAGTGGTTGCCACTTGCAGATCAACGAGGGGGTACGTGGGAGAATACTGGCTCAACAGAAACGAAGCACCAACAGTGAGTCGCGGACAATGCCACAACTTCCAACAGAGGACAACATACCACCCGTGCCGCCTTCGGCGTGAGTTGGATCAGACCCTTAAGTGAAGCTTGGATAAGTTCCGGTGTGAATTTCGGTGTAGCTGGTCACGAGAGAACAATTTGTCAGAAACCCCGCAGCAACTCAGTCACCCACACACACACACACACACACACACACACACACACAAACACACACACACACACACACACACACACACACACACACACACACACACACACACACACACACACACACACACACACACACACACACACACACACACACACACACACACACACACACACACACACACACACACACACACACACACACACACACACACACACATACGCACACACACACTCACACGCTTGCAGAGTGTGTGCAGACAGGAGACAGACGAGGTGCTCGGAGACAGGGGCGGGGTGTCGGGGCGCCCGGCGGCCTCCCTCTTTTGTGTTGTTGTTGGTGAGAGAGATATATAGAAGGAGGCATCAGTGTGTGCTATGGTCACAGACATTAAAACAGTGCTGCCCTGTGTGTGAGATTTTTTG